GGGGGGGGGGGGGGGGGGGGGGGGGGGGCTGCGGAAGGTGGAAAGGAAAGGAAAGCAGTTCGGCAGCCCGTCTCAGACGCGCAGGGGCGAGCAGCCTTGCAAGTAGGAAGCTGGTAGCGCGATCAGCTTGGGCGCTCATGTGACTGTAGATGCTGACTCGAGCTCGGATCTTTTCACGCCGTCAGACTACGACTTTTACACTGGCGAGAGCATGAACCCCGAGGGGTGAGTAGCGTACAGCCACACCTCCTATACACCAGAATGCGCAGAGGCTGATCATGCCTGCTTCTGGCCGACAGTATGGTCGTCCTTTGCAACTATCGCGAGGACGGTGTCACCCCCTACTTCATCCTCTGGAAGGACGGACTCAAGGGTGAGTCATGCACATTGTCTCCAGAGCGTGAATCAAGATCGCTGACGGATTTCACTCCCTTCGCTTCTTTGCAGAGACCAAGATCTAGACGTTTCCAGGCTGTGCAGCGACACGCACTCCCGCTGCTGCAAACTTCGTCACTTTCTTCTGCTTTCCGCTTTCACGTCGCACATCAGCACAAGCTCGTCCGTCTTGGCGCTTTTCTTGGCCTCCTCAAAATGCAAGATTTTGCTACTAGTGCTCTCCGATGACCTTTTTGTGAGCAGCTTTTTCTTCATGAAGGATCATGAGAAGCGGCTTCCGCTTTCACTGTTGGTGGTGTCAATCGCGAAGCAGTGTACATTTGTTCAGGATCTTTTTGAGAGCCTGTCGATGGAAGGAGCAGGCAGGGGATCGAGAGGCAAGTGACAATTGCGAAAGACTCGAGACGGTCAGCGAGTTGTGGTCGTCCTTGCTGCTGCAGGAGACTGCTCACCGCGGGCTTGCGATTGGGAGCGATGGCTAGGACTGTCGGAATGTTTTCAGGCTGCTCGATCCACAAGTGATGCAGCGGAAAATGCTCGGTGTCTTCTTGGCCTGCGGTGGAAGCAGCATTAGCGGCGGCTTGTCTGGCTTCATCCAGCTTGCTGCTCAGTTCTCGGATGGTCTGCTTGGGCGAGGTTACTAGGACGATTTTGTGCATGGATTCCAGGGCGCCCGTCGTACTGGAGATGTAAGCCTGGGTGAGGGATTGATCTAGCGATCTCGAGATGACCTGTATTCGAGGAAGCATCGTGAGAGGACAGATGATGAAGAGCAAGAAGGAGGGCGAGGTGATTGAGGTGAGCTTCGAACGTGTCTTGTGAGAAGCGACGCGGGCGAATGGGAACAGGCGCTGGCTGGGCTGGGCTGGGCTTGCCGAAGCGACGAATGCGGGCATCATCTCCTCGACGCATGACGGGGCTTCCGCACGCTAGCTGCTGCTGCTTTGCCGAACTCACCGCGACTGCTGCGTGGGCAGCTTGTGACATGAGTGGGCCTCTGGGCCAACCTCCATCTTGAACAGGCTGCGATGTGGGGACAAATTGGATACCAAAAAAAAAAAACAAAAGAGGGAGAGAGATGTTGGCAATCCACAATGGCAGGTCAGTCTGGAGGGCTCATGCTGAATGCCGCCTTGTCTACATCTGACCGACTGACTTGTGTGAGGGAGCGATCGACGATCAGCTGCATGACGAGGGGCGTTGGGCCAGCAGCCTGAACAGCAATGTCCGACATTTCCGCTTGCTTTTCCTTCGTCCCAGCCGAGGGGGGGGAGGAAGTCGCAGCGCTGCTCATTGCTTTGATCAGGGGTAAGCGAGTCGGTAGAGCAGTGGGAGTACAAGCTACGTGATGCACGTTTATTGGGGGTCTCGAATGGAAATGTTGTGAGAGCTGGCGCTTTTTGAACGAGCAGATCGAGCTGACCTTGTAGCTCTTTGCGCAGGTCTTTAGAGACATGCGGCTGATGCCTTTGCCCTCTTGTAGGACCTCTTGTCCGAGACTCTGTCGTTCCTTGAGAGCCCGTGTCCAAGCGCTTCTTACTGCGAATGATTTTTGCTAGTGTCAGTCACGAGATGGTGGTGCAAAGGTATGACCGAGACGGGACAATTTCGAGCGGAGGCGAGGCGCACTTCGATCGACGCGCGCTTGCTATAGCTGACACGCTCGCGTCTTCTTTTTCGAGACAGCGAAGAGAAAGGGCGGAAGTTGAAGAACGCTAGTCGCTGGTGTTGAGTGGAAGTCACACGGCGGACTGGCTGACGATCATGTTCGAGGTTTCTTTGATGCTGACATTGATATCCGCAGACATGCCGCCCTTCTTGCACGGCCACCTTTCTTTACTGACATCAACGCAGTCATCCATCCTCATCGTCATGTTTGAAGACCAGACTGAGCACTCATCATGCTGGTGTGTCCCCTAAATAACTCAGAATTGACAATGCAACCTCTGCCTAGTGAAGCGAGTGGGCTATACAAAAGCAAGGCGAAGCAGCTACAAAATAGAGATGAAAAGGGAATATGAAGGATGCTATTGTCAGAAATTGTAGAGTGTCCTAGGTGATGGCAGCGTTACAGCGAGTAATTGGTGAAGCCTGCGATGATTGTAGAAAAGAGATTCGAGGATGGAGCCGCTATGTTCACTTGCGAGCAAGTTGACCGCGGACAGCGCCGGGAATGAACTTCTCAGTGTGAGTGTCGATGGCCCATCCTTCAGGGTTGGCCACGAGGTCAGCGAGCTTGAAGCCGTTGCCAGTGTCCTGTCCCTGAGCGTTGAGGAGACCAGTGGTGAAGGGACCCTTGACGCAAGCCTGGCTCTTGCGCGTCTTCCATCCCCACCACACCTTTTGAGGGTTCTTGAAGGAGATGACGGGAGGTCCGGAAGTTCCGGCGGGAGAACGGTGGACGTGGGTAGAGGTCTTGGCTTGAGAAAAGTACTTGCCAGTCACTCCCTTCGTCTTGATGTGGTAGCAGAGAATCTCATTGTCGACATCAAGGTCCAGGTTGAACCATGCTTTGGCACCCTTCTCTCCTGCGACGGGCTGCTGAGCGGGGGCAGGGGTGATGACATTTCCATCGGTCGCGACTCCCTTGAGAGAGTGAGTGAAGCGCTTGGGCCTCTTGACGGGCACCTCGGACTTTTGCAGCTGACCTCGAATGGCTCCAGCAGGGAATTCCACGGTGTGGGTGTCGGCAAAGAAGCCGACGGGGTTGTTCTCAATCTGGGCAATGGTGAAGCCCGAAGCAGAGCCAGTGTCGACGCCCGGTTGACCAGCGACGGTCAGACCAGTGCTGAAGGGTCCTTGAGCGCAACCTTTGCTGACGCGAACCTCCTTTCCCTCAACATCGGTGTACTTGAACTCTGGGTTGGGAAAGGCAAGACGAGGCGGACCTGCGCTTCCCGCAGCGGCTTGGTGGATGTGTGTCGCAGTGTTGGCAGGAGATTGGTACTCTCCGGTCACACCGACAGTGGTAATGTCCCAGCAGATCTTGTCCTCCTTGGAGTTGAGCTTGAAGCCAAAGTGGCCGCGAGCTCCGCTCTGTCCGGCAACCGAAGCGCCGTCGTTGTTGATGATGGTGGTGTCGATTGCCCGAGTGCTGACGGCAGAGGTGAAGCTGGAAGGCTCTTTGCAAGGCTTGCCGAGCTTGAGGATGTTCCAGTTCTCGCGCGCTTCGAGCTCGACCGGGTTAGCCATGGCCAAAGCTGGCAGGAGAGCGAGGAGGACGGAAGCCTTCATGGTTGCAGAGTTGTTCGAATGAGAAGGGAGTCGAGATGCGGAGAGGGTATACAAGAGAGAAGATGATGTCGATGGATGGGTCATTCAACCCCAAACAGCTTTCCGATGCCGCCTTTTGTATGTCAGTGGCCCTCTTTCTCGGTCCAGCTTGCCGCACCGTGGTGCAATGTGTCAAAGTGAGCAGCGATCGTCATTCTCGGCGCGGCATGGCCCTTGCCGCTCTCACCGCCGGACGATAGATTGATAGCCAGGACACTCATTGACGATGACGATGCCAAGCCTTGAGGGCTGCCAAGCATGTTGGCACATACGGCAATTGCGAAAGAGTGAAGCACGTTCGCACGTAAGTCAGAAGGAAGTTGGCGTTGAGATGCCTCGAAGACGAGTTCACGACGACGCAAACGGGCCCAGGGAGACCGGGAAGAAGAGGTACGATGGGAGGATCCCATCGGCAATGCGGGGCCGCAGCCAAGCCTCTCTATCGTCGGACTGGATCACTGCTTCGCTAGCCGAGGTACATGTGAAGGTGCAATTACGAATAATGAAACCGTGGCTTGATTCACTGTGGGCCCAAAGTGGTGGCAGAGGAGCACTTATTGCCGACTCGCCGAGTGAATAGCCAGGGGGAAAAGGGAGGCAGGCGATCATCGTACGATGCGCGCTAAGCCAGCAAGCCTGGGACCCGATGAAGCGCCAGGGTGATCCGACGACAGCCAAGATCTCTTGCCATGCCTACTCCCTCGCGTGCTCTGCTTCGCATGTGCAGCTCGTCGCGTCAAGCGCTACAGCAATAAGGTCATGCCAAGAGAGCGGACAAACCCTGCACCCTGTCGATCTGATACGAAGCACCGAAAGCGGTTCCTCGCCTCGCTAAACAGCCAAAGTGGCGCGTCGTCTGCGAGCCGAGCGCCATGCAGAATGCTCGCCAACGCCAGCACCTCCTTCCCAGAAGAAGTCCCAATCGGGTGCACCGGTGCGCTCATCGACCACGTCCGCGCCAGACCCTTTCGCCGAACACACGTCAAAAAGCCTGTCTGTATGGATAAATCTGTCGAGCTTTAGCATCACCGCCTTCACACAGAAGAGCCAAACACCGTTTGGCGGTACGCTTGCGGAACAGTCCACCTAGGGCCCGAGACACATGTGACTTGTCTCTCAAACGTGAATACCTGGACTTTTCTTGAGATCAGGGTCTTGACCGGCAGTAGCAAGCGTGTGGGACTGACTGTCTCATCCGAGTGAGTCTGCCAGCAGTGGAGTCGCTCGCGTGCCAGCATGGACGTGACGGATGTTTCGGAGGGAGAGGGGGAGCACATATGCAGGTGTAGGGTTGCATCATCGCATGCATGCATCTGAGCTTTGATCCCACGCGCCAAGGCAAAAACACAACTTGGCGGACCGCGGGGTCATCACGCCGCGCGGTCCAGCACACGCGTTTCGCGCGCGCCACACAACTCGTGACTGCTAGAGCTGTTCGCATGATGCATGCTGATGAATGCTCCGGGAATAGGTCCCATGCTTGCGTACATGTATAGAGCTGCTTTCCGGCCCTACTTCACCCCGCCCATCCCGCCAAGCCTCGACGGGAACCAGCTTGTGGGTGGGTAGATGACTTGCCAAGCAGGCACGTTCCTAGCCACTCCTTGACTTGCCGCGCCGTGCGTGCGAGTGACGCTGAACGCCTTTTCGCGAAGCGCCCCAAGTGGTGAGGCTGCTGCTTGCGTCGCAGCAATGCCGACCGACTCTCCACGAAGTGAACACAAAATCAGGCCATTCTGGTTCGTCGCTCCCCTCTACACGCATCCTCGACTCGCCGCAAACAGACGTGGGATGACTGCAACAGGATCCGCCGCTTCTTTGAAAAGACCTCTGCCCGTGCTGGGGATAGAGTAGCGCTGCTGCCAGTCAGACCTGGGGCGCAGCGCCAAGAGAAACCCAGTAAAGCCCCCTTGTGCTCGGCCGATTCTGCTAAGCCGGTCTTTCGGCGATAGGTAGGAAGCGGTGCGCTGGAATTGTAGTGGGTGTAGACTGGGGATGCTATGTACAAATGGCCTGGCCAGGCACGCTTGAGATGCTAAGGAGCGCATGGAGTGAGGTTGAGAATTAGAAGAATGGAAAAGTGCGACTCGTGGACAGGAACTTGGGCGAGAAGAGAGAAGCAAAGCGCAGCTGAAATTGGCAAAGGGATTGCGAGCGTTGCGAAGCAGTGTACAAATGAGCGTGAGGGTGCGAGTCGGAGCTTGAACAGTCGTAGGGGCAGCTGTCGCTGGGTCGCCTCTGTCATCTTGCGCGGTAGCTTTGAGAATCTTGCTGCGTATGATATGCGGATGTCTGGACGTGTCCACCTTGATGATAGTACCCATCGTCGCCCTGTTGGTACCCTTGATCCCACTGTCCGTGCTGCTGACCGCCAAATTGATCATGAGAGTATTGTTGCTGCTGACCTTGATCTTGCTGATGGGCGCCATGATCTGCTTGCTCTTGCTGCGCCATTTGATCGTAAGCATCCCATTGCGCGGCCTGAGCCTGGTCGTAGCCAGCATACTGGGCATCCTGCACCGCTGTGCTACCTTCGTGCAGGTAGCCACCGTTCGAAGCTCCTACATCTCCGCGAGGCGTATCGAGACCGTCATGATACTGGTCCCACTCGCCCATCGCGGAAGGTTGCTGCGAACGATTGCCGTGAATACCCGTATTGAGTTGTCCGTTGTGCTGTTCTTCGTGGGTGTACATGTTGAGAACATCCGCCGGTCCATAAGAAGGAACTGGGCTCGGGCCGCGAGCCGATCGATCATCGTACGGAGCAAAAGCGCTCAAATCTGCAGGGCCATTACCGGCGGGTCCAGGGCCTGCTGAGTCGGGTGGGTAGTCGGCATAGTTTGAGTGCTGTCTGGCGCTAGGACGACCGCCAAGACCCTGCCCATTGTAAGCTTCGGGGGGTGGATAAGCGGGCGATAAGGGCGAACGTCCGTGCGGTCCCGCATGCGAGTAGGCTGCATCTTCATGGCCGCCCTCTGCCAAGTGACCGCCATTGCCTCTGCCAGTCACACGTTGTGCGTAGAAAGCAGGTGAAGTGCCGATCGGACCCATCGAGGCAAGTACATCTGCGGACGGACTTCCTGGCCTTTGATCCGAGCCCCGACCTCTGAAATGCAATGGATGCGCGTCGGGACTCGTGTGCGCAGAAGGCGGCAATGATGGTGATCCATACCCTGGGGCGTAGCCTGGCGCCCCAGCATTCATCGCGAGATGCGCGTTCGAGCCCACTTCGCCCTGATCGTAGAAACCTTTTTCGCTCATGCCGTAAGGTATTTGAGATGAAGCGACACTTGCAGGTCGCCCATTGCCGATCATTCCGCGCGGAGACTTGGTGTCATCACCGAACAAGTCGACGTCCACTTGTGGAAGCGTTGGCTGTTGCATCGCCTTGCCGATGATCTCTCCCTTCTTGTTCTTCAAATGGCTGAAGTCACCCTCTGCTTCTGCTCGCGCAATGGCGGCATGTCTTGCAAGCCTCTGCTTCTTCTTCTTCTGCACCAATTCTGCGATACGTTTGTCGATCTTGTGGCAACAGTACTCCTTCAGGTTGCCCTTGATGTAGCAGATGAGAGGCACGTACATGATAGCAGCGATGATCAGCATGATGGCGCTGGCAGCAAAGACCAACACCGTGAAAATCATGGTAAGCAGTAGCACTGCAGTCCAAATGTTGTTGTCGTAGTAGTCTGCCACGTTGCTAGACCAGTGCACTTTGTGGCCAACAGCAACCAGCGTCAAGGCGTTGATGACTTGTCTTGGGCCATCAGCGACGAGGAGACGTTTCCAGCCTGCCCGCGACCAAGTGCCAAGTCAGCAAGATGTCTCTAAACTTCCTCATCAACGCAAGACCTACCTTTGAAAGTGAAGAAGATGAAGAAAGCGAACTCGTCCTTCTTCTTCTTGGAGTTGTTGATCTGACAAAAGAAGCAAAAGTGCTCGTAGGATCTTAGACTGTAGTAGTTGTTAGCCATGACGTTGGTGTAGGCGTAGCTGATATCTCTGCTGCGAATGACTGCCCTAGCCTTGTGGGCTTCGTAGGCCAGCAGCAAGAAACCAAAGAGAATGCACCCTAAAAACACCCATTTACCGTACACCAAGGGAACGCTCCAGCTATCGTTGCCGCCATCTTGAGCGATCTGGTAGAGCGATCCGGCGAAATGGTTTAGTGCAAGCAGCGTGATTGCAGTGTAGATATCTGCGATGTACACCGCGATTGACTTGGCTACCAGCAGGTACAGGATGCCGTACCTGTGACACAACGACGCGCATATCAGCACTGCCTCGGCCGGGTGAGTCCAAAGCGGCCACAGGGCTTCCCCCGCACTCACCTCAATCGGGTCAAGAACCCATTAGTCCAGTAGTCTCGGACATCAATGAAGTCAAATTTGTGATCCGGCACCTCTTCTCTCTTCCATTCAGCATTTCCGCAACACATGTCGGCCAGCACTGTTCAGCACCGGGCGAAATGGCGCTTCTGTGGATGAGTACGCTGATGAAGGCGCCGGCTGGGGCTAGGAGCGCAAGCGATGAGTTCTGTGGCCTGGGAGCTTTTATCGGAGGGTGCGTGACCAGCACACACGCGGGTGAATGAGACCTCAATCGAGGCTAGGAGAGCGCGCCAAATTGTTTGAGCTTTGCTGATCCAAGCCAAAAGTCAGATGATGCGCGTCGCAAGGTGGTGGATGGCGTAGTCGCACGTCTGATGGGGGCAGTCAAAGCGCTTTCCAAAATGAGCGACTCGTGGGGATGAAAAGAGTGTGACGTAAAAGCCTTCGAATGACCAATGTCGAACGGCGAGGGTTGTCAGATTGGGAGTGAGGAGCTGGCGCGAAGAGCGCAATGACAAGGAGTGTGAAAGTGGAGAAAGGAGCTTCAATCAAGATGGAGCGGGGAGCGGGCGTCGATCGTGTTCGGGAGTCTGGTGTGGTGCAAGAGATCGACTGTACCGCGACTTCGAGATCCGCACAATCCCTCCCGCCTGCTCGGTTGAGCGGACGGCGTTCAGAATCAAGCATCAGCAGCAGCATGATAGCCAGCATCGTGCAAGCGCGCGGCGGCTGCTGCGCGCGGTAAATAGCGCGGCCTGCGCGGGCAGGCATCTCATCAGTGAGGGGACTGCTTCAAAAGATATGCAGCATTGCATGCTGCATGCCCGTGGGATGCGGCATGGGCCGGGCGGGCGCTAGGGGTCATGCAAAGGTGTCTTCTGACCATAGCTCTGACGCAAATCAAGTTCTCGATTTGTTATTGAGCCACATTTGCAGCCACTCCTCACTGCATCAAGCCCTCGCAAACAAAAAGCCTTGCTTGGCCCATCATCAATCAAGCAATTTCAACACAAAGCGCGCGGGCGGACGCGCGACGGCAGCTATATATAGTCGTCGTGATCGCGTGCACCGATTTGCACACACCTGCCTGTACGATTCACGATTCTCGATTCGAAGTTCTGCAGCAACTTATTGTGATTGGCTTTCATTCGACGTCTTTCGTTGTCTGCTGAGCAGGCCGCAGATTGAAAGCGAGGTGCTCAACGTTTGACTGTACATGCCGTTTGCTGTTCTCAGTCTTCAATTCGTCCATCGCTACGCTCTACCACGTCATCAAAGTCTCCCTCGGCGAGGTTCAGAGCCTCCAGTAAGCAAGCGCTTGGCCTCTCGTTTTGGCTGGCAAAGGATTCGTGATTGCGCAGCATGATGTTGCTGATCGAGCTCGCTAAAACTGCTTTCGTTTCCTCAATCTTGACTCGCGGCGGTACATTTCCGCGTCGAGTGCCCGAGACGGGCTTCCCGATGTATCAATTGCATCGATATGTGACATTTGCGAGTGCGCATAGCAAGCGCAATGGAGACATTCCAGGGCTGCGAAGTGTTTACACAGGAGAAGCTGATCACTTCTTGGCATCCGCAGCCAACAAAAGCTTCACACTTCTGAAGACCTGCTCCTTCGAAGCGAAGAGGATACCGGCAGTAGCGACGCTCTGAAGCAGCTTGGAAGCGATACCCCTGTAGAGTCCAGCAATGCCTTCTCTCTGGACAATCTCCGTCATGGCAGTCCAGACGTTTGAAGAGCCTTTGCCTCCGCTCTGTTGCCTGCTCTTGATGACGATTTGTGGATACGTCAGTCCTGTCGCAAAGAGCTTGGACAAGGCACCGAGAAGGAAAAAGTCCAAGTCTGAAAGGGTTACGCCGAGTCCACGCTGTGCCTCGGGAAGACGCGCAAGTCTGGACTTCACGAGCCAATTCTTCAGCTGCTCAAAGGCAGTGTACTGCATTCAGAGGGCGTCAAGCGCCCAATCAGCTAGGCGTCACTTTGCAGCTCCTTTTGTGCGAAATGTCTCACCTGCAAGATTGGGTTGATGACGAGCACTAGAGCTGGTCCCAGACCTCTCCAGAAAGCCGCGAGGCCGTCAGTCTTGAGGACGTGGTTAGCCGTCTGAATAAAGCCCATCTTCTTCACCGGCGCTTGTCCATTCTGCTTTTGCACAACCTGACCAGGAGCTTTCTTGGCCTCTTCCGAGTCCGTCCGTACGGTCTGACGTGTGTTGATCACCCAGATAGGGTTCGTCGCGATGGTTGTAGCGGAGCCTGCGAGGGAGCGTGCAAGGCATCAGAACGAACACTCGCCTTGTGGCTACCAGAACAGTCTTCTCACCAGCAATGAAACCAGCGAGCATGCTTTCGAGAGTGGAGAGCGCGCCTCCAGCAGCAATGGCAGCTGCTGGGTTCGATGTGTTCGCAGCGACCACTCGCTGCTTGGACACCAAAATAGCATCACGCGTCTTCTCGAAGAAGAAGCTATTGGTGGTCGTAGATTTGGAAATGAGCAGAGGGACCTCGGTCGCGTTGGTATTCGACCCTATATGCTCACTAGTAGATGAAGTTTGACACTCCGACACCAATCAGGGAAGAGTTCAAGCCGGAGTACAGTCCAGTGATGCCCTCCCTGCAGCACGAGAAGCTTGCTGTCAGCCTGTACTTCGATCGACTGCAGCAGCAGTGCCATTGTCTCACTTTTGGATGATTTTCGCAGCTGCAGTGACCATCGACTGGGTCGGCGAAAGGACAGAGCGAATGATTTATCAGCTGCCCATGCTCCAGCACGACACACTCGGCGCCCCATCCTGCCTCGCAATCGTCATGGTGCTTATGGCAAGCTGACCGCCCTTTGCTACGGCGACCCTTCCTGACATCTGCCTGCCTACTCGTCCATCTCCATCTTCGGCGCCTGGCTCTGCCTCACGCACCTCCTCGGGATGCTTGCTGCTTTGCACAGCAGCTCTCATGCTGATGGACATGAGAGGGTAGGTAGCAGTCATGGCAATCACGCCACCTGCTCCGCCTGCGCAGGCGTGAATGAAAGAGTCGTCGGAAGACATGGTGTCGATTTTAGGTGGCAGTGCAGGCGGCCGGTGCAGTGTTTGAAATGGTTATGCTGGCCTTCGGGGGGATGAATCAGTCACGAACGTGCGAAGGATGCGCGCTGCCGTTATGGTGTAGTGGTTGCTAGAGAAAGGGAAGAGGTTCTCTTGGCGCGGGAGACGGAGAGGCTGAATGATGGCGAGGACCAAAGGCGGTACATCGCGATCCAGTGGACCGGGTGATGCCTGCGCCGGCATAGCGTATCAATGCATCCCTGGCTCTACACCTACGGTGGGCCAACCGGAGTGCTGCATCTTGTCGGCATCCTGCACGATGTGGTCGCTTTGCGCGCATTCTCGCGGGGTTGCATCCATGCATCGATCCCTCCAGCATCGCGAATAAAGAGGCGTCTGAAAGCCAAGCCAAGGATTGCGATCACGTGACCTGATAGGGCAGGCGCGCCCGTGTGGGGGGGAAAGCCCGCAGGTCGCGCGCGGGGATACCGCAAGTTTGGGCAGCCTCTTCTGCATGGCTACCGGTGCCTCATGTTACTTTTGACTCTTTCTGATTTGAGAGACTTGACTTTCGACTCTTGACTGAAAGCGCAATCGAGGGATCTACGCTTTGCATTCGCAACTCTTCCATTCTGACTGAGTGCACTGACACTACTACCGAACTCTCGCATGTGATTTACCGCATGTCTCAACATTCTGATCACAGCCCTCAATTCCTTTCTGGCACCGTGGGCGCGACCGCATCTGTCGCCGAGGCAGCTTGTTGCCCCTGCCGGGTTGCGCAATGTCGCCCTCGCGCTTGGGTCGACTAGCAAACATTGTGTGCAGTGCGCTCTTGACCTCATCGCCGCTGCTTCTGCTGCCAACTCAAGTCACCGCTTGGCAGTTTCCCGACGATCTCGTATTTGGATGGGCGACTCTCACGCACTACGATCTGCCTGACGACTACATCGCATCCTGCGGCTGCGTGGGTCGATCAACTCGCCATCCGACCGCAGCGATCAACAGCTTGGTGTATGGCTCCAACGGCTCTTTTGGACCGGCCTGCGGGCTGTGCGCTGAGCTCCAACTACTGAACACGCCACTTGCACCGCTTCCTCCAGAAGGCGATGGATTGGATCTCGGCAGCGATGGGCCCTCTGTTGTGGTAAAGGTGACCGACAAGTGCCCTGGCACAGACTGGTGCGGCGCAACGAGCGACAAACCAAACAGGCTGGGCGCCTACGTGCACTGGGACTTGGCGTGGCCAAGCAAAGGCATCGCAAGAGACTTCTTTCCAGGAGATCACGACTATGGGTGAGTCGTGGATCATCGACGATCGCCATTAGCGCTGATCACTCACTACGCCACTCTATGGTGCCGTGAAAAATAGCGTGTGGAATGTTAGCTACAGGCTCGTATCTTGCTCGCGATGGGCCGGCTCCAACGATCCAGCGGCTTTGGGTTCGGATTGGGCACAAGAATCGAGCGCCTGTTGCCCCAGCGATCCCGATCTGCACAGTCTCATTTCCGCAATCGCACCCACACCGCCGTCTGAAGCGCCAACCCCCGTGGCCACACCATCGGCATCAACATCGAGCTCGAACAGCACACTCGCTCAAAGCCAGGACTTGCTCACAAATTCTAGCTCCTTGAGCCCTACCCGGAGCTCGACCTTGACACGCAGCTCAACCTCCGCGCCGCTCAGCACCTCCTTGCAAGGACGAGCACAGCACGTTCGTGCGCACCATGATCATCATCTACAGCTGCATGACGCTCGCCAATACCTGCACACAGAAGGGGTGAGCGAGTGGTCGGAAGTTGCTCAGCAGCCCAAAGCATCTCTTGTTCGTCGAGCAGCCGACGTAACACCGGAAGAAGGTCGCCGAGCGGTTTGTCCGTCCTACGACAGCGTGGCGGTAAGCGGCGAAGGTTTCGGCGTCGTGCCCAACACTTCGAATCCGCTGAGCAACCGCATCAAGCATTGGAATTCTGCTGCGCGGGATGCCCCTTCCATACCCTGGTGGAGCTTGAGCGCTTTGGCTGGCGCGTGGAGCCTTTGGGATGCTCTACCTCCTCTTGCAGCCTCTGCTCAGGTGCTTCCTGAGCAAGCTCGCTACGACATTCGACCATTGCTGGACGATGACCCACCACTTCTTATGTCGACCGATGCGGCATAGCCTCTCCCCTGCTACCCACATCTTACCTGCTCGTCGTCCCCTGCGCCCTCGCTGTCCCCCCACCACCATCAAACCGTCCGGCCATACAGGCCATACATTGCCCTCATGCACGTTGCTAAGATCTTTCATTGTACCGCAAGCACTCACATACCTGACTCACGACTCGAGCTGTCTCCTTGATGCGCAGGCACATGCGCGCCGTCATCGTCACGTTCTACACTTTGCTCCATCATGCTTCTGATTTGCCCTTGATTGCGATCTGCTTTGCATCCAATCACATAGCCGATGTTGTGAGCCCGCCAGCTCTCTGGCAGTCATAGCACAGAGCTCTATAACGGCATTCCCGACGGCCCTGAGGCTGCTGACCCAATCACGGATGCAGAGCAGCAAGAGCCGCCATCTCCAGGCGAGTCTGGCGCTTTGACCCAACAAGCTCGAGCCGAAGGATGATGTCAGATGGGGCAGGTGTGTTCGACAGCCACTCGTGCGGCCCCACTCGATTTGTGGTCGCGGAGATGTGTGCAGGCAAAGGCACATTTACGACTCGAAATTGGTGATGCAATCCCACTCTACTGTGAAATTCGGTGATTTTGGATCGAATCCTCGACACAGCTTGGAGTGCACTCACTGCTTTTTGTCATTTTGATCGAATCTCTCCCTAGCAGCCTGATACATTCGCTCGTCTTGTGAGCTCGCTGACTTCCACTCTCGCCTCTTTTCCCTTCAGCGTCCACACGGCTCGACAAGATTCGGAAAGCGACGACGGATGGAGCACGCATGCACATGTCGAGAGCATCCATTCATCGTCATCTTTCACACTTAAAATTTGAAATGTGGTGCTGTACTTCTCGATGAGCCTGGAGACTTTCTTAAGGGAGCAGTCAAGCCACAGCGTCCGGCCGCACACGAAGCTCTTCACATCGATCTCTTTCCGCAGGAGCGGAGCAGCCTGGGGCTCAGGCAGGGTCCAATAGCCCCATCTGCTCCGCAAGCTTTGACTTCCGTCGTCCTTTGTGAGGTAAAGCTATGTAGCCGCGGTTGCAGGCATGCAGCATTCTTGTGTCCCGAGACTCTTCCTGCGGCAGAAAGGGGCCGGGAGGCCTAGATCCACGCAGGGTGGCTCTTGCTGTAGCCGTTGTGAGCTGTGGGTGATCTAGCTAGCTGCAGCTTGACCGAAAGTTGCTGCGCGGATGCAGCTCCATGGACAACCGCTAACGGCGCTATCGTTAGGTGCCCGCAGCAGCGCTATAGGCCGCAGATCTGGGGGGCAACAACATCACACATCGGTGTTAATCGGGAATGCTGACTCCGCGCTCGCGTCTCTGAGAGATTCGGGGACATCCGTAATGGGTTGGGCGGAGACAAGAGCAGCTGTGCGCCACGAGTCGCAGTCGTGAGTGCGAGTGACGAGGAGCGCGCGAAGGGCTTTGCTCGCAGGTGTGGCCGCCTGATGCTTCTACAGTATGCTCGTGACTGTACCGCGAGCTCAATGAAGGACCTGTGCTCACGCGCTGTGCAGTAGAGCACCCGTGAGCCGTCCGAAGCTTCTTTGGCCCGCAATGTGAGGGTCGTTGCGGCATGTGCATGGAGCGTTGTGGGCAGAGAATCAAGAGCTGCACCCTCCACTAATTGAAATCGTGAACACAGCGGTGGGTCTTTGGTATCTTAATTGGAAGTCATTACCGCCTAAGCTTCGTTTGGCCTTGCTTGCGCTCTCGAGACCGACGCAGTTCGCCGATCATCTGGCACCGTGCGTTGGGCCAAGAGTTTGGTCTGCCGCGAAGTCTTCTCGTCGTCTACAGCAGCTGGCTGAATTGTACATTTCACTGACTGTACCTACTCGCTACTTGGCCTCTCACGCATCCCACCAAATGCTCGAGGCGTTGGCGTACGTGTGCGGTGCCGTGCCCGTGCAAAGGCAGAACGTACCGTATGTCCGTGCTGGTGCCGAGGACTGACCGTTGGAAACGTAAGAACTACAATTATGTAGGAGCTCTGATGCGTGCAGCGAGTGGCAGGGTAGCGCGCGTCATCAAGTGGCTGCTTGCATGCTGAGCACCCAAAGCTGCATGCACGTTCTCTCACGACTCCAGTCGATCTGCTGGCCTTGCTTGGTCTCCTCGCGGATCTGCAGGTGATGCGCTTGTGGATGCGTCGGAGTTGAAGGAATGCGATCTCCAGCTCCTGCTGAGCTGCGCTAAGCTACGCGTCGAAGCCATCGCGACTCGCTCAGAGGAAAATGGCGTGGCCGGATGGCGTGGATCGAAGGGAAGGCCATGCGGCGTGCAGGCTGGATCGCTCAGCGAGCAGAAGCCGCTCGCTACCGCTGTTGTGTAATTATTCTTTTTGTGCATTTCTCTATGGTCCGAGTCTTGGGCCAATTGGAGTGCATCAGACAGTCGCAGTACCTACAGTCTGTGAGTCAAGTCAGCACCAAGGCCGAATCGTGAATAGTGTACGAGTCGCCGCCGGGGCTCGGAGCGGTCAGCCCGTTTGCGTCACTGCGAGAACTGAATTTCGGCGTGGTTACGACGCTCGATCGAGCGAAGTGAGCTCCCAACTTAGTGTATGCGCTCCTTTCTTCACATCGCTGCCACTCGAGAGTGATCCACGAGACCCATCTTTCCGTAGTGCAGACACTTGGTGTACACCCACCATCTCTGCCCTTCGGCAGGCTCGTAGCATCTCTCCCCTAACGCCACTGCGCGCCCCGATGATCTCGCAAAAAGACACGCTGCATGGTGCGCAAGGGACTAGGAGTGCAAAGCAACGCGACAGCGTTCTGTAGTAGTAGCTCGTGAGCAACAAAGCATCCTCAGGGCTTGATCAAGCAGGACTTGACAACATACGGCATCCACCACTCGAGCTAGCACTCAAAGAGAAGCTGTCACCCGCCGATCAGGCACTCTTCAATCATGGGTCGACGTTCTATGCTCGACTCCATTCTCAATCGCCCCTCCCAATCCTACACTGCACCTGATCCAAACTTGACCTCGTCCTCTCGAAGCAAGACACCGCGAGGATGGCAAGCTCCCAGCGACCTTCCAAATGCGCCCAATGCGCCCTCGAGCATTCTGTCCGGCTCCATGTTCTCCAAGGGAACACTTGGTAGGACCAAAGGTGCTTCTGTAGGCGGATCAGTGACTGGCGGCAGTTTGCGATTCGGTCGCAAGAAAAAGAACAGCATCATTGATGATGGTGCGAGCAGCATCGCGCCACCTAGCACGGTTGCAGACAGCGTCACAGGCGAGCGGCGCCGAAGTCGATGGTGGGAGGGCTCACTTCGCGGGCTCGGCAAGTCTGGCGGAAGCAGAGCTCCTAGCATTGCGGGCGAAAGCATCTTCTCAGAACCTGCCGAACCTCCTTCTGGACGTGCAGCAGGCTGGGCAGGCGTTGGTGCGGGAGCAACGGACTCTAGTAGAAGACGACATGGCACTTTCAGCGAGTACGGGGAGCCCTCTGGCAGCAGATCACGCATGGCATCACCTAGTCCAGTTCCTCCTCTACCACAGCACGACTTGAGCGCGCTGAGGGCTATGAACGGCAATACTAGCCTCGCACAATCTGGTCGTCTCGCAACACAGGGCGTAGCTCCACTAGGCCAGTCAGATCCGGCCCTTGCTCGCTCCAGAAGCCCACCGCCGCCTTCTCAAAGCGGCTCTGTGCGGTCATCCTCGGCGAAGCGTGATGGCAAGCGTCTATCGACCGCATCGAGCCCAGATCTGCAAGCTCAAGCAGCTCGACAGCGACAAAGTTCAAAGGGACAGGATGCATCGCAGGACTGGTCCGCTTTCATCGCAAGCATGAATGGTCCCCAAAATGTCAATGGCCGAGTCCAAAGTTTCGCTGTGGCGGCATCCGCTTCCTCGGCAAAGGACGCCAAAGTGCAGAGGCGGAGAAGCGCAGCTGAGAGGGTACGCAGAGAGTTGGAGCAGGATGCCTTGGCGGACCAAGCAAGTAGAGACCCTGGGGTGGTGCACCAAGATCTGCTCGCAAGGGCTGCTGCGCAAGTCATTGGCCAGAGCGCGCCGCTTCAGTCCGGGGCTGAGCCTGTCGATCAACAAGGGATGCAATCGTATGCTGGTCTTCGTCCTGGCTCAGTCATTGGCGAGGCCAGCGAAAGTCGACCTGTGTCTAGTCTGGCCACTTCACATCCTCCAGCGCGACCCGAGGCCGCGCACACACAGCCTCTGGACCAACATGCTTGGGCCGTCCAACAGCACGCAGCTGCCTTGAATGCCGTTGCGCCTTCGAATGGCTCGGTGCACACACTTGCTGTGCAACAGCACCTGCAAAGCCATGCTCAGGCAGTTGCTCAGCCAGCTCCGGCCTCCAGCGTAGTCCCGCAAACGCCGGCCGCTGTCCAACCTCCGCGGCCAGCTTCCTCTGCATCTCTCCATCGGGACTTGCCCCCGTCACCATCAGCAGCTCAAGGACAAGATGACGAATCAGAATCTTCAGGCGAGGAATCCCAATCTGGAACGGAGTCGGAAGAAAGCGATGAGACGGCGCCTCGTCAAGTCCCGATGCTCGATGCTTTGGTGGAAGAGGATGAGGACAGCAGCAGCGCAGGTGGACATGAAATGCGGCCGCGCTCCCCGCCTGTTCCGCAAGCCCGACACTCTGCTTTCGCAGCTGCCTTGAAAAAGTCGAATGTTGCGGGCACCAATGTGGCTGCGGAGGTCAATCAGCAAGCCACTTCCGTAACTCCTGCCATCAGTGTAGAGGACGTCCCGAATCAAGCTCTACTCAAGGATCATCGACCAATTGCCGAAATAACACGGGAAGAGACGGACAGCGACAGCGAGGAAAGTCTTAGCGAAGAGGGGCCCATCACACAAGGCCCATTGGCCTCTACTGCATCCGCGGAGAGCGTTGCGCCATCATTGCCACCCAAACCTTCGCAGGAGCGGAGTGCTGAAGTGGCCCCCGCTAAGCAGAGCGATAGCGATCGCAAAGCAGAATCTGACGCAGAGGATTCGGATACAACAGACTCGGAAGCGGCTTCACGGAAGAGCAGTGGGGCCAGCGGACCGGCGAGTCGCGCGTCGTCCATCCGGCCTAGCACTCTACCTAGACGGCTCAGCGATCTCAGCCTCGGCGCTTCGTTTGCCATCAGCAACATGCTGCGAGGCAGTCGAGCGCCATCGCAAGCTTCGTCCTCGCGTCGCATGCGCATGCGAGATGGGGACTCTGACAGCGCTGGTGAGCGTTCGGAAGATGACGCGGAACTGCGTGCCAAGGCGCAACTGGAGTTGGAGAGGCTTCGATCCATCAAGGTGGGGGATGATTTCTTTGGCGACAGTCTGGCAGGCATGTTGGACACGTTCGATCGCAGGAATTGGTCGGACACTACAATCGATCGATTGGGGCTTGATGCGAGCGCCAAACAGCAAGAGGCTGCCCGCACCGGCAACACAAACAGGTCTTCGATCATTCAGAACAGTGGCAAAGGCTCGAATGCCGAGTCGTCTGTTCACGAGCGGCTGATACAAATTCGCCAGCAGCGCGCGGAGCTCAGTCAGACTGCGGCCGGCAACGTTGCCGAGACGAAGAGCTTGGAGAGCGGCATTGCGCCAAGCTTCGCTGCTGCGTGGCTCCTCAACCAGGCAGACGACAAGTCTGTGCGCAGCCGCGCCGACTTGCTCGCTTCGACTCACAATTCACACAGCGCTTCGCACGCTCGCCAGGCCTCTGCAGCGAGCGCCGGCACGTTGGACTCGGTGGGTAGCCCTGCCGAGCAATACAAAAGCCTCTTTGCTGGGAGCGCATGGCAGAGCGAAGCAAGCTCTGCGGCTGCGAAGCCTCCAGTCAGTATTCTTGACAGACCTCGGCCGCGTGGTGCCAAGCCATCAGATATGGGTGGCGTAGAGATTCGCCAGGGAAGGCTGGAAGCTGACTCGCCAGCCAAGGCTAGTCCTCCACCCGAGGACACGCGCAGCACTCTACCTGCAAGCTTGTCTGCCGCTCTTTTCAAGACGCCGCCAAGAGAGGGCTCTCTCGCTGAATCTTCGTCTGCGGACGATTCCGCTACGACCATGACGCCCGCCGATACAAAAAGCAAGGACAAGCCTGCTCCTGCCAAGTCAGCTTTGAAACCGAAGCCCTCCAAGTCGCTTGCCGACACGCTCTTCAATTTTGGCTCGCCTGGTAAGGACGAAAAGCGGGAAAAGAAATCGAGGAGAGGAGGTGCTTCCAAGGCTACCTTTGCCAACGATGACAAGGACGACTTCAAAAATGACGAGGCTCAGGAGGCGTCCAAAGCGCCACCTTCAGCATGGGCAAAGAAAGAGCGCAAGATTGCCAAAGCGGAGCGCAAAGCGCAGCTTGCTCAAGGAACGGGCAATGTGCAGTCGAGCGAGCCCTTCAGAGGCGACTCACTCGCGAATCCAGCCCCCGGCAAGGTACAAGGCTCGAATCAGCATCCAGACCCGCTTGAGCGAAGCACCGACCTGGACCTCTCGCCGCAGCGGCCTGATGCCTTGTATCGCGTGTCTAGCGGGCTGACTTCGCCTGGAGGTAGCAGCACAGACGGATTCGAATCGGCAAACGAGTTCGTTACTCCTGACGTCACCCCAAGGGAAGATCCACTCAACAGAGCTGCGTTTTTGACCTTGCCTAAGCTTGCTGTAGCGACATCAGTGGATGGGCTGCCGGCATCGCAGGCCAGTCCGCCATTGCCTTCTGCGACGTCGGCATATCTGGACGCACCAGAGTCTCCTCTGGCACCTCACACCCTGCCCAGCCTTGCCTCGACCTTGAAGTTTACTACTGCTCCTGACCTGTCAGCACTGAACGATGATCAGTCCTCCAAGCGTGAGTCTTGTTTCCTCAGAAGTTGCAGTAGTTCGTCGGGAACTGAAGCCGTGGGCTTTCTGATTCTGCCACAGCGTCAGCGGGCGCTGCATCACTTTCGCCTTCTCGTGAACACTCTGTGCAGTCCGCGGATATTCCTGCACCTGCATCTGCTCCTCTTGCCACTCCGGCACTTCGTCGTGAGACAGTTGGCGACTCGCCGATGGAAGACCTGTGGTCTGGCGAAAGCGCGTTGAGTACCAATATTTCTACACCATCCGCCTCTGACGTTTTGGTCAGCCACGCACCCTTGTTCGACCAACGTGCGCCAGCTTTGAACAAAGGCAAAGGCAAAGAGGTAGAACCAGCGCTAGAGTCGCAAGCAGTGCCGTCTTCCCAGCCAGCCGCAGTGGTGGATAAAGACGGCGCGTTGAGCAAAAGGCTGCCAATGCCTCCCGTTCCCTCCTTCGAGAATGCAGTAGCTTCAGAAAACCTCCCTGACGACACCACACCCCTTGCTGTCAACCGGCCCGAGCCCACTTTCGGATCACGCACCCCTCAAGCGCGCGAGCAATCTGAGCCGCACTACGTGAACCTTATTCCGCCGACTCCACCAGCACTAGAGTCTCGACCCTCATTCGGTGCCTCGCGTCCTCCTGCGACAGAGCCACTCGCGGAGGACAATGACACGGCTGAGGAAGTGGGCAGACCTGGCGTGCTCCGTCGCTCCTCATCGACCAAGTCTACAAGTCGCAAACGCAGCTCAATTGCAGCCTCGGAGCCGGGTGAGGGAACTGCGGGTTCCTCATACACCCTTGCGCGCTCAGCTTCGACATCGACGAAGCGTCCTGTCAGCTACCAAGTGTACACCGGCAAAGGTCTGAGTTTGCCGCCAGGCCTCGTCGCCACGACGGTCGCCTCTTCGGCGCGACGGACGAGCAGTGTTCCAGTCGCGTCGAGTGATGTGCCCCATGCCACGTCCGCGGAGGCTGCGCCTTTGGTGGAGCGCAAGAAGAGCTCGAAGAAAGCAGGCAAGGAGAAGAGTTCGCTTCGAAAGGCCAAGACGGTGAGTGCTCGCTTCGGCGATGCGTCAAGATTGTAGTCCTACAACTGACAGTCGCGCTTCGCATCGTTCATGCAGGCTGCACCGGACGCCCCTCCTGTCCCAAAGATACCCACCCTACCCAGCGCGCCTGGCAGCGTGCGTGATGAGGATGTATTGTCGTCCGTAGGAACCCACACGGAGTCGAACGCAGGCTCGCAGCTCTCCGCGTCGCGGTCAGCTTCTCCATCCGGCTCGCCCTCGCCTGCGCCCAGCATCTCAGCCCCTGGATCTGTTGTGTCTTCAGCGGCCGGAAGCGCGGTATCGGACGGCTCTTACTCTCGTCTTTACGCACCTCATCCCCGAAAGATACGGACGTTGTCCGCAGGTCCGAGTGGCCAGGCAAGGACCGCGGTCATGTCCGCCATCAACGAGTGGGAAAGCAGTCCGATTAGCGAATACGCGGTACCCAGCCCATTGCAAAACGACGCAAGTCCAACAAGCCTCAACCCAGTGGGCGCGTATGGTCGTGGACCAAGTCCTGTTCCGGTCAGTGTAGGACCTAGCTCGGGGCACGCATCTGTGTACAACAGCGTGCCTGCCTCCATGGCGTCGAGAAGCAACAGCAGCATCGTTATCGGAGCAACTCCTGCCCTTGTGCGGAGCGCCCCGATTGGTGCCGCCACTGATGCCTATTTACCGGTCCCTCGGTCGAGGCTGAGCATGGACGGTGCAAGCAGTCCCGTTCATTTTGGCGATCGCCGAGGCTCGGCTTCACCTGCGACCCAAAGCGTTGACGGTCATGGCCGCTACTATCCAGAGTCGGCGGCATCGAGAGAGAGCGGCTGGTCGGCTTCGCAGTCAGCTATGAGCCTGCCAGCGGTGCCCACGGCCTCCTATAGGCCCAAGGATCCTCTTCGCTCTCAAAACACAATCGACGATAGGCTTTACGCTCGCACGACTATGAACACGGTATCTGTGGCGAGCGGAGCTTTCATGCAAGAGGCCAAGTCACAAAGCAAGAGGCGCTCGATTGACGCACCGGCGGGTCCTCTCGCCGGCTCTGGCGCACCTCGTACTTCCTCTGAGGTGCCGGAGCATCTACAGGATGAGCTTGGACAAACGACGATGGCGCTCAGCTCCCACACTCCACCGCCGCGCAAGCTCACTTCGACTCAAGTCCTGTGCCAAGTCATCGCAGTAGCGATCGATGAGTTCGATAGGACGGTGCTGCGCGAGAAAGTTAGAAATGGAAGCGCTTACGGTTTCGTCCCAGGCCGGTCGTTCTCCGGTCGTGTCATGGAGACAGGTTGGGAGGTCAAGAAAGTACGCCGGGGAGATGTCGTCTTCGGTTTGCAGACCGCGAAGAAGTCAGGTGCTCTTGCAGAGTTCATGGTCATCGAGCAGAACCTCATCGCAAAAGCACCCGAAGATTGCTTGACGACGGAACAGATTGCCGCGTTACCAGCGACAGGAGTCATGTCTTATCAGCTCATGCAGAATCACTGCTCCCAAGTGCCGCGCGGGGCGCGCATTCTCATCCTCAACGCACACGACGGCATCGGCCTTCTGACAATGCAGGAGTGCGCCCCTCTTGGGCTCATCGTCGTTGCACAGTGCCCTGCTTCGGTATCCGATGGTGTCGCGGTATGCGAAGCCAATGGTGCACACGAAGTCGTCATTGGGGAACCGCTTTGGGCAATCAATTCCCTGCATGAGTCCAGCTTTGACCTCGTCGTGGACACTGTGGGCGGACGTCGAATCTATGATGCCGCTCGGCGCATTCTCGCCAACGGCGGTCAATTCACCACTTGCTTTGGGGACGAACACACTTCAGCAAATCCTAATCTCCGTTCTCATCTGCGATCCCTACGACGCAGCTTTTTCAAAAAGGATCGCAAAAACATCGGTTACGAATGGCTCGGCACGGATCAAGGCGAGGACTGCCAAGAGGCTTTGGAAGCTGTGCGCGTGGCTGCTCAGCGTGGCGACGTCTGCCCTCGACTGAGATCCATCTTGCCATTCGCCGACGCCCCTCGTGCATTCGACCCAGTCATTCGAGGCGTCGAAGAGGAGCCGGGTGCCGTCGTCGTTCGCGTTTCATAAACAATCCGGTGATCGATCAATGCCTCTATCCCAAGCTATCACACACGCACTCCACTCATTTCTCCCGTGCTCATCCTCATATCCTGTCACCGTCTTCACGCTTCCCATGCATGCGGCAGCTATCGCTCAATGCTTACTTGTTGCTGACGGCGCCGCCGCATTGCTGCTCACCCCATCCCACAACACCCAAAAATTTCCTTGCACCTTGCACTGCTCGATGGACTGCAATTCGAACACGAGGTTTTAATCTCTGATTGCATTTGATGTCGCGTTGACAAAGTCGGTGACGTGGGATGATGACATGATGGACCGCTTTCGCAGATTAGGGAAGTCTAAGGTACATGATTTCAGGGTCGGATCTGCTTTGCTCTAGGATGTAGAAAGGACCGAAGCATGCCTCCGTGCAGCTCGGAGAGCCAGCAAGCAAGCGACGGCAGAGGAAAGCGAACCGATGAGAAAAACGCAGACGAGTCCCGCCAGTCCATGCCTGGACTTCAAGTCGCTGGCCTCGGCTGAAGTTCCGGCGAGAGACGCTGCGCCTTGATTTGAGCCCTGTGTCTGATTTGTTGCTGCATGAGCACGGGGTAAAGCGGATTGACCCGGCTCCAGTATGGCAAAGACTGCCGTCGGCGGTATAGGCGTGCTAGCGTCAGCGATGGTGGAGCTAGCACATCTCGAGTCACGCCCAGCTCACTCAGTGTCGATACGAGCGTGACGATAAATTGCGGTAGCACAATCGCGACCTGCAAGATGTCCCGGAAAAATACCGTCAGCCAAGCAATACCTCTCTCGTATCGTCTGCACCATCAGCTTCACTTACATTGTGCAGACCCAAAACAGTTCCTGCCCTGTCCGGGCTGACATCTACGTGGGGCACAGCCTCGGGAGCAAAGCTCAAGACACCCTCTGGATCTTCATCTTCATCAGACTCTGAGTGGGGACCTCTGCCTGCTCCCGCGCTTCTCGAATGGTCTCCTTGTTGCGACACTCCATCCGCTTGCGTCCCCTCGGCTCTACCACCGTGCCCTTTTGGTGTCCCGGCCCCTTCACCCTCTGCGATATCTGTGTCAGGGTCTCTGAAAAGCAGACCCTCGGCTTCTTCTTGCTCTTGCTCAATACCTACGGCATGTCCTGAACGCCTTCTCACATGGGCGGGGTGTCTGCCTTGAACCCGGGCGAGTGCAACGCTTTCGCCTGCCAGTGGAGCAGCGCTCTCTTTCTGTATGAGCACGCCGAGCTGCAGTGAAGATTTTCAAACCGAATGAGTATCGCTTGCAGTGTTTTTTTTTTTCTTTCGCCCGAAGTCGTTGCACTTACAATGGCAAAGGGAGCCCAATGGGTCAAAGCCCAAGCCGCGCCGGCGGTGACGACAAGGAACCAAGCGAGGACGGTGGAGGAGAAGCCTTTGGCAAAGATAGCAGCAGGAAGTGTGGCGAGCAAACAAACGCTCAATAGCCCCAGACTGCTAGCCCATAGAGTTGGAAGCGCGTTGGGCGCAGTTCGCTGCAACACGGGCGGCACAAAGATGGCGACTAGAAGCGAGAGCGTCGCGTGTGCAGCCATAACTAGTGAGGCGAATCGAGTCGAAGCCGTCAGAGCTGAGCCGGCAATGATAGACAGATTGGACAGATAGAGGGACATGTAAAAGAGAAAGGGAAACCAAGCTATCCATGCCCAGACTATGGAGTTCGAAGCGTGATCAGTCTGACGCAAATTGGCATCTATGCATGATGCTACTCACACTGCACCACAAAGATGTCGAGAATGGGCCTCGAAAGGGAGAAAGCAGTCTCGCGCAGCTCGCTGACGTGTTCCTTTATAGCATGTAGACCTTTGCGAGAATGCTGCGCGTAAGATCCAGAAGCTGACTCGCGGCGCAAAGGCTCCTCATCAGCCGCCCATGCCGTTCCAGCGTGTGTTGCGACGAGTATGAGTATCGTGAGGGCCGCGACTGCGCGGAGCTGTGCTTCCATTTTGCCCACCTCCGCATCAACCTCCTGGCCTGAAGACTGACTTGGCGACCCAGCAACGATGCTGAAAGGCCACACATCCTCCAAACGAGCTTGACCTATCAGGAAGCCCATGACCGAGCCTGTGCCTGCCAATCTGGCCATCCAGGCATGAGCTAGTGATTGAGAGGTAGCAGGCACGAGGTCGAGCACCAAGGCGCGGTCCAGAGCATTCACTGAGATGTATGCCAAGCAAGTGTAAGGCACTCTAGCCACAACGGAAGCGCTGGCCAGACAAACTCACGCGCATTCACCCCCACATCGATACCAAAGATGCAAAGCACCGCGATGAGCTTCGTAGCTGTCAAGCCCATTCCCAACAAGTCAGAAATGCTTCTAGCCCAGGCCAATCCAACAACACTAGCAGTGGTGCCAATCACTCCAGCTAGGATGAAAGCTCTTCTCCTTCCCCAGGGATGATGGCTTCGGTCGGAGATCATTCCCATCAGAGGCTGGACTATCAACCCGGATGTTGGACCTGCTAAGAAAACTAGTGCCATACCGGCTGCGCTGAGACCTAGCGAAATGAGGTAGGGAGAGGCGAATGCCATTTCGAGCGACCAGATGGATTGAGCACCTAGTGCAGAGAGAGTCAACATGGGCAGCCGGAGCTCATCTGGACCTCGTATCCGGCCCGAAGGGCGATGAGGATGCCGATGATTGGCCGTGCCCAGGTTGCTGCCTCCTCCCCCGACCATTTCGAAGACCTAAGCAGCAGAGGATGTCGCAGAAGAGGGCGAACTTTTGTGGACTCAAGCGGTGCACAACGGACGCGTTGGGTCGACGTCTCTTTTAAATGGCGCTCTGCTCGGGAGAGCAAGATCGCTAGTTTTGGTCTTGGATGCTATGATCGAAGAGGAGATCGGAGATGCTGCTTGCTCTCTCTGCAATGACACCTCCGTGATCATCGTATCGAGGTGACCTCTTGCACATCTGCGTGCATTCTTGATTTGCACGATGCTATATGCATCACAGTCTGACTGCCTATTATGTACAGTAGCTGCTGCAAGCTAGCTTGCATGGTGCTGCGCCATCAGAAGGCGCTTTACCTAGCGTCGCCCAGCCCCATCACCCACGCTCGCAGCGTGCACGGCCCAACTGTTGCTGCTGCTGCACTTAGTCACGTGGATGCCAAGCACTTGCAGGTGCAATCCCCGAACGTGGGGTCCGTCAGGCCCGACGTCGGACTCGGGACTCGTATGGCCGATTTCTTTCGTCCTTGATTCTCAACCTCATTATCTCTCCAACGACGCTGTGGTGCAAATGCTGTCAAGGGCAGATTACACCCGCTTACAACGTGCCCAAAGCTGAGAAGATCTCGACACCCCTTCGAGGCAAGGGGGTCTCGAGTCACAGAACGCACTCGTGTCAAGATGGCACTCAATTGGACCATGGTGGATGAGGATGGAAGGAGACCTGTGCCTCTGCCGCACGAAAAGGTGAAATGACAAAGCTGCATCTCGATGCAATCAATGCTGCTGCCTCAGATCAGCGCTTCTGCCGACTTCCACTGACCATCCTTGTCCTTCCACACAGGTGTTCTATTCCGTCGAGCATTGTCAGATCAGGTCAGCACGAGTCATCCACGCACCTCAAACATCAATCTTGCTGACATTTCCTGCGATACGCCTCCCTGTAATACGCTTGTGAATCACATCGAGGCCAGCTTGCAGTCTGGCGCGTCCAGCAAGAAGCTAGAGTCGAAAGGCACGGCGTTCTGCACGAATCAGCGGGTGAGCGCCGTGCTCTCTAATTTTGGTCGTCCGCATTGAGCGATTAGCTCCGCGTTAGAACATTCATAAGACCGTGTTGTCTGATCTAAAGTCCACCTCGCACGCAAACGTGCTTTCTGCCAGGTGCTCTTCCTGGAGCAACCCTTTGCCGGTCAGCAATCAGCTTCGCATCAAGATACATCAACCGCGCCCACTCAGCTACACTCCCTCTCTGTGCCGTTGAATCATTGGCAAGATGCTCGCTACATGATTCCCATATTCGGTCAAGCCTACTACGAAGCTAGAATCTTGGCCGTTCGTGACGGAGGCCTGTGGGATGGAAGCACAAACGATAGCTCGGCCAGGATGTCCCTCGTCAAGATCTGGTTCAACGAAGGTGGCGGGTCCCTTTTCAAGGATGCGGTCGAAGAGGCCAAAAACAGGTTGGAACAAGGTGCTGCATCTGCTCATTTCGAAGCTTTGCGTGAGTCCAAAGAAAATGTCGACCATGCGCGTTGCTTGCTATGCTATGCTTAGCGAATCATCCCCTCTGCCGACCGCTAGCTACCTACTCGCCGCCGCCTCCAGGATCTAGTGTAAACGCAGCAGCTAGCATTCCAGCCCCAGCCACTTCAGCACAAACAGCGGCTCCCTCCACTGCATTGACGACGCACATCACGGGCGCAAGCGAGGCTCAGTCGACCGACTCTATGCCTGGACAGGCCGATCTGGCCGCAGCTGCCGCCGCAAGGGAAGCGGAAGAGGAGGAAGAGGTGCAGCGAGAGCGAAGAGCTTCGGTCATTCAAGCTGCGCCAGGCGCAAATGAGCTAGACTCGAGAGCGCCTCGAGCAAACCCAGATTCTGGAAAGCACGGCGATCTCCCTGGCTACGACGAAGCTACCTCGTCGGCTCGCCGAAGGTGATTGTGCCTACAAACGTCTTCCAGACGCGATGTTCGTCCGACTCGAGTCGGTGATGAAAGTGACATTGCATCGTCGTATAAGTGAGGCAAAGCGATTTCGTAATAAACAAGCGTGACTTTTGTAAACTGAACATTGCGATAGGGTAAGCAGCGGCAAAAGGGAGGCGAGTCCACGGAGACGATGCGCAAGAAGGAGCGCTACAATTGCGCTTGCACCAACTCCAAGTATCGACCCTTTCTTTCCAGCAATGCCGAGTGTGTACCGGATTCCCTGATTTGACCATCCTCCACCACATGAATGGTGTCTGCGTGTCTGATCGTGCTCAGTCGATGGGCAATGGTGACGACGGTGCGACCTTTGCTCGCCTTGTCAAGCGCTCTCTGCACGCTTACTTCCGACTCAGCATCCAGCGCGCTAGTCGCTTCGTCAAGCAAAAGGATCTGCGGGTCCCTCATGAGTGCTCTGGCGATGCAGATGCGTTGCTTCTGTCCACCGCTAAGTTGAGTCCCCTTCGTTCCACAGTCCGTGTCGAAGCCTTGTGGCAAGCCCCTAATGAAGTCCAAGATGTTTGCTTGTTCGCACGCCTCTTCCAGCTGCTCTTGCGTGACGCTCGAAGGGTCTCTGGCGCCTAGGCTCAGGTTCCATCGAACGCTTCCACTGATCAGGACCGGTTCTTGACTGACCAGCGCGATGCATTCGCGATACTCTTCCAGCGGAATTTTGCGCACGTCCACATCCCCCACTTTTAGCGTGCCTTGGCAGGGATCGTAGAAGCGCGCAATCTGCTGTAGGATGGTGCTCTTGCCGCTGCCACTCGGTCCGACGAAAGCGTGCGTTTTGCCACTCTTGATGGTCAAGTCGAGGTGCTGCAAAGCGGGATGGTCCGGTCGCTGGGGGTATCTTAATTCGACGTCACTGAAAACGATGTCGCCAAGCCCCGCGAATCGTTTCTCTTCGGGCGTAGGAGGTGCATCGGCGGGGATCATCGAAGCAATCTTGGGCTTTCGTTCGGACCACCCAATGACCATCTTGAACGCTGCTGCTGCACGTCCTATGTCTGGCAGGAATGTGAGAAGCCTTCCTGCCGAGAAAGTCCCAATGACTGCCGCTTCGAAGCCAGAGTAGAGAACGCTCTGAGACATAGTGCCGTCCGCATACAGCTGGCCTCCCCAGTAGAAGACGAGCGCAGAAACGAAGAGCACCATGGCCTGAGCAAAGGCAAAGCCGCCCGCTCCAAAAATGAGGTACCTGTTCCTCGAAGGGGCTGCTTTTGCGCGCTCATCGAAGACTCGCATGATCTCGAGCTCTCTGCCGAGCGCAGCCACTTCTCGCACAGCGTCCATATTCTCCGCCACGTATGATGCAGCATGGCCAGCTGGAACAGAGACGTCGCGTTCGTAGCGCTCCAAAAAGTAGACGTTGACCCCACCAGCGAGTAGAATGGCAACGATTGGAGCGTGGACGACTAGGGCGAACCTAGTGCTAAGGATGAAGCCCAGCACGACGCTACCGCTCAGGTTGGCGGAGCCGATCAAGATCTGTGCGAAGATCACACCGGTCGCCGCGGCCACCGACTGAGGATTGGTCGCGACGGCAGAGGTGAGCGATCCAGGGTGATTGTCCGGCGAATCGAACCAGCCAATCTCTTGTCGAATCACAGCGGCAAAGCCCATCACCTTGAGTCTGCGCACGAGCAACTCCGATGCCGCTTCCAGAGCACTTGAGTGGATGATGACCAGGAGGAGAACAGCAATGGCGATGAGGAAGAACCAAAGGGCGTTCCGATTTGTCACGGACACTCTGAGGGCATTCATCGTCTCGCGAGGAATGGTCAGACCATCAACGGCAGGTCCGGTTCTCCATCCAGCCACTGGGAAGGCCACACCTGTTGCAATACCTCCGACAATGCCGATCAACCAGAGACTCTTGTATCGACCAGCAAGCTTGAAAAAGTTGCTCAGATACTTCTTCGGAGTTCCTGCGTCGCTGTCTACGTTCTGTTCAGCTGCGGGGGCGGCTGCTTCTTCGGCGTGGCCCAGATGAGAGTGCACACCTCCGCGACCCCCAGCCATCGGCATCGGAATGTCGGTGACTCGGCTGCGCCGAGGGGCAAGAGAGTGCATTGAAAGACCTGAAGAGTGCGAGGGAGATCTGAAAGGTTGAAGTGATGGTGCCACTCGAGTAGTCGCCATGTCGGAATTGAGCACCTCGTCGCACGAGCTTGCGTCGGATGCGTCGTCGCTCTGGGGTTCGTCGGAGGTGGAGTCTTGTGACAAAGCCGCACGCTGCGTCAGCACCATCGTACGGTAAGTCTCGTCCTGGCGCTTGGCCTGCATCAGCTGATCGTGAGCCGAGCCTTCTTGGACTCCTGTCGTCGCACGATCGACAATCTGTCCTGCTCGCATAACGACGATCTGATCCGCATGTGCTATCGTACTGAGTCTGTGAGCGATGAGGATAGTCGTCATACCGCGCTTGGCTTGTTCCTCTTTCAGCATCTCGCGAATTCCGGCCTCGCTCTGGGAGTCCAAGGCGGATGTGCCTTCATCCAAAATGAGCAGTGCAGGCTGGCGGATGAGTGCTCGAGCAATGGCGATGCGCTGTCTTTGGCCTCCAGAGAGCAGTCCCGTCTTGCCTCCCGACACATGCGTGTCGACGCCATTCGGTAGCTTGCAGACGAATGCCCATGCTTGCGCCTTTTCGAGTGCTTCGACCACCTTGTCGCGGATCGCATTATATCGGGTCTGCTCCTCTGGTGACAGGGTCTGTCCACTTTTCGGGGTGCGATACTCGTAAGGCGTACCGCAGAGACCCGCTGCCACATTCTCGAAGATAGTGGCTGACATGACCTGCGGCATTTGTCGCACAATGGCGATCTGCGACCGGAGCCAGCTGAGGTTGAGGTCTCGCAAATCGTGACCATGAAAGAGGACCTTGCCTTGGCCTTGGATGTGAGCCTTTCCTTTAGCCTTGATGGCAGCCGTAGACTCGACGTCGGCCTCGTCGCTCTTCTCGCTGCTCTCAGTCGTTTTGCGACGCAGCTTGGTGACAGATCGTAGCAGACCACTCTTCTCCTTTTGCGTCGCTGCAGCGTCCTTTTCTTCTTCAGTCTGCAGGCCTAGCGCGGCGCGATCAGCTGCTTCATCTGCAGCATCATCTTCCCGAATCAAATTGGAGGTCAAGGGATCATATGAGCGCATCAGTAATTCAGTAATTGTGCTCTTGCCGGATCCGCTTTGGCCGACCAAAGCTGTGACCTTTCCGGCAGGAATGTGGAGCGAGACGCCATCGAGACTGGCAATGCTTGGGCGACTTGGGTATGCAAGCCGCACGTCAACTAGATCCACGGAGGGAGGTCCAGTGAGAACGGGTTTCTCGCCACCGGCATCCCGAAGCTCGATGAGTGGTTGCCGCTCGATAGTGCGGCGAAGGAATGTCATGGCAGAGTGGGCGTCGACAAGGCTGGAGACCATGGGTGCCACGTTTGCCATCGCGAATAGAGCATTAAGGTAGTTCCAGAAAGCGGTGAGTCTGCGAAGACCGGCCCTTGAGGTCAGCACAGACCACATAGCTACTGCATACGCATAGCAACACTCACGAAGGGCCGGTCTCTCCGAAGAACCTAGCGATAGCGAAGAAAGCCAGCGGATACGCTGAGACACGATGGTGGAAAAACTTGTAAGTGGCCTTCACACAGAGGACAGCACGCTAGTGGCCCACGATAACGATGCGATGAATAAACTCACAAAGCATGACTGTGAACCAGAAGACTGCGGTCTCCCCACTGCGATAGTATCCACGCTGAATACCCAGCTGACGGAGAGGCCGCAGGTATGCTTCATCGAATCGCTTGACGACATGAGAGCGCATACCGAACGCTTGTAGGATCCGTGCGCCAGAAAGACATTCTTCTGTGAAGCTACTGGCTTGGCCTTCTAGTCTAAGCAAGGGTCCAGCCACCTTTTCCCGGTAGATGGCAATGACGGTAAAGAGGATGATGGCGAAAGGGATCAGGGAGAATAACGTTCCCGCTACGCGCGCATTCTTGATGAAGCCAGTGATTACCGAGGCGACCAGAGTGGACATTGACCACACAACGAAGCCGAGCTTTGGATATTCGCAAAGGATGAAGTTAAAGCCGTTAGCAGACGGAGCTGGTGGACTCAGCCAGACTGAGCAGGCTGCGTCTGTATGCACTCACCTTTTCGCCATACACCACTCTGATCAGTCCAACTTCCTTGCCCGCGTGTGTCGCAATTTCGCCAGCTCCGTGTTTGTCGTGAAACGCAGCATCTTGAGAGAGGCAAGAGGCGACGTATGCGTGTGCCAATCTTTGGGTGAGCTGATGAGATGCGGAAGAGAAGCAAGCCAAGAAGACCCAACAGAAGACAAAGTAGATGCAGGCGCATATAGTCATGATCCATGCTGTCCTGTTCGAGGAAGATCTGATCACGGAGTCGGAAACATCAGGTCCGCTGATCTGTGCTGTCCACACTACACCATAGAGAATGTCGAGGGACAAGATGCCAAGACCGGCGACCAGGGCGCTGAAGAATCCGAGGGCGTAGATGACTCCTGGATGCCTGAAGAATTCACGAGGCCGGTAAGAGAGTTTTGGACAGAACGACAAGAGGTAGAGTGTGGTGGGTAGAGAAGAGCGGTGAGGTCGCAGCGTCTCTAGCAGAGCTTGTTGTCTAGCATCGGGCGCAGCTCGTGCTGCACCGCTGCTGCTGAGGGTGGGCCGAAGTGCAGACATATTTGCTGCCTTGCCAATGGCGAACCAGCTTCGGTACCAGCGCGGAAGCGGATGCTACAGCTCAGCAATGTTGGTCAAGTTTGAATGTGGGGCGCTGATAGGTTGGAGAGAGGCGAAGGTCCTCCTCGAAGATGCAGCTCCTTATAACACTGAAGACCCTTGCGACTCTTGACTTCTTGACGCTCTGACGCTTGCAGACCGCCTCTCTTCTGACAGTCATCGGTATGCAGCCAGCCGCTTCAACGTGTTTCACTGCTGATGCAGCTAGCTAGATCGTGCGATTCGCGCTCTGCTGCCGAACGGGAGTTGGCCGAGCGCGCGAAGCCACAAAAATTTGCGAGGACCTGCTCTTCTTGTAATGCGAAGCTGAGTCGGCCGCAGAAATAAGCGATCGAATCGAGCGTGACTCGATCTCACGATGATGGTTGAAGGCACACGCGGAGGAAGAGAGCCCCGGTGCGGTACCGCACCTTGCGGAAACTTTACAGGAGACGATGTGATGCATGACTCGTCACGACTCAAGACTGCAGCTGTAGAAGAAAGATGTCATCACATGCATGCGCACGACTGCTAAACGCGCGAAAACACCCTGATGCATGCCTGATGCTGGCCAAGCATTCAAAAATCCACGCGCGGACGGCCAAATCACGTCGCGCCGAAGAGCCGAGGTCCCCGCTTTTTGCTTTGCGACACCGATGGAAGGGCAGCGCTATATAGGTGCTGTGAACCGGCCGGCTCCTACGCCGCAAATACCGAGGCACACCGCACAGAGGACCGCCTCATCTCGCGACAAGTTTGCTCTGCCTGCTGCGTGCATGCCAGACTGCTCAGCACATCGCGGATATGACATGCTGTTCCGCGACAATTTCGGACACAGCTATAGCAGCCATAATTTGAATGATAGGCGCGCGCGTATCGATCGCGTAACGCGGTACGCGTGCATGGTCTCGAAATTCGATTTCGAGTCCAAGATTTTGTGAGCGAACACGACCGGCCAGAGTAGCATGCTCACGTGACTCCTTGCATCGCTATCAAATATGTGTCGTCAATCTGCAGTCACGTGAGTCGTGAGCTGTGTGCATGATGCGTGATTGGACGCAGCTAGGATCGCGATGCATGGTTCAACGTCCCTTACCGGACGACCATCACGGATGAAGAATCGTGACTGTGAGCAGACGACATGATTCAACAAAATCGTCGTCCCCGGCTTCAAACGTGATCGCCACCCAGAGAATCTGCTTACCGAGGCTTGCCGGCTCAGGTGTTGTAGTGCAGTTCAATCATGGTCGTCTGCTCATACTTTCTTCGAGGGCAGTGCCGATTTGGAGATGCTTGCAAGAACGAGGTGAGTCCGTCCAGTGAAACACATCAGAGGGTGGGGGAGGCGACATTCGAAATGAACAAGCGCGGAGCACATCCATGACCGGAGCTAACATCCTCTCCTGTGCACTCGTTACATGGATGCGACTTGTCTAGCATCCTCGCAATGGGCAAGCAGGAGGCAGCACCTTTGGTGCATCCACCGGCAACAACGTGTGGGTGGCTGGAGGCAACAAGAACAACACTGGTTCTGGGAGAGGTAGTGCTTTCGCCCCTCCCTCGACCTTTGGTGTGAGCACTACTGGCGGCTCGGGAGCAGGAGCTTCGGCATTCGGGGCGGTCAGCGCGTTCGGTCGACCATCGAGCTTCGGCAACAATGCCCAGTCAACCAACATATCCGCGAATCAAATCGCAGGTGGAGTGCAAGGTCTGCCGCCAGGTATCACTGGCATCGCGTGGAAAGCGGGAAGCGCGGAGCTCTCGCCACACAATATCGCGGACGATGTGAAAGCGCAGAACAGGCCTCTTTGGAAATTGAGCAGCTACGGGCCAGCTCGGAATGAGCCTTCCCTGAAAGACACTGGAGACGTGTCCCCGGAGGAAATGCGATTGAAGGCCATCGAGCTTGTGGCTCAAGGGAGGGGCAACGAGTATGTGAGTACAGCACACGTCCTCATGTGGGCTTCGCAACGTACAGCGGGAGCGATGGAGCTGCATGCTCATCTTGCGTCTCTCATATGCCGTCCAAAGGTCAATTTGGAAGCGCAACTCAATGCTGCCGCAGATGCAGAGTACGAGGCGATCTTGAGAGATACGCAAGCTGCATATCGTAAAGCGGCGTCCAATCAACAGCAATCGCTGAACGACTTCAACAACAAGTACGGCACGAATACCCGTGGCGGCAACACTGCCAGCGCGTTTTCTCAGCCACAAGGAGCAAGCACGAGTGCCTTCGGCTCAGGCGCTCCATCGACGTCTGCTTTCGGCTCCACATCCGCTTTCGGCTCCGGTAGTAGTTCGGCTTTTGGTGCGCCCGCTGCCTCGAATTCTGGCTTTGGCAGCACGAGCGCTTTTGGGGCTGCTGCTCCCTCGATCAGCGCCTTCGGCTCCACCAGCGCCTTCGGAGCGCAAGCTCCAAAGGCATTCGGTGCGCCTGCTTCGGGAAGCGCATTTGGTTCATCAGCTGCCCCTAGCGCGTTTGGTGCGACCTCGGCCCCGAGCGCTTTTGGGGCCACTTCTGCGCCTAGTGCTTTTGGTGCGACATCTGCTTCAAGCGCCTTTGGCTCGACGAACACCCCCAGCGCTTTCGGGTCACCTTCCGCGGCCAGCGCTTTTGGCAGCGCTTCAAAGCCCAGTGCCTTTGGAAGCGCGGCAGCTCCAAGCGCTTTTGGCAGCACAACTACGCCAAACACCGGAAGCGCATTTGGCTCGACGGCAGGTCCAAGCGCTTTTGGCACGACTTCGGCATTTGGTGCAAACGCAGGCTCCAACACGTCCAGCGCATTTAACAAGCCGAGCGCATTCGGTGCCGTCAACGCATCCCCTGCGCCAGCTTCCACCTCAGCGTTTGGTGCACGGCCGCAGCAGAGCGGTGCGAGCGCCTTTGGCTCTCCAAGCGCTTTCGGCGCCCCCAGCAAATCGTCGGCATTCGGTGCACCCCCTGCTCCCTCGTCTGCTTTCGGCGCGCCGAATCCTTCAACCTTTGGATCCAATTTGCCAGCGCAAACGCAGTCGGCTTTTGGCGCTCCCAGCGCTTTCGGCGCGTCTGCTTTCGGATCTGCTGCGCCGGGGCCCATGGCATCGAACTCGGCTTTCGGAGCACCGAGCAATGCTTCACCATCGACTTCTGCCTTCGGAGTAGGTGCGAGCAATCAGAGTGTGAACAGCGCCTTTGGAACGAGCGCCTTCGCATCAGGGCCCACTACAGGGCTGGGAGCAGCAGCGAAAGCAGCAGACCCATTTGCGGACCAAGCACCAAAGGAGACGGACTTGCCTCGAGCTGTATTGCAGCTCTTCGCTGCGGACGCTTTCGAGTGGGGAGCCGTTCCTGGCGTAGAGCCGCCTTTGAGCGTCAGGTGAAGACGGAACATCATGCATTGTACACTATTCAAACCAGCTTCTCTCATCAAATTTGCCTGCAATACATCTGATGAACACACCTCAAGCTCGGAATGAGTGCTATAGGCGCCGCGGCAACGTCTTGATTAGACTGCTCGTAGAACAAGATCTCGGCGAGTCGATGGTCGACCAAAGGTCAAGAGGCATGAATTTAGCTTTGTACAGCGAGCAAAAAACGCGTGTGCAGAAGAAAGCGTGAGTGACAAGGTGCCTGACGGTGAGAGCGGATCGTCGCGAAAGCTGGTGACGGCGAAGGACTGCAGAGGTGGTGCAAGTGAAGAGCAAAGGGTTGAAAGGGAAAACAAGGCGGTACATTTGCGCACTATCTTTTGACGTCGGCAGGTAGGAACCATGTGGAATGGTGCTGGGAGGAGAGGGCGTGAGACAGAATGGAAGAAGGATGAAAAGACCAATTGCACTCTATTTGAGCAGCGATGGGGAGAAAGGACTTTGCGAGGGGTCGAACATGTACGACTGTTGCGTCGGAGCCATGGCATAGGGCCAACATTTGGAGCAAGACTAGACTGAGTGCGTATGCTATGCGATTTGGGGACCAGCGTCGAGCTAACAGGGCAAGGGTACAAAGTGAAGCGAGGGTCGTGGACCTTGCTTCAAGTGGTCAGAAGGTCCATTCTGGTTTTGTTGGATCTCATATGGGACAGAACGATGACCGGCCTAGGGGCGTGCACACAGCGAGGTCGGCTGATCACTTTGCATCAAGTGGTATCAGATAGAGCGCATGCGCTGGTATTGGATTGTGCTGAGCGAGAACGAGATGCTGGTGTGTTCGAGCCAGATCACTATGGCCAATGAAGCAGGCGGCCGTGCTCTTCACGGTGTGCGCTCTCGCTCAGACGAAGCGTCGTGTCTCGGCTGGGGCGAAGAGACGGGCGAGAAGGGAGAGAACATATCAGGCCTGGACCAGGTCTCTGCAGCTTCGGAAGGGCGCAGATAAGCAGGCAGCGCTGATCGAGGTGCGCCACCTGGCTGATTCCAAGGCTGTGATTGAGGCCTCGCGGAGAGGGGCAGAGACGGAGGCTGCGGTTGCGGTTGCGGTTGCGGTTCCGCTTGCTGCACAGAGTAGTGAGTGGTGTCGTACGTCTGGCTACGCACGCGCTCGGTACTGTCGACGCGGTACGACCCCCCGGTCTGGACCGCACTTGGAGCGCGAATGCCAAAGGAAGCAAAGCGATCAGCGAGCTCACTTGCACCCTGTTGAGCAGTAGTTGGACTTGATGCGCCTCGCCCGAGCGACTGAAGCAAGGCCTCCAAGTGATGCTGCACCTCAGCAGGGTTGATTCCCGAACGCTGTCCACCATGCGCTTGGAAATCTTCGCGCGGCCTTTGCTGCAAAAAGTCGGAGCTTGAGGAGACGCCGGGTATCGGACCGTTTTGCTCATTGTGGGTGCTCGCGCCTGATGGCAGCGGAAGGCTAGAGTGGGAGCTGAGGCCAGTGCCGATTGGTAGGGGCGGCGCTGCGCCATTGGTGGAACTGGTTCCGTGGCCAGCTAAGTTGCTATTACCTTGGGCTGCGGCTTCTGAGAAAGCTGACAGGTGACGTAGCAAGTCAGACGTCGGTAGCGCTGCTGGTGTGGACGCAGAAGGGGCCGCTAGTGGGCGAGCGTTTTGTACGGCGCTCAGTGCGGAGCTGAGGCCTGCCAATTGTGTGAGCTGCTGCGCATTCAAGCTCCCTAGACCGCTCAAATTTGCAAGCTGTCCGATTTGGGTAGCCTGGGCTGCAGCATTAGCTGCAGCGGCTGCAGCTTTATCACCTTGACTTCGGCCCCAACTCAGTCGAATACGACCTCCGCCAATTGGAAAGCCCTGCATTCGCTCAATCGCTCTTTGAGCATCCCCTTTGTTGACAAATTGAACGAAACCGCAACCTTTGCCAGGAGGAATCTTGACGTAGGTGATCTCCCCAAATGGTACGAAGAACGTCTTGAGCGTCTCCTCGGAGATCAGGCTCGATAGCCCACCGACGAAGACAGTCGTATTGTTTGGGTCCATCGCGCTATTGGTTCCTCCCATGCTGGGCATCTCTGACACCGGCTCTAATTTTGCTGGCATGGTCGGTGGAGGCAGTATAGACACCGCGACCTCGCTACGTGAGGCTGAGAAAGGGAGTGGCGACTGAACTCCGTAACCAGTAGCTGCTCCGTACTCGTCGCCGACGCGGGCCGCACCGCCTGGCGGAGCGGATATGCCATCTTGGTGTCCAGCATAGAAGGACGCATCAATCCCTAACGGGTAATTTGGGGCCGGGCCTGGTCCCGGCGGCACAGGCCTCCCAGCAGTCGTATACACTGATTGCGCGTTGGCGTACGCTTCCCGTGGTCCACCTGATCTTAGCCCGTCCACTGCGCTCGATGGTGCTGTTAGAGGCGAGCCTGCCCCGCTCGAATTGCGATTCTTGGGTGTGGCCGTGCAGACCCGCAGTGGTCGACCCGGGCCAAGACCACTTGCCGGAGTAATCACCACGCCTTGCATCTCTGTGAGCGCGCGATTGCAGTCCTCCACGTCCACAAATCGAACAAATCCAAAGCCTCGAGATGCTCCGGTACTCGGGTCCGTCATGATCTGCAGCATCAAGAGGAGTCTCAGCAACATCTCCCGGACTTGAAGGCACAGAAGACACCTCTCACCTTGGCAGACTTGGTGCTCCTGAAAGGTGCGGGGCCCCACCGGAGAGGCGGACTGTAGTCGCCCCGAGCTTGCTGTGCATGTGCTCTGGCAATGGAGATAGGATGACTCGGTGGGTAAAGCGGTGGGCTCAAGAAAGAAGACACCAGATCTTCCTCTAGAACGTGTGGGCCTGCAAGGCATCCCGGCCCTCTTCAGCGAAGCCCGGGCAATGGGAAGGCGTGACCTGCAATGACGGCACTCACTGAGATCACCCACGAAGATGCTGAATTCCGTTTCGCCGCCGACTGCGGCAGCTTCGCTCAAAGGCCGCGTCTGTGCGTGGAGGCTCGGGTGAGCTGCACGCTGCGCAGTGATTGCCGAAGGACTTTGTGGCGTCGGGAATGCATAGCGCTCCGCTCTTGAAGCGGTCCAACCAGCAGAATGACAGCTTGGAAATGGCGCGGCGGGCTCTGCGACTGTCCCTGATGGCGACCAGGCATGAGGACGTTGTCCACCCCTGTAGAGATGTGCGGGGATAGCATGAATCAGTAGGCCGTTCCGGTCGTGCCCACGTTGGCCCACTTACGGATGTGATCCGACTTCCAGCTCTCCGCTCCTCATCGACGAGGTTGGGCCAAACCACGGCCCTTGGGCAGATCCGTCGTAGCCGACGAAGCGGGACAAGGACGCTGCAGTAGGAGAGTGATGTGCTGTAGGCCACGCGCGCGAACCCGAAGACGACACCTTAGCATCGTGCGCCGATTGCTGATTATCGAACGGAGCGTAACCTTGGTGCGAGGCTGTCGGGTACTGTTGCTGCCAGTCGTGGATGGCACCGGAGTATCTACTGTTGACGTGATGCGCCTGAAATCCATCTACAGAGCCCCCAAGATCCATTTGATTGGACACTTGAGGATTTGCGTGCGAGTAGTCGCGGTGAACATGACGCTCTGCAAGGGGATTGACATCTTGAACCTCTCGACCTGGGCGGTGACCTTCAATGCAAGCTGAGACTTTGTCATACCGCACATCCAGAGGTCCCGTCGAGCTCTGCTGCGATGCTGAGCTGCTCGAGTGACTTATCTTGGACGGTGGTCGAGATTCCTGACCAAGACCGAGCGGGCTGCCAGATGCTCCAGGACTAGAGGCCTTGGAAGGAGACGACAGTTCCGGCTGCCGAGGATCTAGCCTACCACCAAAGCTATGGCGTGCGTTGACTTTCTCATGTCCCAAAGGCAAGAGTGTATCTTCTCTTGATGCCGCGCATATGGGAGCAGGCAGCTCCGCTTCCAGCCCTGGTGGCTTCAAATGAGGTGGCATAGAGTCCATGGTGGGTCGTTCGAAAGCGGTAGCGCAGCACGCCTCCGCGAAAGCCTGAGGCGTCCTCGAAGGTCGTGGCAGGACCAAAGGCGATTTCGGTAGTCACACTTGCGAGTCCAGATGGCAAGTGCGTCTATGGAGTGATTGTACAAGTGCAAAGTGGCGCAGATGGCAGTCCCTCGATCGACAGCTTCTCTTCTGAAGCTATATGGACCGCAAGGAAGCTGATGAAGTACCGATCAGTTGTGCGATGAAGTACCGACGCGTGTACGCTGTGACTGATTTGGACGGCATCGAGATGAAGATGAGCGCGCACAGTTCTTTCCCGTTCGCCAGCTCCGCCGTTGATGTGAGGCAGACAAGGTGCCCGATGGTTCCCCTAGATGAAGAGCCGCGGTCAGCCCAGGTGGCGAGCGACAAGGTCGGACCAGATCGAGATTGTTAGAGGAGCTGATGTGCCGACAGCAGCAGTCCTTCGCGAGGGGCAACTTAAATGTACGCCCACCGTTGTGCAGACAGCAGGACTCTGAATTCAACAGAGACGCTTGTTATGATAAGTGCTCAGGCAGCCCAGGACTTGTACCCAGACTGGCCAGTCGTGATTGCTGCTACAAGGCTAGATTACCAAGCAGCAGCAGCGCACAGCTTTCCTGGATCGCTGATCCAAAACAGATGGCAGTCATGCAGTAGACGCCATGCATGTGTTTCTCCTATAGTCTAAGGTCGAGTGTCTTGCCGCGGCCTGGGAATGTCGCACCTCAGGTGACACTAATGCTGCGATTTGCTTAATTGTGAAGTTGATGCTGGTGCAGAGCTACGACCTTGAGTTCCCCGTATCAGCGTTGTCGAATTGACTGAGCTGCGGGTATTTTTTTTGTGATGGATGGGGGAATCACGTGAATAGCGATACCATCCGGACTGTGAACGAATCTCTCTGTGCGCTGACCAGAGCGCAAGCGAGGCTGGCGAAGGTGAGAGAGAAACGCACGACTGTTGAGCACCCGACAGGAGTTGGGAGTCGTGAGTCACAAGCGTGAATTTGGGAACTCGATCTTGTGAATATCGAGGTCTGCTGCTGGCAAGTCTGTCTGCGCTAGGTCTGATCCGTGATCAAGACCGAGGCGGAGTTAGTCAGAGCTATGTTTTGCGTTGCCGGCTGGCAGCCGAGCCATGGGTTCAAAGGAGCTTCGTCGATACGAGCTCGACAGTAGTGACGAGCAAGTGATCTTTTGATGAGTATCTCGTCGTCCCCACAGCGTAGACTTCAGGGCGTCGCCCAAGATATCTTCCCATCAGTCCCAAACAGAAGAGTTCATGGACCGGCCACGACCTGAAGTAGCACTTCGCTCCGACTAGGAGAAAGTCGCTGTTGCTCGTGAGTCTTTGGTAACTTGACGTCTATTCAGAGAGTTGCTGTTGCTCGGTATCTCACCGATAAGCTTGGCGATGAGCTCGCAGAGATCGTCGATCGAAGACGAGGCCGAGAAAGAAGCGTCGAGAAGAGTTGTAAGTTTACTGCAAGGCCGGGAAAAAAACGCGAAAGATATTTCGAGACAGCACTGTCGGGTGTGTGGGCTTGTCGCTCGGACCCGCAAGCGAGAAGTGGCTTGCAAAGGTCGTAAAGATGTGGTGTAGTAGAAGGTCTGTACTTGGACGCAAGGGATCTGTGCTGCTACGTGTATTGGCAGCCAAGAAGTGAGGATCGCTATTCGTGAGATGATTCCTGCCCCACACGTGGATTGGATGAGCAGCAAGAGGGGGCATGGAGAGATTAGGCAAAAGTCTGACTCAGGCGCGTCTCGACCCGTGCATTCACGCAAAAATCCAGCAAACGAGCTTTACATTTTCATCCCATGCGCCAGGATCATCTTGTCCACACTCCTCCGTCTGACCCTTCATTTCCCAGACCCTGGCCACGCTGTTGTGCGGTCAGACTCACTGGTTCTCAATACGTGTTGATCGGGTCAGAGGTGGTAAACTACGCGAAAAGTGCCCACCCGCTTGGAAAGAGGGCCAACTAATTCGATCACACCAGGCAGGATCTTCAGACACCGTTCGTCGGGATCGCCCGCGACGCAACAGAGGCTATCTGTCTCCCTCAACCGACCCACATGACAGAGCAAAGGGTTGGGCTTTTGAACAGCATCTAATGCATCTAATTCACAATTCTATCGCCTCGAAGCATTTCTGCCCAAGTTACGCACCACATCCCGCACTTGGGGCTACACGAAGCTTTGACGCACCGAATCGCGACTTCGTGGCTCATGCGAGCGCAGAGATTGGGACAGCTCATCTCCCGCTAGCAGAGGCGCAAAAGGAGCTATTTCCGTGATTAGCAAGTCGCAAAGCGCAGCGAATTTCTTCAACAAGGCCCACAGGCACAACAGCATGCAATCACGAATATTGGATTAGTCCGAGGCGGATCGTCGACGACGTCGCTGGCTCCAAAGTGAGCTCTGCTGCGACGGTCGACTTGGAGGCGACATCGCCGCGTTCCGCTGCAGCTTCGGCACCAAAGTCCAGGCTTCGATGCATCTGCGGCTGAGGTGGCGTTCTCCACGGCGATCGCTTTCGACCATGCTCTGCAGCTCATGCACAGAGCTGACTCTGCAGAGAGAGACCCTCGGCCCAGGCGCCGCCTAGAACTAGAGCCTTGACACCGAACTCTCGCGCAGCGGCGTCAAGACCCCAAGTGAAAGCCAGCAGCCAGCAGGCGTGAGTGTTGTAGCATCAGCCTTTCCTGAACTTCGAGGAGTGCCCCAGTGCCACGGCCATGACGTGCTGATTCCCTGACACTTACGAGCACAGTCACATGCTACAGTAGTACCTCTCGCGAGTGTGCAGGAAGGCTTGACGACCACGCTTGCAGGTTCCTGCCGAACGCTCATGCAGAGAACAGATTGCCGAGGGTCAACGAAATTCTCCGATCTCGCAGTAGGTTGGATCAAGCGACTATTGGTTGGCAACTACTGACTGGACTGTGCTTGTCCTTTGAGAGCGCAACGTGCCATCGCTCTCGAAGAGACGGCTCGTGGACATGCATTCGCCCCTCGCGGCACTTGATCACATTCAGCGGTAGTCGACAAGAAGACTCGCGAGACTAAGAAGACGAGCACTCTCCCATTCGACCCGCCACCCTTCGTGCTTTTTCTTCTTGAGCTTGACTTGTGCGACTTCGCTGGGCACTTAGAACGCATTCCGAAGTGCATCAGCCTTCAACGTTCTACTCTCCTTGATATTTCACGAGCCTTCACTTTCTTCAGGAATCTTTTTGGACTCTTATCGAGGCTCGTGCCGGCGCTCGGTCTGAAGCCTCGCAATTTGAATCATCGCAGCAAGTCTCTCTAATCTGTCACATGTCGCTAATTTTGGTCCGTGCAATCACGCGCGGTCCAAAGTTAGACCAAGTCCGCTGAGGTGGGGATGCAGATAATGTCGAACGTCATCGAAGGTCCTCCGCCCTTGGCTTGTTCGTTGACACATGAAGGCAAGGACAGAAAGCTGTCACGACGGACCGTGTCGCTTCAGCCATTGGCGGGCACGACGCCTTCCGATCGTACCTCCTCTCAAGCTTTTGCGCGCACTTTCTTAAATGGTCTCGTGCAAAGAATCGCGCGCCATCTCCCCACCCTCAGACACTACTTGCTCTTGCAGCCAAGCTCGCCTCTACGGCGGTCAAGCTCGACTAGGTTGCTGTACAGCTTCACGATTGACTGGTTCTGTAGCCGGGCGGACAGACAGCAGCCATTGGGAGCTGCATCGGCTTGATTGCGCGAATGGCGGCGCTTAGGGCAGGTGCGCCAGCTTGACGTTCCTTCTCCTAGTTTGATTGCCATCAGAAGGGACTTGTGAAATTATTTGCTCATTCGCCGCGCTCTCGAGTTTGAGTGGAAAGGGCTTCTCGATCGCCTCTGGAGTGCCCACGAGTCGCGGCGATGCTCGCGACCACGCACCTTTGAAAGTCCGACGTCCCTGCTGTACAGTAGGCACCAAATAAGACTCGTGACTGCCATGCATACGGGACGTTGCGTCCCTGCCTATCCTCAGGCAGGCGAGCAAGATCACACAGCGGCGCCGATAAAGAACGATCCTCTAAGCGAGGCCATGGAACCTCGGCAAAATCCAACAGGGACGGAAATTCGTCCCACATCCGAATGAGAATTGTGAATCTTGAATGCAATAATTGTTTTAATAATACGATGGATTTGCGCACACGAACAGTCCTTATTGAGTCAAAGAGTCACGAGTGATTCACGTGATTGTCGGAATTTTCCAAGATATAGACGCCTCAGGCGCATGAATCTATATATCGCTTGGCTTCCATGCACCAGGGTCGGGCCTGACGCCCAACCCGCTGCGAGAACCGATCTTTGGACGAGAGATGGAGCCTTCGGTGCTCCCGCCTGCGTGCCTCGAACATGAGAACCACTCACGGATCCGTGGATAGATCGTGAATGCCGAGTCGTCCTCGTGACGCAATCGACTTAGGCGTGGATCGCGGGCTCTTCAACTGGATCGAGAGTCACAGTATTCATTACCGTGAATACTAGCATAGGCTTCCGTGGGGTTTGTGCCTAGATGCTCATCTCAAGACTGGGAACCTAATCATCTCAAAAGTCCGCCAATCGTGACTTGCAATGTTGCGTTCCTCAATGCTAGCAATTTCACACGCTCAGAGCTATCGCGCCATGGGTTCGGATCGACGAAGCGTTGGCAGACGAAAGAGACACGACACGCGGAGGGCAGAAGCAGGAGCACGACGATGTGGTGCTACAAGCAGTTGCCGGACTCACTCGTAGTCAAGGATCCTGGCTTCTCCCTCTAGCTAAGAGGGTGAGTGGCTGCATGGACGATGCTCCAGATGCCATTTGACCGCCGCTCGAATTTGATGAGGTGGGCCGAGGAACATAGTCACTTGTACATGTTGCCGCGCTCCTTGCCTGGCCAGCTGTCGCTGGATTCAGACATCATGACGAAGCCGGCGAATGCAGTAGAAGAGGCGCGGGCCATTTACCCTCCGCACGGGCTCCCCTTCGAGCTTGCACTTGCAAGAGCGCTCTGCGCGAATACCCAAGTTCTTCTGATAGTATTTGGGTGCTAGCCGTCTTATAGTCCTCGCTTTTGACCGCCTTGGTAAGTAGTGGGACTGTTGCTAGTCACGAATCACACTCAAGACTGTGCGCGTCACAAAGCGCTGAAATACTGGATAGTGTAACCTTTCCACGGCAAGGTTCCACTCCATCACAGCTGTTGATCGCCGAGACCTAATAATCGCAAAAATTAACACGAAACGGTCGGGACCTTGACATGCGGTCCAGATTGTCAGTGCTAGAGCAAAAGAAGACTAAGCATGCTCGATCCGAATCGCTCAGTGACGACCAGTCTCAAGCTAGCTTGCGAAGGCTAGAGATGTGCCCATGATAAAATTTTGGCGTTGCAACCGTCAGCGAGGAAATCCGGCATTCAACCCTTACATCTCCTATCTAACTTTCAGCTTTGCTGGCGCGCGGGTCGTTGTCGATTGGGACAGCGACTACGCATCAAGGGCAGTCCTATCGGCGCAAGGCTTGTCCAGGAGGCGGACAGGGCAAGTGCAAGCGCCTTGGTGGCCCGGTTCCGGAGATACAGAATGGATCTGGCTTGGACTGAGCCTTGTTTGACGTACACATGACCCCAGACATTCGGACCACTCTTCTGCAAACCCGGAAGGAAGTCATTGAATGCTGGTCTTAAGGCTGGTGTATCATTTTATGGGGCAAGACGGCGAACTTTTGCAGAGTACGATCGCTTGCGTGGTCACGAAGTTGTTGATTCTACGAGCCGAACGGAAACGGGAGAGGCCAATATGGTCTGATGCAGCGCTTGGCGAACACATTCAGAGGTCTCCGTCGTCTTCATCTGGAAGAGGCGCGGCGGCAGCCTGACAAATATCGAACGGAACTTGATGAGCGGCCGACCCTTGACACTGGTAGGTCTCCACCCAGTACTCACCACCTCGAGCTCCTTGTTGTAAGCAGCCATGAGCGCTTCATCGACCTGTACCTCGGGAGGCGCAAGAGCTGGTGCAGCGGCGAACTCCAGCGCTGGGTTGCCCACGAGCTTGCGGGCGAGCCACAAGAAGGGCTTCTCGAAGTTGTAGTTCGACTTGGCACTGATCTCAAAGTATTGCAAGTTCTTCTTTCTGTGGAAAGTGACGGCACCTGTCTTTACTTTTCGCTCCTGTCATGTCGTGAAAGAGTCAAGAGGGTCAGAGAAGCTTTACCTTTCGCAACCACCTTTGCAACCTTTACTTCCAGGGACTGTATGCGCCTAAAGCTGAACTCACCTTCACATCGACCTTGTTGCCACAGAGGACAATGGGAATGTTCTCGCAGACACGCTCAAGGTCCCTGTGCCAGTTGGGAACGTTCTTGTAGGTGATGCGGCCAGTTACGTCGAACATGATAATGCCGCATTGTCCCTGAATGTAGTAGCCATCACGCAGACCGCCAAACTTCTCCTGACCTGCAGTGTCCCAAACGTTGAAGACGATGGGTCCAAAGTTTGTGTGGAACTGGAGAGGGTGCACTTCCACACCCAGGGTCGCGATGTACTTCTTCTCAAACTCTCCGGTCAAGTGACGCTGTAGGGCGAGAAGGTTATGTATCAGCTGCCGTTCAATGAGTGAGCCCTACTCAGAAGCTGAGGAAGCAATCGCTCCCCCTTGTGGGCGTCGAGAGCGCCCCAAAGGAACGAGCCAGAGAGGCGCGCCTCTCAAAGCTACGACCCGAAAAAGCTGCTAGGCTGATTAAATGCGAGTTGTCACCTCGTTGCACTTTCGCTACCATTCGTAGGTACCACGAGCGTCTTAGCGCGATGGCGAATGGACACTTGATGCAGCGTATTGATGGCTTGTGAGGTGGCTGCAGTGGGCAAACGCGGCACCAGCTGCAACCAAGGCGCGCCATCTCCGGTCCCGTCGAAGACTACGTAACCCCGTCGATGTGTCTAGAGCCTAGAGCCTCTCCTTATGCCAGCAGCTAGCAGCGTTGGCATGGTTCAGGCGCGTTTGTCTTACCTTGACGAAAGTGGTCTTGCCTGTTCCTCCATCGCCGACTGAGCGCATCGAAAAAGCCGGCGGGGACAGGAAGGTTGACAGGAGTGCAAAACGGCGGATTGCGGCTGTGTAAGCCTCACATACGCGGCTGGAAATCGAGATCAAGTGAATCGTACGCACCAAGCACGAGCTTGAAGGCGGGCATCTCAGGAGTTGACTCAGCCATAATGGGCACTGGTATGCTTCAAGGTGCGCAATGGAAGACGGTCGCTTGGCGGAGCGATTGAATGCTGAATCGCGCGATAATCTGAGACGTGAGACGACAGTAAGCTATGCTTGATAGCGAAGGTGATGTAGATGGTGAGACGAGATAAAGTGTCTTTGTGATCATTCGCTCGCGTCTTTCTTGAAAACTTCGACGACATGGATCGAGGCGCTGCCGTGCCTGTCGAAGTTCGAGGGACGACGCGAGAAGGGCGTGCAGCAGATCGCCACGCAAGCCGGCGTCCGCCAGGGCGGCTCGCCACTCAAAAAATTGTTCAGCGGCTGCCATGCAGCGCGCGCACGCACGCGCACGGCGCGCACGCGAGCGAGCGAGCAACACCTGATGCTGCAGGGCTGCAGGCATGCTCGACTCGGCCGTCAACTCGAAGTCGCGGTGGACGCAGGGCTACAAGTCGTTGGCGCCAGTCACGTGGTCTAACACGCGTACTGTCAACATCGCGAAAGAACTTGACTTGACTGGAAGCAGCATGCAGCGGTGGAGTGACCTACGATCGAAATCGAGCGTTTCCCCAGGTCGACATTGTCCTCGACCATCGTAGCTTGCGCGTCCTCACACTTCATCATGGACATCTCGGGCTCTCCAGCAGCAGCGAGCGATGGGTCATATGAGCGCATAGACGCACCGAGCGCTCTGCACACGTGGTTCGCGGTGCCAGATGGATTCGAGCGCTTTCCTCCGACCCTCATTGCCCAGATCCGGGCACGCCAAGCCATCGACTTCCCAGATGGGCTCATCATTGATCGTTTGCTGGCACTGCTCATTCCAGGCCCTCAGTCCTTGAAGTATCCACCCGATGTGGATGATTTGGTGAATGCTACCTCAGAAGCCCTGGAGGAGGCAGAACCAAGCGCGAAGGCCAGGGTAAATGCGATTGTGTACTACTTCTTACTGGATCACGCGGCAGCCTTGAGAGCTCCAGATTGCGGTATCGACATCAACACGTCCGCTGAAGCTCAAGACCTGTCTACCAGACACAAGCAATTCTCGCAGACCGTTGGGTTACCCAAGCAGTATCAAAATGCCATCAAAGGCTACTTCTTGATGGAGAGAGGCCATTATAGAGTAAGTCTGCTCTAATCGTATGAACATGGTCTGGCTAGGGCAAGCTGCTAATATAATCAGGAGCTCCTAGGAAGCTCTGCCCCTTCTCTCAGGCGCGGATTTCCAACCGCTCTTGCAGCGTGCCTTGTCACCTCTAGGCGCAAGCGCGATTGGACCCTCAATGGCTGAACGAAGCTCACTCCTGCTAAGCTTGTACCGACTGTCGGCCACGAGTCCTACCGCTCCATCTCCCGCAGCCTCTGAAGCTCACTATAGGGCAGCGATATTCCAGCTAGAAAGTTTTGTCACAGCCACTGCGGTCGTCCAGGGTCTGCGTTCAGCATGGAAGACGACCGAGGCGCTCACCACTTTGGGCAAGAGTGGGACTGACGCAGAAAGGCAGTGCAAGCTCTCGCTTCTCAAGTGGGTTTTCATCGGTAGTAAGTGTCACCCCTACGCATAGGCTCCTGTGGCGGTGTTCTGCCTCCGCTCACCTTCCAGCTGCGATTCTTGGTCCAGCCCCCGTTCGCGTCGGCGCTGTTTCAGAGCTCCTAGGAATTTCGCTGTCTCCAGCGGATCAGCGACTGCTACACGAATTCGTGACTACCTCTTCCAACGGGCTGGATCAGCAATGCGCTACATTAGCTCTCGATACCCTCCTGGTACGGTACATTAATGCAGGAGATTACCTCTCTGCAGCTCGGCTAGCCGACACTGTCCCTGCTCCTCTGTACGACGAAGCCGGCGCAGGCGTCGAGGAAGCAAAGCGTGCTCGCACGCTTCGCGAAGGCCGGCGCAAGCTGGTCGAGGGTAGCAGGAACATCTTGCCCGACGTACAGCGGACGCTTCTGGAGATCCAAGAGGGTCTCTCTACCGAGCACAAGCGAGGGGCCTTAGCAAACACCGCGGGGGTCGGAGAAGACTCTGATCAAGAAATGGCAATGTCGTGGGAAGCTGTCGGGCGCTCGGCAGCGCTTTCGCAGAAGAATCCACTACGTCCTCTGTCCGCCACGAGTGCTTTGCGGCAGCTTCCCTCCGTGGCTGATGCTCCTAGGGCTGCTTCGCATGCCACCGATCCTGTCGGGTCGCTGCTGCACGCCGTAGTCAGAAACAGTCCTAACAGAAGGAGCAATAGTGCGGAAGATGGTTTGCCCCCAGAAGGACGGCAATTGGGCTCAGGGGTGAGCTTCCTAGACAAGCGCAGCGCAGACAGCAAGGCCGCCAGTCCGTTTGGAGGTTCCTCCTTGCGAGAGTCTCTACAGAAGCCCCGACACAGTAAATCCTCGCCCGGCACCCCTAGCCGCACCTTTGATGGTCAGCAGTCCCGTAACTTACTGATTTCTCAGTCTCCTTTTGCGGGGCCACCGAGAGGTCAGCGCTCTGCTACCGGGACTGCGCCTTATCGCCGGTCGTCAGGCACACCTGATGCTATTCAAACAGATGCACCCCCTAGAGCCAGTCCTTTTGCTTCGTCTCAAGGGAGAGTCCCATCGCACGGAGCTGCCAGAGTTCTCTCCTCGCTCAGGCGTCGAGCTCCTTCCCCTTCTCCGCCAGCAGATGCAGAGATGGAGGACGGCGATGCGGACCCGGAGCCTGAGAGGCCCCAGCGACGCGGGGTGGCGCGTCCAAGAAAGCGAACACAGGCGGTAACACAGACCTCACACGCGGATCCTACCTCTGAGGCAGAAGAAGTTCCCGGCGGCTTTCCAGAATCCGAGGCTGTCTCAGCTACGAGTGTCGAACGTCGGCGCGCCGCTAGAGAGCCGGTGGAGCCGACCTCGATCAGCAACGCAAACGCGAGACCTCAGCGCAGAACGCGCCAAAGGTCAGCTGATCTCGATACGCTCTCAAGACACCAAGCTGCGCCGGATTCAGAGGTGGACGTAGGCAGAGGCTCTGCCCCTCTTACTCGCACACGAGGCGGAGCAACAAGGGCGACATCCACCAAGGGCGAGTCATCTTCGGCACCAAGCGCCGAGGAAAGATCCGAACTCGCAGGTCAGGACACTCTAGCCGCGCTGCCGCAAACAAGATCCGCTCGTAGAGCCAGATCTACCCGTTCGAAAACGCCTTCGCGAGAGCCCGTCGAGCTGCGACGTTCTGTCAGGCTCAGTGTAGAGCCTGAGAATGCTGGAAGTGGACTGGAGCCCGAAGATCGTGATGAAGAAACTTCCCAAGCGGGAACACGTCGGAAGATCGCTGCTAACAGAGGGCCGAGTAGGAAGTTGCGCCCAGATGACGCTCGAACGAACGAGACTGATGAAGAGCTGGCACATGAGTCAGGAGGAGTTCGTACTAGAAGTGGCAAGTCCACTATGCCCGGTTCATTCTGAAGTCCCACTCCTGCGGTAGTACTTAGCATCGCTTTTGACGGTCGAAGCGTTTGCTGTCGAGCAGCTCAGGCGCTGTGCTGATGATTCTTGATTGTTGAATCTGATGCATCCAAATGCTGCCACCTCAACGATGAGTCTGCTTCACAGAGTCGTGATCATTCAGAATTCAAGATTGTGATCTTTCCGCCCCAAACATGTAGCGCACATGCTGCCCCTAGCTTCAAACCTCGCGTCGTGCCTGACACGTGACCCGCATGTAAAGATACACCAGTAAAAAAAATCGACGCCTAATCTTGAATATTCGTGATTCAAATTCGTGATTAATCGTGAACGTGTTCAAAAATTGATCTTGGCGCACCTGTCATGCGGTCTCGAAATCGCTCTCGTCCTGTTGGGGTCGCGCACCTCCTCATCCCATATCTCGACCCACGACTACGAGACTCGGGCAAATTGGGACCATCTTTGCGTGCTCGTCCCCGGCACCTTATTGGAAGTCGCCAGCGCCTCTGGCAGTGCTCTTGGCGGGCCGACCTGTGTGTCTATCTTAAACGCTGGATCAGCTCCAAAGCGCATGCAGGCGCGACTCACAACAAGCATTGCAACATTCTTTTGCTATGTCGACCTCCTTTGCCGTACAAGGATGCAGCAGCGCTCTCTGGAATTTGCTTACTCCAAGCTTGCATACTACCGCCTGGCACTGTTCAGCCAACCTTGCACCTGTCTCGAGGGCGCAGGTCGCCCAGGGCTCGAGAAGCGTACATCCAGGTTGCCCTGCGCGAGCCTTTCACGCCTCTCCAGACAGAGCCAAAGCCGAAGATGACAAAGGCATGAGAAAATCAGCAAGTCTTCTTGGCGGAAGTGGGGATGATCGGTCAAAGTCGCAAATAGAACGTGCTATCCGGCTAAAGGCCATCGAGCGCAGACGACCGCTGAGGAGTCGACCTCCTTCTTCCCAAGATAGGAGCACCGAGAAGGACAGAAGAAACGGAAGGGCCTTTCGCGACCAACTGATGGAGCTGGTGCGTGCGGCACAAAGTGATGCAGAAGGAAGCTATCGAAGAGGACTGGAGATGTGGGAGCAACGCCCGAAGCTTGGACCTAAGGATGAAATCCAAGCGTACAATCGGATGATAGCGCTCGCATCGCAAGCATCAAAGCCCTCGAAAGCCCTGGATTTAATTGAGCAGGTGAGTTTCACTCGAAAGCAGCTGTGAACAAAGCAATCGCTTACAGTACACCTCAATGCTTAGCTGAAGAAAGCCGGTCACGCTCCTGACGCGATCACGTATTCCGCGCTCTTTGCAGGTCCTCTTGCGGAACGCACGGGCAAGCATGCCACGTTGTGGCGCGCTTCCGACGGCACGAGGACAAGGATGCAGCAGAGACTGCACGACCACTTTACCGACTTGCTCGCTCTCGCCAAGAGGCTGGGTGCTGGAGGAACGGCCTCTATTTCTCCCAAGCCGCAGCTTCGAGGCGCGTCAACCCACACTCCTGCGCCGAGCCCAAATGCCGAGAGTTCGTCGAGCGAGAATTTACGGCACTTCACGAAGAGCACCAGGGCCATCTGCAATTATCTCTGGATGCTCGAAGCAGCTGATGAGATGGAAGAGGGGCCGAAGGTGTATGCGAATCTCTCGGCTTCGATTCCCGTACCGCCTAGGATTTTTCGCCAATCGCTATTGCATCGCAGGGTCCAGTTTGAAGATGGAACGGTGCCCTTGGCTTTAGCGCACGTTCTGTGTGAAGCGTGGTCGAATCTCCGTGCGCAATGGGAGTCAAATTACGAGCTCCTCAGGCGAGGCAAGGCGTCTTGGTGGGCTGTCGGAGACGAAAAGGAGTGGTACCATCTTAGCGTGATTGTTTACCAGCTGCTGAGAGTGGCATCTAGCGTGAGTTCCCGATCGCCAGAGCTTGCATGCATTTAGCCAAGTCTGAATGTACAGCCTACCGCTCCCGCGGCTCACCCCACGCTCGACAGAATGCTTTCATGAGCATGACAGAAAGTCAGCCGCTTCTGAAGTCCTTCGCGCTTTCGATCGTGGAATTCCTTGCAAAGCTCCAAGATTTTGACTTGAAGCACCAAGGCCAGATGCAAAGTATTGATTCGTCAAGTAGAGCAAAGGGGCTTCATCTCGCTGGAACTCGTGATACTGAAAAGCCTTCTGACAGCACAGGGAGCAGCTTTGTGGATGCCCAATGGGTGGACGACGGAAACGGAAAAATCATCTTCCGCATGTGCGTCGAGCACGGAGCCGTGGAGCTTCTCAGCAGTCTGTTGAGCAACCTGTCAGCCGACTCGGCTGCTAAGGTGGATTGGCCCTCTGATGACGCCATCAGCGTCTTCCTGCATCTCTGCCATTCCGAGGGAAAAGCTGAGGCTGCTCAGACACTCATCCACCTGCTTCGTCGGATTGTCGCGGTTTCTCGCGATACAATGCACCTTCGGCAGCCGTCATCTGAGGATGCTCGCAGACCGGCGATCCCCAAGGCGCCTTCTTTGGTCAAGCACATCGCCCTACTCTACCGCATCCACATGACTAATATCTACGCCTCTGCCGCACGCAGCACGGCGGCGGCCGAAATTGCCATTACCAAGTCCATTGAGCTTTTCAAAAGCGACCTCGACCTTGATCTCTCCAAAGGATCGGGCTACGGGACAGATGCTCATCGGTTGCGAGTTCAAGGGGCCGTGGTCGCCTTGATGCGCGCAAGAATACACGTCGCCGGCAACGCCAAACTCATTTTCGGAGTGACGCCTCAGTCCGAGGAAGAGGCCAATTCACTCGCTGCTCAGCTCATTTTGCGCGTCATACATGACAAGCTCATCCCTCTCGAGAGTCCGGATCTGATTCCAGATGCTACCTTCATACCACGCAAAAGACGGAAGGTCTCTTCCCCAGATGACACGCTTCTAGACGTTGTCGGGCTTGACGAGCGCACAAGGTCGCCCGATCAAATCATTCACGACGCTGTGCAGTCACTGAAGGAGCTCACTTCCATGGCAATCTCCAGCAATGGAGGAGCGTCACTAGACGAATTGGCGCTCTGGCAGCGGGTGCTTGTGCGAGCGCAAGCCGCTCTCGACCGCGTACATAGAAGTCCTTCAGACAAGCGCGCTGAGGGCAAGCCTCTGAATGAGGGCCCAAGGCGGCCTCGCGACACCAAGAATAGAGCATTCGAGCATAACGGCAAACTCTTTGGCAAACCTCGGCGTGACGCGAAGGAAGGCCTTCAACTGACAAAGGAGGATCTCAAAGAGCTCGAGATGTAACCTTACAAGACCCGTTCCCACCCCTTGCACCGCCTGTGTCACCCATATTCTTTGCTGCATCGCGCTGCGATTGCGACGATCAGAAGCTTGCGACTGGAGTAGATATATCTGAATACAGGTAACGTAGCCTCGACTATGAAAATGCTAGGCCTGACCAAAAGAGACCGTTGCGGCCGCGTTTGTGCTGGTTCGCGGGGATCTACTTCGCAGCACCGGCGCCGCACGCACGGAGAATGCATGCGCGCGCGTCTGAGCGCAATCGCAGCAATTTGGTAGCCGCGCTGCATGCATGCGGTGCGCTGTGACGACTCGGCGACCTGCCGCTTCGCGACGGTGTATGCGTGATCGAGAGGGACGTGTAGCTGTAGCTTGACCGGCCTGACTTCGTACCCCGCTTCAATGACAGCTCAGGCTACGATCTCAACCATATGCTATCCAACCATGCTGCTTTCTCCTGCATGAAGCGGCTCGTCGCAGTTCGCACTTCAAACTTCCGCAGCCAGAGTCATATCTCGCCCAAGGCGCGAGCCCCTCGGAGTCGTCGCCCACCTGGGCTCCGGAGCCTACGATCAGTCGCGTAACCACGTCCATCTCCTTGGCATTTCTGAACAGGACAGCCACTCTAGAACGCGGACAGCCTGCTCCAGCCCATGGTTCTCACCACTTCATCTTGCTCCCTATAAGATTATTGCCTCATCACCGGAAATTCCACTCCCCCCACCTTCCGGCGACACCTAGCACCTCGGTGGTCTCTTTCATGATATCTAGATAACCCAATCTTACCAGGCGACACATCGCATCGTCACCATCTGGGCGGCAACTCGCGTCTGATCGCGCATCGTTCCCTTCTACGCTGCTGGCAGCACATGCGACCCCGCCCAGCCAATATCTGCAGCCCCATTGAGCTTCTCTCAGGTGCTGTCCGGATTGGTGGAAAGGCTAGACTCGCTTTGGTCCACGCGCTACATTGTCCCACTTTCAGAGGACTGCGTCACCTCACCTAGCGCACGAGGGCTCACCAAACGAAAGCGGCCTGGTCATTCTCAAGACGACTCCCGACGTCATGACGTCTCTCACCACCATGTTCGTCGTGGGACCCGAGGAGTATGTGGAGTTCAATGAGACAATGGGCTCAAAGGCATTTTTGGAACACGTATGGGATCAGAGCCAAACTCCTCTGAGACACGAGGGTGAGTGGCACACCAGAGTCAAATGTGTCAAGCGATGCTTGATTCAGTCTTGTCTTGTCAATGCAGCAGTAAGCGCTCATGGTCCTGGTCCCGGTGCGAAGCTGAATGTTTGACCTAAATCACATGCGCTCGCAGATACCTCGGCTTCAGGCACTCATTTGCATGGCACCGGTGCGCGCATACATGGAGAGCCACCAAAGATCGAGTTTCCTACTGTCAAGCGTATCCGAGGCAAGGGCAACGCATACAAGGTCACCGGGAAGTTCATAACCTGGGATGAGCTAGCACGCATGAATCCTTTGGCAATATCCGCACCTCCGAGTCTGGACGTGTTTAGGTCCAGAGGAGCTCAAGTTGGACATGGGGAAAAGTTGCAGCCTGGTGCTTGGCTTGAGCAACCAAAGAAGCTGCGTGTAAAGCAGAGCGGCGAAGAGCAAAATGGGGCGCGAGGTAGCCACGAGAGCAAATACGCGCATGAGATCAGCGAAATGCAACACAACCACAATGACGACGGGCAAGTTGTCGAAATCCCGTTGGGCTCAGACGGAAGTGTAAGCAGCGATCAGGAGGAAGATCGCTCGGTGACCCCAAGGCCTGTGGTAAGCAAGGGCGGAGCCTTGACTCCCACTGTTTCGCTAGGGAGAAGGTCTGGACATTCGCTCTTTGAACGTCTTGGCATGGGCGAGGATTCGCATGCGGCACAAGCTAGCAGCACTGCGGACGTCTTGCCAGTTTCGATAGCCCCTTCCGCCACTCTGCCCTCCGACGCCAACGCGAGTGCCAGCTCAAGCACAGCGTCCAAGAGAAGGCCCACGCAAACGCTGCGGTTGCCTATTCCGCAAGGCATTGGTGCGGCTCGTGAGCAATCTGCTCCGCTGCGGACTCCGGTTGCGCAGACTCCATTGAGCGCAACGCATCCGCCGCCTATCACACCTTTGAAGCATGATAGACATTCTCGCATGGAGGTCATACCACTGACGCCCAATAGCGAAGCTCCTTACCCCAGTCCAGGCATTGGACAAGCGAAGGGACTCGGTCTTGGTGGTCTCGAGGGGCAAGTGCCGCAGACCCCCACAGAGTTGAGTACTTCAAGTAGCCTTGCCAACACTCTATGTACGCCAAGTGCTTCGCAGCCCGGCGTCCCTGGACTCTCCTCTACCAGACTTTTCGGTGGCAGCTCACCCCTTGGCCGACCTAGTGGATTGCCGGGACTAGCACGGAGCAGCTCTGGAGCGACTGGCGGGCTAGGTACACATGACGCTGTTCTGACACCCCCAAAGGCAGTGAGAACTCTCCCAGCGAGCTCTTCATCCGGCGCGCTTCACCCTATAGAAGCGGCTCTCGGCCACAGTCCCGGCAGGTCATCCAGCCCCAGCGCAGCTTCAAATCAGATTGAGGCCATGCTGGCTCGTTTGCGCTCAGCTAGGAGCGGCCTCGGCCAGGGCGGGAGCCTCGCGAGCAAGTGGGCATCGCCTGTCGCGAGCGAAAGGTCTTTGCCTGCCTCCCTGCCCCATAAGCTTTCTTCAGGGAGAGAGGAGGACCAGCAGGCCCTTTCATTGCGAAACGGCACCGCAAACCCAACTTCTGAGCCACCAACACAGTCTACTGCGTCAGCGACCACCGCTGCAAAACAGTCAAGTGACCACAGAGAGGCTCGAGACGGGCCAGACGTATCGGCTCGGGGCTCGACAGGTGCGAACGGTCCAGTTTCAGCACCATCCGAGCAGCAACAGCATTCCACTGCGCCATCCGGGCAACCAGGTGCAACCAGCTTCCAGGCGAATGGGAGCCAGAATAAGCCCAAGAATAGGCGAGCGAGAGGTCGAGCAACTTCAGAGCCTGACGACGAAACCGGCGCTGAAGATCCACAGGCATCCGCCACTCCGACGTTGACTTCAAGGAACGCCGCAGCAATCCGCGAGCTCGATCGATCATCTGTTCGGCAGAACATGTCCACTCCTGCCGACACCGGTAGCCGCTTTACAGAAGAATTCAAGGCTGCTACGGCGCCCGCACCACGTCCCCCACACTGCCCACCGCCTACATCCCCTAGGGAGTCAAGATCGTCCAAGTCTGGGGCCAAGAATCCTAGTGTTGACACATCTGCGTCTTTGCCCGGGCCTTCTGAACGCGGCCAAGATCTGCGCAATCTCACCAAAAGTCAAAGAAATACAGACCGTCAGGGTAAGAAAAAGGGCGCTCTTCTTGACGCCGCGGACAGCCACGAGATTGAGGCGCTAGACTACCAAGAAATGAGGCGTAGAAGTGGGAAACCATTACCCATGTCTAGTTGGGATGATGAAGGTGACGCGGCCGAGGGCACACCACCCTTAAATTTTACTATCGAACACGACTCAAGCGCCGGCAGAGCGCACACGATGAATCAGAGTATGGTAGGAACGAGCTCCGAGACGGTCGCACCACCGGTAGCATACCAGGGCGAGACCAAGCCAGCAAGTCTTCCCATCTCGGTCCCTAAAGAGCCTCGTTCGATGCGTGCTGCAAAGGCCCGACCGACGTTGCCGGCTGCAAATGCTTCAAAGGGTAGTCTCACCCAGGCAAAGACCGGCGGTCCTGCAGCAGAGGCAAATGAGACGAGGCACACTGATGTTCACGACAGAAATGTCGCGACTTCGGCAGTGGGAGTAAAGGAAGTATCCTCGGAAGAGATAAGCCCACGAAAGCACAATCACCCACAAGCTTGGGCTGACGACGATTCAGATGGCGACTCGCTACCCGAGTTGCCAGATGACTGGTCCGTCGCCACGCCAAAACAGCCGAAGACCGTTGCGGTACCACAAGCGGATGCGAATGTATTGAGAAGATCTTCCATCACCTCTAGCGCTGATGGCAGTCGGTCTTTGGCCGCTGGTTCTGTCAGCGAAGCCCCTTCGACGAATGCTGCTTCTCCAGAAGAGAAGTCTCGACGCGGCTCGAAGCGGGGTGGCAAGGGTCGGGGCAAAAAGTCTCAGCAGACATCGCAGTCAAAGTCAGAGCGTCCACTATCCGGTGCGACACCTGCACCGCAGAGTTCAGCGACCGAAGGCGCCCCCATGGGCATCAAAATTGCGGGACGTGCCGCAGAAGAGATTGTGCCTCGAGCACAAGGAGGCGCCGAGGACACATCTGGCGGACTGCGGATAGCAGGCAGCGCTTCGCATGCTGAGCGGGAAAGGTCACAGCCTATCAGCCCTCCAAAAGGTCCCAGAGCCGACCGAGTAAGAGGCAAGGCCTCCAACCTGTCTCTAGCCGCGGCTCAAACAGACCGCGTTCCGAATGGCGCAGGTCGACACTCAAATCCAAGCACACCTCGTTCAGCCAACAAGACACATTACCAGCAAGCAGAGATGCCCAAGTCAGCTACGTCTGAGGGATTTACGAGAAAGCAGCACCCACGAACAGCAGAACACGACCATCGGTCCCACGCCTCAAGACCGCATGGAAGACCGAGAATTGCCGGCGCTGATGGTGCCTTTGCCAGGCTCGCAGGCGGTGCTTTGGGCTCGAAAGCCTCCAAAGACCCGCTGAGTGGGCATTAAATGCTTGCACGGAGGGTGTGCAGAAGCCCATTGCTCGCGAAATAGTAGATCAGTCTCCACTGCTGCAAGCTAGGCTCGTTTCATTATTTTTGCTGTGTTTGCTTATCGTGTCCGTCATGCCTGTCCTGCAACCCTTCGCATCACACTGCAACAGCTCTCTGCAATATATTAATTTGCTATCGGAGTGCTGAGCTTGCGCAACTGACTGAATCCTTCAAGTCGCGAGCTCTGCCGAGTCTTCGAGAGTGAAGGATAAAGTGAAATTGTAAGGCTCAAGATGGATCAAGTTTCGGTTGTGATTGATGTTGGAGACTCATCAGCCTGACTGACTTCAGTCTTCAATGTCTGGCAAAGAAGGAAGATCACGTGTCGCACGCTTGAGCGGCGCAAAACGCTCGCTCGAATCTTGAATCAAGAATCACAATCTGCGTAAAGATGTTATTGCGCGTCTAGCTTCTGCACCCGTGTTCCGGAGCCGGTTAGCGCGAGGCCGAGATCCGGCGGGCGTTTTCTCGTCTTTTCGCGTGAGTGCTCGCTCGCTCTTGCCTGTGTGGGGAACGGCGGGGCTTTATAGCTGACGGCTGATTTTGACGAGACAGTCTTTGAGAAAGTTTGAATGGTTCAAAGGCATCGAGAAGACTGGTAAGTTGTGTTTGAGGTCTCTCGGTTGCGGAAGCTTTATCATCTCTTGTGCTTTTCACGTTGAGAAAGGAGGGCAATTCGAAGAGGGCGACAAGCTCGGCGAGATCTAAGCGACGTACTCGACGGCTGCTGCTGCTGCTGCGTGCATGCATGCACCGTGCGTTCACTCACAGCACTCATGATGGCGTCGCGGGTCGCTGCCGGGCCCGCGCAAGCATCCCACAGCCCAACCAGGCGCGGCAGCTGACGGGTGTCACACGCAATTCGGAGCTCGCGCATGTGCAAACCAGCACCTACGCACGCGCTCATGCATCGTTGGGGGTTGAATCACGATCGAATGCGAAATCGGCAGCAAGGCCTTGGCTTGATAGCCCAGAGTCGCAGTCACCAGTGGAGCGGGAGAAGCTCTACTCATCCACCACACCCCTGATCTCCTCTCTTTTTGCCTCTAGCGGCGTGCCTCCGGATTGCACTGCGACTTGATTTGACGCCAGCCAATCACTTTCTCTCTCTGAGCGATCGATAAGGCCGCCCTTTCCCGGATCGGTGCTGCGAACAGGCCACGAGCAATCAGGAAGCGTGCGCGCGCGGTAATCATCGTCTTGCTCACTTACCTTCTTTCTTGAGTCTTGGCGAGCATGGCGCAAGAACCTCTTACACCCTTTGGCAATGCCCTGGCTGGTGCCCTTGGAGGTGAGTCTGGGTGCCATAATTGATATCGTCGGAAGGGTGTTGACGCAGCATATCATCTGCCCGTCTGCCTTTCGCTCTGCTAGGTGTCTTCTCCAATGCCGTCATCTACCCGCTCGATACGTGCGTATTTTGCCTTGCTGGAATGATCGTAAGCATCTGTAATCTAACAACGCTAAACCCGGCTCCTCTTTCCAATGTCAGTGTGAAGACCCGCATCCAAGCTGGCACACAAGAAGCAGAGAAAGGCAAAAAAGCGGTTTCGAAGTCGAGTGGAGATGTGACTGTCAGGAAGGGGGCTGGCATGCTCGAGGGTGTAGTCACAATTGCTCGATCGAAGGAGGGCGTGGCTGGTCTGTACAAAGGCTTTGGCGCCAGCATGGTCAACACCTTCTCCACTCGTGAGTGACGTCGGCCCGAGCTATCAGAACTTCCTAAGCGCACGAGAGTGGGCAGATTGCCGGCTCAAAAGCCCTGCTTCGCAATTTTGGGAGCGCGAGTGAAGCGTAAAGAGCACCGCTAATGCTCGCCTGAATTTCCACAGAATTTGCCTACTTCTACTGGTACAGCGTCGTGCGTACTCTTTACATCAACCGGCTCACAAAGACTGGAGCCGCCGCAGCAGCAGCAGGAGCTGCTGTTCAGCTCAGCACAGCCATCGAGCTTCTGCTCGGCGCAGTAGCGGGCGGTCTGGCACAAATTTTCACCATTCCTGTTGCCGTCATTGCGACACGTCAGCAGCTAGGAGGAGGCACACCCAAGCCCAGTGTGTCTGGCAGACCAGCCGGCGCTGGGCCAGAGCCTGCTCAGAGCGGGGTCGCAAAGGCCGCATCAAAAGTGGTGGAGGATGAGAGCTTTCTGGGCGTCGCGAAAGACATTCTGAGGGAAGACGGCATCACTGGCCTCTGGCGTGGTCTGAAGCCCAGTCTGGTGCTCACTGTGAACCCTGCCATCACGTACGGAGTCTACGAGCGTGAGTTCCGCCAAATACGCTTCTGATTCGGATCCTGTGCTCCCAGTCATCACTCGACATTCTTACACGCTGGACAATACCATCCTCCGCTCATCAGGTGTCAAAAATGTAATCCTCGCTGCAAGTGCAGACGGAAAGATGACACCCGGCAAGAGCTTCCTGATCGGGGCTCTCTCTAAGACGCTTGCGACGGTTGTTACGTGAGTGGAGACAAGTGTGCGAGATGCATTGCCTTGCACTTCGCTGAGCAAGCTTGCCCCATTGCGGACAGATTCCCATACATTCTGTCAAAGATTCGTCTTCAAGCAAGAAACACACCGTACACTGGCGCTCTTGATTGCTTGGCCAAGATTGCCAAGGAGAAGGGCATCACTGGATGGTATCAGGTGGGTCACTGCTCCGGATTTGCCAAAGGACTCAGCTTTTGATGCTGATCGGGGCCATTTGTCCGGACTATGCCCAGGGCATGCAAGCACAAATCACAAAGGCTGTTCTTGCGCAAGCTCTCCTGTTCTACTTCCGAGACTATTTCGAGGTGCGTGAAAGGGAAGCCGCACCCGCGATCACGAAGCGCGCTCGACTAATTTTGCTCTATTCACGCTCCTGCTTCGCTGCCTACTTGCTTCTTCCTGACAGGTGTGGGCGCGCAAGCTGCTTCAAAAGCAGTGAAGAAGACTCTAAGACGCTTCATTCTGATCCAGTGCAGGGGCATCTTGTTCGACCGAATGCTCTAAAGGGATCGACTCTTGAACTGCATCCTTTTGCACTCGCTTTTCTCTTGTGCCTCGATAGACGAACATCCTTTTCTGTGGAATCAATGGATAGCTGCATAGATACTGCCAGTGGTGAGGCGCTGCCGTCCATGGAAACAACATTGCCAAAAGCGAGCATACGAGCTCTTTGATGTGGGAAGCTGATCAGAGCGACTGCAAGATGTCCTAGAAGCAGCACCATTCGACTTTTCGCTGCACCTGCTCTTATTATGATTACTACAACAGGCTAGCGACCACTGTGACCGCTTCAGGCGACTTCTTTGTCAGTCGCCATTGCTCAACGCGACTGTTTGTAATGCCAAGTAGGGTGCGCTTTGAGCTTTTCCCCGAGCTTCTATCTGCATGCCCAGCATTCGACTGCTGGGGGATATGATTACCAACGTTCGGCGGCGAGGCGTCCGACCGGCGAATGTCGAGATGAGAGTTCGAGGACGAGCTGTTGGGCTCTCACCATGACGCCTGATCCGCTTCTTTCGCTTCTGCATCGACTCGATCACGAGTTTCGAGTTACTCTTGACACGACGAAGCATTACAAAATTATCCGCACCAGCGCGTGTGCGTCCGACGAGACGATGATATGATTTGTGTGGTATATGGGCGGGTGCATTCATGGGTTTCATTCATGCTTGCCATGCAGCAGTCAAGAGTCAAGAGTCATCACCATCATGCTGCAGTGCGCGCTGCTGATCGATCGTCCTCGCGAATCCGACGCCGGCGCGCGCAATTATCCTAGCTGACGCCCCGCGACGCCGCTCAGACCTGCATACGCGTGAACAGCATGCAAGGCCTCCCTCCGCCCCACCCTCGTTGTGCCGCGCAGTCTTGATTGAGTCAGATCACGATTTAGCACCTATCGCTATGGTCTCTGCCCATGCATGCTTGCGTGGAGGGACACATCATATCAGAGGAGCCAAAGTAGTGCCAGGGGCGAAATTCTTGCTTCACCTTGCGAGTCAAACGCGGGCATTGAAAGGCCTGCTTGCACGTTGTGGATATAGCGTCTTGAGTAACAAACAACAAGGACGGGCGTCGCACAACTCGGGACTAACTGATATGTTTCATGAGGGTGCGAGTCGTTCGGAGTCAGAGGTCAGCAACCGTGGAGATGCTGGCTAGGGTCACGATCGAGAGGACTGCATGTTTGTCATGTCCGGTCAAAAGGCAAAACTCCCAATTTGAGAATCGATGAGTCTGAAACAATCATTGTCAACAATCGTGAATCCTGCATGGACACATGGTGTCGCGCACGATTGAAGGCCGAATATCACTCGACTCCACTCTCGCCCTCTCACTTCTGACTCTATAGCCATGCAATCAAGTGCTCATGCTCTCGCTGAAACCTCGCGAGGTGGACAGATGACCATGGGTGCTTTGCTCGTACAGCGAGATCTACCAACTCCTCAATCAAAGATCCAGGCTAGCTTGCTTGATTCATCATCCAAAGATTCAAGCTTGCCCAGAAAGGTCAAAGTGGAAGCTCGTCCTTGGCAGGATCGAGCCGCGCGAGACGAGGCTTGAGGGCAGGCCTAGGTCTACCCACCCCCATTTCCCAATTCGGGTCTATATCCCATTTTGTAAGCTCCACATTCAAAACTTCGAATCGAACCCTGCACACAAGGAGACATGCTTGCGCTGATGAATTCATGCACGCGCCTTACTCCGCTGCGATGCATAAGCGCGCCTCCTGGCTCGCTGCATGGCTGCTGGACAGCATCATATATAGATGCAGACCGAGCACATCGGCAGCACTCTGGGAGGCAGCACAACGGCAAGGGTCGGGGCAGGGAGCATACGAGCAGCATCCGCGTTAACATGCAGCTACTACTTTGACTGCATGGGTGCTGCTGCTCGCACGCCTCTTTCATTTATGTACGCCGCGCCAGGGACCCATCAAGCGAGAGGCCAAAAAAAAAACAGAAAAAATAAGACCGCGCGTGCGGCAATAAGGGTTCACATTAGCCAGCATGCGCGCGCGAAGGCGCGGGCCGCGAGCCACGCTGCAGCAGCCGCGACTACAGTATATAGCCAGCCAAGCGCGAGGAGTTTCAAAAAGCACAACGAAATGCGAATGCTCACCCAAACGGCAAGCGAGCTAAGAAGGAGCGGCCGCGTCGTCGTTGTTGCGACGTTGGCTCAGCTCATCCCGCAAGCTGCCCAGCAGGCGACCGAGCGCCATGGACGAGAGCTGCCATAGCCATGAAGAGCAAAGCGACGCGGTCCGCCATTCATCATTCAGACTCTCATTGAGCTCTCCTGTGTGACTGTGACTGCGACCCGCGACTCTTGACTTTCTGCTCGCGTCCATCCCTGCTTGCTTCTCTCTTCCACATCTCACTCCTTTCAGCCGGGCTGCCTGAGTCGCGCGAAGAAGATTATCAAGGGCAGCTAGCTCATCAGTCTCTTAGTAGAGCCCACGCTGTGGCTCACCGTTACGCCGTGTTCAAGTCCTCTGCAACGGGCATAGGTCGCACCATTTCAAAGCACAGCGGGAACCTCGCCGTTAGTCAGCCATTCCATTACCTACCGAACTCCATACTCCCAGCACTAGCCTCGGAGTCTAAGCTCGCAATCCAACACTCCCTACTCGCAACGAAGACTGCCCTGGCGGTGGCGACGACATGGCGATGAGGGATCCAGTCCCGGGCGCAGGCCCTTCAGCGGATCTCGTGTCGCTGGTGACCAGCACGAGCTCAACAACTGTGCAGCTTTCCGACGATACAGTCCTCTCTCATCTCCAGCAGCGCTTTCGCTCAGAGCAACCTTACAGTCGCCTTGGTGGCACGTCGCTCATTGTCATCAATCCCTTGCGCACGCTGGCGAATTTGAACGATGCCAGTGCTGATGCGTACCGCAAGCTCTACAACGAGGCTAGCTGGGAACAGAGCGGATCTCTGCAGCCCGATGACCGCCTTCCGCCTCATCCCTATGAGTTTGCAACACGAGTGTACCATGCCATGCGACGGACGAAAGAAAGCCAAGCAGTTCTTTACAGGTGAGAAGCGCGAGACCGATGTCAGAGACTGGCAAGAAGGCTAATCTGGGTCGCTCTTCCTGATACACAGCGGCCCCACAAACTCGGGCAAGACGTTCGCATCGAAACTACTTACACAACAATTGCTCCGCTTGTCCAGCAATGCGACCAAACGCGAGGCCAAACTGGCCGACCAAGTCCGCTCCTTTGACACCATCTTGAACTCGTTTGGCGCAGCCAAGACCAAAAGCAATGGGAATGCCAGTCGGCATGGCAAGTACACCGAGCTGCACTTCACCGAAGCAGGTCGGCTCGGCGCTTTCAAAGTTCTTACCTTTGGTTTGGACAAGTCGCGTCTTTGCGGTCCCCTGGCGAGCGAAGAGCGTACTTTCCACGTCTTCTACCAGCTCCTTGCTGGCGCTACAGCAGATGAGAGGGACCAATTTAGATTGGAGGATGTGACTAGCTATCCTCTTCTTGCCTCTTCTGGCTGCTATAGACTGGCGGGTGGCCCTTCCAGCGACGATGGCATTGCAATGGAGGAGCTCAGGGTCGCGCTTCGCAGCCTTGGCTTCAAGCAAAAGCAGACTACTGCTATCTTTAGCTTGCTCTCCGCCATCCTGACACTCAGCTGCATTACCTTCGCCGAGCCGGACAGCAACGTCATGGAAGCAGACGCTGCCAAAATCACAAGTCGCGAGGCGCTGGAGGACGTTGCCATTCTTCTAGGTGTGGACGAAAGCGAGCTCGAGCAGTGTCTGACGACCCGCACGCGTATGGTTCGCAAAGAGCAAGTGTCCAGCATCCTCTCTGCTGCTGCCGCTGCCCATCAAAGAGATGTACTTGCCAGAGATCTATACGCCACTCTGTTCGCATACATTGTCGAGAGCGCAAATCACAAGGTCTGCCCAGCGCCGGACGAGCACTTCCCTACGCAGATCGTGCAGCTCGATGTTGCTGGCTTCCAACGCAAAGGACCTGCTTCCTCCATCGCTGCGCCTGGCGCCGCAGGCCTCCCGCCTAGTGGTCACCACGAATTCTCCTCAGCCAACTTCCCAGCCGAAATGGTTCAAAATTACCTGGTCAGGCAAATTTTTGACGCTGATGGACCACTGAACGCCGGGCCTCTGGCTGATGGAATCGCCACACCGGAGACCCAAGTGACTGACAATACATCTTGCGTTGAGCTGCTGAGAGGTAGCGCGAGCATTGGCGGACCAACGGATCGCAAGCCAGGAGGACTGCTTGGCACCCTCGACAAGGCGATGCAGAAGGTCAGAGGTGGCAAGGCAAAGGAGGAGGATGATACGTCTTTGCTGGCAGAGCTTGATCAACATGCCGGCCACATGTCTTACCTCGCGTCGACCAACTCCACTTTGGCCTCCACCGCGCCGCAGAGCCAAGGTGGTCGCCGAGTCTTTGCGGTCAATCACTACCAGGGACAATGCACGTACGACGTGCAAGGCTTTGTGAGCCGCGAGCTTGACGTGTTTGACTCGAGCTTTGTGTCGATGCTGCGCAGAAGCCAAGTTGGGTTCGTTGGCAAGCTCTTCGCTGGGCCCAGTCTGGCAACGGAGCCGCATCCTCTTGATGCTTCAATTGTCGCAAATGCACAGGTCAGCGTTCGACCACTGCGACAACCATCGACGCTGGCTCCAGACGCTCCATCGGTGGATCCCCTTCTGGATCCTCAGCGCGTGTACGGGATCAGCAGACAGGTCAATGCCACCATCAGCGAGATCCTTGGTGCAGTTCGCCATGCTGGCCGTACATGGTCTGTACTCGCACTGCGTCCAAACGACATTGACCAACCCAACAGCTTCGATGCTCGACGCGTCAAAGCGCAGCTTCGCAGCATGCTCCTTCCCGAAATGGCGTCACGCAAGCGCAGCGAGTACGTGCAGGCAATGGCCTTTGACGCCTTCTGCCTGCGATACTCCGATTCAGTCATTCCGGCTGCCGCAGCCGCCGGTGTCTCGGAGCCTAGGGAGAAGATTCAAGCATTTGCCATTGCTAACGCATTGCGTGACGGCCTGGACTATGCTCTGGGTCATGAGAAGGTGTGGTTGGGTTACAGTGCATGGAGACGCCTGGAGGATCGTTTGCGAGCCAGCGAGCCTTCTGAGGTATTTGCTGATGCGGACCCTATCGAGCGAGGCAGTGGTGGCAGCCCGCCCACATATCCACCCGGTCAACTAGCAACGAGAAGCGCGAGCTATCTGACGCCGATGGGTGGCGATGGAGACCTGGGCAAAGCCGGCTTCGAAGACGAGGACGAGCAGCAGCTGCTTCGCCGACCCTCGGGAGCATCAAATCCGTTCGCAGGCTCAATCAAGGACGTTGCCAGCGATAACGGTTGGGGCGGCGAGTGGGACAAGGGTGCCTACGGAGGTGCCCTCAACCCCGGTATGGCTGGCGCCCTGGAAAAGTCCGCCGACCTCGAAGGCAAAGGCATTGATGCCGTAGCCGAAGAGCCGATCTCTGCGGTCCGACGGTGGTGGACACGCTTCGTTTGGATACTCACCTGGTGGATTCCAAACTGGGCCCTCTCCCGCTGCGGCGGAATGAAGCGCCCAGACGTGCAGATGGCGTGGCGCGAGAAGCTTACCATCTGCATGCTCATCGCCTTCCTATGTTGCTTCATCTTGTTCTACGTCATTGCGTTCGGAAGAATCCTCTGTCCCGACCAGGATCGTGCTTGGAACGACAACCAGCTTTCCGGCTTTAACGACCCGGAGCAAAAGTATTACACTGCGGTCCGCGGAAAGGTTTACGACCTGACCAGCTTTGCAGGTGGCAGGCACGCCACAGGCGTTACCGACGAAATCATGAAGCAGCTGGGCGGACAAGACCTCACCCCGTACTTTCCTGTCTTGCCGGTGGTCGCATGCCCCGGACTGGTCCAAGATGCCAACGTGCAACTGACTGCAAATGGCTCGTCCACCTACTACACGCCAACTTTCCCGCAGGCTGTGCACACTTCCGGCACCCGCGCTGCTGATCAGACAAGCGAGCTTGCCAGCCAGAACTGGTACCCTCAAACCCTGATACCTTTCCTGAACAAGCGCTACAAGGGTTTCTACGTCGTGTCCACCATGGACGTCAGAAAGGCAGGCTCAGATGGGGACCGCAGTTGGGCCATCGTGCACGACAATATTTACGACCTTGGCGATTATGTCTACACGATGAGCCAGAACAATGGCGCAGTTGTCGGCACCACTTTCCTGGCGGACAGCATCTCTTCCTTGTTCGCGAATCAGGCAGGCAAAGATATCAGCAAAGACTTTGACGAAGCGATGGGTGCGCTGAACAGCACGGCGCGAGCCAGCCATCAGCAATGTCTGGACAACTTGTTCTACATCGGAAAGACCGACTTCCGGCTGACTGCAAGGTGCGAGGCTCAGAATTACATCCTTCTTGCCTTCAGTTGCATTATCATGGCGACGATTGGTGCAAAGTTCTTGGCTGCCCTTCAGCTGGCACCCAAACGCAATCCAGAGCAGCAAGATAAATTTGTCATCTGCCAAGTGTGAGTGCTTCCTGCTGGTCATGCAAGGTCGATGCGCCCAAGTGCTCACATTGATCTCGCGTCACATCTCAGTCCGTGCTACACTGAAGGCGAAGAAGAACTGAGAAAAACCATCGACTCGCTCGCTGGCTTGAAGTACGATGATAAACGCAAACTGCTGTGAGTCCCTCACTGTAGAATGTGCTGTGTGTACCGAGCGCTCAAAATCCAACGCCCGCCGGCCGCTTCACAGGTTTATAATCTGCGACGGTATGATCGTTGGTTCAGGCAACGAGCTGCCCACACCCCGCATCGTTCTGGACATTCTCGGAGTTGACCCCAAAATCGATCCTGAACCCCTGATGTTCAAGAGCGTGGCTGAGGGGTCCAAGCAACTCAACTATGGCAAGATTTACTCGGGCTTGTACGAATTTGAAGGCCACGTCGTTCCATATGTGGTCGTGGTGAAGGTGGGAAGACCAAGCGAGCGCAGTCGACCAGGCAATCGTGGAAAGCGCGACACGCAGATCCTTCTTATGCGCTACCTCAACCGAGTTCACTTCGACGCCCCGATGTTCCCTCTCGAGCTCGAGATCTACCATCAGATGAAGAACGTCATTGGCATCGATCCCGCCTTTTACGAGTACATCCTGATGGTCGACGCAGACACTTCAGTGGAGCCTGAAGGCCTCAATCGTCTTGTTTCCGTGGCGGCGGATGACTCGCGCGTCATCGCCATCTGTGGTGAAACAAAGGTCAGCAACGAAGAAGGCTCTTGGTGGACCATGATTCAAGGTGAGCTTGTTCGACGTTTCGCTGCGTACAAGCATCTGATGACTGACCATGAGCGTGGTGATTTCCAGTGTACGAATACTACATTTCGCATCACCTTGCGAAGGCCTTCGAATCGCTATTTGGCAGTGTGACGTGTCTGCCAGGCTGTTTGTGAGTACTACCACGCTTGGAATGACTAGTCACCTGCACACATCTAACTCGTCCGCTCTCAACCACTCCTAGCTCAATGTATCGCATCCGGAGTGCCGACAAAGGACGTCCTCTCTTCATCTCGAGCCGCATCATCGACGACTACTCGGACAATCGCGCCGACACCTTGCACAAGAAGAATTTGCTGTCGCTTGGTGAAGATCGTTATCTCACCACCTTGATCCTGAAGCACTTCCCAGCATACCGCACCAAGTTCACGGCGGATGCTCACGCGCACACCAGTACGCCTGATCGGTGGGGCATTCTTCTCTCGCAAAGACGTCGTTGGATCAACTCCACCATTCACAATTTGGCAGAGCTGGTCTTGATGCCAGAGCTTTGTGGATTCTGCTTTTTCTCTATGCGCTTCATCGTCTTCCTCGACTTGATGGGAACCATCATTCTGCCGGCAACCACGGTTTACTTGATCTACTTGATTGTGACAGTGGCGACCCACAATGCCGCGATTCCCATCATTTCGCTCGCGATGATCGGAGCCGTATACGGTCTGCAAGCGATCATCTTCTTGCTGAAACGCCAGTGGCAGTACATTGGCTGGCTCATCATCTACATCATGGCTTATCCGGTATGGTCGTTCTTCCTGCCGATATATTCCTTCTGGCATATGGACGACTTCAGCTGGGGTAACACCAGAATAGTGGTTGGCGAGAAGGGCAACCGCAAGATCATTGCTGGTACCGACGACGAGCCATTCGAAGATAGCATGATCCCTCTCAAGCGCTTCAGCGAGTATCAACGCGATGTACTCAATGAGCCCACCGATGCAGCATCCATGCGCTCAGGATTCACCGGCAAGAGTGGAGCGGGACCCTTTGGCAACAACTATGCTGTTGGAATGGGCCGCAGCACGCCATCCCTGATGGGAATGCCACAGTTGGCCCACCGCGGGCCGAGCAGTGCGTACGCTGGATCAGATGCTGGGTCCGCAGTTTATGGGCAGCCATCCGCCCAGGCAGACTACTTTCAAAACACAAATGTCCTGGATCAACGGCAGCACTCGAGACAAAGTTCGGGTGCTTTGGGAGGCTCGAAGGCCGCTTCGCGTATGCCTTCCATGGCATTTGGACAGCAACCAGCGCAGCAAATGCCAGGCATGAGCCCATACGCCAGTCCGATGTATGGTGTGCAAGCTCCACCCATGTCGATGTATTCCATGGGACCCCAGAGCATGTACATGGCACCAGGCATGGGCATGTCGACCCCAAGCTTTTCGCCATTTGCCGGTGGCATTCCTCCCATGCAGCATTCACCTGCAGGCTCTGACGCCGGAGGACCACCGGTCATTGGACCATTGATGCCGCAGGGAACCGGCAGCGGTATCTGGCCTAGCTCGCCTCCGGCTCAAGGAGGCAGTGCCACAAGGGCGCAAAGCACTTATGCGCTTGGAGCCGGCAACACCAATCCATTTGCGACGCCTGTTGGAGCGCCGTCTGCACCAGATGCTCTTCCGACTAGTCTTGCCATGGAAGTCACAGATTCCGAGCTCGCTGCGAGTGTGCGCAAGTACCTGGCATCGCAGACAGATCTGATGAGCGTGAGCAAGAGGAACGTCCGAGACGCCGTCATTGCGGCGTACCCCAAGGCCGATCTTGGTAGCCGAAAGGCGACGATCAACAAGGCGATCGACGACACGCTGAGCGGTGCTGCTTGAGATTGCCATCTTTTTGGAGGGTCCCCCTTTCCTGGCTCTGATGATGCTATCCACCGCTTTTCCACCTGTCCCGCCACGATTCCCTCACGGTCTCCCACAGTTGCCCCAAGTGTCTCGAAGTGTTTCTATGTTGCGTTTTCGTCCTTGCATACTTCGCACGCCAACCCGCAATGAACAATGTGTTTCGCTTCGTGAATTCTAGAGCCCGGGAGCGAGTCAGCATAAGTGGCATACGCGTCTGTGATGTGCTCGGGTCAACGCAAGGAAGAGACCAGAGCAGGGTCAAAAGGTTAGCGTTCTGAGCCGGTCACGTGGTCTTCCATTTGCCCATGATTTCGGCGTTGCTGCTGCGAGTGCGTCGTTTCACCGGGTCAACGAACGATGACAGGCTCGTGCGCGAGGGCCACCCATCGCCTATACTCGCTTGCGCATGTGCGTGCGTGCGCGCGTGAGGCTGCTGCTGAGCGGTGCGAAGCGCGGCTAGAACGAAGGGCAGCGGCCACCGGTACATGCTGTGATTGCTTCGTAGTGCTGGTTGTGCGGGCACGGCATGCGGATGAATGCATCGGATCCACAGCCGAAGGCGACTCGAAGTCTGGACCTCTCTGCACCTCCGTGCTCAACGTGATTGTTGTGCGCGAAGCCTCATCCAAGCACCACCACCACCACCAATCGCTCCGTCCCATCGGCAATTCTCATTGCAAGCTTGCTCTCGGGCTGCGCCTGCCAGCTCAGATTTGAACTGGCATCACCTAGGGAGTCTTGAAATTCACCGCTATTCCCCTCCTCTGCGATAAGCAAGCTGTCAAAAGCTGGACACCATGACGGGCGAAGGTGAGAGGGCGTGAACATGCGACGGGCATTCAGCAGCTGGACAAGAGCAAATACTGGCATGGAAGCTATCGGCTTCCTCCGGCTTCTGCATGCTCCCCAAGAGCTTCATCACTGCAGTTGGGAAGCGAAGGGTTTGCTGCACAGTGGAGGCAAGGGTGGAGACGAATATCGGAAATGGGAAATGTATCGCGCAATACAACATCGCAGCTAGGCGCGATTTCTCCTTGCCAGGCGCTCCGTTGCTCACGCCCACATCTGCTCCCTTCACTGCGCTTTCAGGATGGCTGTTCCTCTTCGCGGTCCTGCTCGCTGCAGGATTGCTGTTCACAATGGTCTTTTACGTGAGTCTTCGCAGCTCTAGCCAATCAAGGTGTCTGCTCGCTCACTACGCTCGCATGATGCCTCAACTTGCAGATCATCATGTTCTCCGATCTCGAATGCGATTACATCAACCCCATTGACCTGTGCAACAAGCTCAACCAGGTAAGCACCCGATCGCATCGCCTATCATGGTCCGTCCAGAGGCCTTCACTTCCACGAGTTGCACAATCATCATGACAATGACGAGTGGCGGGTGATGTGGGCTCGGTACGGATGGTCCCGCGGAAATTCGTCGCAGCGGGAAGAGGATGGCACTAGATAGCCGATGTGGCGTCCTGCTTCAACGGATGTGGTGCCCTACTTGGCCAAGGCTGCAGTAATACCGCACGCGAAGATGAGGAAGGAATTCGTCGATGTGGGCGCTGTCGTCCGCCTTGGCTCAAGAGTAAACGGAACGCGTTGTTGTCGCAGCATGCTCACCCACAGCGTACCGGATCCGCAGTTCACTGTGCCCGAAATGATTGCTCACGGCTCCTTGACAGGTGAGTCATAGTCTTTTTTCCGCTGTCAAATGATGCCCCTGGCTGACACCGACACATCACCGCGTTTGCTTGTGCAGTCTTGTTCTTGCTTTGTGGCCAATGGATAGCGTTTTTGCTGAATGCGCCTTTAGTAGCATACAATGTCAACAAGTGAGTCGCGCCCGCGTATTCCTATATTTTGTCGCAATGCCCTGGCTTCTGACGGTATACCTGAATTTCACAAATTTCCAGAGTGATGAACAAGAATCACTTGCTGGACGCGACGGAAATTTTCCGGACGCTGAGCCAACACAAGAAAGAATGTTTCATCAAGCTGGCAGCGTACCTCTTGTTCTTCTTCTACTACCTATTCCGGTGAGTGCACCTGCAGCTGGTCAGATCTAACGTCAGAGCGCTGGTGCTTACGCTGATCTGTCTTGGCGCTTTGCTCAACAGAATGATCGTCGCCCTGATTGGGGAGACTTCAGAAACTTGAGGGTGGGCCATTGCAGACAATTGGAAAGGATGTGGGCAAAGGAGATGGGAAGGGGGAGGGATCAGTGGGCCCACGGCTGGACGTTTCTTCGACGGAGCTGTAAACAAACAAGCTTTGAAAATGCTGCATTCATACCACCAAAAAACAGTTTGCTGGCACACCTCAACACAGCGAATGTAGATGTAGTCGCACTTGCGACTCAAGCCCAGGTAGTCATATGCCGTGAATGATTGAATCTCTGAGCACTACTCCTTCTCGAGGCCTGTTGATGACCAAAGTCAAGGGGTATGACCACGATGAGAGAACAAAAGACAGAGGCTAGGGGGAACGGCGGCAGACCGTCGAGCACGAGGGAAATGAGATCAGCTGGCCACATTCATCTGAGCTTGGGAATCAAAACGATCCACGCATGTATCAGAGTTCTAGAAAACGCCAAGACTAGGCTAGGGATGAGCAGTCACCAGCAGCGCTATTCCAACAGGTTCGCCGAAGCGTCACGCAGACAAGACGGTGCATGAACATGATCATTCAGCTTTTGGTAGGCGTTGACTTCACTGCAGACAAGCAAAGACGAGCAACGAGGGGTTAGCTGCGTGGGTTCAACTCCGACACGGCTCGCATACACAAGTGAAGCGCACCGCTTCTAGCCACCTGCCTGCCCATTTGCGCAAGCTCAGACGCATATATAATGATTCCGGTTTGGAGATTTTCCTCAAAGAGAAAGCCCTTGGCAGAGCTGACCTCCGTCGAGGGAGTCCATTCCTCTTCATCGCTTGCCGAACAAGGCGCCCAGCAGCTTGCCTTCCCATTCCAGCCCCATTCGCTGCCCTTCATTTGCGCCAGCTGGGTACTCACGTCACAAGGCGACCGGCTTTGTCTGTTCAGCGGCTCTTGAAGTGAGAGAGCAAGACGTTGAGACCCTCGCTCTCCTCTCCGTAGTCACGAACGACGACGCAAGAGCAACCGACGACCTTTCTAGGGTTACCCTCCCTGTCGATCTTGCAAAGACCTGCCCAGGTTCCCAGAGTCTTGGGGTCGGAAACCTTGAGGAGATCGATCTTGTGCTCGGTGCAGAGAGCCTCGATCAGCTTGATGTATTCGGCCTCAGTGCAGGTTTCGACAAGGACGCAAAGATGAGCTTGACGCCTGTCCAGAGCCTTGGCGCACTCGCGCAGCCCGCGCGCGAGACCATCGTGGATCAGAGCCTTTTTGAGGACCTGCAAAACGAGACATGGAAGGCCAGGGAAGAATGTGAATGTTAGCCATAAGAGGGGGGAAAGGGAGAATCTGAGCGTGTGTGCGATCGTACACACCTCTTGGAGAGCATCCTCGATGCTCATCGCGCCCTTGGGGGCGGCGGGAGCCTCAGCCTCAGCCTCGACCTCGACCTCGGCGCCGACGTCAGCGGGAGTCTCTTCGATGTCAGACATCTTTGATGGAGAGTATTAACGGAGTTGTTGAAATGGTGGGAAAAGAGAAGGTAGGGCTTCTTCGATGGATCGAAAATAGGATTCTACCTCAGCCCCGAGTTGGTTGTATATGGGTGATTCTAAGTAGGAGATGAGTGGAACGCAGAGGCACAGAGCAGTGTGAGTTCAAGCGCAGAGCGCGATTACTGGAACCAGAAGATGCTGCGTGCGCTTCGATCGGCCGGCCACGTGGACTTTGGTTGTGCGTACTCCCGGCGCAGCCGTCCGAGCCAGCATGATGCAGAGGCTGGAGGCGCGCGATCGAGAAGGATCTGCGACGCTGCGGCGCGCGCCTGAGCTCTACCGCGACGACTTGCATGAGCGGCCACGGCGAGAAGAGACGCAACGACCGGGTGGTGCACCTCACGCCGATTTTACCGCTTTGCACATCCACAGCGCACCTAGATCACTTCGACCACCCAGCTAACACCACGACATTTTCGGCCCTCTACCTCCCCGACAACTCAATTCGTCAAGGTAAGCATTCTCTAATCGTGGCAGAGCCGGGACAGGAAATGTGAAAGGGCTGTCGATGGCACAGATGAGGACCGGGCTGTGAGGGTATCGTCTGGGAGTGGAAGCTAGTTAATTCGGTCGGTGGACGGCAGGCACGGACGCCATGATATAGCACAGATCGCAAAGGGCACATGTGGCTCCACGCCATAATAGGGGACGGGGGCAAATTGGGAGCTTTCTACACTCAAGACTGGGAGTGTAGAAGGAATGAACGCTGGCACACAGACCTGGCCCTCTCCTGGAAGCTGGCCACGCACTCGTTGCTGCTTTCGCGCCCATTATCAGTCATTGTCCTCCCATCGTTGGATGGTATGGGTTCGCCGTTCTGCGTGCATGTCTAGTCAAAATGATGGAGGCGCAGAGATCATCTCTTTGGACGAAAGCTGCTCATTTGCTCACGCCCCATTCTTGCCTCCTCGCCTGCCGCAGATGGCTACCGAGCTCAACGTACAAAGTCAGCGTGCTTTCCAGCGCCAAAAGATCTTCTTGAACGCCAAGTCGACTCGTCACCTCACTCGTGACAAGAGATGGTACAAGGATGTTGGTCTTGGCTTCAAGACCCCCCGCGCTGCCATCGATGGTGACTACATCGGTGAGTGTGCCCTCTTGAGAGAACTCTGGGCGCTATAGGGGATACGAGAACTCTTGGGGTGGTAGGATGCTCAGGCAATGACCAGATTGGGTTGGAAGATCGTCGAATCAACAAAGGCAGATTGGAGGCACGGGTCGGGAAGAGAGGATCACGCTTGTCAGGCAATGGGTTAAGGAGCTGTGGTGAAGGGAAACACAGACAAAGAAACGCTCCTGTTCATACTTTGTGCTTGCAAGCTGGCACCACCAAGCAATTCGCTGAACCATGTTGCATCGCTTTTCTCGATTTCCAGACAAGAAGTGCCCCTGGACCGGCATGGTCTCCGTTCGTGGTCGTATCTTGACAGGCAAGGTTGTCTCAACCAAGATGGAGCGTACCATCGTCATTCGCCGGGAGTACTTGCACTACATTCCCAAGTACAACCGTTACGAGAAGAGGCACACCAACACTCCCGTGCACTGCTCGCCTTGCTTCCGAGTCGACATCGGTGACACCATCGTTGCTGGACAGACCAGGCCTCTCTCCAAGACTGTCCGATTCACTGTCCTCAAGGTTAACAAGGACCGTGGTCTGGTCAAGGCTGCCAAGAAGTTCAGCAAGTTCTGAGCCCCTTCAAACGCTCGGGAATGAGAGCCGACATCTGCACGCGGCGCAGGTTAGGCTCGCCTCACTATGATCACTTGGGCCTTCGAATGTAGAGGCTGTCCTTGTGCTCAAGTACGACGGCCTCGGTGTCGTCTGTTTCAATAGGTCACACACACCAAAACTTCGCATCTTGATTCTTGACACTCCACGCCCCCAGCATGCCTTCAGATACACGTAAAGCAATCTATGAGCTGCGTGCACCCATGAACGAAAGTCAACGCCTAGTCCATTTCAATGTCCACTGCAGGACCTCCTCGTTTCGTGTGATTGCTCTCGCTCGCGTCTCTTGATTCATACATTTCAAGCGCAAACCAATCTGTGGTCATTGGTGCTTGAAGGTGGATGCGATTACATGACAGGAAACCAAGACACAGAAGGATCCCTCTCCTTCATGCGTCTCCCCATCTCCGCTTCCAGAAGTCTTTCTCCCAATATTGCACTGTACCGCGAGCCTATGCAGCATCATTGAAGCGGAGGATAAAGTTGACGACGACGGCGATGAGCAAGAGGACGCTGAGCATGGTGGGACCGAGCCTGTCATCGTAGGGGCCTGTTCCTCGGTTGCGAATGGCCGAAGCTCGCCAGTGGTAGGTGACGAGGGCGTAGACCATGATGGCCATTGCTGTAATGGCAAATAGAGCAGCGAGCCAAGTCAGTCTTGTGGCAAGCCTTGAAAGTATGCGCAAGTGAAGCTACTCTACACTTGGCCTCATCTTTGAGGCGAGCGTGCGCCATGCTGCTTCATATGGGCGTACAGCAGCCCCTCCCTCCCAAAGCATGAAGTCTCCGAAAGCGGTCGTCCTGTGCTCACCGACAAAGCTGAACATGGCAGCAGACACGCGGCCAACCTTGTCACCAAAGTTGAGCAGGCCAGCCGCCAGAGCAGATAGGGTGACTGTAAAGTTGAGCCATGACAAGACTAGAAACGAAGGGGGGGGGGAGGGATTGCCAAGCGGCGCGTCAGATGTGGGTGCCGCAACAGGACTGCGATGGAGACGCATACACACAGGTACGTTCGTTGGCGAAGAAGACCTGAATGGCAAAGAGAATAGCTGCGTCAACTGTCTGGCCATCCCATCTGCTCTGAATTTGCCCACAGTCATGCCTAGATCAGACGTAATTGTCGAGTGCAGATATACTTTTTCGACGCTCAGCATGTGACAGATTGCTCCCCTGCTCCTGAGCACTGCCGATGAAGCGCTCGTCGCTCACTTTCCATTCTCTCATTATCCATTCCCACCTTCTTCAATGGCGATCTACGTCATATCTCAATACGCAATGCTGTTTGGCTCTAAGACGCATCGTAGTTCCCTGCAGCCATTGTGCAAGTCTTATGCTCGTCTCCTCCCTGCCCCATACTCTCCGAAGCCAAGCAATTGCAACGATCCTTTTCGCTACACGTTCTCTGCTGGTGCACCCCGGTGTCCCTGCTCACCTTTGGCTCGACTCGGACAGGCAGCGCGATGCGCTTTCCAGCGGTGCGTTGGAGGAGAGGTTGAGTGGACATCTTGACACCACCAAACGTGACGGATGTAATGCTTGGTGTATATCGAAGCAAGCCGAGGCTGGATGCGAGCAGCAGTCACGAGAGCAAACGGTGTGTGGATGGAGTCGCTGTGGAGATGGTCGCGAGGAAAATGTACGGCGCTTGGCAGATGTACACTCGTGGTGTTGGCTTGTTTGCTGCCTTGCCGCCGCGTTCGCGGACGACGCTACGATCGCGCAGCTCGACGGGGGACACTCTCTCCGCGCAGACTACTGTGAGTACCGACCGCCATAAGGGTACGATACCGTGGGCAAGAGCGCGCGCGCATCGCGCGCCCATGCAGCCGTTTAGACGATCGAGCCACCTTCGTGGCTGCGCTTGCCATGATGCGCTTGCTTCGTGATTCGCGATCACACACTTTTCAATGCTTCGGCTTGTCTTGCCTATCCACGAATTACACCTCAGCTACGGCCCTCTAGACGCACCCATCGAGCGTGCCACGGGCATTGTGACCTCAATCAAAGAGCATGCGACGTGACTTGCCCTTATTTCAAACTCATCGAGCGCCATCCGGCGCGATTGCGAGCAGCGGCGGGCGTTTTTCACGACTGACACGCCTAGCTCGAGCCCGCCGGTCTCCTGTCAACACCCTGCCATTTGTCGAAAACAAGTAAGTCGATCTCTTGTTTTATTCAAAAGAGGCGCAACAAGCTTTTCGAGACTCATCTTCCAGCGTCAAGAGAGAAAGGGGAGGAATAGTGTGAGTTACAAACGAGCTCTTTTGGTGCGTTTGGAAGAAGAAACGCTTTGCACCGCTGCACGTCTCGTAGAGAACGTGCACATCTTGCATGACTCACACTCGTTGGTGGCTGGCTAGTCACGGCTCGCGGTAGCGATGGCACTACTCACTGCTGATCGATGCAGTCGTCAGACGTGAAAAGTCGGGCGCGCAATTGAACATCGTGAATTGACTCGCATTCCCAGCAGCATCCGTCGTTAGGCTGTGTGTGTGCACGTCTGTGCAATCCCAGTTCTGAACGTGCAGCAAATCGGTCCAAATCATCGTCGACACATTGGTGTTCGCAACCACACATCGACTTGTTAACTTTTCAGACCTCATCTCACTCGAGCATGCTCAGAGCACCTCGCAAAAGCAAGCTCATCCCTCGACAAATTAGGTGACACGAATTGTATTAGTCAGAGGCAACAGTGGTCGGGTACCTTTAGAATTTCGGACGCCGTCGTCGAGTCAAGCTCAATCGATCAAATGTCTCGAGACCGCGGAAAGACGGGCCGTCAACGCAGGGTAGAAGGCAAGACACCGGATGCAGATTGAGCACTGGTGGGCGCTAGTCTTCACGGCTTTGTCGAATGTGGTTATTCTCAGCTTGCTCAGAAGTAGCGGTTACCAGCGCTCGTCGCACTACCTTGGTTCGTAGTGAATTGATCGACGGCGCGATTTGAAATGGTGACTCGAGGCTCACCTGCCGCGAAGCTGCTAGCTTGAGAAGTAGCGGATCCTGGTGGGTCGTAAGAATGGTCGAGTCCTCGATCTCCCTCGTACATATCCTTCTGATGAGCCTTCGATTGCTGAGCAGCTAGCTTCGGGTAGGCGGCTGCAACGACTGGGTCGATGCAATGCTGTCTTTGCCCGTGATTGGAGTTCGGATCCGAAGAAGATCTTGTAATCTGGTAACGAGGATCGTGAATCGACGAGACGCTGGCGTTGGGAGTGTGTCCCAGGTGACGTCCCGGCAGGATCTCGGAAGCAACTGGGTCCATTGGCTTGCGCTTGGGTGTGCTGAAAGAATCCTCGTTTGGACTGGCACCTGAAGAAGTGGTCATGCGACTAAGCGCGGTGTCTCGCACAGGTGAGCTGCGCGTGACGTCACGCGTCGTCTCCACCATGATCTGATTTTTTCCGTGCGGTCCGGGAGCGCCAAAGCCATCAGTTCCAGAAAAGATTGAGGGCTTCGCGCTCGGGACGCTCTTGCGGTTGTGATGGCTGCAGTCCGAGATGTATGGCGGCAGAATGTGAGGAACGTCGTCTTGGCATTCACTCGTGTTTCTCGACTTACTGCTCATTCTCGCTCCTCTTCAGCTCTGCAGCTCGTTCACGAATGGCACCGATCGACAAGTTGTTCTTGCCGTCGTCGCCCAAAGTGAGAGATCTAGACTCGTTCGCGCGTTTCCCAGGGGATCGAGTGTAGTCCACATTGTCGCCAAACTCCGAAGGCGTCTCATCAAAGTTGGAAGGTGTGCCAGAGAGCATCGAAAAGGGTGGGGCGGGTCCTGGAGGTGTGCCGAGTTCCCCTTTCTCCAACAAAGTGCTAGCAAGGTAGTCATCTGTCGTGGAACTGTACATGCCAGCTTCTGCATCGTGCACAAAGCCATCCACATCACGATCACCGTGTCCCGAGCTCGATAGCGTCCTCATTGGTACTGAGGGCAGAGCGGTCCCGCCCTGCCCCCTTCCAAACCCCGATTTAGCTGTCAGAAGAGCTTTGGAGTCCCTGATGCTCGAATCGAAGCCAGACGTGGCGTGGGAAGAGGCACCTGAAGATGCAAGAGGCAGAGCTGGGAAGCCTGGTCTTCCACTCGAAGGGTCGGAACGGTACTGGGGTGGTTTGACCATGGAAGACATGCCACCGTAGTGGCCGTGCACAGCATCTTGCTCAGAGATGAGCTGTAGAAGCAACAAGTATGGTTGATCAGCGCATGCTCATTTCAGCGGGTGCATGGAGAACTCACCATATCTGTCCAAGTCGGTCCAGGGAAGCATATGTTGAAGCAGCGCTTCAGTCTCGGCTGGCTCAAGCTGCAACCGAAAAGACCGGATCAGCGATCTCGTACTCACTCATTCCGGTCACGACCTGGATGGAAATGGAAAGGCCAAGAAGCGACGGCATCTTCTTAAAAGCGGCCATAATAGCAATGAATTCGACCAAGTTGACCGTGCAGACCACTGCGGAATACTGGATGCCGTTGGCGAAGAGGCGTTTGCTGATGGAAGCGAAGCCGGTCGGCCCACGAGCAGCTTTAAGAAGGCGCCAGGTGGTTGTTGCGACGATAATGCCGTCGAAAAGCGTGTTGTACAAGAGGAACCACGGTGCACTAAGACTGTACCAAGGAGGAGGCGGTCTCGAGGCCAGCACGGGATCGACTTGGCTGCGAAGATTGCAATAGGCGGCTGTCCCGTCGCTGAAGAGCGTGTCGAACTTGCCTTGCTTGGAAAGTGTGTAAATGGAGATGCCGATCTGAACAAGCAAGCCGATGCATAGCAAGTTGCGAGAGAACAACGATCTGTGGAAGATGATGTGCGCACGCCAGCAGAGAGAGGCGACGACAGTGCTCGATGCGAAAAAAAGGAAGAACAGCGATGCCCAGCTTGCACCCAAGCAAGCGTCGTCGCTCTGCAACAGCTGCGTCAGCTGAATCGTCAAATCCAGACTGAATGACAGGACCGTCGCATACTTGATCATGAAGAAGAGCGTCTCGGCAGCGTTGAGCCTGCGCCGCTTGTAAGCGCGCATGATCATGCGAACCTGTCGGATTGCAGCACACGTTGATGCGGTGAGACGCTAGTCCAGTGCGATGTGCTACCGATCAGGAGAGACTTACTTCGGCTGGGAGGACTCGAACGCACTCGAGCATGGCGATGACTTGAGCAGCAATGATCGGATATGTCCAGGAGATAGCATGGTTGAGGTATGCCAGCGTAAGCATAGGCATCTGCGACTCCGAAGCGCCAGTGTTACCATTATCATGTTGGTTCGACATCTTGTCGGCACCGCCTGCACTGGAAAAGGCGTCGAGTTCGCGCCTTGTCTTGCCAGCCTTGTAACGCTCCAATGCTTACGCTCTGCTTGGCTGCGTTGCGAGGTAGGTGACTCTTGTGGGAGGGAGCGGGAGGCTATTCGCAGGTGCACCCCTGCCAGCGGAACGGAGACAGAAGGACACGAAGAGGAGGGAACAACGGAGAGGGCCACGCTGTATTTGACAGTGAGCGGAGAAGCGGCGGACGTTCGACCAGTCACAGCAATTGTCAGCGGTGAGTGCACCTGCACATTAAGGGGGAACGAGATTACAACGTTGCTGGCAGACACAAAGCTTTATAGCTATAGCCGATGCTCGAGCTCGCGTCTGCTGCTGCGCGATATTATACCTATCTTTAGGCTTGGTGATGAGAATGGGCTGCGCGAATGCTCATTTGCGACTCTCGCCGCGGCTGAAAGGGCTGAGAGGGCAGTAGTCGGATTGGGACTCACGACTGCATCAGCAGCATCGATGAGGGTTCAGCAGCCAAGAGTAGAGCTAGGCATAGATACCACTATATACGCCAATGGCCATCAGCGTCAGGCACCTGGGCTATTTGCGCAGCCTCTGACTGCATGCACGCCGGGCCACTGTGACTCACATTGACCTTCGACCACACCTCGCGACCGCTGCTGTTGCTGCAATGCCGCCAATGACTGCCCACATGACCTATCAGTGCCGGCTTTTTGGGCGCAAGAATTGAAAATCTTCACACAAAGTTGTCTACTCTATAGGCTGCGGCTGGTCAATTAAGACTTCATACCTCGATCGTCGCAGAGTTCGAGACAGTCACTCACGTTGTCTGCACGCACTCACGACTGGTGGTGTATATATATATAGCTGCAACATCAACGCGAGACTGTGAGTCACACAATTTGCTACAAGAATGCAATTAAGCAGGCTCAGATGCATCGGGGAACCTGCAAATTCCGACCTGTTCGTCGTTGCACTCACGAATGAGGAACGTATCAACGTAAACCCTTGAGTGCAGTCGGAATCTTGTACATCATCGTTGCTTGCTGCACAAACAAGCTGTGCACTTATCTTTTATTGTGGCTCAATGGAACTCTCAAGGCCATCCATCAACCATGCATTCTTAGCTCGTGGCTCTCGTGTGGAGCAGGAACAGAAAGAGCAAGGCAGGCGTGATACACGCGAGCATCGTGCAGCACACCTTGGCTTCTCAGAAGAGGAAGAAGACAAGGCTTTCAAATCGCTGCCGCTTACCACGCCTTGCTCATGTACCGCCTGTTCAACGCCGACGGCGTGCTGATGCATGGTGCGATTTGTATGTGCTGCTGTATAGAGGCCCTTGCTGTCTCGTTCTGCTGCATCCTCCGGTGCCGCACCTTATGTCACGCTCACTCACGACTGAAGCGCATCTGACCAAAAGATACGCACGCCTCTATTCATCACGGCTCAGTCGTGAGTCAGGCAGGGTGAGGCGTGAGTGTCGCCTTGCCCTGTACCGCGGGACGAAGACATCTATATCTGATGCCAAATGCATGGGCACTATCGGCTACAGACATCAGCATAGGGCCGCACAGTCGTGAGTATGGATTTGCTCTTGATCACAAATTATTGCGAGAGTCCGCGACGCGGGGTAAGGTACCTCGGGTATGAGTGACCACGAGTTTAGGAAAGGGTTCCAAGAGGCTCCGAATATGGCAGCATCCAGTAACCGGACCCTGAGCAGCGGCTCATCCTGTATATGAGCGTTCCTTTATCAGTCGTGAGTGATACACAACGTCAGCGGGATGGCACACTGACTCTGGTCGGGAGAAGAGGGCCGCGCTGATCAAGACAGAGCAAAGGCGAGCAAGGACCACCCGGATTACAGCTTTCCATCCAATTCTCGAATTCAAGAACGCAATCAAGGAATCGAAGTGCACTCGTTTCGCATTGATCCATCAGCTCACCTGTCAGCTTGTCTACTTCGAACGTCCCTACGCGGGTCAGAACCATAGACCATACAGAGGATTCGTGATCGACAATCACGAATCACGGGTGTGTTCTACCATGTTAAACCAGGCGCAGTCGGGAGCGCCGTTGACGGCGGCACACCTCCTGCATGTGCACTGCGCACTTATCACGCAGAAGGCTGTAATTAATCAGACCTTGGGTTTCAGCAACGCCAGCGTATACTCCAAGCCCAGACTGTTACGGTGCGAATGTGAATGCTCGGCCGCTGCTTCGCTAAACAGCCACGCACTTATTCTTGCGTTTCACGATTGTAGTAGTGTGATGGCGGCCACCTCAACGTCCCACATCTCTCGGCGGCCCTTGCGCCAACAGCTCGCGTTCCCGTCCGTCAGCATGGCCACCAGGTATACAAGGGGCTCAGACCGTGAAGCACGGGCACGGAGCTGCGCCATTCTTCAACCTGACCTTCACTTTCCATGCAATGCTGTTTGTGTCAAGCATAATGAGGGCAGTGCACCGGTCAAAGGTGTGCAAAATTCATCAACAATTTGCAATGCCCCGAATGACATTCACAATTACCAAACGCGCCCTGGCAACGTGGATAGCAGACGACGAGATGGCTTCCGAATCACTCTACGAAGCAAACAGCGCGATGTGGCATGCTTGAATGTCCCCGAGGTCTTGTAGCACTTGAGATGCCTTGATCATGCACTGCTCATTGCTCTTCCGATGCTATGCTCCTCGTCCGTAACTGGACAAACGTATTCACAGACCCGACGAGGTTTGAGTGCGCGGCGCCTCGATCACCCTTCCATTTCGCAGGCCAACGCCACTTCCATGCCGCTGGCCCCATCCGGCTCCGAGTGTAGCGCGCGCAAAAGCATCCGATTCACGACCTTTTCAAGTCTTCGCAAGCGCCGAACCGGTAGGGCCTCCCAAGGCCTACCACCTTATCTGTGGGCTGTGATTCGTATGTGACGTTGTCTGTGCGACATCTTTTTCTTTCCTTTCCCCTCGCGCCTGCCCAATGCTGGCGACAGACGGGCTTCGGTGGCACTTTGAGCGGCTGGTCGCGAGCCATCTCGGCCTCATGTTTGCAATCATTCTTCCCGTGACGGAATCACTCCAGGGCACCGATGATTGTGATGGCGTTGTGCTCTAGCTATACCGGCAGGAAGGAGGGGTAATGGATTGGCGTTTTGGCGCACTTGCTCGAGATTTGAACATCTATCGCCGTCCGTATGTGGTCTGCAGCACTGCCTGCAAGGATATTTGCGCAGAGCGATTTGGATGTCGCACGAGTAGCGCAATGTCGGGGCCTCGGCATTGGTCCCATGCCGCACTGTTTACGATACCATAGTAGTAGTAGCACGAAACACCTTTCCTCGGCGTCTGACGACCGACGTTGGTACCGGAAGGGCGCTTTTGTGTCCACTTGCAGGTACCTGAATCCTCAGAGCCGGAAGATTCTTCCGTTGCTCTTTGCCTCCCGACATCACCTCGTCGTGTGCCGCGCGAATCGTTGAATGTGCCTTCCGTTCCCGCGAACCGTCACACGCTCGACGTTCGATGTAGTCTGTACGCTGAGAGTGGCGGTACTTGAAGTGTGCGTACGTCGTTTCGTATGCGTGACCACATGCTCCAAGATCCGACATCTACGCTCGAATCCCGAATCCCCTCTTCGCCCTTGGGATTGTCCTTCAACATAAGCGCATCGCCTGCTTTTTCGACAGCGCAAGTCTAGCAGCAAAATGACGCAAAAGCTTCTTTTCGGCTGCCTCTGCATTGCCCTGCTGTCTCTGAGTAGTCGCACGATTCAAGCTGTGCCAGTCTTCGTCAGTGTCTGTGGTCGATGCGGTAAATCGCACCATCGGGTGATCCATCGATCGAGCTGACTGCATCTTTGCCCTTGTCCACGTCTAGGAATCGATTGTAGCGATGGAAACTTCAGGCGCCTTTGAGCAGCTTTCCCACCGCTACAGCGTGCCGATTAGTGCAGCTTCAAACTTGGTGAAGAGGTTCCCCATCGATGGTAATCCATTTGCAAGATTCTTCTTTCCCGACCAGCCCCCTGCCGAGCAGGAGCCACCAACAAAGCACCCGAAGAAGGAGTGTCATTTGTCCGACCATCCAAATCCCTTCTGGACTGGTCCTTGGCGCAAGATGCCCCAGTGCCAAGAGTAAATTGGCTCGCTCTTTCCATCATCGTGAGTGGCTTGCTGCCTTGCCATCCCTTGGATGAACTTGACTGAATACAATGGCTGTCTCGTTGTCCTTGTGGTCGTTCTTTGACGCTGACGTGAGCTGACACTTGCCTTGCAAAGTATGACCGCGTAGATTCGAGCAATCTCGCCTCCTTCTGCTTCTCGAAGGTGTGGTCCGAGCTGCAATCATCTCTATCCTCTGGTGGCAACTATCCTTTCAACCCTACAAGACGTGTACAACAAAATTGTCAAATCCTGTGCGCGCTAAATGAACTTGCCAATCGGAATAGATGCACAGCAGCGTTGAGCATTCCGATGCTTTGAGACCATGGCACGATGCACGCGGGTCACCCGCCGAGCAGGTCAATTAAAGTTGTCCAGGTCAATCATCCGTCAACCAATCGTGAACATCAGAATCACGGCTTCACGTAGATGGTGAACTAAGACTCGTGAGTGACGCTGAATCGTGAATCCCGAGGCAACAAGGCGCCAACCCTGAACCGCTGCAGGAGGAGGAGACTCGTGACTGTCACGTGTCGCATCAAGCACGCTGCCGTCACCTTATCAAAAAGCAACTTGTCGAGCAAGTCACAAGTCACGAGTCAAGAGTCAGAAGAGAGTCAATTCTGAGTTTGAGTGATGTGTCGTGCGTGGAGCGTGACCGCGGGGCGCATGAGATATGCTGGCGAGATGAGGAACCAGCCTGCGCGGGGCGCGGGTGGCGACGGGGCTAAGTTGCGAGATGCTCGCGATTCGGCGGAGGCTTGCACCACACTCTTGACCGCCTCACTCGCACTCACACTCAGTCCTGTGACTGACACTACTCGATCATTGTGGGTTGCAATCGACTTGTTTGCCCACTCATGTCTCACAGCTACAGAGCTGATGCAGCGTACACACCACACCCTGACTCCACACTCGCGCCTTCTCCTATTCACTCCATCCAAGTCCGTCATCTCGCTCTCAACCGCTTCCCTCTGCTGATTAGGCAGCATGGGTAGTCGACGAGCTCTCAGAAAGCGATCTGTGGCCCTAGCAGCACTTGCGCTGTTGCTCACTCAGCAACACGCTCTCGCCCATGCCACGTCCTCGAGTGGAGCATCAACAAGCGCAACTTCCACATCTGCTACCTCATCATCGTCATCCTTCGCCACTCGTTTCTCATCTGCTATCCTGCGCGGAGCTGGTCGATGGATGGAGATCATTTTTCCATCCGATCCCAGCTACCTGCCCAGCTTCGTCGATGGATCCTTCGAGTCGACTTTTCACCTGCCCACCGACGATGAGAATGCAACGCCTGGCGGTGGTCTCTTTGGTGATGGAGATACCACATTCGCCTGGGGCGGCAGCACCCTCGAGGTTGTGGTGAGTGCTGGATTGTGCTGCTTTGCGTCCTTGATCGCAAATGGCCACTAACTTGGCTCCGCTTCGCATGTCCTCACGACTATCACTTTGCTCAGAAAACGCAAGCTCGCTACGTAACACGCCCTGCAGCTTTTGGTCCTCACATCACTGCAGACGAAGGGCAGCGTGGCTCGCTGCTGCCCATCTCGGACTTTTATCTAAAGCCCGCAGCGCAGGCTGCCACCAAGGAGCCCTGGAACGCCGACGTGGCATGCCCTTACCGAGGGGGGCCGGGCTGGAAGGAAGGCGAGGATGGAACCGATCTTGGTCGTCTGAGCGACTCTGACGATTCTGATCTAGCTGTGCAAGGAGTTGCAGTAATAAACGCTTCTCCTGCTATCCCTGTCCGGCCACCTTCCGACTGGGTTGCGCTCGTGGAGCGTGGAGGCGGCTGTTCCTTTGCCGCCAAAGTGCGCGTCAGTCAAGCACTAGGAGCCAAAGCAGTGGTTGTCGGTGACGCTCCTTCAGCCTCTTGGAGGCCTTCACCTGGCGGATCTGATGCCGAAGATCCAGGCTTGGCCGGTAGACTGCTGACGATGTTTGCGCCCGGCGACACTTCCGACATTCGCATTCCGAGCACTTTCATCACTCGGCCGAGCTACGTCGACTTGCGAAGACTGGTAGAAGAGCTGGCGCGAGAGCAGCACAAGAAACGCGAATGGTGCCTGAAGCATGCCGATCAGTGCCACACTCCGGAGGGAGGCAAAGGTCCAAGAAGCAAAGGGTTAGATATCATCCTGGGCCGAGACGACATCATGTGGGAATGGCCGCTCATTGATCTAGCATTGATGTTGCTGCTCTTGCCATCTTTCATGACGATCCTCACCGTCATTGTGCACCGCATTCGGCTTGCACGACAGAGAAAGAAAGACAGAGCTCCCGAGGTTGTGGTGCTCTCCTTGCCTTGCCTCATCTGGCGTGCCAACGGTCAGCCCTGGGAGAAGGTGGAGGGGAACGATTCGGATTTGCCCATTTCAAATGCCTCGCCCGGCCAAGCCTCTGCTTCGGCGTCCTCTTCTGCTGCCGCTGCGCCTTCTGTTGTCTCTCCGCCGACTTCCGCTCGTCAGACCGACGAAGAAGCTGGCCCTAGCGATCCTGCGCGGACGACTGTCGTAACCCCATTGGCAGAGAGAGCGCACGCCACTGCGAGTGCAGCAGCATCGGCTCCGAACCCATCCCATGCTCACTTACCTCCCGGGAGGTCATATTACAGGTGAGTACACTGCTCGGCACCGTTTGACCGAGCACCACGCTCACGTCTTAGCATTGGCCGTCTTGATAGCTGCGACGAATGCGCCATCTGTCTTGACAATTTTGTCGATGGAGATCAAGTCAGAGTGTTGCCCTGCGGACACATCTTTCATCGGAGCGAGATCGACGATTGGCTCGTGCGCATACGCAAGGTCTGTCCAATATGTAAGCGGGATGTGACGGTGCCGGTACCTCCTGCTCCACCTGCGGGCTCTGTCGTTGCTTCTCCCTCCATCGATCCGACGCAAGGCACAGCGCAAGAGACTCCTGCACTGGCGACTCAGCCACTTATCGACGCGCGCACCGCGCCTGAGCAGCGACCGTCTAGCGCAACTTCAGGGGCTCTGTCCGTCCCTACGGAGAGCACGCCGCTCCTGGGCAGCTCTGGTCAGCCAGAGGCCAGATCGTAATCCTTTGCTTTGACTTGCGCACTCCATCCTGTTTGTTTGTGTAATATACGCGCTCCTGCATCTTTGATCCACTCTTCAACTTCCCAGCCAAGTTTGCAGTACCTTCGCTGGCCGAGTGCCGGTAGTCCCACCACCTATCAATTCAGATCTCGTCACCACGTTCTTTGCCGCTCTCGAGCGCTGTTGATCTGTGCTGGAATCGTTTTGATGAGCCTAAGTGGGTGCAGTCAGCAGGCAGGCAGGCGCCGCCTTGCAGCAGTCAACATTTGTGAGCTTTGCGCGACAAATGTATTTATTCATGATTATTGCGTGGGAGGTGCGCAGCCTCCACATCCGTTCGCAGCTTGGAGGCTGAGCGCACACGCACGTCCATGCGGGTGCCAAGCGGAGCGAGAATCATTCGTGAGTAAATGCACCACCTCGACTCGACACCAAGCTCTCGTCTGAACATGATCCTCTTTCACATGGCAAGTTGAAGCTAGCCTTGGCTTCGATGGTATCCTTCTCGAGCATCTCACAACAGTGCTCACACTTCTCTTCTCTGAACGCCAATTCAACGTCGAAATGGACACGAACGGCCTTCCTGCACCGCATCATGAAGGCGTCATACAGCAGCGCGCGCTACCTGTTGTGGCAGGACACAGAATATCGACATGGTTGATGAAGCTGCACTCTTTGGATGCGTCCCCACTCTCCGAATCTGACAAACTGGAACAGCGAGAGCATCTACTTTGTTCTCTTCATGCCGATCCTATCGCATTCCTGTCCAAGTACATCAAGCAGATTCCACCGGGCTTGGCGTCCGAATTTGCTGGCATTCTGAATGCTCAAGAAAGGAGCGGTATTGTGCAGATCAGAGATCGAAGGAGGCGATTCTTCAAACACCGAACACCTGAAGAGCTTAGCGTGGAAGAGAGCAGAGCCAGGTGGCCTTTGTTATGGAAGAGGACAGTCGGTAGGGTGCAGATGGGAGCAGCTGTGGATGGCGCAACACACGCTGCGGTCGCGTCAGGTAGTGCTACGCTTCCGCACGTAGCCAACGACTCTGTCTCTGATAGCAATGCAAAAGGCAAGGAGAGGGTCGTCGCGAGACGATCAGCATCTCCGCGCACTGTTCAGGCAAAGCTCGACCTTCGCGATGATCCCTCCGAAGCACGATCAACGTTTGATCCTAAGCGCGTCGTGCCACCATCAGAAGTGGCGATACAGCCTCGATTCGAAAGGCTCCAAAGAGACATTGACGAGAGCGAGGTGCTCGCAAAAATAGCAAGGCTGGAGCAAGAAGAGCGGGAGACGGTACCGGAAGAGGAGGAGGAGGAGGAGGAGGAAGATGATGCGAGTGATGTGGGGGGAGAGGAGGAACCGTCAGGTGTGAAAGCGAGTGCTACTGGCGAAACAACCGAAGATGCCTTGCAGATCGAGCGCGAGAGGTTGGAAGTCTTCATGGCAGAGGTCGAGAAACGGTTCGTCTCTGGTGATGTGAGTCCAAAATGCATCTAGGCTTTGCGGGATACCACATCTACAGTCCACGAGCTCTTACCCTTCACTTCTGCTCCAGCTTTTGATTCCAAAATACCTCTACGATGACTGCGACTTTGATGATGAGTGGGATAGGCATGAGAGAGACAAAGACGAACGAGGTGCCAATGCGGTGCCCGCCAGGGACAGCGAGGAGAGGTGGTTTGATGAGGAGGAGGAGAGCTCACCACCGACGACCAAATCTGACACTCGGTACTCGCCAGACTTTTAAAGTCGAGACAATGTACCATTCTCGGCCACCGCAAGCGCGTGTGCTGTTCGAAATTTGCATTGCAGTCAGCAACGAGGCAGATGTGAGGCCACGCTCTTTACGAAGTGCACGCAGCCGCTCAGGGACGAGGATGGTCGTTCATGCGAATTGTTAACGATGGTTGCTGTGATCACCGCGTTCATCTTGGATGTCTCTGCCTCCACAACTACTAGCACCAAGACGCACGTGACTCAAAACCCAACCCCATTCAGATTGTCCGTCACAGCTATTAGCTACCGCCCGTGAATTGCATGAGCGCACTTCGAGCGTTCAGCGCGCACTCGCGACCTGTGTGCCTTGCGACTGACTGCATGGATGTGCCTCGCACGGGGCAACGCATCGATCAGCAGCAGCTGTTCCGCGCCAACTGCTGATGGTACCGACATCATCAGACCAGCATCCGCATCAGCCACACTCATGCTCGTCACCTGCTCCAACAAGCTTCGTCGTTCCCCCTCATCCTTCCTTCGACGCTTCAGCAGAGCCGAGCGCTACCTCTTCCTATCCTTCACAAAGCTTTCGCCGGAATCTCTTACTTACAATCGCACCCCCGCTTCGCTCAAAATGGCCACGGTGGACATTCCCGTGACGCTGCTGGACAAGCTCAAGTCGTTCAGGATGGGCAAGAGCAATGCGGGAGCGGCAGCTTTGGTGGTCAAGATTGACAAGAAAAAGTTGCAGATGGAGATGGAGGAAGAGTTTGATGATATTGGGATTGAAGAGTTGCAAGAAGGTGAGCGAACGAGCGAGCGAGCGGGGCAACTTGTTTGTCTGGGGCAGGTGCCTCGAACTCCAAGCACTTGTTCAAAGGCTTGGCTCGAGCGCGCAAAGCTGTGCTTGAGCGATGAGACAGCATCTTCGACGTGCTTCGGCGTGGGCATGGCCCTCGTTGAGGAGGGAGAGGTGCGCTGAAGATGCACTGACTTGCTGCGACAGTCGCCGAGACGAGCCTTGCGACCTTGCCAATCCGGCATGACACTGGATTGAGTGCAGAAGCCGCTTGGCTGACCCAGTCGACCAACCGCGTCATCTCCTCAGAGCTACCCGAAAACTCGCCTCGCTTCATCGTGCTCTCCTACGAGCTCAAACATCGGGATGGGCGAACCTCATATGTGAGTACTCGATAGGACACGTGACGTACACAGCTTTCAATGTTGGCTCTGCTCTCACACCTCTTTCCTTCGCACTGAACCTTTGCCACAGCCTCTGATCATCCTGTAGTAAGTTCTGCATGTGCGGGCTCACTGCCTCTCTCGCTCTGACGCAAACACTGCGGTCCCGTCGCGTCGTCTCACAGTTGGGCACCACCTACCTCTTCGACTGAATTATCGACCTTGTACGCTTCCGCCATTTCTCTCTTCAGCGTCAAAGCGGACATTGCCAAGGTCGTGGAGCTGAGGGAAGGGACGCTGGATAGAGAGGAGATTGACAAGAAGCTTGGTGCATGAGAGCTGGGCAGAGCGCACAATAGATACTTGGTGCGCATACACGGAGTGAGCAAGCCTGGTGGGAGCTTTGCGCGCTGCAACATGAAGCTACGAGTCGAGGTGTCGGTGCGGCCGTCTGTCTAGGTGATACGCATATGGACCCGATCCATCTTCGGGAAAGCAGTGATTGCGGTCTCATCTTCGCATGTGGACCTAATCACGGCGGCATGGGCATCGATGAGCAGATCCATCGGACGCGTCGGTGTGTCTGGCCCAGGAGCGGGTGCACCAGATGGTCCGGCAAAGCCCTTTTCTCGAAATCAAGAGCCCCGCTCGATCTGCAATCGTCTAGCTCTAGCGTCGCCTGCAACGTTGATGCTGACCTCATCCTCGTCGTCAAGCTCGGCATCCTTGGGAGGGACTTCTGAGAGCCCCGATGGTGTAGATGCAAGCTGCAGTGAGACGCCCACTGTTGTCTAGCTCCATTACGCTATTCGCTTCCACACGCTCTTCATCTGGATTCCGAGGTCAAGTCGTATCATGGAAACCCTCCTTCAGCCCTCTTGCAGGGGCGATGAGGCTACTGGAAGGTTGCTATGAGCGAACCGCGCAATCCCGTCGAAAGTGTGTGTGCACCGAGGCGAAAAGTGATGACTTCTCGACCAAGCCGTGTAGAGCAGGATTGAACGGCGTGTGCTGGCCAGTCGGCGAACGTCTCGCAGGGCAGACGCTGATTGCCCATGACGCTGCTTGAGCAGTTGAGGCGAGGCGATCCGAGGTCGTCTTGAAGAGATCAGACGCGATCACAAATCGCATCGGGGTTTGCAGCAGCAGTCGCGAGCTGGCGGCAAGGTCCACATTTCATGCGCGAGAGCGTTGATCTCCGAAGCAGCAGCAGCAGCAGGGAGAGACATGACCCACACGAGAGTTCCACGTACCGAACAACGCACCGCTGCTGGAAGCCAAGAAGCGGCTCAGTGCTTGCGGCGCTCCACTGTGACTCTCCTTTAAATTCCCTGCCCTCGCGAACATCGGATGCGGTTGTGCTGAAAGCAGGGCTCACGCACGCTTGTGGAATCGCATACGATTGGTGGTGGATTGCTGACTCACCTGCTCTTGCCCTGGACCTGATTGATAGGTCAGGCACCCCGGATGAACATCACGTTCCAGGCGATCAAGCCTATCTGCGGAGTTTCGTCGGCTGTGGCTGAACTGGCTGCACGATCGCAGGTTTGGGTCCGACTCTTGAAGTTGCATCTCATTCCGCCTTCTCTTCGTATCGCAGCACGGGCGTCAATACCGCCATTCACCCCTCATCTGACTGGAGACGCTTGCCGCCATTTCGGGTGGGACATGCTGACGCGTCAAAGATGTCCATGCGGGGCTTACGTCGCATTCCATCGACCTTTTCTAGCTCGAAACTGCGAATGGCGAAAAGTTGAGTGTCTTAGCGCCTCGACGTGCTCGCGCGTTGGTCCGCTGCCTCGGTTGTGGGTGTGCAAGCAACCACAAATTACGAGTCAATAAAGTCTCGGGACGCATCTTTTTCCATCTTGAAGACGGCGGTACAGCTGCTGGCCTGCACTTGCAATCCTGAGCCCGCGCCCGGAGTCGCGGTGGCTTGAGAAATCAAGACTGCGGGGGAGAGGGGGCGGGCCTGCTGGGGCCGCGCGATTCGAAGGGCTCGATCGAGCCTCTTGGCTGTCGCGCGGGAACAAAAAGCAAGCAGCTGCTGACGCCAATCAACACATTGTTGTAGGTAACTTCAGTACCGGCACATTGACGGTCAAAGTGTATGTACCTACAGCATCCCAGAATCCGTGATGCAGATGCTCTGTCGACGGACTGACTGCATCAGCAATTAAGAGGCTCGATCGACGATCACATTAGATGCCGCCCGCCGGTCGCTGCTTCTCCGAACGTGCATGCCGCAGGTACCATGAATGCTCGCCGCGGGTCTCAGAAGGTGGGATGGAGCGCATCAGCAGCGAACGAGCTCAGCAGCAGTGAGCACTTCATCTACTATACTGCTGCTGATGTCGAGAAGCAATGCAGCAGCACTTGAACGCTCAATCGCGCCAAATGTGGGGACTTGCTGACGACTCTCCAACCGCCGGATAGCAGCATCAGCGATATCACTTCTGGACCTGGATCGGGCGCCTCGACATCATACGTGCCACTCTCATCATCTCGGCAAGTGGAGGGGCAAGGGCCGGATGACGCTCATTGACTGCTGACTGCTGCATGCATGGCTGACCAGCTGTAGTCATGCAGTCGCGAGTCGTGATCAAGTAGGGTGCCGAAGTCGGTCAGGTCGGGAAAGGTACAAGTACGAGGTTCTCTCGACGCCTTCTCCTCCAGTTTTGCTCCCCCCATCCCCACATTCATCTCGCTTTCCACCCATCTTCCACCCTTATCCTCCTCCTCACTCATCCTTCACCCTCTCATCAGGCCCAATCATCCATCTGCCCACCATGAAGTTCACTCTTGTTGCCGCCTTCGCCTCCGTCGCCGCGCTCGTGGCTTTCGCCCCGGCCGCTCAAGCTGCCGACGACCGCGTCATTGCCGACTTCAAGGGAGGAAATGGGGACGAGTTCTGCAACTCTTGGAGGTGCAACTGCATCAACGTGAGTATTGGCCTTGTTTCTTTGGATCCTCTGCACGAACACGATGCCCGATCCCTGCGCCATGTCGATGGCACTCGCGATGAGCGCAATAGAATCATCTCCTCCCCCCCGCACTTCCGACTAAATTCATGCGCTTCTCTCTCTCATGCTCTCCGCCTCCCCCTTTAGTACGTGCCCAAGAACAAGAAGCTCTCCTTCCAGACCGCTTACTGCCAAAAGGGAGACTTTAGCGGCAACTTTCCAGACTCCAAGGCGCGCGTCTTCTGCTCCTTCACCGACGGTAGCAAGACCACAACCGTGACCAAGCACGTCGCTGCCGCTACCTTTGCCACGCTCGAGTAGAGATGCTCTGGGAACAGTCTTCGACATGCCGGCATCTGGGTCCTCTTGCATTCTGTAGCCTGCATGCGCATCCTACCTTTCTGCTTTCCTCCCCTTTTACAGCATCTTCCTCGACGTTGGCGCGTGCCTCATCGCAGTGCCGCCGAGATGACCCTGGACAATTACATGACTTGTGTGTTCGTATCAACCAGCAAGTGTGTGACTGCATCAAATATGCTCTCCATCTCGAGCTCTGTTGACGTGATCCCCAGATCGTCAGGTCACCTAGCCAAAGCTGGTGTTGAAGGCGATGTGCAAGTGTGCGAGCAAACAACTGCGTTGCAAGGACCGGAACCAAGGCAGATGGAGCAGGAGAAGGGAGGGGTATTTGTGTGGAAACGTAAAGTTACATTGCGCGATGCGGTTTGGGCCGAAAGGCACCGAAGCTAACACAAGATTTTGAAAGAATTAGGAGAACTGCTGACAACGAGTGGTCCAAAGGGTTAAAAAGGCATGTGGGTGATAGCTCCGTGTGGTTTGGAATGGCATATCGAAAGGTCCGACTGGACGAAGGCGAAGTCGACGATTAGCGTCCTCTTCCAAGCGCTTCAGGTTGATGCCTCCTTGGAAGCAGATGTCTGCAGTGAAATTGATCTCGGTCGCGTGGTCGAGATCGTTCTCTCGCGCTCTGGCGCGTTGGCTAGCTTGACAGCGGCGGTAGTCTGATTGGGCTCCAACGGCTGCATCACACCAAATGCGTGCTCCTGCGTGGTTTCGGCAACGGATCTGAGTCCCGACAAGGGTGGAGTGGAACGACTGCCCAGGAAGCGTGTGGAGAGCCGGCGCGTGTTCTTGAGTGTGCCTTTTAGAAAGCCCGGACGCACGGTGGAAGCTTCGCATGCCAGAGTCAGGGCAGGTAGAGGTCCAGGGCTACTCGATGCGTCTCCGTCCGCAGGGCCTGGGCTCGGAATCCGGACATGCCCATCATCAGCCGAAAGAGAAGGACTAGTGTGACCGCTGCCGCGATCAGAAGGTGTGGCGATTGGCGAGAGAGATTCTCGACTCGCGATAGACTCCGCAGAAAGGAGTGCGTTCGGATTGCCGGAGCGCAGAGCTCCGTCATCGTCGACTGCACTAGGCAGGCTCATAGCACGCTGCTTGCCCTTGCTGCCTAAAGTGAAAGAGCGCCGCAGTGAGTCGCGACTGCTCTGAGCAAGGCGAGCCGCGAGTCTGTGAGGCGAAGGTGGTACATTCAGGGATTCCCGCGAGCTGACGACAGACCGAGATTGATTGTAAGGAGTGATGCTGCCCGCCAGAGGAGGCGGTCCAAAATCGGACGATGCGCTTCCGCTACGCTGCCGCCTGCGAAGGCTGAACGCTCCTTTTAGCGTTGAAGCTCGAGAGGTGAAGGTCAAGTGCCCGTCGTTGCCCGGCTGCTCTTCCATGTCAGTGAGAAGCAGCTCGACAGGCGAAGCCCGGTCCGCGTCTTCAGCTAGCTGAACAGAAGCGCGATTACGCGCATACTGGCCTGTTGCGTGTGCGTCTGCCCCTGCTGCAGCACGAGCGGACAGCTCGTTAAGGTCGAATTCCGCGGAGCTTGTCCTACTGCGCGACGTCCACATGTTCTTGAGATTCGTCATGCTCGAGTTGTTGCGAGTGCTGGGAGGCCTTGAGCTAGAAGCTCTTCGATCGTCGACGAAGCTCTTCCGCCTCGGGACGGCTGCATCAGCTGCGAGTGAGTTCCGCTTGCCGTCTGGCTGTGCAACGGACTGAACGGGAGACGCGCTGATATCTGTAGAGCTGCTACTTTGCTGTGCGGGCACGGACAACAAGGGCGGTCGCGAGCGAGCTGCGCGCACCTTCCAGGTCGGGGAACCAGTAGTCATCGTTGACGCAGGTGCGAGTTGGGTGTCCAGCTTGGTCGGACTCGCGACGAGAGTTGGAGATGCGCTCTCCCTAGGTGTACCGTCCTCCAGCACAGGTCTTTCATCGTCCGCGAAAAGGGTACTGGCGCGGCGCGGCGCCTTCCGTGCAGCAGCTCGAGCAAGACCCCCAATAGCTGCCCCTACTGCAGCGCCGATCGAGGGGGTGTTTGAGGACTGATCTCCTCGTTCTCTCATGGCACCAGCGCGCGCGGCGACAATGGCTTCCGAGAAGACCATTGCTCGATCCACTGCTGCTCGTGCCGATAAGGGAGAATGTCGCACTAGGATATCGGCAGGAGAAGGTGCAGCAGCGTTCTCTGTCAAGAATGTGCCCAAAGGGTCGGCGTCGAGGAACGCATCGGAATGCTCTTCTGCCAGACCTGATACGCGGAGGTCATCGCTAGCGATGGAGTAGTCGCCCAGGCTTGACGGGAAGCTGCTTGGACCACCTTTCGGCGGTGAAAAGGGGGCATGAGCGATCGCTTGTGCTAGCGTCGCCACCCACGTCTCCTTCTCGCGAGCAGAAGAAGCCACCAGCTCGAAATTGTGACCTCCAAGGCAGATCAGTCTGCAGGAATAGGGTAGCACGGAGGCGTATTCTCGCGACGTCGCTGGCGCTTCCTCGCTTCCAAGTCGACTGAAAAAGCCTTCCTTGCCGTCGTACAATTTGGCAGCCCACAGCGGGAACCAGAATTTGGGCTCGTAGACGGTCGGTTTGCGGACCTTAGCAAAAAGAACAAAACCTTCGTACACAAAGACGGCAAAGTACTTGAAACGAAGCGGTGCAGTCAAGGGCTGGAGGACCGAGTGATGATGCATCACGTCGAGGGTGCCAGCGAGAAGGCAGTGTCCTAGCGACGCTATGAGCGTCGGTGTCACACTCTGAGTGAGATGGCAGATGGAAGGTCTCAGCCAAAAATGTGCACGGCCCGCGCTGCATTCGCTCGGACTCACCAGCGTCGCCTCGACACGCGAACTGATCAGGGCTGCCATCAGCACCTTCTCTCGCTCCTTGCCCGCCTCGTCAACATCCTCTGCTACGCGGCGCATCGTCGCTAAAGCTTCACTTAGCGACGCGTGAGCAGAGTCGCCATCGTCGCTGTACTTGAGCAGAGTGCTCAGTACGACCGGATACAAGCACAGACGTTGGATCGGCTTCACAAAGTAGTCCGAGAACAGCAATCTCGCAGCTCCATCTCGAAGCATTCCACCAGTCGAGCTTGTCTCGGAGGCTGGCGTAGCCACGAGCGGTAGTTGAACGAACGAGGCGCCAAAGGCTTGATCAGGCGAGCTGGGAGCGCGCGTATGGTCGTACAGCGGAGATAGTGGAGCGATGGTGGCTGTAGGCGTCATGGGCGCGATGCCAAGGCTTCCCGCGCTCGAAGTTCCCTGGTTAGAGTTTGCTCGGGAGAGGCCATTTCTTGGCGTGGGCGAACGAGAAAATCCGCGCAGAATGTTGCTGCAGCACCGTTCGTAGCTCCGCCAATCATCGCCGCCGTGCCGTCGTTCAGCATCGCGGACCAGGGATAATGCTTCGCCATGCCGGGAGCAAAAGTCCTGGTAGATCGCGAAACGCGGCCCAAGCTTGCCAAAGTATTTTGCAATGCGGCTTGTAGCTGCTTCCGCTTCGGCGCTGGCAGCGATATGACTTCCTGAGGCTTTTGACAGCATGTCCGAAGGCGATACGCCATGCTCCTCCAGTATTCGCTCCATGTTGTCTGCCATCTCGCGATGCAGCAAAAGCAGCTCCGCCGCGTTACGCTGAACAGTATCGAGGCGATCACTGCGCTCGGAGAAGAAAGGCTGATCTCCAAGGTTGCGAAAGAACACTTCGACAAGCAAGCCGAGATCATCTGCATAAGAACGCTCGGTCTCGACCAGCTCATACAGGGCGTGAAGTCGACGCATCTTCGTGAAGCTAGGGACGCTCTGAGCCACGCTCGTGGCAGTTTCGCGCCGACCTTCTGGATGCGAAGCTGAGCCTCTTTCGGCGCCTTCATCCCTTGGTAATTCTTCCGACGACGGCTCGCGAAGTTTACTCCCATCGAGCGAAGTGACAACTCCGACTTCTACCTGATCGATCGACGATGGCGCTTCAGAAGTCGCCGCTGTGCCAGAACTCTCCACGGTACTGGACTGATCGGTGCCTGCAGTGGACGTCGAAAGGGTCCTGCCAATCTCAGTGGGGACGTTGGTATCGATTGTGAGCGGTACGCTCTCATCGGCGCTCTTCTCTGTCTCACGCGCCGGGGAGAGTCGAGGAGGCAACAGTGTCTTGTCTGTCTCAGTCAGCCCCAGCACTCCCTTCGCTACATCGGATGCTTCTTGCAACGTCAGGGTTAGACTGCTCCGCCGGTTGGGAACCACCAAGTCTGCAGCGTCTGTGCTCCGCTCCCCTTGCCGATGTCTTCTAGAGGCGCGTCCCCCCCGTACTCGTCGCTTGACCGGCGAAGCGTCTGCAGCCATCGCCAATTGTTCGGGCGCCGTATTGACCTCGAGGATGTGTGATGCTAGGTTCGCCACGCCAGCGCACAAGGCAGTTCCAATAGGTATGGCAGCAGAAACCGTGCCGATTTGAGGACGACTGCTCATCCGGACGCCTGGGAATACTGCGCTTGTGGAGCGCGGGCTACCAGGGAGCGAGTCGTAGCTCTGAGATTGGAGGTCCTCATCGCAGGTGGAGGGAGGACTCTCGCCGTCTATGCCCCGTGAATCGTGCATGGCAAGTCGAGACCGGCAGCTCGGCCCCGAAGCAGTGGGGGCGTGCTCGAGGGCATGGAGTGTGCCGTTGGAGCTGTTGGCGCTCTCTGTCATCGAACCCATCTTTGCGCCAGTGTGACGCTCGGAGGCGCTCAGAGGATTCGAAGCTACTGCGACACGCAAGAGCGCGGTCAGGATTGCGACAGTGCTGCAAGCGTCATGAAGTGACAGCGAGGGCGGGACGAAGTTGCTGGTCCGACTGGAGAACGGTGCGCGTCTTGCCAAGCCTAGAAAGTGGGAGGCGTGCGAAGTCAGCAAGACTAGGTTCTAATAGTGGGTTTGTGGAGCCCGCTCGCTAACGCCCATGCGAGCTGTAGTCGATCTTTGCTCGGTGGCTGCGTGCCGACAATGAGAACAGCCAGTGCGGGATTGCCATCATGCCTTCCGCGCGCGGCCCACACATTCATCTGTCCACACCGAGGGTGCATTGTTGCATGGTACCCAGAAGATGGGCTGATGCCGCACGCTCGTCCATGCGATGACAAGCAGCATCCAATATCACAGCAACATTGTGCAATACAACATCTTGCAAGGGCCACTCACCGAAAAGGACCGAAAAGGGGAAAAGACAAGCCAGTCGGAGTGTAGCGAGACAGGCCGTGGTACGTGCAGATTTGCCCTGGACGAGACGATGCAGGGCAGACGAGCAGACAGGAATGAGGTCGAGATAGCCAGAAGAGTGGCGCGAAATGAGGGAGATGAGGTCGGCCCGCCGCTACGCGCGCTGGAAGTTTGCTAAATTGACAGGGAGAAAGAAGCTGGCCCGCAAGTGCGATGAGAGGTTGGTGTGCGGTCGTGAAGGATGAGAAATCTGATGGACCAATTCTCTTACAAAGACGTGTGGATGAATGACTTTGTAAAAGGATGTGGTGGACTGCACACGCCACTGCTGTATCGGCTTTGTTGTCAGAAGGGCTGACGAGCACGGGACGTTAGCGGTTGTGATGAACGCCGATGTGGAAGAGGCCGGAAAGAGGCTTGTTTTCAAGATAGTGGTGAGTGCGTGAAATCACAGTGACAGCGACGAGTGCGTTGCGAAAGCTCAAAGACGTCACTGAACAAGCGGTTGTACGGTGTCAACCTGACTCAATGGTAGGGAGGGAGGATCGTCGAACATGTGATGCATGATGCTCACCATAGAGCCAAGCAAGCGCTGATCCTGCCTGCCTGCCTGCCCGCCCGTCCCGTCTGCTCACCAGCAGCAGCTGCATACGCGCTGATGCCATCGTCGTCGATTATCCCGCATCCGAGCCGTTGCCCGCGGGCTATAAGGACACGCAAGTCGAGCAAAGAGGTCCTGACACGGGCTGCATGCATGCAGAACGGCAGAGCGGAGCAGAGCCGCCTCTTCGCGCTCGCTGGATCATCGCTCTCCATCAGCAAAGCTGCTGCTGCTGCTGCTGGGGCCTTGATTGCGAATGCGAATGACAACCTCATCAGTCAAAGGTGCCATGTCAGTCATCATCGCGAGCGTTCCCTGGTCCTCGCACGCAGTGCACGACCCCTCTCATAGGTGACGAGTGAGCACGAGTGCTAAAGCAGGTCACACCTTCGCTGGCTCTTCCGAGGGTCAGCAGTCTCCGAGAGCTAAAGCGCGCGTTCAGAAATCAGGAGATTTCAGCGCAAAGGCAGGCCTGCCTGCCTAGCCTGCCTTGGTCGGTGACCCGATGCGCGGGTGGCTTGTACCTAAAAACTCATCACGAATCGTGAAGATGCAGCGCTAGCAGCAGTTCATCGATGAGTGCGTCCCTTCCTCGGTGAAGCTCACTCAACGTCAGGGTCCAAGCTGCATGGGTGCGCGCATGCATACTCTGGTGTGCTGCTCGCGGTGCTCCTGGGTGAGAGTCCAAGCTGATGCGAGCGCGCTTGCTTGACCGCTGCCAAGCCCGTCTGTGTGATTGTTGTTTATGTACTTTGACTCTGCGCTCGCACTTAAGCTCCTAGCTCGCGCGCTCTGATCGCTCGCATGCATGCATACAACGGTGCAGCAACTGCTGATGCTGACCGCGTCGCAATAAGAGCATGCAGCAATCACGAGCTGCATACAGCAATTAAGTCGTGAGTGATCAAGTGCCGGCCGGCTCTTTGCTTGCACGCTATATAACATGCAACCAACCTCCGGTGGCGCTGTAGTTTCGCATCGGGCCATGCTACATGACGGGGAGGAGCTCGGCAGTCGGGAGCACATGGCCAGTGTAGTATGAAAGCCAAGCTTTCGTCAGAGGTGCATGGTCCAAGAGTCACAGTGATGTTCTACACGATGCTGCACGAGAACGCTCATCGCCAGCATGCACCACCAAGTGCTTGGCGTCCATCATTGATAGGAAAGTGATCCATGCAGCAAAATATGCAGCCAGCCAGCCAGCCGATGCTGACCGCGAGAGCCTCGCCCCAGCAGCAGCAGCCACCATGCGCAAGCTCACTCGTGACTAAGCCGCTGTCGGACGGGTTGACTGGGTTCGCTAGGTCATAAAGCACAGGCGTGAGGCAAATATTCGGCTGGAGGCGTACGAAACATGCCTGGGCATGTGCGTGCACAGCTAGAGGACCTGCATTTCGACAACAGCGAGGCGTGACTATCAAGGATTGGGCACCACAAGAGAGACATCATCAACATCACAATCGCCGCGGACGCCCGCTATAGACGAGACGCACGGTACGCGCGCGGCGGCATGGATGCGCGCTCACTGTCGAAGCATATATTCACAGGTATAGCCGCTGCCGCTTGCTGACACATCGGCCAATATTCGCGATTGATGATTGTCCTAGCTGCCCTTCGTGGCAACCGTGTCCAGCGGACGGGGGAAGCAAGACAAGCGAATTCTCACGGCTGCACCACTCTGTTCTGACTTGAGGCTGCCGCGGCCTTCAGTGTGACAGCTTGAGTCACTAAATATGCTGCGCTCACCACAAATTACCAAAGCCTACAAGCTTAGTCTTGCCTCGATCATGGTTAAGCTCGAAAACGCATCGCTCGCGGGTGCGCGTCTATCTCCTCTCGTCATTCGATGAAATACAAAGCAACACTCACCGGAGCACCTGCAAATTGGATCTGTAGTCGTGCCAGACGACGTTCACTGTTGTGGCTTGAGCAACTGGAAAACGCATCGGAAAACGTGCGCGCCACTTCTCCGGACCGCGATCCCGACTTGCTGACGAGTCTGCATCCCGTGTCGGACTTCCAATCTTACAAGAGTCACCTCGCCTCGAGCGACGACGGGCTCATTCCCCGCTTCCTTCTGTCCAGTGATCTCGACACGGCTGGCCAGGCTAGCGGCCGCGCGTCAACAATCACCGCGAATGATGGGGAAGGCTTGACGGTGCAACTTGCCATGTTCGCGGTCTGGACCAGATCACGATGCTCAAATTGGTCGGCTTCGCGAGCAGATGCTGTACGATACTTGCACTGTACTCGTGGTCAACAGTAGTAGTAGCATGGATGGTGTGTAGGCACAACATCGGCACGGCACAGTCACAGTGCCGCTGCCACACACCGCCAAGCGCTTCTCGGTCACAGCTCTGGCCCTCGTCTTCCAAGTCTCGACGTGGCCGTGTCTCACGTTCACGGAAATGCGCGCAATGCCAGCGCAGCGCATCGCATCGCACCAAACCTTCTCAAGCTGCCTCACCCCCACCACCAATCGTTTCGTGATTCTTTGGGTCGTTGAAGATATCGAGCTAGCTCAAACTCTCTCGGAGCTTCCTCGACAATGCGCAATGACGCTCTCACTCTGCCGCTCCAACACCGTCCGAGTGACGTTTTTCCCGCCCATGTTTGACCCTCGGGTCTGTGATGGGGAAGATGCGCGAGAGGCACCCTTTAAAGCGAACATTGTCCAGACGTGTTGGCCGTGGATGACATGGATGAGTCGGTGTCGGACTTCAGCCGACGTTTTCATCCGATTTCAGGCTTGGTTGTGCGTTCGCTGCTCCGGGCGCTCGCGAAGATCAAGCTGGCCGGAGCAAGTTACCATGCCAAAGCCTCGCGAACCGTGCCGTGCCGTCCATCGACGATTTCGTACCGATCCGCCGCCGGAGAGTCTTGGCTATGACATCGACCAGTCCCCTTCTCACATTTAAACTCCCAATTGAATGGTTAGGTATGCAAAGGTAGGGTAAGGCAAGGTAGCGGCAGCCGACCTGTGGTCTCGGCCTCAACAGACTTTCGAGCACAACAAGTCCTGTGCCGGTAGCGGCGCTTTGTAGCGTGTGCCGCGACTTGGCGAGTCGACGCACCTCTCTCCCCAAGCCGATCCCGGGTCAAGCCTCCATCCCATTTAGGCGGTCCTTGATCCCGTCTTCTTCTTTTCCCGGATCGAGATTGAGAAAGGGTAAGATGAGGACAGTTGGAAGGCTCAAAGGTGATCACATTCCTCCCAAGGTTCTTGAAGGACAAATGAGAGAGTGTGTGGGGTCTCTTGGCACTTTTTGGCATCGGGCCGACCGTGCAGATGGTTCTCGCTCATTTCAAGGCGGCGCGGCCGCACCCGTTCACAATAATTCGCGCTCAAAACTTGTGATTGCAACATTTGCCGCTGCGATTCTTGTCTAGCTCTCGGCAAGCATTAGCTAGCGCACACCAAAAAGGGCAAAGAAGCGTTTGAAAAACCTCGGATGATGTGGAGACTGCAATTGCCGCTAGTGACTGCTCAACTCACGACTGCCCCCAATTGTGAACCTTTGCTGATTGTGAAATTCTTGTTCCCAGCTGTTGAACCGGTTCGACGCGTCGATGTGGGTGACGCGTACCGGTATAGCTGCTTGGCTCGGTTGTGCCGAACGCGGTCTAGGCTTTTTGCCCTTCGCGCAATGTAAGGCGAGCCACAACGTACCTTGTCATTACGTTTGCTTGGCATCGACTACGCGAGCCTTGGCTTGAGCAGGTTGCCCCAAGCGCCCCTTGGCCGCTTACAAGACCTTCCTTTGCCTTTTCCAACAGGTTTTCAATTGCAACTTCTTTTGTGGCAGTGCGAAATTAGAGCGCTATGTGCGTTTTCGTGCAAGTCGTTGATTGATGATTAATACAACTAAAAACAAGCGACAAGCCACGAGATCGTCATGCAGCGAGGGCTAGGGCTATGTCCATGCCAGAGTAGAAGGCCGAAGATCGCACGGAAATGATGGATGACATCAAAGTCGCCGGAACTCGCCGGGACTTTGTATAGTACAACGGACTGCCTCTCATCCTGCTCTGATCGTCGAATGGAGGTGCGGATCGAAGCTGCTCGATCTTGACCGGTGCTGTGTCGTTCTTTCGGGGCTGTGTCGTTCTTTGACGCGCTATTCCTCTTTCCAAGGGAAGCGGTCCACATGCGTGGCAGCTTTATCCTTTCCCACCGCAATTTCCTGCGATTTCCTCTGCCACCTCTGCAAGCGATTCATCAGCGCCTTGACGTTCTCGTCGGCAATGGCGTCCAAATCGTCATCTCCCGCAGGACGGTCCTGCTCGTCCAGCTCCTGCTCCACCCTTTTAAAAGACGCGGACTTTTTCAAATGTCGGGCGAAGCTGATCTCCCAATGCGCAAGCGAGTGCAAAAGCCGAGCTCGCGATGCGCACGACGCTCCGACCTGTTGGAAGTGGTAAAGGGATCAGCCGCAGTAGCCCGATCGACGTGGCAGCGATGCACTCACATAGAAAGACCGTTTGCGCGTCTTGGGGTCGTTGCCTCCTTCGCGTTTTGGAGTCCATATATCATCTTGGGCGGACTCCTCGTCGCTGGACGTATTGGCATAGTCCACCTTCGTGTACGCGGTAAGATCCTTCTTGTGATAAAAAGGTCCGTGGAAGGTGAAGTAGGAGTCCGAGGGGTGCATCCTATTGCCGCATGCCGCGCAACCGTGAAGGCTCCGGTCGCCAGCGTGCTTTCTCAAAAACTTCTGATAGTGCCGAAGATGCCAGTAGAACGAGCGACGCATGGCTTGCGTCATCACACCGCTCTCTATCGCCTTGACCTCCTGTTGCAAATGACGACGAGCTTGGTCCCAAAGTCGTTGGTTGCTTTCAGGAATTTCCATCCCAAGAAGGCGAAAGCTAAGCCAGCGGACATACTGGTCGGCATAATCCTTTGTTGAAGCCCTAAGAAAGCCAAGCTGCTGTAGATCGACGTGACGATCTGGCGGTAGATTCAACTCTGCGCTCTTCTTTGTCTTGCCACGCTTCTTAGACTCTGAGCGGACTTTCTCATTTCTTTCCGCTTCTTTCTTCTTTTTCTTCTTCCGCTTCCTGTCCTTCTTCTTCTTTTTTCTGCTATTGTCCTTTTGAGATCGTTTGGACTCCGATTTTGAGGAGCTCCGCTTGTTCTCAGCACCAAGGTAGGGGTTCGGACGGCGTGAAGGTGGCGTATCATCATCTTCATCTCCCGAAGAAGAGCCCTGATCCGAGTCAGAATCCTCCTCAGTGGACAATCCTTGCTGTTTGCGGTCCCTCCGCCGTTTGAGAGAAGCGAGCCTCTTCGCCTTTTGCTCCTGCTCTGCACGTACTCCGGTCGAGCGGACGAAGGCGTCGCTGAATGGTGGTCAATCAGAGAGGATTGTCAATCTATGAAATGCTGACGAGGATGTATGCGGATGAGCTCGCAACTCAGACTTACACATTGAGGTCTTGCTCCAGATCCTCATCAGAAGTATCTGAAGTGGTTGAGTCTGACGAGTCCGATGTGTCGGACGAATCCGAGGAGCTAGAGGAGCTCGACGACGTGGAGGAGTCCTTTCGCTTCCGCTTGCCTGACGTTGCGCTAGCTGACGCCCGGGTTGAAGATTTGAGAGGTTTCTGCGGCTTTGGCAATGGCTCCTGCACAAGGCGTCGCCCTGCCTTGCGAGGTGCGGGTCCCTCGTCAGAATCATCGTCAGTATCTGCTACGATGATCGTCTGAGCAGTCGTGGCGCTGGGCACCGCGCCTCCGTTGATCGAGAGGCTCGGCGCATTCGTCTTAGGCGCGCTGATGCGCAGCAGGGAGTCACTTCGACTCGTATCATTTGATTTCGCGGGTGAGACGAGATGGCGGGGTCGAAATGTCGACACGATGGAGGCATCGTCATCGTTTTGAGACTCGCCCAAGAACAGGGTTGTTCGCGAGCGATCATCTAGTCTACGCCACGAAGAAGAGGCTTCCACTGCCGGCAGCATGTCCTCGTCGGGAGACAGGCGAATAGCAGCCCGCTTCGATGACAGCGACGACGAGCCGCCATTTCTCTCGTCTGGCAGCGGCGGCGCCGGCCCGGAAGAAGTGCATGTCGCAAGGCTGGTGCTGCTGCCGTTCGCAGGTGCCACGAGCCGTGGCCCCAGCTGAACGAGAAGATAGGTGCGTTCAGTAAGACAACGCAAGCATGCCATCCGGCCCCGTCATCACACCACTCACCGCAGCCAACTCATCCGACACAATCATCTCCGAATTTGTTGGCGATGAATCTCTGGCAGAGGCGAAGGCGTCGCCAGGCGTTCGCGCCTCTATCACAGCATCCTGCACCCCTGTGCTTCGCGTGATATCGACCACATCATTCGCATTGTGCTGCTGCGACGCCAAAAAGGCTTTGAAATTGCGATGGTAGGTAGCCTTGGAGCTCCTCGGAGGAATCTCCACCCAGAACGCTGGAGCTTGTGCCAGCGTCCGAGAGGCGCCTGACTTGCGTGCTGGCATGTTGGCGAGAGCCTCAGCGATGGGCGCAGCGCGCGAGTGATTCGCTATAGCTGTTCAATGTGCGAAGTCCGATGAGCGAGGTATGGAAAGCGCTGATATGAGACACAGTGTAGTGGTCGGGGTGCTGAAGATGTCTAGAAGCGGCTAACGGTGCACGAGCTAGCGGCTGTGCTGGCGACGATGAAGGAGTTCAGATGACAGTCATATTGGATGACAGGTACCAGCTCCAATGTTTATGAGGAAGCTAATGCAGGGCGGTAGGAGCAAGAGCCGGGGTATAATTATGAAGCTGATGGATACAAGTGGATTTCTTCGTCGCCAAGTTGATGAGCAGTGAGTCTTGATTAGCTTGGAATCAAGAATCTCCCCTCGTGCGTTGCATGGGTCGTCATGACTATCGCAATCACGTGCGTGGGTGGAGGGAGGCCTGCTGCATCTTCCTGCGATCTGATAGCGACAAATTACAACAGTAAGTCGTGTCTGGGGCGGCTGAGCGTCGTGCTAGACATCCTCCCCTTCAAGATTCGTGATTCAAGATTATATACACACTGCTTCTTGACTAACGAACCCCATTCATGGATCGCGTCCCATCTTCAATCCTGACTCCACCTACGACCCGCGACTGCAGTGTCGGAGATGACCCGCTGATCGGACCTTTCGCCAAGCTTGCACAACCTCACAAACCGGAAACAGAAGGGCAGGCACGTTTCACCACTCTCCACTCATCGCCGGCCAAACTTTCGCTCGACCGAGATGGCCAATCCATCCTCCTCATCAACTTCACATGGGTCCGGCCCGCAGCTTCATTCGGCATATGCGCTCTCCAATTCTGCTCCAGAGGATGCTGCGATGTCACATCGAGACGCGGCAGAGCTAGACGACTCGGGCGAAGCTCAGGAGTACGAGGAAGGAGCAGAGGAGTTGTACGACGACCTGGAAGGATTGCCCGCAGATTTCGACCCCGAAGATCCCAATCATCCCGCATTGCCCCCGCTTGCCACTCTTCCCATCGCCAACATCAGCAGACTGATGAAGCTCAGCATACCGGCATCCAGCAAGATAGCGAGAGATGCCAAAGACTGCGTGCAGGACTGCGTCTGCGAGTTCATCGCCTTTCTGACCTCGGAAGCTGCGGACAGGTGTCTGGATGAGAAGAGAAAGACCATCAATGGGGACGATGTGCTCTATGCTATGCGCACGCTAGGCTTTGACGATTACGAGGCTGTTTGTAATGTGTGGCTAAGCAGATACAGGATGGTGAGTCCAGCGAGCTCGCAGAGAATGTTGTCACGCATTGGTGTGCCGCAAGGCTGGGACCAGATGTATGCATCAACGACCCACTCCAGAAAAGCAGATGCGAGAATGGCGCGGTTTGTAGTACCAAATAGCTGACGGTGGTCGCTGCACACGCTCTCACTCTTTTTAAGGCACAAGAAGCAACTCCTCGTAAGCGGTCAAGAAGGGGCGCCGCGCGTGGCACTACGGATGCAGACGAGGGACTGGAAGACGATGAGGATCAAGATGGAGACGATGGCGATGGCGATGACGAGTGATGTCGCTTTGACTGTCCTCCTCGCGCCACGATCATTTCCCCGCGTGCCCTACAATCCTGTCCACCTAGCAGTGTCTGCATGCCCCATTACCAACTTGTAGCATACCCTCTTCGCGCCTCAACCTCAACCATAGATGCCCGCTGCCATTCCAGTGGCAGACCAATGCGCCATGCGCCGGATTCCGAAAGTTGCGACCGGAGACATGAGCATTTCAAGGCCGGATCATTCATTGAAGAAATGCTTTCAATCCCAGGCCCCAGGCCTGCCCTCCCTCCTGTCCTTCCGCCTTTGCTCGACCCACGTCTTTTTGCAATCACGACTGTGCAAAAGGGTGATCGTGTGCGAGTCAGTAAATGTGAAGTACCGCTGCAGTGATGTGACAAGACGATTGTCTGCAATCTTGCCTTGGGACTCGTCACACTGCGACTGCGCCTCGCCACCTGACTATAGCAGCAACAGGCACCAACCAGCATTTTTGATTCGGATGTCATGCAGCACTCACTACACCTGAAAAGCTTCTGCGCACTTCGCTTTGTCGTAGCTGTTATCCTCCAAGCATTTCATCGAAAGCGCCGATGCTCTTCTGCAGGGGTCGGTAAACTTTGATGGTGTTTTGCCGGCCATCACCTGCAAAGGCGTCGAGAGTCGAGAGTCGAGACGCGGTCATGATGCGCGCGAAAGGTCAGATCACTGGTGTGACAGACGTGTTGGGAGACTAGGAGATACACTTACCTTGATGTGATCTTCTGGTTGCCTCCCTAATGGTACTCCATCAACGGAAGCAGGTGCGGCTGACATACTGCAATACGCAATCAGAAGTGTCGGATGGATGAGTCGGTTGGTCGGGCAAAACAGGGTGTGGTGATAGGTGGGGACCCTCGACTGCGATTGCTCGGCGTGACGGCTTGTATCTCAGAGTCAATCGTAGAGCGGCGTTGGATCAAAATTCGAAGCGACTTAGTCGAAGCAGATGAAGATGTGAGATGTGACAGCCTGGAGAACTTGAATGATGGCATATATATGCGCTCAATATTGCTTAATGGCGATTCGTGGTCAACTATACACACCCCGCTCGTAAGCGGACTTTCACGATTGACCCGCGGACTTGCTGCAGCTTCGCGACTCGCGCGTGTGCATATATAATCACAATACCCTCTGCACGCTGAAGGCGGGTTTTATGGGGCTGTGCGTTGCGAGCCACCTGTACCTATATACCGGTATGGGTACCGTACCGCTACACAGAGTCGCGAGTAGCAGTCGTGAGTTTGCTGGAGATCTATCAGCGCAGCAGCAGGCGCGGCCCGTGTGGGGCTTCTCCAGAGCTTGACACCAACAGCCTGCAGCTTGTGTGACTATCCTGCCCAGAAGAATCATTGAATGCGAGTCGTGAGTCCAAATGGGTGACTCGTCATCCGGCTCGTGACTTCAACTTGGATCTTGAATCTCGATGCAGCCATCTCACCTTCACCTCTTTCGATCACCTCGCCTTGAGTCTTGGAAGGCACTCCTCGCAACAAAGATGTTTTCTCGGTCAGCGCTGCGCTCCCTTACAGGGTCCAGCTGCTCACCTACAGGCATAGCGTGCCAAGGGTCAACAAAGCGATTGGTCGACTCCTCCAGTCACCTGCGCGCATACAGCACAGCCAGACCCCTAGCCTACCTTGAAAAGCTCTCCGAGAGCCCGCTCTCCAGGTCCGTGGCTCATCACCCGTCATCTGGTCAGTCGGCAGACCCATCGGAGCTGGACAGGCATATCAGCTTGCTCACGCTGGACAGAGCTCCTGCGCGAAATGCCATTGGCGTCCAGATGCTAGGAGAGCTGGAGCAGTGCGTGAATGCAGTGCGACATGACGGGTGAGTATCAATTCGATGCTCAAATTTGCCGAAATGGACTGAAGTGAAATCGTCTGGCTTGCTTGACGCAGCACGCGCGTGCTCGTGGTTCGATCACTGGTTCCCAGCACATTCTGCGCTGGTGCGGACTTGAGGGAACGCAAGTCCATGTCTCCTGCGGAGGTGAATGATTTTCTGCTCGGTCTTCGAAGGACTTTCACAGCTTTAGAAAAGCTCGAAGTGCCCAGCATCTCGGCGCTGGATGGGACAGCTCTGGGGGGAGGATTGGAGCTAGCTCTCGCCACGGATGTTAGGGTGGCAGGGCCCGGAGCCAAACTAGGATTGACGGAAACTAGACTTGGAATCATTCCTGGGTGAGCGGATGAAGCAGATTGGGTTTGAATGAGCATAGTCATGCGCTTCTCACGCCTTTGTCCGCCCAAACGCTCGCTTTCAATCGGACTCAGGGCTGGAGGCACACTGCGTCTGACAAGACAGGTGGGCACAAGTCGAGCCAAGGATCTCATTTTCAGCGCTCGCATCCTCGATGGGCGCACAGCTCTGGAGTTCGGGTTGGTGGAGCACTACGCGCCAGCTCAGGACAAGGAACACGAAGGCGACGAAGCGCTCAATTTGTCCGTGCAGCTCGCTAGGTCTATGGCGGCCAATGGTGCGTGATCGCGTACTGTTGCAAATTCGCGAACCGTGCTAGACGCTGAAAGCTGACTTGGCATTCGATCGAGCAGGACCATTGGCATTGCGCGCTGCCAAAGCTGCAATTGACAGAAGTTTGGGAATCGACAAGTGAGTCGCTTTTATGGGTTCCACTGCATGCTTGGCACCGATACGCCTCTTACACCGCTTGCGCTCCCGCTCAACACAGTGAAGCAGCGCTGGACTGGGAGAGAGCCTGCTATGATCGGCTAATGGACAGCAATGACCGGCAAGAGGGCTTGCGAGCGTTCGCAGAAAAGCGTGCACCTAGGTACACAGGAACATGAGCCGGACATGGCCAGGAATACCTTTGGTTCACTGCACCTCCGCATACCGTGTGTTCGACGGTCGCTGTGACTGGCTCAAGGAAAGTGTGATAGCATTTCGCATGTGAAACAGCCCCTATTCAGGGCAACGATACATTCACTGTTCGAATGCGACGATTAGAGCTTCTGCTCTGCGTTCTCGTCGAAGCGGATTGACACGCCATTCACGCACTGAGTCAAACACGGATTGGTAAGCAGCGGGTTACGACCCATGCTTGAAATATCGGTGACTCACATGCCGCTCGTCTGTTGGGTTGTTGAAGCCTTCTCCCTCAAAAACGTGTCCCAAATGACCTCCGCAAGCTGTACAGGACCCAGCCAAGCCGGACAGCACTTCAGCCACGCCCAAACCGCACAGAGCGCCGAAGTGCATCGTCCACTCACCTTTGCAAGTGATCTCTACTCGCTTCATGCCCCAGCTCCTGTCCACATGCCTGTCAATCGTGCCTGGAATAGCATCGAAGAAAGCGGGCCAACCGCAGCCCGACTTGAACTTGTGGGACGCCTTGTAGAGAGGAGTGTGGCAGCCTGCACAGCTGTACACGCCTTCCTTGGGGTAGTGAGAGTCGAGCTCGGAGGAAAAGCCCGGCTCAGTTCCCTTTTCTCTCAGGATGCGGAACTGAGTCGGGGTTACACAAGAGGAAGGAAGTATGGTGGCAGTGTTGGCATGGCCCGCCGCGAGCTGTACGGAGCCGCATCATTGCACGGAGAAGCACTCACCTGCTCAGGACTCAACTGCGCTCTCCACTCGCTCTCGCTCTTCCCCTTCGGAAAGTTTCCCGTGACTTTGGAAGCATCGGATCCCATACTGGCTGGCCTACTCGGGTGCAAGTACCAAGGTGTAGTTGTCTGAAAAGACCTGAGCGGCGCAGTGCCGACTATGCGGGTGGCAATTTGGTTGGAGGCCGTGTAAAGCAAAGGTGCGGACAGGCCCAAAGCAATTGCTGATGCTGTGGCTGGGGTTGCGTAGCGTTTGATGATGCGTGGCAAGAGCATGAGAGAAAAGGCGATCTGAGGGTGGTTGGTCAATGGAAAGAGGAATGATGTGCGGGCTTTCGAGGCGCCAATCGCTGCGTATAGTTCAGGACCACTCAGACTGCCCATCGTCGTACGACACCCCGCGGTAGCGAGGTGTTCTGATCCCCTGCGTGCTGAGCCGCATACGCTGTGCGTAAGCCCGGGCTTAGCCAGCAGCTGCTGCAAGTCTGGATTGAGGTGGAGGTGAGCTTTACAAATTTCGGCCGGGAAAGAGGACAGTCACGTGCTCAGCGATGCAAATTTTCGATACGGCTTTGTGAGACGCGCGGTGGATGGCATGCAGAGGCGCAGGCGCATGAACGCCGCCTCAGATCGAATCACGAATAACCACGAATCACGAATGACGGCAAGGTGCCGCACTCATGACTGCCGCGTATATCAAAAGCAGCACGCGGCAGCTCCTCGCCAAACGCCAGACGCACGGGCTTAGCGTGCGCAGCATATGCAATAAGCGCCGCCGCTCTGCGCGTCAAAAGTTTCTTGCAGGAGGTCAAACGATTGAAATGTAAGTGGCTCATCATCAGTCGCGCGTCTTTCGTCCAACCAACGTTTGTTGTGGCTCGAGCAGGCAAACAATCGAACGGTCAGTCCTCTTTGCCGAGGTTTCTTCTTGAGAATCAAAATCTGTCTTGCCTTCACCAACGATCTCAAAATCGGTAGCCCTTATCCGCTGGGCACCATCCAAACCGACTAGCGGCACTGCTTCTCGCTTTGAGAAGTCACGCATACAAGCTGGTCTCCTTCAAGACCAAGGCCTGATCGTCCATCCTCTACACACCACGACGCTATTTACGACCTGCTGACAATATGCCTCCAGTATCTGCGTCCAAGGCCAAACGCCAAGCGTAAGTAGATGCGCTTGGTCCGAGCCAATTCGCTTCTTTGGCTGGCTGGGCACACTGACGTCGATCTATTCATATGGCCCCACAGCGAGAAGGCGGCCAAGGCTCAGGCCAAGGCGGAGGCCAAGGGTGAGACCGCTTCCACTGCCACTTCAACGTCTGCCAAGACCGGCGCCTCCACCGCACCCACCAGCGTGAATGGCGATGAGGTGGAAGAGATTGACATGAAGAAGCTCGCTCTGGCCACTGACCGCAATGCGTCAGGTGTGCTCACTAGCGATCCTCAAGGCCGAGACATTCACATCGACAGCTTCACCATGAGCTTTCATGGTCGTCTTCTCGTCGATGGTGCCAGCGTAGCACTCAATTACGGACAAAGATATGGGTTGCTGGGAGAGAACGGATCAGGAAAGACTACTTTTTTGGAAGCTCTGGCCAACAGAGACGTCGAGATTCCTGGGCACGTCGACATCCACTTGGTGCGCGGTGAGGTCGAGCCGTCGGAGGAGAACGGATTGGAGTACTGCATCAAGAGCGCTCAGGAGAAGGTCGCCCGTCTCGAAAAGGAGATCGAGGACATGTCCACCGCGGATGCTGTAGACGAGGTTGGACTCGAGCTCAAATACGAAGAACTGGAGGAGCTTGACCCAAGCACGTTTGAGGCCAAGGCAGGCGCCATTCTGCATGGTCTCGGTTTCAGCAAGACGATGATGAACAAGCCGACCAAGGATCTTTCTGGTGGTTGGCGTATGCGTGTCGCCCTTGCTCGTGCTCTTTTCATCAAGCCCCACCTCTTGCTCCTGGATGAACCTACGAACCATTTGGATCTTGAAGCAGTCGTCTGGCTCGAAGCCTACTTGTCTACCTACAACCATATCCTTGTCTTGACATCCCACTCTGCTGACTTCATGGACTCCATCTGCACCAACATCATGGATCTGACCCACCACAAAACGCTGGTCTACTACGGCGGTAACTACACCACCTATGTGCGTACCAAGGCAGAAAACGAGACGAACCAAATGAAGGCGTACGCCAAGCAGCAGGAAGAGATTGCTCATATCAAGAAGTTCATTGCGAGTGCCGGTACTTACGCAAACTTGGTCAAACAAGCCAAGTCGAAGCAAAAGATCATCGACAAGATGGAAGCTGCCGGCTTGATCCAACCCGTCACTACACCTCGACCTTTGCGTTTCAACTTTGAGGATGTGCGCAAGCTGCCCCCTCCTATCATTGCATTCAATGAGGTGGCTTTCAGCTACAGCGGCAAAAAGGAGGACTACCTGTACAAGGACTTGTCTTTCGGTATCGATATGGACAGCCGTGTCTGCATTGTGGGACAAAATGGTACCGGTAAATCCACCCTGCTGAACCTGATCACCGGAGCCCTTATGGCAGTGGAAGGCTCAGTACAGAGGCATGCCGGCCTCAAGCTTGCCAAGTACAGTCAACACTCTGCCGATCAGCTGCCGTACGACAAGTCACCGCTTGAGTACATCGAGTCCAAGGTGAGCAAGGAGGCCGAGTACAAGTCTCTGAAGCGTCTTTGCTGACTCGCCCTGCGCTTCTCTGTTTCCTTTGTAGTACAAGGAGCAGATGCCAGAGAAGGGAGTGCAATTCTGGCGCCAGCAAATCGGTCGGTTCGGCCTTACGGGCGCCCACCAAACTAGCGCCATCAAAACTCTGTCCGACGGATTGAGGAACAGAGTCGTCTTTGCTCAATTGGCAATGGAGAACCCGCACATCTTGTTGTTGGACGAGCCCACGAACCATTTGGACATGTCTTCGATTGATGCGCTGGCCCAAGCTATCGTCGAATTCGAAGGCGGTGTGGTCGTCGTCTCGCACGATTTCAGATTGCTGTCCAAGATTGCAAACGAAATTTGGGAGGTGAAGGATGGAAAGATTATCAACCTCAGCTCCCGAGATATCGACATTGGAACCTACAAGAAGCAGCTGATGAAGAACAGTGCGGCGGCTATCGAGAAAGCCAAGCTCACTGCCAAGGGCAAGGCATGAGCCGTCGATGGACTGCATCAAAGCGACACGTTTGCGGGTGTGCATCAATCTCCGGGCCTTCGATTGGCAGCCGCCTGTCTTCTAGCCTGCGACTGCCACCTTCACGCGCTGCACGCCAATAGCTGGCCTCAGCAGGCCCCTCAAAATTTACCTGCGATACCTGTAATAATATTGGCGGGGAAATATGGTCAGTAGCGTCTCTCACCCGTGCATTGCACCTCTGGGCAGCACGCTCTCGGACCGGACCAATCATGCCCGTGAAATTTGATAGACGCATCTATTGCCATGACGATGTTTCGCTGTGAATACCGCCTGCGTGTGTCTTTTCTTACAATCGAGCTTCCTTCGGCGCTGGGGTCGCTCGATCCGGCAAATGCGCCGCATAGTAATGATGGAGTGGCGAGAGCGGCCAGGCCGTCGGACAAAGTGAATATTGTTCTTGGCGTTTGGAGTGATTTGCGAAATGTATGATGGCACGTTGAAATCCTCTACATAGTGTGCGCTACTGCGGAGTCGGTGCCGCTTCGGCTAATCGCAAGTGTCCGCTCCGAGGTGGCAAGCACGGATGACAAACGCATGAGCAGCGTCGCCACCCAGACGCCAGCGAGCCGTTAATCCGTACGTCACAGAACGCCCGAGAGGGCCCGTCCAAACCCTCCAGGTCATCAGCCACGTCGATTGAGCGCAACGTCGGTGCCACTCAATCAGCGTCTCGACCAGTATAAGCGGCGGAAGGACGCGGAATCGATTCGGTGCTCGATCTGCTTCGGGTGGCGTCGATGATGCCTCCGCCCATGCTTCGTTTTAATGGGCAAGGTCCGCGCGTCTTGCTGCTTCGGAAGCTTGGTGTGTGTGACCGGTGTGGCAAGACCTCGACTTATAAATGCTGGGCGAACGATTCCTGACGCACCCAACAAGCCTCATCCCCTCATCATTCCAGGTAGCGGTGCGTTGATTGGTGCCTTTTTTTCAAAAAGGGCGTACCAAATTCAGAAGCGGCTCTTTGTACAGTCGAGATACTTACCGAGTTGCTCTGGTTAGTCTCGAGTTGCGTCACTCTTCACGCCCGTCAGAGTCCGCGCGCTCATCGTCGCTGCTCCGATCCTCCATATAGCGATTTCGTCAAGCCAGAAGTTCTATGCCGACGCGCAACATGCTGCTCGATGCAGTGTGGCTTTGCACTTTCCTCCTGATGGGGTTTGGAGTCTCGGCGTTGAAGCCTTTTCCCGGCAAACGCCTCGTGGATGGTGGTGAAGCCGTGTTCAAATACCAGGTGCGCGCCCACATCAGCAATGAAGACGTCCTAGAATCCAGGAATGCAGTCTACGCTTTGAAAAGAAGAGGTTTGGGATCCTTGATCTGCTGCAAGGCCATGCCAGAAGTGGAAGAAGCTGCGCACACTCACAAGTGGGCAGAGATCGAGCACCTCCACGAGAATCCGCCCCACGTATCTTTGGCTATGACGTCCAAGTCATCCACCTTTCGACCTATCCCTAAAGAGTGGCAAGGCACGCAGTACATCAACCACCCCTACGTCATCCCAACGAAAGCCACATCCCTGAAGGTCGACCCTTCGCAGATCGGCGCACACGTCACCGGCTCACTCGGCCCGACGGACGTGAGGCTGGAGTCTGGCAATCATGATTGGCACGTCAAGCAGAATTTCGCCGAGGACATCTACGGTAACCTACACCTCACCAGCCACGAGATCACAAAGGTTCCCCACACAGACACACATCTGCCCATGGATAAGCTGCCTCCAGGACCAGACGGTGGAGAAATGAGGCCTCCGAAGCAGATTCGGCGCCATACGACCGAAAGACCAGAGCTCGTTCGAGATAAAGAGCCAGCGTCGCACTCGACGTACGCGGGCGACAAGACGTGGGAGTGGAACAAGGAGCCCAACGAATTGAAAAAACGGCCGTCCCAGGACCTTCATCTCAAGTTTCACAAGTACGCTCCCATCCATTTCCGAGAGGTCAGGCAGTACCATACCGAGGTCGCTGGCCAGCCCACCTTCGTGGTGACAAAAGAAGCTCGCCATCCACCCTTGCCAGAGCAGTACGCTGAGCTCCCAAGCGCTAGTTCAAAGCATGGACAAGAAAGAGATTCCAACGCTGGCACTTCCATGGCTGACGTGCCTAGCCGGCAGAGCAAGCTCGTGCCTTACGAAAAGAAGCGCTTGCCAAGCTTCTTTTGATCCAGCTGTGCAAATCTCATCGTCATTTACGCCCTTTTCCGCCGCGTGGTCTTGACTCTATCCGCCATCGTTGTCGAAGGCGTCGTATCGCCGTGGGCGTTCTCAGCAGGGCTACCTGTCTGCGCCTGAGAGGAAGGTCGCAATGGACTGCTGGCCTTTCCGTGCGGCGTTGGCCTATGTGTGGGTTCTTTGCCAGCGCTAGCAGATTCAAGGGTTTGAATGCGCCTCGATACTGGCCTTCGCGGTCGATGATAGCTGCTCGTGTCAACTTGCTTGAGTAGCATTGGTGTAAGTGTCTCAGTTTCTGGCTGTGCAGCAACGAGAGGAGCAGCCGGAGGTGTCGGAATGAAAGGCTTGGCGTCGATCATGTTGAGCCCCGGCAGCTCCATTGAGCTACGCAAGTCTTCCTGCTTCACCTTCTCGCCATTCACAGCCTCGACTTTGTAGTTCTGGAACGAGCGCAAATCCGCAGTAAAAATGACCGAGTGTGCCCAGCCTGCATACTCTCCCCAAAGCTGCCTGAAGCGATCGGCGAGCTCTTCGTAGCCCTTGTTGCCTTCTTTCACCCGCATGCCGTACCAGCGCGCCGCGAACTTGGTTGGTAGGACAAGACGAGTCAATTTCATGACTCGACAGACAGCCTATAGTCAAGCGAGCACGACAGACCAAAGACGTACCTGATAGACGTGCCGGTCGACGGGAATACTAGAGGGCTGGTCCATCGACATTAACAAAATGCAGCTGTGATGACATCAAACGGAAGTAAGCTATCAGCCGCGCAGCGATCCACAGCGCTCTCTCCACGTCTTCTCACTCTGCAACTTTTGGCCCGACTCCTTGGAACTTGATCAGCTCCGCACGGGCTTCAGGGTATGTCATGGATCTCAAGGAGTGTAGGAAAGACGTGGGCGAGTGTGTCGTTTGCAAGCGATTGCTTTCTGTCGAAGCGCTGCCTTCACCTTCTTTGGCAAAGCCTTTAGCATCCGTTTTCGTACGCTTCCTCTTCCGCGGAGTAGGAGGCGGAGTCGCAGGTCTTGACAAATTCCGTGGAGTCCCATCGAAAGAAGCAAGATTCGAACCTTCCAATGCGAGCCTGCACTCGTATCCACAGTCCGGCTCCGCGCCGACATGCGTTTGAGCGAGGACCCTGGCTGTTTGCCAAATATATTTTGCTCGATATCCGAAAGCAAGCTCGTTCCTCAACGTGCCTTCCACATCCTCGGAAGTCAGGGCTGCGGCAGCAGGGAAGGGGTGGTACGTTATTCGCGTTGCTCCCGCTTGAACGCCCGTGGAAGTAGCATCAGTGCCAGTGTTCGGCGGAGGTGGGGGATATTCGAGCGTGAGGAGAGGCGGAGAGTATCGATGGCTCAGTGCCATAACCATTTGACCTATCCGTGCGATATTGTTATTGCTGGAGCATATGAATGCGCACAAGCATTCCCAGGGATCTGCCGCGAGGTGGGAAGAGAGTCAAATGAGCAAAATGGCGTCCCTACGCAAGGATGCAGCGCCATATGTTCATCCGAACTCACCTTGTCTAAGCATCCTGACGCCTGCAAAACGCTTGGCAAATCTTGCAAACACTTTGTCCTTGTCCGCCCACTCCTGATACATTTGATCCAGCGGCACTCGGATATTGAGATAGTCTCTGAGCCACGCATCTGTGCCCCTTTCGTATAGCTCGACGTAATCGTATCTGCTAAGCTGAGCCTCAATTGCATCGGGAAGCCGTGTACGATGGTAGACGTAGCCTCTAGAGACGTCTTGGCGCAGCAGGATCACTCGATCGGATAGCGCCATTGAGTACTCGGTCCACCGTTGCCACTCGACATCACTGGTAAATGACGAAGTGGACTCTGTCTTCTGCCCATGCTCGGCCTTCACCCCCACGTCGTCATGGTGTGCGTTGGGCCATGCAGATGATGTATCATTTTGGTCTGGATCCGCCTTGATGGGGCGATTCGCAACGGCAGCATCTACCAAGCTCTCATCCTTCGTCACCACCGACGATAAATTTCTAGCTGGATATTCTGCCTTCTCTCGATCGACCGGCTCCCATACATCAATGGCTCGCCATCTGAACGCCTGTCCGCACCGGTTGGAAATGGTGAGCTCCAGGAGTATCTCGGAAGGCAAGACGCGGAGGGATGCGTAGCCTGGAGGTGGTCGAGGTGGGATAGGTGGGCTACCTGGGACGAGTGTAGCATCTCTCGAGATCCCCACAGTACTGGACATGGTGAAAGAGTGTGCTTGACAATTTAACGTGCTTCGCAGAGCTGCAAAGCCATGCCTCGCCGCGGCTACGTAACATCGCCTGGTTTTGCAGCGAATGAATAGGATGTTGCTCGCTAGGGTCTGGCCACAGGGAGGATAATGTTCACGCGCCGACGCAGGCTGCAATACAGGGCTCCAGTACGGCAATGCGAGTACGCGAAGAGTCGGGACGAAACGAGTGAGGAAGAGAGGATGGATGGGATGATGACGGTTGCGAATGGTGCACAATGAGAGCTTCCGGCGAGGACTGACCGGCGGAGGTGCGGGCTGTAGTTCGGGGTGTGGAGGTATCAATCACAATCCTCGCGAATATTCTCATCGTTTGCATGGCAGCGTGATGCAGGAACGTCAAATTGACCAACGCGTCAGAAAGTCACGAGTGCAAATCACGGATGAAAGCGTGAAATCACAGATACAACATATACGCGTGATGATTAGCAGGTTGGCAAGCGACCAAGCGTCCCTTCGACGCCAGAATCCGGAGAGCTTCTTTCTGACTTTGCAGGGCATCTGAAGCACCCATCTAACTCAATTTGAATTTTGAATGACTGCAAAAGACTCCACTCAAGACTATAGATGCCTCAATGATCCCTTTATGCATAGCAAGCAACCAAGCTGTGATAGGCAGCACTTTGCACGTTTCACCTCGTCCGTGGCCGCCCCATGACAGCGACGATGAGCGGGGAGTCAACTCTTCATGGAAGTCTTGAGTGTGCGCGTCCGCGTGTGACGATCGTTCGGACTTCTTGCATGGTCTTCCCAAGAAGTCCGTCTTTTCTCGGCGGATCTTTTCTTGATTTGCAGCGGCTTGCTCATTGTCGATTCAGGATTCGTGATTGCTGCTAAAAAAGCATGCCAGCTTCGAACTCCGGTCCACAACGGACGTCATGATCATCTGGCCCCAGCATAGTTGCTACTTTCGGCCTCGTCCTCTTCCTCGTTTGAGTCTGATGAAGCAGGACGGGCTACGTGTGCGAGGTGTTGGGACTCGTGACTCCCTGTGGCTGTTGTTACTTTCGTTGAACGCGAGCAATGAAGAGCTTCACACGCACTGCAGCTACCTCAGAGTTCCGACATGCGAAGAGCGAGCATCTCGCCGTGCTGGCGATACATGGTCTTGCAGCACTCACGCACACACACGCTAAGCTCGCAACTTTCTCTTCTGCTGCAGGTACGCTCGCAGCGGCACAGAGCGCATCATTTGGCCACGTTTCTATGGCCCCGAGGGCTTGGCTTGGACCGAGTCGCCCATATAGCTCTTACATACATATCTCTTGCGCTCTGCTCCGAGACTTTTAGCTCGAGAGTGCAGGCTTGGCCTAATCGATCACAAATTGCCGAGTTGATTGATGTGGACAAGTCGTCTCTGCGGAACCGAGTAAGACCTTCGCATGTACGTTTGTGCATGGTTGCTGAGCATTCGCGCTGCGCCGCTGCAAACCAGCCCTCGACTGTCTCACCTGCTTCGACTGCTGCATATGTAATGATGACTGCAAGGTGAGCAAGTCGTGATTGGAGGAGCAGAAACTCGGGCTGGACAGCTCAGTTGGGGTCACGGCGATACATTTCGCGCCTTCAAGTCACACTCACACTCGTGATCCAGAGGTGTAGGTGTTAGAGCCGCAAAGGTGCAAGGTGACTTGCTCGACTGCACAGCAGCCTGCAGAAGCCAAGACTTGCCTTGTCACGATGGATCGAGTGCTCGAGGCCAATATTATCGTCGACTTTTCCGAAGCGGGCCTACGCAGACGAAACTTCCCAGCAGACATGCACATGCCTGCACGCTCGATCGAAGTGCACTCACACTTATTCCTGTCTGACTTGATCATACCGCCTTGCTGCGAGGTAATCGTTTTCATGACCAGCATGCAGCACACGTTCGGCGGCTTTCTCGCTCGCCTTGCCTGGTGCTCTAGCTAAATAGAGAAGCGCGGTGGCTCAAGTATACGGTACAGGCTACTCGCCCCATCCCCAGCGATACTCTTCTTGCTCGTACCTCTCGACCCGCCGGGCGCGAGCGTACGGGTCGGTATGTACCGTATGTGCTGGCCGCGTACGCACACCCGACGCAAAAGCAAGAAAGAGAATAGCAAGCCGCGGACATTCGAGTCAAGCATGCAGTCTTGAGTGCTGAAGTAGACATGTTTCTTTATGCAGACAGGTAGGTGTCCACGATATGATAGCAGCAGCATGTAGGCCGCTATCATGAATAGTTCAGTAGTCCTGAGACTGCTGCGCGGCTTGCGATCCAGCCAGAGTCGGCTTGTATAAAGATTCGTATCCATGATGCTGCAGAGAGCCTCTGCTGATGCTCATCAGCAAAAGCAAGAATCGTGAATAGGATCGTCGCTCTGCAGCTAGACGAGCACTGCTGCGTATATCTATGCCAAAGGTTCCGGTCCGGAGCCGGTGGGTCGATTCGAGCGGAGTGCGAACACGAGCAGCACTTTAGCCGTTCCTGTGGGCGCGTCGGCCTCGCTGATGTGTGAGTATTGTATACCGCGGTACTCGTATGTGAGGGCTTTTTGCAAATTGACGCGCATGCAGCAAGCACCCTCAGCAGCGGCTGATCCCACAGCTCGATTCGTGAGCACTTGCCGGTTCGGGAGCTTTCATGAGGCACTCACGGTCGTGCGGGTCCGATTGTGTGGAAAGCTGCTCGCGGTACCTTTGTGGCCACCATCGCATTCTGGATCTCTACCGCAAGACAAGTCGAGCAGGCTGGCTCGCCGCACCTATATATATTCAGGTCTCGGCCTGAAGCACGAGAAAAGGCAGGTTACGCGTGTGGCGGACAGCAGCTCGCAAGGAAGCTCGTATCCGTTTGCATCGGGGAGCCGCGGCGGATCTAGCTGGCCAGCGTGTTACACATATGATATACACGAGCGCTCGCAACCGTAAAGCTTCGTGAGAGCTCAGTGCAAGGTGGGAGGCGGTTGCAGATCGTTCTGACGAGACATCAGCCACCGTATCAACTATGTGCTTCATCTCGCGCTGGATGTCTCTCGACCGCTAGCAAAGCATCGATGGCTCGGACACGCTCGGAATTGCAAACGCAACCAATATCAAGACGAGAGAAAATCTCGAAATCTTGAGCAGCCATCCAGCGTTCGCGCCTTCTGCGCTATACCTGCCCACGATCTGGTTTACCGTAGCCAGTCTACCGACTCGACAGCAGACGCAAAGTTTTGCCTTGGCCCAGTTCAAGGAATAAGAGATTGGACTGTCGACATTGCACGCCTGCATACGACGAAGATCATTCAATGTCTCTCACAGAGCTTTGCGTTGGCGCTTAATTGACTCGGTCAATTCGGCCAAGCAATGAGACTACGCACAGCAGTACAGGTATCTTAGCACATCTTTCATTTAGGCGAGGCGAGACTGTCTAGTCTCGCGTTGAGTCCAGATTGTCAGCTAGCTCGCTGAGCAAGCTCGCCATACACGATTGAGCCTCTGTGCACCACCTCACCATCCCGTCAACAAATCATAAGCGCCCAACAAAGCGTTGGCCCGGCTAACCTGGCCCCTCCGATGCCTGACGTGCAACTGCTTCGGCCATTTGCGTCCGTCAACATGGGTCCCTCGGATATGAGCATACCGCGCGCATCAGCGCCCAACCACGCGATCCGGCAGTCGCCCTCACAACCTGGCCAAGGAGAGACGACAGCGGCAGCGAACGTTGCTCAGACCTCCACTGCCATTGCGAATCTCCCTCTCACCGACCCGAGCCCCTTCGCAAGCCCAAAGCCTGACATGCCGAGGCTGAGCCACACCGCCGTTGCTCATCATCGGCGCCGCACTTCAACGGTTCAGCAGGATATCACGCAGAGCTGGCCGGTACGCTTCGAACACGAAGACGATACACCGAGAGATGTGCATGCGCCTCTGGCTGTGCGTCTCGGTCTCGTCGAGCCAGCTCAGGTCTTGCCGTATCTTTCTCCCGAGCTCTTTGCCGGTGTTCATGCCGGTGCGGAGCCTTGCAAGATCACAAAGACCCAAAGACAGGAGAGCCATTACGTGCATCGTAAGTTGCACGGCTACTACCTCTTGATACCTCCACCTCGCGGAAAAGACCGAGCGGAAGTTTCCCCTTCAAGCAGGCCGTCCTCGCCTGAGCCGGTCTCACGCAGCTTGCCTTTAAACCCAGGAGCAAGCACGCACAAATCCACCGGCGTGGTCAATGCGGCCTCCCGACCCGCGCCAACACCGGTAACATCGCCTTCATTGGCTATCTCACTCGCCTCGCCCCGCTCTTCGGGGATTGACCTGCAGTCGGAGGGCAGTAGCGTAAGATCTGGACTCATCGCTCCGACAACCAGGAAGATTCGGCCGGGGACAGCAGACTCGGGCTCATCGATGGGCAGTTCGGACAGCGGACTCCACAAGACTGCGAAGTCGCACGCGCGTGATGGCAAGTCGAGCAGGGGCAGCTCTTCTTCTGAAGTCGAGCCTCATCAAAAGCTATGGTCGCTAGATGATTATTTCATGAAGCGGAGGAGTCGTACAGGTGGACGGATCTGCGCGGAACGCTATCATGCGTACCAGCCCACCAAGCTGCCATGGAGGTTCAGCTATAACGCAGACTCCACCATTACGTGAGAGCTCCGGTGTGAATGAGTGGGATATGGAGCCAACACCGTATTGACGCTCTCTTGCTACTCTTGCAGTCAAGAACTCTGGCATCACATTGCGCACGAGGTGGTCGGCAAGCACCTGTTGTCAGAGTTTCCGGGCGACATCATGCCCAGAAGGATACTGGATGTTGGCTGTGGTCCAGGGATATGGATTGCTGATGTTGCCAAGCAGCCTGGATGGGAAGTGAGTGTCGTATGCGATGGGCGAAGGAAAGGATACTGCTCACGCTCGATTTGGGGTACTGGAATATTCAGCATTCAGAGTTTGTTGGCCTAGATGCAGTGCCTTGCCAGACGCTCCTATTGGATCCAGATCTCGCTAGACGCGTCTCATGGGTCGTTTCCAACGCTCTAGACGGCCTGAAGGAGTTCCCAGAGGCTAGCTTTGACTTCGTCCACTGTCGTTTTCTCGTAAGTCGCACTCTCTCGAGAGAGCTTGGAGTCCGAAAACGACCGTGACGCTGACAGAAGCGTACATCCCAGGGAAACAATTCTATCCCAGAAGATTCTTGGCCTGACCTCATCGCTGCCATGACCAGAGTGCTTGCTCCAGGCGGCAGGCTCGAAATTCTCGAAGCAGACGTAGCATTTTATGGGACTCCTCACCGCATCCCTGCCCACGAGTTGTGAGTCGACGTAGCCCAAGCTGTGCTGCTCGCCTTGCGAAAAAGGATTGCGCTGAGCATGCGAGTCTGCGCTGACTGCAGGAAGGAGCTTGCGGCGGGTGTTGGAAACGTTGCCCTGCGAGTGAACATTAAGAATGGACGTCATGGCGAGGAATTTGATCCGCTCGAGAGGGTTTGTCTGCGGGCATTGGAGCAGCGAGGAATCAGCTTCAGTCCTCTTGCCCAACTTCCGGCAATTCTGATGCTCGAGCACGATCTGATGGATGTGAGGTGTGGAAATCCTCGGGTGTTACCCTTGATGGCGGAGCCCGGCTTTGCCCTGGGTGGCCCAAAGCCTCGACAATCATCGCCAAGTTCGAGTCCGACTGCCAACCTCAGAGCACAGGAAAGTCCGGATTCGCCCCGAGCTACGGGCGATCCTCCCTCGGCGCCCACTTCTCCCAGCTTGGGCCTTCCAGAACCCAATCGAAATCCAGCATACACCAATCGAGCGCCGGTAGGCACTCCTTTGAGAGGCTCAACATTCCGCATGCCAGACCTCGAACTCATACGCTGCATGATGCTCATGAGCGAAGTGCACCTATACACTGGCTCCCGAAACATCTTGTGGCAAGAGGCGGAAGCGGACAAGAAGGCGGCCTCTCGACCCGCCTCGCGATACGGGGCGAATGGTGACTCGGGCGAGCCTTATGCTCATCCTTGGTCTGACGAAGCGGCATTCCATCGCACGATTGATCGATGGGTGGCAGACATTACGAATCGAGCCGCAGTGAGGGGTCTCCTCAAAAAGACGTTGGGTTGGGATAGCAATGCCGCGCAAGCCAGGGCGAAGGAGACGGACAAACCTTCGAACGCAGATGCTAGCAATGGCCCGTCACCTCCGACAGCCTCCTCTGCAGGAGATCCTTGGAGCTCGAGCTACAGCAGATCCTCGGCCAAACAAGTTGCTCTTTCAACGAGTCAACGTCCCCAATCTCTGAACAGCGCGCAGAGCGCAGAGAATGCCGCGCAGCTGCACAAAATGCATCGAGAACGCCGAAACAGTCACAAGATTCCATCTTCGCGTCCCACCTCGCCCAGGTTCTCGGATTATGGAGACCGCACCGCAGAGAGCAAATCGTCTGCTCACAGACAACGGGAGAGCTTGCCTCCCACACCACGCATACCGAAGATACCGCTGCTGGGCGTCAAACGAACGACGGGATTCACTGCGATACGTAAACCGACCGAGGCAGCGTCCTGAATGCTTGCAGGCGTGTACCAGTGATAGTCGCGCAGAACACAAAGCAGATCTCATTGCCGGCTGCTCAGAAACCCTTTGCTTCCATCTAGTGTTGTACAGTACTCTTCACAGCCTCTCCAAAATGCCGAATAGAAGCTTGCACCACCGATATGAGCATCTGTCTGCTATTTTGCAACTTCTGGGGCCGCAGTCTTTCCATCCAGCGAGCTGCCCGTGCGTTTGCGACCAAGCATTCTTCTCCCACTGCCCCTTCTCCATTACGATGTGCCTTGCCCCTCCAAACCTCCCCCATCTTCCATCATCTGCTTGCGTCTTCTGATTCTCTGCCTAATCACTTCCAGACCGGGCTTGCTGCCCCTGACTGTCCCGAATAGCGCGTCCCTCACTCTTAGGTCGCGCTCCGACAACTCCTCTGCATCAAAGTTCAGGTTGACGCCAGACGAAAGCCACTTGCTTCTCTCTTGAATCTCTGCCTGATTGGAAAAAGCTGCAATGGCGGTGGGTGATCCTTCGACCTGAGCACTGACCGATGTGTCGGTGGTGCTCGATCGAGATGATCGACCGAGAACAGCATCCAAGCTAGCCAGAGCTTCTGAAGAGTTTCCGAATGAACCATCGCCAAAGACGGATTTGGATTGACCACCAGAGGAAGAGGAGGAAGTGCCGTTCCAGGATTCGTAGTCCATATCGGGATCCACGTGCGGATCGAACCCTGAGCCTGCTTTGGTGCGACGCGCTTCGCGCTCAGTGAGAAGAGCAAGAGAGGTCTTGAAGAGTAGGTCGGATGTTCGACCTCCTTGATTGACCGATCGGGTCAGTGGACTCAACATGTCCTTTCTGATTCGCGAATCCAACTCCTCTTCGTGCTCCGAAAGCTGTCTCGAGCTGCCCGAGTACTTGGGCGCAGAGGGACGTGTTGCGGAACCCGCTTCGCTCTGACCTTGACCTCCAACTTGACCTTCGACGCTGCTCGGAGATTCGACCTTGGACTTGGGATTTGGAAAGAAGGATTCGGACAGGTGGTACAAGTCGATTGCTTTTCTCAGCTTTTGATCCTTTGTGAGTTGTGCACGCCTCTTCCACCGCTTCAGACGCTTCTTCTCTTCGGCTGCTTGCGCTTCAAGTCGGTACGCTTCTCTCTCCGAGGGGTTATTGATGTTGGTCGCCGAGGCATCGCTGGGAGTTTGGGAATGATGAGCGGTGCTTGTGCTCAGAGAGCGATGGGATGCGCAACTTGTGGAGAGAGTGCGCGAGGCAGCTCGTAGCCCGCGAAAGGTTGCTGGGATGGACGACATGCTTGTGCACGTCGAGCCGAGCAAGCGGACGAGCTCGAGAATATAGCAGCGACACTCCTGCTGAGACTCGACTGGTCTTCAAGAGGGGATGTGCTACGTGCTTGTAGAACGAACCGAGCGAAGGAATGATGTTTATACGGGAAAAATGATTCACGATTGGAGCGGTTTGCGCAATACTTGCTGTACGAGGGGGTGTAGGCGTAATTAGCAACAGAAAGAGTAAGCGACTCAGCGCTGAGAGCCTCAAGCCGTTCCACAAGAACGCTCGCTGCTTCAATCACAATTTTGACGCTTCTGCTGAGAAGATGCATCATGGCATGCTTGGAGGATGGCTGTAGGCGCACCGCACCAACGGGAGCACGCCTGCTGAGAGGGCGCGCGCAAGGGAAGCTCTGGAATGCGTGGCCACGTGTCGCGTCGCGCCAGCACTACCCCGCTCAGTGCCTCAGTGCGCCAGCCCACGCATGCACTGTCGCGGGGGGCTGCTGCTGCGCGGTACTCAAGGTGTCGCGGGCGCACGGTCATTCAGGATTCGGCTGATGCTGACTCCATGAGCATGCAACGCGCTTCCTACGCACATGATGTATGTAGAGCTGCGACTTGGAAGTGTAGGGGGATCACTTGCAATTTGCCAATCATCCCACACCAACTCACCGCGCCGACCTGCTCTCTTCTGTTCTGTCTTACATCTTCGGCGCAGTCCTCTTGCACTTTGCGACAGTCGGCGGCTGCAGTGAGCTTTACGTGCGGTCCAAGAAGGAGCGTGATACAGATTCCTCGTCTCCTCGCTCTGAGAAGGAGCTCATTAGGTACCAAGATCGACGCAGGTCACGCTCGTGTTCGCTGGCCGGTAGCGCCCAATTCCTGCACAAGAGACCTCTTCCGAGAACACGGAGGCCCAACATGCCGATGACGTTGGACATCGAGCGCAAGCTCTTTGCGCGATCCGATCGGGTCAAGTCTGTCGACTTTCACCCCACCGAGCCATGGGTCGTGACAGGTCTGTACAGCGGAGCAGTGCACATTCATAATTACAATACAGGTAGCATAGTCAAGACTTTTGAAGTTGCTGAAGTGCCAGTCCGTTGCGTACGCTTCATAGCTCGCAAGAGCTGGTTCATTGCTGGATCGGACGACTTCCAGCTCAGAGTCTTCAATTACAACACGCACGAAAAGGTGACGAGCTTCGAAGCGCACCCGGACTATATCAGGAGCTTGGCAGTGCATCCTACTGGACCTTATGTCCTGACAGGAAGCGATGATATGACCATCCGGATGTGGGACTGGGAAAAGGGTTGGAGGCACGTTCAGGTGAGCGGACAGTTGTGGTGTCAAGAGGCGCGCGCATGCTAAAATCGACGCATACCAAAACGTTTGTGCAGACCTTTGAGGGACATGCGCACTACATCATGGCGTTGGCTTTCAATCCCAAGGACAGCAACAGCTTTGCATCTGCTTGCTTGGACCACACGGTCAAATTCTGGACGCTGGGTTCCAGCACCGCCAACTTCACATTAGAGGCGCATGCCCGCGGGGTCAACTACGTCGACTACTACCACGGAGGTGACAAACCATACGTGATCACAGTCAGCGACGACAGGACGGTCAAAATTTGGGACTACATTTCCAAGTCTTGCGTTCAGACGCTCGAGGGTCACATGTCCAACGTCTCCTTTGCCGTTTTCCACCCCTCCCTGCCGCTGATCGTGTCCGGTTCGGAAGATGGGACTGTCAAACTCTGGCACAGCAATACGTACCGGCTCGAGACTACATTGGACTACGGCTTGGAACGCGTTTGGTCCATCGCTTACAAGAAGACGGGCAATGACGTTGCGCTGGGTTACGACGAAGGTGTCGTCGTCGTCAAGCTCGGCAAGGAGGAGCCGAGCGTCAGCATGGACGGTAGTGGAAAGGTTGTCTGGGTCAAAGGCGCTGATGTGCTGAGCGCCAATTTGGGTACTAATGATTGTGAGTTGCGATCCGAGTCAGACCCCGTCGCTGCGTAGCGCTCACTGCTTTCCGTTCGCATGTGGGTAGATGCCGACGTGACGGACGGTCAACGCATCGCGGCCGGATCTCGCGAGATGGGCACTACCGAAGTCTACGCGCAGCTGATGCTGCACTCTCCGAACGGCAGATTCGTGACTGTCTGCGGTGATGGCGAGTACATCATTTACACTGCTTTGGCCTGGCGCAACAAGGCGTTTGGCTCTGGCTTGGGATTCGCTTGGTCGCACGACAGCAACACGTACGCCGTTAGGGAGAGCAGCACCTCGCTAAAGGTGTTCAGAAATTTCAAGGAGAGGCCTGGACTCATCAGTCCTGGATACTCTTTTGAGGATGTCAAAGGCGGGGCTCTTCTGGGATTGCTGGGCAATGGGTTTGTCTGCTTCTACGACTGGGACACTGGTGCGCTGGTCAGGCGCATTGACGTCGATGCGAAGAACGTGAGTCATTACGTGCGTACTTTCAGGTGGTTGCGTGAGCTAACACGAAGCGAGTTTCCGCGTGCAATCAGCTCTACTGGTCCACCACCAACGAGCTCGTCGCCATCGCTGGCGAAGAGTCATTCTACGTTCTTCGGTTCGATCGTGAGGCTTATCAGACGTACCTCGATTCCGGCGCTCCTGTCGAGGATGATGGCGTAGAGGACGCGTTTGATGTCATCACCGAGATTCCCGAAGTGTGAGCGTACAATATCCAGGGTGGCCTCACTAATCGACAGACACTGATTCTTGCTCTCCTGATCGGCAATGCAGCATTCGCACGGCCAAGTGGACTGGCGAATGCTTGCTGTATACCAATGGCCAAAATCGCATCCAATACTTGGTCGGCGAGCACACTTACACCATCAACCATTCTGACCAGTAAGTATTTCTGCGACCAGATGCATGAGCAACGACGTGCTCTGACATTTCGATGAGCGCGTCTGAGCGCAGAGAGCTCTACTTGCTCGGCTACCTGCCCCAACATGGACGGGTGTATCTTGTAGACAAGGATGTCAACTTCTTTAGCTACGCCTTGTCATTGGCCGTCGTGGAGTATCAGACCGCTATTTTGCGGCAGGACCTTGATGGAGCTAAGGAGATCCTTGACAGGGTACCCTCTGAGCAACGCAACCGCATTGCTCGTTTCTTGGAAGCTCAAGGTGAGATGTCCGTCTTACGAACGGGACATTTGGAGGGGAGATATCTGACCTTCCTAGCCCGTCTTGCCCACTCAGAATTGCGTCAACTGGCCTTGGAAGTCTCCACAGATCCAGATCATCGATTCGACCTCGCAGTAGCACTGGACGACTTTGAGACTGCGCTCGATATTGCGCGAACCGGACCTGCTGCGGGCTCAGAGCCTCGTTGGCGAACCATTGGCGACAAGGCCTTGGCTCGTTGGAACGTGACTCTTGCAAGGGAATGTTTCGAAAAGGCAAACGACTTCAGCTCATTGTTGCTGTTGGACACATCGACTGGCAACAGGCAAGGTTTGCAGACACTGGCGTCGGATGCGAGGGGAAAGGGAAGCAGCAACATTGCGTTTGCCGCTTTACTATCTGTTGGGGATGCGCAAGGGTGTGTGGACATTCTGGAAGAGACGGGAAGGTCGGCCGAAGCGGCGCTGTTTGCGAGGACGTATGCGCCCAGCAAGGTTCATGCGTCTGTCCATAGCTGGAGAGCTGAGCTGAATGCAACCAAGAGGACCAAGCAGAGCGCCATTGCCGCTTCCCTAGCAGATCCCGTCTCCAATCCGGAAGCTTTTGAAGAGGGCTGGGAAGCTGCGCTTGCCAAAGGTGAGCGAGCATTGCTTGCCGAGTCTAGGTATACCATCTGTGATGCTGACAAGATTCACACTTCCGCCGTCGCTTTTGTAGAGGAAGAGCTGCTCGCGGCTCTTCCTTCTAGAAGAGCAACGGAGGCGGAGTCCCCAGTAGTCGTGCCTGCGCAGGTCGCCTCTACGAACGGGCCCAACGGGGTCGTGTAGTGGGGCATGTTCCGAGTGTTGAGCGACTCACCTCGAAATGATCATGCAATGTACAGCAGACAGTCTAGCAAAATATGTTTGATACTACTTCTTTGCTCACACCACACGCATGCAAGCGGATGATTGTGATTGAGCGTTTCCATACGCAGGCACGCGTGAAAAGCGTGAGGGTTCATATGATAGAGTAGCATCAGACGTTTCAGCAATGATGAGAATGCTAGCGTCGCAAAGTACGCATGCCAAAGGGCGTCAGCGTGATGTCTGCCCGTGATGTCTGCTAGTAGGAATTGTTAGACTGCGGCACAAGTCGGACTATTAAAATCCTCTACGAGAAGAGCGAGCCAAGCTAGAGCTAAATTCTGCACCCTTTGATGATCTCGGACGCGAGCTGCCAGGTGCGCGACTAGTATGAGCGGGCGTGCCGACTGCTGAGCCTTGAGCAGAGCTCAGACTGAGCTGAGCATTGCTAGATTGCGTGCGCAGCGATGGTAGACCAATATTGAGCCCGGTAGTGAGGAAGCTCAAAGGGCCCGAAGCGCCGCTCGAGCTGGCTTGTCTTGCTGCTCGGCCGACTTCTTGAGCGGCCGAAGACGCTTTGGGTCCAGCGCTCGCCGTCGAGGCGGAGGATTCCGAGGGAGCGGGCGAATAGTCGAGATCCTCTACTCTCAGACCCCTGGCGGTGGCGCTCGTGTGCGAAGTTTGAGCTTGTAGGGCAAGAGTCGAAGGAGTGATCAATCGTCCCATCGGCGGTGGTCGATGGTTTGCCGCGCTGCTATCCCTGTTGCCATCGTCAAGGTAGGTGGATCGGATGGACGAGTCTGACAACCCCCGAGGTCGCAGTGGTCTTTCTGGGATAAAGCCATCACGAATAGAAATTTCGTCGTCGTCCACAATCCTCGACAGGGGCCGGCCACCTCCGCTACTGGTCTGATCCAGACCTCTCAGATGAAGGTTGCGTAACGGAGGACCGTGTGTGCCGATTTGGCTGGCGACGATACTGGATGGTCGCTCTCCGCTCGTATCGCGCCGATCGACAATGTCCCAGCCCTCATTAGACGGCATCGAGCCCGCAAACAGTCCCGAGAGATTTCGACTTTGTGTACGGGACAGAGAGCCTCGACCTCGAGCCAGCGCAGGTCGTGGGCCGGCTTGCAGAGTGGCTTCGGGCGGCGCGGCAACGTCGGAAGGTGACGACGCGAGGGGTACGTCTCGCGTCAGAGGACTGGACGGTTTACTGGTGGATGCAGAGTGCAGACCTTTGACCTCTACGGGCGCTGTACCAGAGGTAATGGGCGCGCGAGGAGCCATACCTCCGCGGCTGGGCGGTCGACCTGGCACGGTAGGGGCTCGAGCAGCTAAAGGCTTTGAGGACGAGGCGTTGGTGACTGTCTTGTCGCTCAGAGACACGCTGGGTAGGGCAGTAGAGCCCGTGCTCGTGACTGAAGCCAGACCACTAGCAGGACCAGCAGGACCATTTGGCCCACCCGAGAACAGTCTGCCGATCCAAGCACCCACCCCTTTATCCTCTGCAGTGGCAGCGCCAAGCTGTTCTTGAAGTATGCGAGCAGCATTCTGCGGCTGCAGGTGAACTTCATTGACCGCGTTTCTCAGTCGAGCCATCTCGGTGAAAAGATCTCGGAACAATTTGAGGAGGACAAAGAACTCTTTTCGCGCGAGCAGGGATTCGCTGTCTCGATCCCTGGCGCCGGAGTCCATGGACGACGCATCGTCCTTGCCATTCGCGTTACCCCTAGCTTCCGCTTCTATCAGCTTGCGGAAATGATCGCGCAATCCCTCGACCTCGCGTAGAATACCGTTCACTGTAGTGCGTGCGAGGTGCCCAACGTCGCCTTTGAGATGTTGGCGTTGCAGCCGACGTGCGAGCGTGTCCACGTCGGCGGAGGAGAGGCGGGTGAAGATGCGCTGGATGTGGTCGAGCAGCACAGACAATTGCGCTGTGCGATTATCCCGAGTCTTCGGCGGATCGATGGTAGCGCCTGCCTCGTCCGCAGCAAGACCAAAGTCGACCATGGTAGTGTCGGTCGCAACGCTGCCAATGGCGCTAGCGCCGGATACCTTGCGCTGCATGTTAGCGTTTCTCACGTCTGCGCCGAGATGGGCGTGGGATTCGGCCGTCACCGACGACGAGAAGAAGGGAGACCGACCCTCCATCTGCCGAGGGCTCCCGACCCGCTCATTTGTGCTCGCGGTTCGGATAGACGAGCGCGAAGAGGATCTGACAGCTGACGGCCTTTGCAATGTCTTTGGCGCCGGGGCGATGATCTCATCAGCGAGAGTGGGTCGGCCCGGCTCTCCTTGGAGCTCTGATAGCTCCATCGTAGTGTCTACTGTTGACTTTTCAGCTCCGCGCGATGGGCTGCCTTCCTTCTCGATATCTCCGTACTTTGGTGCACGTGCGTCCAGAGAGCTGCTCTTGGATTGTGGGCTGAAGGAGTGGCCACCATTGACCTCAGCGATGGGACTGTGCAATGCTTGATCGCGAAGGATGTGCACCTCTTCATTGGCTGCATTGAGCGACGTCTTGAGCTCGCCATTGTTCCTGCGAAGCGCTTCGTTCTCAGTGATGAGCGACTCGATCACAGCCACTGCCTCGTCATTCGATCCACTTTCATTTGGCTGCGTCACGAGAAGCGCTTTCAACCGTGTCAGTTCCAGACAATTTCTAAAAGCCGTGGGCTTGAGTGGCACTCACCCGTAAGGTGGCGATGCTAGCTCGAAGCCGTTCTTGCGCACGAGCCCAGTCTCTCGCAGGCATTGAAGCGCTCCTTCCGGACTCGCGATCCTTCTGCGCTTTTGTAACGTCCGCCTCAAGCTTGACGGCCCTTAGCGTCTCTCCGAGCTCGGCCGTCTTGGCTCCGGCTTTGCGAGCGCGCACTTCGGCTGCATCCGCTCGTTTGCGCTCGGCTGCTAGCTCTTGCTTGAGATCATCCATCTCAGCGTGCAGACGAGTAGATTGAGCTTCGAGCGTGTCTGAGATCGAACTCGAAAGATCAGCCTCGGCCCCACGTACTTGCATCGCAGCACTCACTTAATTTCACGCTGCGCAGACGTAGCTTGCCCACTTCTGCTCGCACGTCGTCCAGCTCCGCAAGCAGAGCGCGATTGCCCGAATCGGATGCTTCCAGATTGAGGTTGCATTGCTTGAGCTCTCGCTCCAACTTTGCCGATTCTCGAATACTGTTGCTCATTCTAGACATGACCTTCTCCATCTGTTGCGCGTGAGCGGCCTTGAGGGAGGCGATGGAGGAAGACAGCGCATCTTTATCCCTGAGTAGTGCTTGACCAATTTCTGCTGCTAGTCTGAGATCGCTCTCCATATCGGCCCACTCTACCGCTGCTCGGCGCCCTCTGTCGCATCCGCCATCTCCCCTTTCGCAGCAGCACGCCACTCTGACCTGGACACGCAACCGCGCGGCCGTGCTACGGGTAGTGATGATGCTAGCCGCGTCGTCGCCGAGCGCACCGGCTGGCTCGAGAGTGCGCGGATCATAGATGCTGGACGCATCGTTCGCTTCGCTGTACACGCTCGCAGGTCGCCCACCTGTGCCATCCGCATTCAGACCATCACCAGACCCGCTGGCGGTCATCAAGTGCCTGCTCCTCCTCCTGCGCTCGTTTCTGAACTGCCCGATGATGGCTGTAAATTCTTCGATGGTGCGCGTTTGTCTCACGCTATCTTCCAGCGCTTCCATTTCCCTCTCATGCTCGACGGCGTCGACCTCTGATTCGTCCACATCTGATCCTCCCCGCGAAGAGCCCGCATCTAGTGACAGGCGGCTCGGGTAAGGCTGATCCTCCGGTGCGATGTTTGGTGAGAGCGTGTGACGGCCGATTGCGCTCGGTCCTGCTTGAGCAGAGGGAAACGCGCCACGCTTGGCGTGCTGTGTATTCGGCGTCGACGTATAGGTTGCCATGATGGGCGACCGCCTGAGGTGTCCGGAATGCCCGAGCACCGATGCGGCTTCGTCGACTTCTGATGCCTGGATTACAGCCTTTGGCTGACTAGTGCTTCCTTGGCTCGAGAAATAGTGCTAATGCTAGGCATAAGCGATGACGAGCTTACAATGATAGTGTAGATGGCGGCTGTGTTGGTGAGGCTGTCTTGAAGCCAATTCTGAGAGTGACGAAAGCAAGACATGGGCCATCAAGCGATCGAGAAGCTCTCGTCAGCGTTCCGCTATGCTGCTGGCATGAATGGGATTGTCGCTGTGAGTGGGACAAGGTGGTGGAAGTGTTGAAGTTAAAGGGGCCGGGTGAAATCGTGTGTACTGCTGCTCGATGCCTTAATTGCGTTGGCAGCAGTGGGCTAAGAGCATGGATGTGATCTCTGCGAGAGATTTTGAGTAGGCGGGAGTGCATGCAAAACCGCGAGTGCGATGTGTACGTGTGTATTGACGATGTCTCAGCTGCTGCGGGGATGCTGTGGTGGTGTTCTTGCACGCACATATATATAGTGAACGACTGCTGTCCAGAGCATGGATGCTATATATGTAGCTGCTACTGCTATATTTATGAGATCTCGATTCTGATTTCCATATCACAATCACGATGGAATTAAGCCCCGCCGGCGGGCCGCGCCATCTTTTCGTGTCTCAAAGCAACAAACACGCGCTCTATGCTCACGTATGGCGGCCGCGGCGCGCGGCCAAAAGCTCTGCCCGACGAGTCTCCGCGTGCGCACATACACGCGCGATGGACTGCGCTGGTGCCCCTGTCTCGATCACACTGCTTCGCGCAGATGCCAATTCACAATCACGAATCTGACTTGCTTGGCCCGCGGATGAGCCAGCCGGCCGCGTCGCATTTGGAATCGCACCTCCCGCGCTGCATGATATATGCTGCATTTCCTTCAGCTTCACAATCAATCGTTTTGGCAGAGGCCCGTATTGCCCTTCCGCCAATATTATTACTTCCCGAGGAAACACTCAGACTACAGCAATTGAGAACCAATGCTGGCGCTCCAGTTCCAAATGTACTCGCTGGAGGGATAGCAAGAAGTCGAGGACTTCGCTGGATTCACCCATTAATTCGGAGATGCTGCAAAACAGCACCAGCATACTCCTGCATTCAGCTTCGTGATTGTCAGGGCAAGCCTGGGTTCAACGCCGGAACGTCAATCGTGATGGACATATAAAGCACTTCATTGCCAGCACAGGGGGTGCAAAAGTATGACGGCTTAGGCTGCGAAAAATTTGATGTTGCGACAACCTTCTTGCGGTCCGATTGCAGTCAAGAGAGTTCGTAGACTTACGCGAGCGACGCTGCGGGTGGCTCCTTCAAGCTGCGAGGAAGCAGTCCTGCATACCGCCTTGCGCAACACTATTACCCTACAGCTGATACAACAGACGCTGTAAGCAGCGTTCAGGATCTGCTGAGTCGTCCAAGCACGTCAATTCACTAGAGCGCTCTGGGAGACCGAGAACCAGCCTATGCGAGTATAGCAAGCAACGCACCATCTGCATGCAACTTGCCCCTGGTCCAAGCGCAGCAACGATCCCCCAGCAGCGAGCAGCTTTTGCATCCGACACAGCCTTCACCATGTGCAAGACAGCAACATTACTCTGGTCGCTCGCTAGCGGCAAAGCTGCATCCCAGCCCTTCGGTCGGACACTGGCTTCGACTCGACGAGGGGCCAAGTGTTTGGCGCGATTCGGCCCGCCCGTCTTCAATCGGTCATTCTGCCCCACTCCCAACCCGCCTAGCATTCCCGGTTTGCTGCGAAATCTGCGCGCAAACAAAAGGCCTCAAGCTCGCTTCCTCAGTAGCTCGCCCGGCTCAGATGTAGCCGACGAGAGTGCAGCAGACATCAAAGCAAGAGCAGCCTGGGTCGCCGAATTCAGGGACAAAGAGTTGCCGAAGGGTGAGCCCTTTGCTTGCTGCGTTTGCCCCAGGCCGATGCCCGGCCCGGTCCAGCGCTAAAGCGCTGCCTCTGCTCCATCTGGGCTCGCTTGCTGATCGTATGTCTCCCCTTGCAGACTTCTTGACCACTACGTTCACCAGAGCGAGTGGACCTGGCGGGCAGAACGTCAACAAACGTGAGTGGCAACTTTTTGCACTATTCGCGCGGGGGCTTGGTTTTGCTCAGACGAAGTTGGACTCTGATGCGCACATTTCACTCTGACGTATCTTGCATAGTGAGCACAAAAGCCAACATTCGGCTAGACCTAAACAAGCTCAAGCAAGGTGTGCACGGATTTGAGCCGCCACCTAGTGGCGCCATCAAGCTGCTCGCTCGCAGATCTGTAAGCAAAGCTGCAGGCATATCCGGAAAGCCATGCTGGCGCCTTTTCCTGACCTCGTGCCTGATTGTGACATCGACCAGCCTTTCTACGTGGCTTCATCTCATTCTTTGCTCGTCACTAGCTCTCAGGACAGATCACAAGCTTCCAATGAGCAAGATGCGCTTCGCAAGGTGCGTCCCCGCAAAAGGTCCTTTCTTCTTCCAGAGCGCAGTCTTTGTGCCTCAAGGACCGCGTATGCTGACCATTACCGCAATCTTTGTGATGATGGCCGCCCACAGCTGCATGCTCACCTGGTCCAGACGCTCTCTGCGGATATTCCCGGAGAGACTTCAGATCAGCAGAAGGAAAAGGTCAAGAGGTTGCAAGAAAGCGATGCGAGACGCAAAAAGATGGCCAAGCAGAAGAGGGGCGATGTCAAGAGCGGAAGAAAATCTGGCAAAGCCGTCGTTTGGGACTGAGACGACGATCGAGAGCAGTGCCTAATCCTTTGGACAGCACACAAGTTTCGAGCAAAACATCTTGGGATGGGACGGCACATCCCGGCAGCAAAGAACATTCCCTTGGTCAACGTATGGGCAAGTGTCTCGCACCTGGTCCTCCATACTCGATGTTGCTTGAGCCCGATCAGACAGGGAGCGATCAAGCGACAAGCGAAGTCAACAAACGAAATTGCATTGCTTGGTAAGCATTGGTTGATTATCCAGCCTTGCCGCGAGGAGGCTCTCACCAAAAGGCCATAGGGGGTAAATGTACGTGACGAAAACAGTGAGAGGCGGGGAAAGAGAGGGGAAGAGAGAGGAAATGTGGAAAAGAGAGAGGGGGCCAGCGCGAGGGACGCAGCGAGAGGGGGGAAGCGAGAGGGGGGCAAAGAAGGGGGGCTGGTCGACGTCGAAATGCAGGTCGATGCTGATGATGGTGAAGTTGGTCCATAATCGTCTAGACGGACGTCGATGGCGGCGGAGTGGACTGACTGCTGATGTGGTGGATGTGGCGATGAGATGCATGGGCTCACGTTTGCTTTTCAACGTGTGGTACAGGACCTTTTCGCCTACGTCGCGCACCGAACCAACTAGAGCTTCTTTTCATCCCATTCGTCCACCCGATGCCGCGGGTGGCCAGTCCGCGTCATCGTGCAAGACGAAGATGAAGCACCTTGTCACCACTGTTTTGCTTTCTTAGTGGCGATGAGGAGCTGGAACTGCAACTTGAGCTCTGCCCTTCTTGATCGCGTTGCGGCGCTGAAGTCCGTCGGTGGGCTTGGACTTCCCGCGCCGCTCATTGGTGCCGCGTGCTGGAGCTGGCAAGGCGGATTGCTCGCTTGCACTGAGTGTTGGCGTGCCGAATGGGCTGATCGGAACGATTGGCGAAGCTGGGCTTGGCGAAGTGCTTGCGCAGTCGGTCCACCACGCTCGAAGGTCTCCGTTGACAGTCTTTCGAGCACGGGTTGATGGTGAAGGCGAAGAAGGCGAGGGCAGCTTGGGCACGTCCAAGTTCGAGGTCGAAGGAGCTGCACCGAGAAGCCACCAGGCGGTGGTGTTGTCGAGGTGAAGCTTTGGAGAAGAGTCCGTCGTCGTCTTCAAGCTAATGGTTGGCGAAACATTGCGTTGCTTGACAGAGCTGTCGACGGGGAACGCGAATCCAACTGGAGCGAAGCAGCGTCTCATGATGAGCGAGTAAAGTTTGGGATGTGTCCGAGTAGTAAACGAGAAGGAGCTGGTAGCGGATCGCGGGAAAGCTATGGCTAAGAGCAGAATCAATCGAGTTGAGTGAAGGAAGGGAAAGAAGAGGCGAGCGAGGTCGGGTGGACCTTTTGAGCTTTCTGGGGGCGCATCTTTCGCCCTCACGACGCAAGTGCGGTCTACACGCTCGCGGCCCCTTGATCCAACTCGGAAGGAGAGCTCGATTAGGCAGTCAGTGGATCAGCAAGCGACCACCATCTTTACTGGAGATGTTCAAGACGCCCTACTCATCGCACGCAACCGACCTACTTTGAAAGCCTCTTGGCCATGTCGGCCTTGTCTTAGCCTAGCGCGGAGGCACTTGCGCTCGGGTTTGCCGGTCTAGAGGTCTAGCATCGTCGTCGGAACCTTGCGCGCGCGTCTGCAGGGCGCGCGTTAAAGAACGTTGCTCATATGTCTAGAGCCCTTGGTCACATGCTACAGCGAAGGCGTTGTGTAGTCTCGAGTGCATATGCGCTCAGCGCACATTTTCTTCGGGTCGCCGGTTCGGTGCCGGTACCTGTTGTACTTGAAGGCTCGAGTCCACGATCAAACGGCGTCAATAATCCTAGAGAAACGATCCAGTCAGAAACCAAAGTGGAACGATGGTTCCACTGCATCCCACGTCAAGACCAACGGATCTCCCCTTCACTGCCCCACCATCCATTCTTGGCCCATGTGGCGCCGCGTAGGCATGCTCAGCGGATCACGCGCCGCTTCTGCTTGCTTTAGCGCCGGCCATCGATCAACCCCCGCTTTCGTCAGGCACATCACGCGGCATCAAGCAGCTTTAAGCATGCAACCAGCCACCTCTGGTGTGGGACAGGAATCGTTGAGGAGCTTGTCGTCCATCGCGCGCTCTACTCTAGACACTATCCTAGGCGATGACCGCGCAATTTGTGACGTTTGACCTCCGCAAAATTGGATCTTCGCATGTAGCCTATCCAGGCGGGCCTGTCACGAGCACGTACGCCCGCTGACCATTTGTCGGCATACAGCCCTCTCAGCGCTTGCTGCATGTAACAGCCCTTGGATGGTTTCGAGATCTCATCAGCAGCACACGGCAAGGGGCATGGGCGGTTCGTGCCCCAGTTGCACCGAAACGGGTGCACAACATCTTCGTATGCAGGGCCTTGGCGCGCACCAGCATACATCAATCGCAGGTTGTCTTGACGAATCGAGTTGCCCAGCAAGACGGGTGCCTCCGATCGTTGGCAGCGATAACGTCTCCGTCCTTGGTCAAATCAGGCATATGAATGTTTCGCTGGTCTCTGCGTCGGAACAAGGCTCCCTGGGATTGTCGCCTCGAGGGCTCCGCCGATTCTCCACTCAGACTAGAAACAACGTTGATTCGCCAGAGCGCACACATCACCCTCGAATGCGTAGCGAAGGGCAATTCGTGCGCTTCGTGCGAAGGACCGCATCACTGGTGGCTTGTGCCTGAGCCATGTGATGCAGGGCGATCCGGGCCTCTCGGCTACAAGAGCCACGTGCGTATCACGCGCCAGGCATTTTGCGAGTGGGGCTCTTGCCCTGGTGCGCCTATGATGATCATTCGAGCGGGTCCATCCAACGGAAAAGCCTGATGCAATGTGACATCGATTTAATGAAAGAGCATCGAGCTTCGAGGGACCAGGATCCGCGTTTGTTGTCAATGTCATGCAGTGTGCATCCATCTGCTGTGTCGGACCCACTCCAATTTGATATGACAAGCGCAGCTTCTGACTCGTCTGGAGCAATCTGAACCGCTTCTGCTCCTGGCGCGCGATCTCGGAAGTGGTCCTGGTCCTATTCTGTGGATGCATGTGCACTGCCACGACCTCGCGGGGAAGAGAGATTCGTTCATCGCTGAGTAGCGCCAGCAGGTACACGTTCATCAGTTCTCGTTGGATCAACGTCAAACATGAAGACTAGCAACAAATGCATGATGGCGTGAAATGTCCAGCCAAATGACGAATCGTTCAGACAGGCGCAATATAAGATCATGCCTGCTCAAACTCACAAACTTGCTAGCTGCAGGGATAGACCTCTGCTGCACGACTCGTATCCCTAGCTGCTGCTGCTGCTGCTCCACGCCAAGACCTGCGCCCTACGGCGAAATGAGCGAAGGTGCAGCGGTACGGACTCGCGCTTCGGGTGGCAGTCAGCATGAGTCGAGTGCATGCATGTTGAGAGTGCATCGTCGATGCGAGGGAGGCGCTTGATTGATGATGCTACACAGCTCATGCAGCTTGCTGATTCGTGATTCAAGATTCACGATCGTAGGTTAACAACCTCTCGATCACCACACTAGCTCCATGTGAGCATGAGTGAGTGATTTGGCGTTCAACCCGAGTTGGTCGCGAATAACCTTCTCTAGACTACCCCACCACAAGTACCACCTATATCCTTGGCATTCACGAGTCGTGACTCAGTGAGTGACGAAGCAGGGTCAATTTCCTTTTCGGAGAGCCAGGCAGGACCCACGACCTCCCTCGCTGCGGCGGCATGGAGGGTCGAAACGAGGTTGGTGCGACCCGACGCCCATGACAGCTGCTGTGCTGATGCACGTCGACACAGCCTTGTGGACAGATCCGCACTAATCGTGATTGTACTTGCCGATCCATGCAGCATGACGATTCAGACACGAGCAGTTGGGGAACCGAATAGGTGAATCTTGAATGGAAAGTAGAGGCTGCAAATCGGTCCTGGTGCTAGTCAAGTCAAGAGGCCTCATCTCCCTCTTGCCAAATATATAGACGCGTTCAGTCCACATTGCCGCTGACCGCATTCCTGTCCAACTGACCATTCCCGCTCTACATCCTCGTACCACTTCCCGAAACAGAGATGAGGGGCATCCTCATTTCCATCATCGCTTTTACAGCGGCTGCGTTTGCAGCGCCGCTGAATGAAGGAGTGTCCAGGCAACGTGTGCTCGATTCAGATACACGAGCTTTTGTGCAGTCCGTCCTGGACCACTTTAATGTTCCTGGCGCCGCCATGGCGATTGTCACGCCAGCAGGTAGCGGCATCGAGTACTTTGGGGTAAAGGACCTTGAAGGCAACCCGATTACCGAATCCACCTACTACGCCATCGCGTCCAACTCAAAGTGGGTCACCGCTCTTGCCATAGCTACCTTCGAGTCATGGAAAAATGTGACTGTGCCATCAACTGGGCAGCTGTTCAGCTTCGAGACGCGCTTGAAAGATATTTTCCTGGACGATTGGAACATGCAGGACGCCGCTGCCACGGAGCAAGCGACGGTGGCCGATCTGCTCACGATGAGGACCGGTGTCCCGAAACACGACTTTTATATCCGCAAGGATCAATCTTCACTGGATGCCATCAGGGCGCTGGGCCAGCTCAAGCCATCGCATCCCTTTCGCGAACGCTACCAATATGCAACCAGTCACTATGGCGCAGCAGCTGCGCTCTTCCCTACGCTTCTCAATCAGACCTTGGACGACTTCCTCGAACAACATTTCTGGACTCCTCTAGGCATCCAGGCGTATACCAATGCCACTCAGCTGAGAGCAGACGATGTGGACATCGGTGCGGGCTTCAATACTGTCGCAAGCAACGGCACGCAATGTGCGCTAGACCTGTCCGCAAACAAGTCATACGCATCGTCCTCAGCTTGCCTTGGACGCACGGAGGTATTTGACTTCTGGACAGAGACTAGTGCAATTGAGCAAGATGGCGGAGGATCGGTCATCTTCACACCCAAAGATATGGTGAGCGTGGCTGGCTTGAGCGATGCGTAGCGACTATCTTCTGACATGCGCCTCGCTGGCCTCGTTGCAGCTCAAATGGGCTCACGAGAGCATCGATCCCAAGGTCATTCCAGAGGAGGCCCTGGATCAGGCAATACATCACGAGTCGCAACCCGTGTCTGGGCCAATCACCTACGGGTTTGGCGTGTCTAAAGCTGAAACTCCAGATGGCGAGCTCCTATTCCATGGTGGCGCATTGCCCGGACATAACAGCAACTTTCTGCGCAACATCGGAAAGGGCATCGCTATTTTTACCATGACAAACGCAGACCCGATCGGATTCACTCTTGCGGACTTGTTGAATGCGGAAATCTATACTAGATTGATAGGAAAGCCCCCCAAAGATCTGATCAAGACGTTCGAGACGAGCTTGGCGGTGGTGATACCGCCCGGACAACTCCCGCCGCCCAACCCAGTGCCTCCTACTCCTGATCAGGGCGACAACTTGGTAGGCGCGGTGCTCAGACATCCTGCGTATCCAGAGATCCGCCTTCAGCCGCTCAACCTGACCGGATGCAATGGTCTCGAATCTGCAGGCATTCCCGCGGACTTCATTCAGATCGATGTGACGACCGTTTCGCCCATCAACGTGAGCTCCAGCAACAAGGCATTCTACGCTCAATGGAAAGGATCCTTCACTTCGCACATCGTCTTTACCCACTTTGGCGGACCGCATTACAATTACACTATGCTGCTCACCTTCGATAAGCAGGGAGAGCAAGACGAGGATGCGCTCAACACTCGAGAACGTCGAGACCCCGATGCTTTCTTGATCCAAGCTCGCCAAAGTGCGGCGAAGGGCGACAAACCTGCGCCGGTAAAGTCGACATGTCCCAGCAAGTACACTGCCAAATTCTTCGGACAAGGTCCGGCCGTCTTCACTGCAGATGGCATCGGTTTCTTTGGCGCGTTTTGGGCGGGCGACGATCCTTCCATTGCGGTTGCGCCGGTCACTGAGAATGTTCGGCAAGAAGCCATCGCTTTCTTCGGCCGTTGAGCCAGCTCGACCCGCTCAGCGGATCGTCTTTGTAATTATCACGATATACTGCGTCTGTTGGATCGCAATCGCAGATTCCCGTCGTGAATTAGGGACTGTGAAAATTAGGGATTGTGAATCGCGAGGCTCGGCGCCCACCGTGGAGACTACTTGGCCGGCTCGCTGGCCCCGGCTCCGCTTCGAGTTAGGGCGCTCCTTCCTGCATTGATGAACGCACCGACCTCCAAAAAGCGGTCAGGGAAGCGTGCGGAGCTCGGAAGATTCACGCACTCCCACCGCCCACGACTGCTTTGAATCCAGTGAAAGGTTTGACTCGGTGACGAATCCATCAATCAATGTGCTTGGTAAATTTTCGACTAGGACTGTGCTCATGACTGCTGCTGCGTCTGCACATTACAGATCTGCGTCCCAAGCGCTCTCGAAGGTCGTTGCGTACTGTGGCTGGCGAGCTGTGAGGAGGTTTGTCGCGCTCTGCAAGCCTCGGCTCAACACGCATGCCCTTGGTACTCGGGCCCCTCGCGACGATCTCTCGCTGCGCGCCTTCTTGCCGTGGACTCACGACTCTCTTCTGCTCCTTCAGAACCCATACCGAATTTGGGTCCTGTTTTCGGAACCGCATGAGCCTGAGCACAATCCCACTATAGCAAGCCAGGAAGCTACGAGTAGGCACTGAACTGCTCATCAGAGATCCAAACAATCTTGAATTTGAATCAAAAATGTGAATGACTTCAACTCTTCACTGACGGGGCGGCCCGCACGCAGCGTGCAGGATGCAAGCGTTCGCAGAAGTGTCACGTGTTTCTAATCACCTGCCAATCAAAAAATCAAGAACGATTTGAAAACTCTTGTCGTCTTTAATCCAAGACTACCCCGCGACCATCAGTGGGATTATCACAGTTGAGTTTCTTGATTCGCACCGCTGATCCAGAAAAGCAAAAAACCTTTTTCGGAATCGGGAATCTCCCAGCGAAGGCAAGGCATGTGATCACACGGCCGGCGAGCGGGTCTTTTATAAGAGCCAGATCGTGTGGGGGCTTCATTATAGAATCACGACTTGAAACTCTTGACTCAAGACTAATCTTGAATTAGAACACTCATCAGCTTTGCTGCATGCAGCAGGTGCACTGGGAGAAACGCAGGCTTGCGCGTTTTTTGTTCCGCTAATCGCGGCTAGTCGCATGTATCTCATTAAGCCAGCCGCCGCACGACGTACATGTAAGACCCGAGATCACTCGTGACTGCTTTGACTGTCGCAGCTGCAGCGACCGTTGCTTGGATCTCTTCTTGCGTTTATGAAGAACGCCAAACCCGCGGCCCCGATTCACTCAAGACTCTTGATTCATCCTGCTGATTGCAATCGACAGACTGATGAGCCGGATGCGCTGACTTCGATCCCGCAGCATCCCTCCAACCAAAGACGAGGTATATAGCGATAGACTTGGAGCACGCACGACTGAGCACGCGGCCTGCCAGGCTCGCTCACCATCATAGGCGCGCTCCTTCCTGCCTTCTGCTCGATCTCCCTTCCCTCAAGACTTTAATTGTTTGTCCTGGTCTATTCTACTTCAATCCTTCGTCAAGCGCTCTCGGTCTGGGAGCGGAGCAGCCTATTGCGGCCACAATAAGTTCGAACGTCCTCGTTGGGACCGAGCTATCACTCAAGCCCACCCGGACGCCTTCGGCAGTCACGGGGCCATTCACCATCACGTCCGACAATCCTGTAGCGCACACACCCCTTCTCTCTACACCATCCCTGTTGCGTTCCGCCTGTGATGTCAGGCTACACAGATCTTGCCAGCGGATCTGGTAGCGGTCGGCCACTCCCGAGCGGTTCTTCTGCCCATTCTCACAGCTATTCTCAGTCGGTATCGCATCATGCGCCTCATACCTCAGTGAGCGGCGGATCCACGCTTGGCGTCTCTGGCTTTGGACAGGGCGGTGGATTGTACGGACTTGGAGCTGCAGCTAGCCAACAGGAAAGCATGATTTCAGGTTTGAGTGGCGCTGGACATAGCGAAGCTGGCAGCAATGGTCTTCCGGTTCCTCAATCGCAGCACAACTCCAGCCAATTACTCATAGCTAGCATCGTCCAACGCCTTGTCAACAGGGTGAGGATCTGCATGGGCATAGAGAGATATACTTCCCAACTGAACTCTTGTGCCCTTCTATCCTTCAATGCAGCTGCCATACAACTCTGGATGGAGGCTCGCATCTTTAGAGGAAGAGCAGCTTGTGCGGTCTTGCGTCGCGAACCTCGTAGACCTCAGTCAATATCAGCTCGCGAGCGTGGTCAAAGAGCTGCTTGCCGTTCTCGAGAACTTGAACAAGGTATGTGTGCGCACTGCTACTCCTACCTTTGACCTAGCTCCTGATTCGTCTTTCCTCGTTGCATCCCAGTCTGTCCAAGTGGCGCACGATGACAAAGTCAGCGTGGATGCGATGCAGTCGCAGCTGTTCATGCTGCAAGTCCTGCTCGCTTGCCTTGTCCACCACTGGCGCACTCAGGGCGGACCCGAGGATCCCACTCAAAGTGAGAGTACCAGCTCTGCAACGGCCACGTCAAGCTCACAATCGGCACATCAGCGCCGAGGATCGCTGGCACCCACCGACTCAAGATCGGCAGAGATAGCTGGCGTGGCCAAGGGGTGGAATGATCCTCCCCCGATGGAAGATGGCGTAGCAAAGCACATTCTCAGTTTGATGGTCATGTACCTACGGCAGAGTGTGGCGAAGGAGGAAGCCATCCAGACGGGCACTGGCGGCTCGGACCATTTGGAGGGGCCACGCAGCAAATCAGATGGTGGCTTGCGTGCAGGACAGAGCGATCGAGCGCTGCGAGATGCCCAGCGTGGCTACATAAGTTCTACTCAGAGTGGCAAAGGCATCGGCTCTTGGGAGGAGCAAGATGGAAAGGACCGCGCAGGATCAGCAGGCAGTGGATTAGGTAGCTCTGCCGCGGCTGCTGGCTCACTGGACTCTGATTGGACGAGCGGTTCGGGCTCCGACGTAGCCTCACTTTCAGTGCTGGGCCTCTTCAATGGAAAGGGTCTCTTCGTGCTCTACCCAACCTTTCCGCCCTCAAGAGCACCTTTTCAGCGTTCTCCGCACGTGCATCTCTATCAGAACCCCCAGCGGCGCGTTGTGCTTCAAGGGCAAAAGGCGGACAAGGATCAGGACTTCTTTGCCTGGGGCGATCGGAGTGGGGAGTCGCTCGACAACGCCGTCGCGCTGACCAAGGGCATCTATCGCGCGGCGGGCCAGATCGTCTTCTATCTAAGTTCTAGTAACTGGCCGGTAGTCTTCGCGCGGTATCGCAACAGGGTGCAGTACCTCAGCACCACGGTGGAAGACTCCCCAAACACCGCTGAACTTCGCCTGCTGGAATGCAGCAATATGCAGCGTGCGCGGCTCAGCAACCTCATTCAAGAGCTCTGCACCACCTTCCTCCATCTCAAGCGCACTGCTCAGCACACAATGGCTTTGGTCGTTCGCCGCGGTGTCTGGTCTTGGATACAGTATCATCCGGCCGAATTTGCGCATCTATTTGGAACGGGGCGGCGACTCGAAGGTGGTCCCGAGCTGCTGTTTGATCACATTGTGAACCTCACAGAGTCTTCCAGGAAGAAGCTCATCTTTTGGCCGGTGCTAACAGCGCTGCTCATTCTATGCCCCGACATTGTAAGCAAGGCTGCCATCGGAGAAGGCCGGAAACAAGGCAGTGTGGCGAAGAAGGTCAACTTCCTGGAGACTTTGCGCAAAAGCTTGCGGGTGAGCAAGCTTAGCGATATGGCTGCTATATGCTGTGTGGACATCGTTCGAGCAGCATCCTGCACTCCACTGAGTGACGCCGGCCTGCGGCTCATCGTGCCGGATCTGGAGGCAGACCTCAGAGAAAAGCTGTTCGACCCTAGCCATCCGCCACTCAACAATAACCGTCAGATCGAGACTTCGATCATTGTCGAAGCGTTCGTGGCCTTCTTCCGCTTGGATCCTCAAAAGACCCTCAAGACACTGGTGCCAGTGTGCTTGGGCAGTTCCAGCCCTCAGCCATTCAAGCTCGCGCTGATTCGCAGTTGCATTCAGATGGCCAGCGAGCGCAACAGACTTCCGTGGACTCCCGACGTCTCGCTGCTGTATCCGCACATCAGCGCGCAAGCCCGCACGACCGCCAAGGACATCATCTTCAAGCTGCATAAGACGGATGCGGCAGCGACTCATGCAACTCAGTCGGCCCTCATTGGTAGCACGACCAAGACAGACAAACGGTCTTTGCGAACGCTTGGAGCTTCGAAGAGCATTCCAGGAGCAGGCGTTGTGGATGAGAGTCAAGGCAGGATCGACGTACTGCAAGCGATACTGAAGCTTTGGTGCTTGGACATCAGAGCGATGTCCTACGGCCTCGACTATACAGGTTCAGCGACTCTTTCAGCGTTCGTTGGACCCGAAAACGTTGGCGACCACGAGGTCATATCGAGAGCTGCACTCAGCGCAGACAGTCCGCTTGCTCTCATTTACTTTCTCGGTCGCATCGCCCATACCACCGATCACATCCACCTTCATGAGCTGGCTCTTGATCTGATGGACATATGCTCTCTTGGTCTGTACGATCCTGCCATCGTGGCGGTCGACTTCATGAAGACAACGCAACGGGCGCTCGTCTCGTGCACTTCGCTCTTCACCCGCGGTATTGCAGATCACCTTGCTCAAAGCGAATCGACAGCGGACCAGCGTCACTGGCTTAGTATCTTGAGCCGAACAATGAAGAGGAAAGTCAATTACATCTCTAGCCTGAGGGTGAGTATTGTATTGCTGACGTGTTGGTGCTGGTCTTGCTGGTGCTGACGCTATTCGTGTACCATCTTCTAGGCGTCTGGAGTCGAGCCGTTGACTCTGCCAAACATTCCGACAAACTCCGAATTCATGTCAGAAGGGCGGGCAATGGAGGCGGCGTTGCTGCTCAGTATTTGTTCCTCTGACACAGACGTTTGCTCGGAAGCATTGCGCTGCTGCGGTCAGATAGCTTCGCTACGAGAGATCGTGGTTGGCTTGCTGGGCACAAGCCAAGAATGGGCCGTCCTGATGCGAGAATTATCGGACCCATCATTCTCTCAGACTGGCGGCCGGATTGCTCAGCAAAAGCGTATTCGTGCCCTTTTGCGGGGTGCGACGCTGCCGACTAGGGCCAGCGCTCAAGCTTGGTGCGAGGCGTATCAAAGATGGGGCAGTCTCACACAACTGGTGGCGCGGCCCCTCGCGGATGAGACCAGCGATGCGGCGCAAGAGAAAGCAGCTCAGTGGCACAATTATGCAGGCTTCCTTGCAGCTCTTGGAGGTACATGCGTGCTACCTGACGAAGAGTCGCTGAAGACGGCGCCGAAGGAGACGATGATCGACCCTCCGGTCCACCTCGTCGAATCCTTCATGCAAGAAATGGTCGATTTGTTAGTCTCCGATTCAGTTTGGGTCCGAGAGAAAGTCAAGGAGACGCTCGGCCTAGATCTCAGCCCTCGCCTCAACGGCATTCTGTTCCGACAAGTGCACGCTGTGCTCAGCGATTTCTTCGACAAGAGCACTGGCCTGCCTCGCCCAGCAGACATGTTCACGATATTCGTGGAACAATCCGTCAGCGTTACTCAGATGGTGCTCAATCGCATGACTGCAGGTACGGAAGCCACGAATACTGTGGACATTGGCAGCCTCATGGTGCTCTACGTCGAGTACGTCAATTCGTTAGGCCGGAAAGAGCAGGCGGTTCGCATCAAGACATCAATGTGCCACCTTTGCGAGGCGTTGATGCATAAAAAGAGCTTCTTCGCTTTTTCAAACGAGCTGCGCGTCCGCAACAGGCTGTTCCAAGCCTTGGTCACCTGGACATCAGACTCGTCCGATGAAGCTCAAGGCACCGAGAAGCTTGACCGCCTCCAAAGGGAACTCGATGTGGTATGCCTCAAGACCATCTCCATCCTCCTGGATCGCTTGCCGCTGTTGTTGGCGGATGATGCTTTGCTGCTGGATGACAAAGTTGAATGGGCAAAATCTCGACAGTTCTCATTGTACTTCAACTACTTCATCAAGGTGCTAAATCGCGCTCGTACGCTTGAGGAAGCTGCAACTGAGCGAGCCAAATCTGGAGGGGTTGGTGTTGGCGCAGCTGGCGTCAGCGGCGGTGCCATCAGCTCTTCTGTCTCCATGGCTCTTGGAGTCTCTGCAGCAAAGTTGAGGGAACAACATCAGCAGGCCATGCGAGAGCTGGGTCCCTTGAAGGAGTCTGCCATTCTAGCTTTGTCGAACCTATTAGCCAGCAACATCGATTCTGGTCTTCAGCATTCCTTGCCCCTTGCCTACAACGACGATCAGCAACTCCGTACTGCGTTCATGCAAATCATGACGAATGTTCTTAATCAAGGCACAGCATTTGACGACCTGGAGCGCTTATCAGCGTCTCACAAGCACTCTAAGCTCATCGAACTCATCTGCGAGCCAGACATGCAGCTCGCTCTATCGGTGTGCAACATATGTAAAGGCAATGATGTCGACAACATGGACTACGTTCTCCTGAGCATCTTCGACTCTAGAGGTGGTATCATCAAATTCCTCAAGGCTGCGCTAGCAGAGGAAATATATCGGACGCCGAGCGAAGAGATGGTCTTTAGGTCAAACTCCTTTAGGACCCACCTCCTATCCGTCTTTGGTCGCACCCATGGATACGAATACCTGCGATCGATCATGGCTCCGCTGATCACAGAGATGGCCAATAAGCCGCGCGGGTACTCTTTTGAGATAGACCCGCACCGCATCGAACCCGGAGAGTCAGTGCACATCAATCAACACCGTCTTGAAGAGATGGCGCAGACGTTCATTGATCAGATCTGCTCTTCTGCGCATCGTGTTCCTGCCGTCTTACGAGAGCTTTGCCGACACATTCGCTCTCTGATGGATGCGCGTTTCCCAACTTCGCGGTATCAAGGCGTTGGCGGTTTCATGTTCCTGCGCTTCATTTCTCCAGTAGTGGTAGCGCCTCAGATCATCGATATCAACCTGACTGGTCCTAGCAAAGAGCTTCGTCGAGGCTTGCTCCTCATCAGCAAGATTCTGCAGACACTTGCCTCGAACAATCTCTTCCCACCGCACAAGGAACCCTTTATGACGTGTCTCAACGACTTCTTGAAAGGCAACGTTTGGCGGGTGGCCACCTTTTTGGATCAGGTCTCCGATGCACGCACCGATCCTGACCGCCTACAAGCCGCAGATCAACCTCTAGGATACGGCATCCATCCCTATGGCTACGGAATTGATCAAGAGGATCAGCGTGTGATCCATCGCTTCCTCTTCGAGAATGTGGACAAGGTCGGAAAGGAGCTGCTGACTCGAAATGCTGATCGACAAAGCTCTCTGGCTAATGACAGTAATGGCGCACCCATGTCACCGGTCGCCGCGTCGCACGCTGCGATAGGGATTTCTGCGTCTACCGTTGACAGTCGCCGTACCTACGAGCAATTATGCCAGGTTCTCGCAGAAATGGGCGATTATCGGAGCGAAGAGCTTCCTGCCATCGCTGTGCAGCCAGGCCTTGGCGCAAGCAAGCAGGCCTTCCAAGACTTTCTCCGCCGGAATAGCGGACGCAACGTCGACGACTCCGCCTACAAGGCGGTGTTCAGGGAAGGGCCGCCCTCTAAAGCTGGCCGCCCAGTGTTCTACTACAACGCGGCGCAGCAAAACGCGAAGACCATGGACTACGAAGGTCTCATCTTTTACGTCTTACAGTGCATTGAAAGCTGCGTGTCACGCAACTTTGATCTCGTCCTAGACTGTACCGGCCTGCATCCTGTCAACATGACGCCGCACCAATGGCTGACGTATTTCGCGACAATGGTGCCGCCTGAGGTGGCAGGCAACATGCGCAACGTTATCGTCTTCAACGCGAACACCACAGCGAGGCTGTACGCTCGGCCGTGGTATGCACAGGCGGGTGACCCCGGCGTTCAAGTCGGTCCCTCTGGGCGTGCTGCGCTTGCGTCGGTGCCGTCACAGATGAGTATCGCGTACTGCAATTCTATCGCAGAGATCGAGGCTTTCATCGAGCGGCGCAATTTGGCCCTCGATCCGACGACAATCGCAATCGCGACTTCTGCGGCGGAGATGCGCTTCACGCAAATCACCATGGTATGGTACTACCGCTCTCTCATTCCGGTGTCCTTCAGGATAGGTGGAGAACACCTGCAGATCACAGCCCTGAAGCCTCAAGAGATCGTGCCTGGCCGCAGCGGCTTCACGAATGATGTCTTTCATCTTGCTGACATCGACGACGTCAGAGCCATCTCAGCTCGTGGAGATGACACCACCTTCTTTGTCACTTGCCGTGGAGGTACCATTTCTTTCCTCTTCAACAGCCGGGATCGCGCCGAAATCGTTCAAAGCCTCCGCCAAGCTAAAGCGCGCATTTCGCGTTTCCGCCCGAGCAAGGCCCTCGACCGAACGCTGCTGCCCTCTGACGTACCTGGAACGCTGCTCAACATGGCCATGCTCAACGTGACGAGCGGGGACGCAAGCCTTCGAGTGAGCGCATACAATCTTCTCTGCGCATTGTCGACGTCTTTCAATTTTGGAGCCAGCAATGCACGCAGGCGTCTGCTGAGTGCGAAAGGTAAGCAACGTGTTGATACCAGAGAAACCGCATTTGGCTGATGCGATTGGCAACCCTTTCAGGCCTGGCGATCCCAGCCAACACGCTGAGCTTCGTCTCCGAGCTTAGCCGTGACTTTGCGGTAGCAGCACCTGGCGTTACTCTTGAGTTCTTGCTCTCTTTCTTCGAGGGCTTTGAACGAGCAACGCTGAGCCAGAAGACGCTGTGCCTGTACTACATGGCGCCATGGCTATCAAATCTAGTCATGTTTACCCACACAGCTCGGGAGCAGCAGGGTGAATATCAGAAGCGCATCAAAGAAATTCTTTCCCAGCTCATTGCTATCACGGTCAAGCAGCCTGAGGTGAGCAAAGTTTCCCCTTCAGCAGACTCGCGCCGGCGTGGACTCACCTTCAGCGTCTTCGCGTTCCACAGATGTATTCGGCTATGCAAAGAGCAGTTTGGTCTCAGATCAGCAGGTTAGACGACCTTATTCCTCTGTTCGTCGAGGTGTTTTGCGAGGCTGCGATGGATTCAGGTCTACACACGCCTCGATTTGAGTGCGTTCTCGACACTATGGTTTCTTTCAGCTCCATCAACCTGCGTGGCAAGCTACTCGCTCGGCTGAGGCGAGTGATCGCAAAGACAGCTCAGAATCCGACCGCTGGTGCACTGCATGACAACATAGCGTGGAAAGAAATTGCCACACTGGTCAGGATGAACATGGTTCTGTCGTTCACAAGTCGACTCGAGGGCTTGATCTACCTGCCAGAGCTGCTCCACGTGATTCTTCTTCTTGCTGGCAATGGTGTCGATGCCACACGCCATTCTTTCTATGGTACAGCGGTGAACCTGATTCACTCTCTCTGCACAGAAGACCAAAGAGACATCAAGCGCGAGCCTCAAACCCTTGCCGGTTTGCCCACTTCAAGCTCCTCTCCTCACGACCTGCAAGGCGCCGCGATGAAGGAGCCCCCAGCCAACATTGCCGCAGACAACAGCAACAAGCTTCGCGCTCTTTTGACCCGCTTTGCGGAAGATGAATACTTGGCGCTGTTTGGTCTGCCTGCTGGATCTGTGAGCCCACTCAACGCTTCCATCGACGTAGTTCGGGATATGCCCAGCAATGCTGCTATAGAGCGGTTAGCCTCGGTCATGTACGAGGTAGCGGAACTCGCAGCTCCCACCACGGACACCGCAAATAGCTGGAGAGCTCGACTTACTAGTCTTGTGACTAGCACTGCATTCCAGTACAACCCCATCATCCAGTCTCGAGCGTTCTTGTTACTAGGGTGCTTGGCCGATCTCACCCGCTCCATGATGACCGATAAGGGCGCCACAACAGGAAACTTGAACGGTCAAGTTGAAAAGAGCGTCACACGTAAAAGCGGCAGCCGAGAGGCAGACATGGCCTTCGAAGTGGATGACGATCTCCTCTACCAAATTCTCGTTTCCTTACGCGGCAGCATTACCGAATGGGCGAATGCAAGCAACGATGCACCAATCATCAGTATTGTCACTTGCCTTAGCAAGGTCGTCAAGATTCTTCCCGATAGATCGCGGTATCTGCCGCAGCTCTTCTGGCTGGGCATCTCTATGATCCAGTACGGGCATGTCCCGCTCTTCAAAGCAGGCACTGAACTCTTGCTTGCCACGGTCACCAGCATCTGGGACAGAAACCTTTTGCAAGAGGGACAGATCGATCTCATCACCTTCCTCATCGATGGGAGGTACGAGTTCCGGGACGCGGCATGCCGCCTGGATGATGAGACGGGAGTCGATTTTGAAATCAACTTTAGCTTCGCAGCGGCGGCACTGCTAGTTAAAGGTCTTAGACATCCTTCAACCAAGAGTGCCACTACCGAGCTATTGCGTGCTCTGCTGCAGTACACTGGCTTCGATAGCAGTCACGCTTCCAGATCGCCAGACGGAAGGATATCGGTACCACAACTCGGATTCTTCATTGGTCTCCTACCTACGGCGACGCGGCCCGAGGACTTTGGCGAACTTCTCAGTCTGGCGGGCGCGGCGCAAGGAGTCTGCACAGCAGCCATCGAAGCTCGCAAGCAAGGCGGCGAGGCGAGCGGACTTTTCAAACATCTTGACGCCACCGAGAACAAGGTCGCGCTTCTCATTGTGACCCTGATTGCGGCTCTCTTACAGCACGCTGAAAATGATGCCGAACGGCTACTGCTGTACGGCTTCCTTGCCGACTCGGCTCAAGAGGTGCCGGCGATCGTCTCCATCCTGTGAGTCGAATTGTCTGGCATGACTTGCACACCAACCCGCATGCTGACCTGATACGACTACCCGTGGCATGATGGCTAGGTACGACTCGCTTGCGCCGGGCATGCGTGACGTCTTTGTCAACTCGCAGAATGGGCCCATCCTGGACGCCGTGCACACAATCGCCAGAATTGCGGTCAGCGAGCCAGTCTTTGCAGCGCAAGCCCTAGAGACGACTCGTCGCGGCGGACCGGGCGCGTACTTGGACGAAACTGGCTATGCGAGCCTGCTTGACTGCGGTGACTTTGCGCCCTTGCCCGACGTCCGCCGCCTCACGCTCGCAAAACTTTCGACCGCTCTCCTTGCTGGGCTCATCGATGCTGGCACTGCTTAATCTTCCAAGTGCCTTGTCCTTCCACCTGCCTGATGCAGCGGCTCTTTCAAGCTGACAACCTTTTTCTTTTTGTGCGTGGGGTGCAACGCAAGACCGCTTCGATCATACAATAGCGGCACGAGTAGCATCCATCTTCCCAAACACCGCTACGACGGCTCAGACAGCCGACTTGTGCGGGAGTCGCACAACACCACGCAGACTCACCTAATTGGCTCTACCACCATCTCCTGTCAACGGATTTGCCGGTCTTGTCACGTTTTCATGTCTTAGTATCGACTCAATGTCCTCGCAGCTCCATCGTTGACGTCTCTGTAATTCAACTCAGTCAAAGTCAAAGGTGCGGCTTTACGCGCCCAAAGAAGTTGGTTCTCATCTTTCCTTGCAGTGTGCCTCCTCACCTCTTGATCATACCCTGAAACGTTTGCGACTCAAACATGCGTGTGTAGAGCGAGGACGGTCCGTCCTGCAACTCAGCACGATTGATTCGTGATTGGGGTGATGGTTGAGCGTGCGGGAAGAGGGCTCCGCGGAAGCCGCGGAACCTTGCATGGCGCGCGTGTGCCTCGAGGTCACGCATATAGCGCCTCGATCGCCCACATACAATACAGTGATATGAGATTCGCAGTTCTTGACTGACAACCATCGACCCATGTGTACTGCTCATCTTCGGTCTAGCTCCTTCGTCGTCAACTCCCACACAAGTCACTCTCTCGATCGCGGCAACGTATTGAAGGCGGCATATGCGCACAGATATCTGCGCGATCTCAAGAAACCAGCGTGGCTGCGAGCTCAGAATCGCGTCCACCTCTTAGCGTCATGGACGTGGACAAGTTGTTCAAGGTGAGTTTGCCTCTTGGCGCACCAATGCTGCGCTACAGAGCAAGCAAACTAAGCCCTCCACTCCTATTTCTGTGCTCCGTAGCTTCCCAAATTGCCAGCCTCGTCGGTAAATAAGAGAAAATGGGCAGAACCCAGCAACGATGCTTTGAAAGCTGCGCGGGTAGACGACGTCGACGACCAGGAGGGGGCCGATCTGCGCTACCAGAAGCGTAGCAATGCTCCTGCGGGGTCAGCTCGAGGATCAGCTCTCGCTCCTGAAGATGATGCAGAGGGTCCACATCTGCCTCCAGATGATGAGGATGAGTTTGCACCGGGCAACGATGCGGACTACTTTGTCGATGAGGACGACGAAGGCGGGAGATTCTTTGGTGGAGGCTTGACAGAACAACAGAAGAGAATCATCGAGATCATGAATTCGGGAGATGGCGATGATGAAGAAGTCAAGCCGGAGCAGATTCTGAGAGACTTGAAAAGGAGCTTACTGAAGTGCGAGCGTGCTGTCAATAGGAATGCGGAATTGAGGGTCAAGTACTCTGACGATCCTGAAAAGTGAGTTGTCGGCAGCCGGTTGCGCTTCTCTGATATGCATGCAGGCGCAGCTTCGGGGTGGAGGAGCAGGTGATTCAATTCCAGAAGATCCCTACTGATGTGTCTTCTCCTCAGATTTGTGGAGTCTGAAGCAGACCTCGACTCTTCTCTCAAAGCTCTCGTGGTACTTACAACGAATCCGGCGCTCTTGTATCCCGAAGCTATCAAGAACGAATTGCCCAAGACTCTCTGCGATCTTCTATCCCACGAGAACGTGGACATCGTCGCTGCTGTTATTGAGCTTGTCGAGGAGCTGACTGACGACGATGTGCTGGATGCAGGTGTGTTGGACGATCAAGAAGAGCGAGATGGTGGGTCGCGTCAAGGAGAAGCAGCTGTGGCCCAGCTGGTCGACCAATTGGTGAGCTCATACGCAGGTCAGGATGGCAGGGGTGTGCACTGACGAATCGAGACTTCAAAAGCTTGAGAGAGGCTTCTTAGACCTGCTTATCCCGAATTTGACTCGGCTATCGGATGAAGCACCGAAGGGCGGGGATGCAACAGCGATCGCGAACGCAGAGTCAGATGCGAACACCATCTATCATATGCTGGGTGCCCTTGAGAATTTGCTGTCGCTCAAACCCACGCTGGCAAAGCACTTGGCGGACAGCACTTTACTTGGCTGGCTGCTCGACAGGGCAGCAAGAAAAGGCAAGCATGACCAGAATCGAGGCTATGCGGCCGAGCTGCTTGCTATTCTGGTGCAAAGTCAAGAGGGCAACTACGTGTGTCAAAAGCTTGGAGAAAAGCATGGCATCGACGATATTCTTCAACTCTTGTCCGTGAGTAATAGATCCGTTCTATCTGCGCTCCTCCACAGATGGGCTCACGATCTCTCTTTTTCTCGTCGACAAAGCGGTATCGCAAGACAGATCCGGCAGACGATGAAGAGACCGAGTTCGTCGAGAACGTGTTCGACGTTCTGTGTGCTGCGCTGTCGTCTTTTAATAAGAATCAGACGCGATTCTACAGATCAGAAGGAACAGAGCTCATGTGCATCTTTCTGAAGTGAGTGAACGTCTCGGGCGCAGGAAGCAGGTGTATTCGTGGAGAATTGGCTCTTTGACGCGACCCCTGCTTGTCTTAGAGAGAAGCGACCAACGCGATTGCGCGCCATCAAGGTTCTCGACTACGCACTTTCTGGGACTGCTGGAGCTAAAGCTTGCGAGACGTTCGTTGAGTCGATGGGCTTGGCGCCACTCTTTTCCATCTTAATGGGCAGAGTGAGTGACCTTGGGCGCTGCTGCTCGCATCAGAAGTCGGCTTGCTGACCATGCCGGGCCCATGACCCGCGTGTCACAGGGCTTCAAGAAAGCGAACGCACCTACGGCTGCGGACGAAGAACACGTGCTAGGTGTAGTCGTCAGCCTCTTCAACAACTTGGCTTCTGACAGTCAACCTAGGATACGCCTCTTGGCCAAGTTCGTCGAGGATGAATACGCGAAGGTGGACAGGCTGCTCGAGATGGGCGATGCTTGCAGCGCTAGGTTGAAAGGCATCGACAAGGAAATCGCAGTGGAAAGGCAGGTATGTTGCGATCTGGGGAAAGCGCAGAATCGGAAATCCCCTCAAAGGCGGCATGTCTGCCAGATTTAACACGGCATCTGTCCCATCTACCTCATTGCGTACTTCCCCAGGCACAAGAAGCTGACGGATCACGAGACGTCTCACTCGAAGAGGAGCTCTTCTACCTGCGTCGTCTGGATGCAGGCCTGCATTCTCTGCAGCACATAAGCTATATCATTGCTTGGCTCTGCATGGAAGATGACGGAGTCGCCGCTCATTTGCGAACGATGCTCTCGCGCAAGGGACACAAGCTGGACGGCCAAATCGTCGACGTTCTCAAAGAGTGGTACGAACATGTAGGCGAGGATGCAGTCGTTGCTGAGCCCACGCCTGGGTCCAACGAGCCAGCGCTCCTCTTGCAAGATGTCATCATTCAGCTTGTCAACTACATGCTGGGTATCGCCTAAATGCATGACACTTGAATTGGCCCAGTGACCCTGTTGAGCCAACGAAAGAGACGTCTCGAATACTTGTCCAGGGATGGACAGCGCGAGATGCAAGGCTGCCCGCAGTCTTGTAAGAGCCAGCCTGCTTCTGCTGACGAGTGACATTTGGCGCTGGCGTTACCCCACTCATGCGTCCTCTGCAGCGTCTTCCCTGGGCGTTTCCAGGGTGGAAGCATTTCTCCCCAGTACCGGGGGTGATGTGAAACTGCTAGAAGTCACCGAGGGTGCGTCTTTGCCCTCAGCTTTAATACCAAGGCCAGAGACGTTTCTTGAGCCAACGTTTGTCATTGTCGGACCCAACGAAAGCACGCTCCTTCTCCTGTCCAGTCCTGCACCGCGACTAGCACCAGCCGCACTAGTCAAAGGCAAGCCTGTGCCCGTTGCAGTGCTTGCACCATCGCAGTGACCCAGACGCACCCGGCACCAGAAGGAAAAGGTTTTGGCTGCAGAGTGCGAAGGGTCAGCATGCTCGGCTTTGCCAGCATAGCCCTTGTGTCCTTTCTCGCCCTCTTCCTCCAATGCTTCGTCAGGCCGATAGGTATATGCTACGTAAAGCAGGAACTATGTGAGGTACCGTCGACGAGCACAAAGGATCAGTCGTTGGCCACGGGGGTGATGATGAGACCTACAAGCAATGCAACTAGTTTTCAACTCACCTCGATGTCACCCGCAGCTTCCTTGCCGAGCGAGAGGTCCAGACCGATGGTCGTCGCGTTGCCCTTTCTTTTCAAAATGCCATCACTCTTCCTCGTCCTTCTACCAGCGCCTTTTTGCCTGATACCATCCTCGTCCAGAAAGTCATCTCTACCCGGATCATCCTCCACATCGTCTCCCAAGAGCGAAGGCCTGGGTTCTTTGAGTAGGTCTGCATCTTCCTCGTCCAGCTCCCACACCTCGTTGAAGGCGTTGATGGGGAAAAATGTCGTGCTTGGCGTGACGGACCAAATTTGCTTATTGTGAGACATTGCTCGATTGGGAGACGTAGGATCTTGATTAGAGCCAGCTGGTGCCGATTTCCGGGGAGAGCTTTGCGTTCCTGGGGGTGAGGAAGGCAGAGGGGGAGAAGTGGATCCCTGGGCTGATCGAGGCGGAGGAGACTCTGGCGCTGCGCGCTCGACGGGAACTGTTGCACTGCTAGGCAAGATGATGCCCAAGTTGACTTGCATGGCGTCGTCGAGTGGGTTCGTAAAAGTGACTTCGAAGGTGTAGATCCGTCCAGGTGTCAAATGTTCTTCGTCCATGGAAGTGCCGGCGCTCCCACTCAGAAACGCACTGCCTCCAAGCCCCGCACCACCACCCGCGCCCACCATTACGCTCTGTGGTCGCCTCCTGAGCGAGCTGCCCGTGCCTGACTCCGAAGACCTACCAGCCACTGATCCAGCACCGCCTAGAAGACTCGCTCTCTTTGCAGCTCGGATTTCCTCAACTGACAGGCCGACATTGCCACCCAAGAGAGGCGCGACTGTTACGGGTCCAAGGATAAAGATGTCCGGCAGGTAGTTCATCGCCATCAATCGTATTTTGAACCTTTTGACGGGCGCCTTGATGTCCGGCTTGATGATGATGTGTCTGCATGATGGACAGCGTTTGGTCTGCTTAGCCTGCAAGCGCACTGGTGTGGGCCTCAGTTCGCTGCAAAGCGGGAGATGCGAAGGTGCGTCAGTCGGAGTTGTTCAGAGATCGAAGAGCTTTGCTGGTGCCTGAAGGTGCTCGTAGGCGCACTCACGCAGCTCTGACGTTCTGGTCCCAGAGATTTTGCCACCTCTGATCAAATGTCGTAAAAGTCGACCCATCGCTCAACCTCTCGCTCAGCCTGATCCTGCGCTCGTCCCTCTTGCCAGCAACTCCGTTCGCACCTGTCACGTAGCCATTCTTGGTTTTGTAAGTTTTATTCTTCTCCTTGTGGTACTGGTCAGCGTCTTTATCCCTTGTCGGAGGGCCCTGCAGACCTTTAAGAAATCGCTGATCTCGAGCAAGACTTGGCACGTCTTTCAACAGACGCGACTGGCGTAGTGCTGCTGATGCTGCTGCCATCGCGGCGCTTGACTTGCTGGATGCAGGTATAGCATTCGAGCTGCTTTCGTCTTCGAGCAAAGTCAGCTGATATTCCATGTAATCTTTGTAGTGTGCTTTGAGCCCGTCGAATTCGTCAAAATCAGGGGGCACCTTCTCTGCACGCTTCATTTGTACTGCGCGCGCGAAGGAGCATCAGCTTTCGATGTTTTGCCCAGAGACACATGATCTTACGCTGTGCGTTGTCAAGAAAGCGCAGCAGATGCACTTACAAGCCAGACCTGTGGGTTTCTCGAACGTAATGCTGCTCTCTTTGCTGTCCCACTTGCAAACGTTGCAAAGCAGATAGTAAGGGGGCACACCGACGCTAGCGTTGGCGTGCAGCGGATCGATCCCCTTCTCATTGTCCGACCCGACCAAGTTCAATGCGGTCTGGCAGATTGGACATTCAAAGCAGCTTCTATCGCATCTGCCCCTTGACTCTTTGACCGAAGGCAGTGGAGCGTCGAAGAGGCAGTTGGGGCAAAAGTATGAAGACGGCTCTACAGTGACGCACAGCGAACATCGGATCGAGTCGCACTCTTCGCAAAAGTAGAGCGAGGAGAGTTGATGGAAGGAGTCGCGATTGGATAAGAGAGGCACCGAGGCGCTGCTCGATGCTTGAGTGTTGCTGTTGCTGTTGCTGCTGCCAGGTAGCCCTGATCCTTGCCCGTATTGTGAAGGATGCGCAGCAGAGGTAGAGCTACAGGCCTGAGGCCCCACTGCATTGGGTCCCAGGCAAGGGCAGTGAAATGTTACAGAGGCGGGCATGTCCCACGACTTTCTGTGTGCGTGTTCGAGAGCTTTGTGACGGGCTGTATGTTGGTCATGAGAAGTGAGAGGCAAGGCAAGCAAGTCAGAGTCTTGGAGTCAAAAGTCGTGAGTCGTGAGTGCAGGGTGTTGGTCTCGAACGCGCGCCGCCTCTGAGAAATCAAATCAGCGCGCGCATTTAGCGGCAGGTCCGCGCGCCTCGACATGTGAATCTTGAATTGAATCCAGCATCACGTGAATCACGTGAATGTTGTGCATCGCGCGGCGGTGGGCGGCAGACAGGTCTGTTGCTGTGGATGCGTATACGTGCGCTATGGACTGTGTAGTGCGTGCATGGGTGGCCGGGGTGCCTTGTGGTTCGCTCAGCCTCGACGCTCCACCTTGACCGGCAAAGCAGCTAGACGCTTCCCTCATCCCACCACCCGCATCAAGATCTCAGCGTTCATCGGAATTCGCTGCAACAAGCCCCAGCTGCCGCTTTCATTGCGTTCGGCTTACCTACTGAGCGCGATACTTGACCGCGCAATCCCTCTGGCACTCGTGAGCGCGAAAGAACTCATATTCGTTGCCAGACTCCATCATCGAGAATCAGCGCTCTGCGGAACGCAGTGTCACAAAAGTCACGCCTACCCACTGAATTGTCATGGCGCTTTGGTCACGATGAGTCAGCAACAAGATGGTCCTCGCTACACCCAGCAGCGTCAAATGATGGTAGGATCTGCTGCGCCCCCTCAAGCAGGACCCTCCCGATTCCAGTCACCCCAGTCCTCTCGCGTTGAACCTTCAATGTCCTCACCAACACAATCACGTATGGTGCCTGATGCTCTTCAACAGCGAGCTCATGCACCATCATCCTCGTATCAAGCACCATCTCACGTGGTGCCCTTCCTGACTCTTCAGCTTCACCCGCCATTCGAGCCATTTCGAAGAGCGGGAGCTAGCATCAACACGGATTTGACGCTGCGGTTGTCCGCCCACTCCAACCTTTCGACGCTGAGGCATACGCACTACCCTAAGGTGGAAAGGAGGGGCACGGATCTTTGGCTTTGGGCACTTGCGCTCAGCTTGAGCTTGCCCGGACACATCATCGCACCTCCGCCCAATCCTCCTCTCTTGCTGCTCGACTCGACCCTCGCGAATGCGTCGGCGAATGGCGGAGGGGGGGTCACATCGACAGGCAGCGTCTCAGCCTCTCACGCCGCTCAATACGACTCTGCAGCCCATTTGCACGCCAGGTCCCTCTCCTCTTGGTTCTCTAGGCTGCTGAGCATCCCATCGGTCCTGCGTCATCCAGCGACACCTCACCTGATAGAATGCGACTTCACCTATACTCCACCCCTACCCACCTCGGGCCCAGGTAGTACAGCTTCAGCTGCGCGTAAATTGGAAGCGGCGCTCAACAGTCTGCGCAACTCTGGAAACTTGGCCATCGATGTTGGAGGTGGGCTCGGCTTGCCATCTGGCGCTATCACCGCTTCGCTACCCTCCCACTCGAACGGTTTCAATCCCGGGAGGGACTCTGGTGGCGGTGGTGGAGGATTGTGGAGCAGCTTGACTGGGAATTCTAAACCTGTTAGCACTGCTATCAGTGGCGCGGATACTGACGAAGAGCTCGTCGCAGCCAGAGCAGAAGTTACCAGATTGGAGATTCAATTTAGCACAGCTGCCAAGAAGGCTGAGCTAGTCGCTGACAAGACCAATGGTGAGAGATCTGCCGCCCGAGCAATAGCACAGTCTGATGACCAGATCAAATGCAAAGGCTTACGCTGGAGCGACACATTCAACTCTCAGCTTTGACCGCAGCGCAACAGGCCCTCGCCACTCGCCTAGAAAGCTTGGCGCTTCTTGAGTCCACGCGCTCAATTCCGGAGAGACGAGGCTTGCCTCGCACGCTACAAGACACAGCCAATTCGCTCCGAGCTCTGGGAGAGCGCAAAGATGACTTGGTGAGTTGACCCCGTCTGGCATGGCCATTTCCCCCTTCACCGACATTGTCTGAGCAAAATGTGTTCCTCGTGCTGCTGCTACCCTCGCTCGCAGACGGCCCAGACTGCGCTGCACCTGGCACATCCGTTGGCGTATCAGTCACACGCGGCAAGAGCAGCCAGGGATGCGCTGCTGGTGCGACACTCGCTGGTAGACACGGCTCACGAAGCTGCGGGCTTGGCTCTTCTGAGACGAAAAGAGGCGGAGCAATTGCGGTCGAGAGCGGCAAGCGTAGGCTACGACCGGCTCGAGGCGAAACTGGGCGAGCTTAACGATGTGAGCACACATGCGATGCGATTGGAGAAGACTGCGGACCACTGACACGTAGTCGATTTATTAGGCGAAGCAACATGCAGCTCATTTGGACTCTCAGCTCAAGGCTCTGTCTGAGAGCTTACGCAAGTCTCTTGGAACGCATGCCAAAGCAACGCATAAAGATTTACACGAAGCGCTCTGGGTGCATGCGAAAGGAGCCGCGGCTGCTAACAAAGCCGCGCTAAATCAGCTGCATGGGCTGCAAAGGTTGTTCGCAGAAGACGGCGATGCGGGGGATAGCACGTTGCAGAGCGAAGGTGCGAGGCGTGGAGAAAGTTTGAACGATCCGTCAACGTCGGCCTCGACCGCTACGTCTGGGATGCCGTCCAACTTGTCGGATGCATCGGCGATGTCCAGAAGCGGCTCTACCACATCAGCCGCTGCTCGCAGCTTGCAGACGCAGAAGGAGAGCTTGCACGAAGCGAATGCGACGCCGTCGGACTCTTACCGTCACGATGCAGAAACCACTTCCGGCGGCACTGATACACTCGCAGGCAGCAATAAATCCTCAGAGGCTGCACTCTTACCGTCGGACGATTCACGGGACCAAACAGTCGCGACGCCAAGCACTGCGTGGAAAGCTGCAATTGACGCGACTTCTTCCAGTAGAAGCGCGAGCCCGACAACCGTCAAATCAGCCCTGGGAACCTCGGCTGCTTTCCAGTCGACCCACGATCCGACTTCCCCTTCGCCATTCTCTCGTATTGATTCGATGCCTCCTGTGCTAGTTGGCACGACCGACACTGCACGAGCTCCAAGCCATATTGACAGAGCTGCGAGCGGGCAAAGAGGACAGGAGGCCGACACCCCCGCCGCGCTCTCACACGCTGCTGGTTTGCATTCGCCAAGCGGACAAGAGGCTAGCCTCACGCCGCGCGCACTCAGCCGAACAGAGGCTTACACGCCCAGCGCAAGTCCTTCCGGGTCCCGAGGAGCTACCTTTTACGCCCAAAGCACCAACCCAACGGGTTCCACGCTGCGCAAGGACGAGCATCATGCGCATGACCCTGTCGCGTCGCCGAGCGGTAAGCGAGGTAAAGAGGTGGAAGAGGCGGCTAGGACTTGGGGAAGAAAGAGTAGAATTTCGGCTAGCGATGCGGCCAGAAATCTTGCGGGAAGGTTCTGAGCGGTGATGTGCGGGCGAAAAGCTGGGTCAATCATATGTGCTAGCTCGCTGATGAGGTCCTGCGAGAAATATACGTTGCCAGCACATCTGTCCATGCGGCTGGAGAGTCACGAAGGGAAGGCCAATGCGACGATTGGACGCATGAATATTAGCAAGGTCGCATTGCGAATCTGTTTGTGTGTGTTCAGGTGACAAGCTCAAGCAGATGCTTCGACGAGAAGCGGTAATGTGCAGCACGAGTAGAGCAACGCAGCGCCAAAAGAAGCCATCCCTTGGCGCCGAGCCGTCGTCAAAGGCGAGACGAGCTAAACAAGCATTCTCACTTGCTCTTGACTTGCTCAGCTTTTCTTTGCACCTCCTCCTTTGCTTTTTGCTTTTGCAGCCCCTCCCTCCTCTTTTCCCTCGCTTCTATGCCGAGTCCAAAGAAGACAACCACTACTCCTATCCACTGTGTCGGGTTGAGCTTGTGGCCGTACACTGCGATGGAGAGCAGCATGGTGAATAGTTTGCGCGTCACCTGATCACGACAGAGTGCACACAATGTGAGCGAAGAGGGCCAACTTGCAGTAGAGAGGGGATGTATTCGAACTCACGGTGATGGAGACCAGAGTCAAGCTTCCGAACCTCTCTAGCGTTTCAAAGATGGCTATCTGTCCAAAAGCGCCCGCCAATGCGTATCCTGCCAAGTCCTTGACAACTTGCGGATGTCTGTGGATGAATGCAAGAGCAGAAGAAAGTTCGTTTGATCCTTGTGCACTTGAGGATGAGCCTACTCCTGGAAGAGGAAGGATCAGACTGAATCCCATCAGGATCGAGCTTAGTAGGTTCATCAGTAGCATCATCTGCGGTCCAGCGATTGACCATTTGGAAAAGACGTCATCTTGCGTACTATTCGTTGCCCCGTCCAATGCCAAATTAGCAATGAGCAATCCCATTCCGAACAGCGTATCTCCCCCCGATGAGGACTTCTTCTTGCTGGGCGCGGCCAGCATGAATGCGCTGATGCCTGCCGTTACGAGCAGCACAACAGCATATTTGTAAGGAGCAAATCTGCGCCGATAGATGACCACGTTGGCAATAAGCACGGGTAGAAGCTTGCAGGATTTTGCCAAGGTCAAAGTGGGGTACGAAATGCCGTGCGAGAGGCTTAGTAGACCTAATTGGGAGGCCGTCGATTGGAAAGCGGCGATGGCGAGATATCGAACAAAGAGGGGCGATATCCTCCTCCTCCGCGTCGTCGAAATGCCATCAGGTCTGACTTGAGATGCCGGTGTGAATGCCGGCTTTTGCGCCCGCTCAGCGCCGCTCACGCTGAGCACGTCTAATCCGAGCACTCTCCAGATACTTTTCCCCTTCGAGGCGGTGCTGCGCGAGTTGCCTGCGACGAGGTAGGCAACGGCTACAATGGAACAGGCGATAGCCTGCGCCCAATTCAACAACAAGGGTGATTTAAAGTATTCGAGCGATTGATCATGCAATGAAGCGGAAAGCTGGTCCTTGTAGGTCGAATCATGAGGGATGGGATAGGCTGTTGTGGTCAGCCTTTCTTGAAGCAATCCCCAGGCTAGGAAACAGGCGTAGATGCTCCCTGCGCAAAGACCCAATTGGGCCAATGTCATGTTGCGATTTGCGAAAGCGACGCTGAGCTGTCTGTGCGTGGAAGCTACAGCAGCGGTTGGGATGTTGAAGGCAACGAGATGCGAGAAACAAGTCTGGAGTCACGAGTCAGAAGAAGAAGCATGACTCAATCTTGAATCAGTGAATGACTCGCAGTTCGTGCGTGTGCTGGCTACGTGTCACTCATTTCACAATCAAAAATCTTGAATCTGAATTTAAAATTCAGTTCAGCGCCTGCAGGTCAAAGGGTAAGCTAGGCGTGCACCCATCACGTGCAGCAGGTCCATGTCGCCTGCGCGCAGGTATACAAGTCGACTTCGGCGCGTATGCGGATAGCGACTCAACTCTTCATAGTGGTACTGACTTGAGGAGACCAACGGCCTTTCCTTACCCAGCCCGTCACCCGCTGCGCTGCTCTTTGCACTTGTGACTCGAGCTACGTCAAAGTCTTTCGACCTGGTCATCCCCGTCTTCACACCGACCAAGCACTCACCGCGCCCATGCTCGGAGCCAAGTCAATCATGCTGGCATAAGTTGTGGAAGCATGTAGCGTTAAACGTCGTGCCATCTGCATCCGAGCCAAGCATTGCATCCAAGCCAAAGCGAGTTCTGCCTCACCGCGATCACCGAGAATTGGTCAACCTGCGTGCTCAGGTCTCGCTTATCGGTCATCATGAGCGCCGTAGAAGAGGAGCAAGGCGCTCTTGGCTCGTTGGACAACCTTGTGCTCGGTACCATCCTATCCGATCTAGGAGTGTCGTCTCAAGATGCCATCTCTCGCTCACGTCTGCTATCCCATCGCGCTGGTCCATCCTCCTCCGAACCTCGTAATGGCGCAAACATAAGCAATGACGATGAAGGAATGCAGCTAGCTTCGGATCAGATATATGGTGAAAAGTACATGGACGATGACTTTGGAACGACGGATGAAAGGGGCGAAGAGAGCGATGGAATGGCTGAAGATCTGGAGGAAGAGAAAGAGCGGAGAGCGAGGGAGGACAGAATGTACCGAGCTGGCTTGCAGAGTCTCGAGACCGGTGGGACGAGGCAGATCAGGGGAGAAGTGGGGTACGACGACGACGACGATGAGGGAGAAGAGGAAGGAAGGCAAGCGGCGAGAGAGGTAGCGAAGAGAAAGGAAGGAGAGATGAGGGCTTTGATGAGCATCAAAAGGGAGCCTGTTACTTCGCCACCAGACGAAATGATGGATGAAGATGCCGAGGGCGAAGAGGATGCGGAAGGCGAAGAGGAGGAGGAGCAGGAGGAAGTCGTCACTCCGCCTGCGCATGCCGCGACGGGTGAGCCGCCGGCTGACATCGAGCAGAATGAGGAGGACGAAGGCATAAGATTGCCCGCAAGACCAAAAGTCAACATCAAGCACGTATTTCCGAATTACGGACCTTCATCCATCATCAACTTTACAGAGCTGTACAACGATCTGACCAGGCCGCTCAAAAGAGCAAGGATATCAGACTCGACCGTCGAAGCGCAAGCTCCCTCTACCCTCGCTGCGCAAGAGGAGACTGTACCCGTCTTCGAAGCACCGCCCACACCAAGTGTCGTTGACCTGCCAAGCACAAGAGACGAAGCGGAAGTGCGCCAAGTGTCAGCAGCACCCACAAGATACAATGCGATCAGCTGGGCCGTGGAGCCACTTGTACGCTCGTCTCGTCGAGATGCTCACCCACGCGACGAGCCCACCTCAGCGCAGCTTCGCCCGATGGATATCGAGGACTGGGAGAGCAACATTTTGTTGCATGGCGCTACTATGCCAGCTCCATCTCTGCGCGTTCGACCTGACCGGCTGTTCAATGTCGACTTAGCGAATGGAGAGTGGGAAGATGGTATTGTGCTCGATGGCAAGGGACCTTCTAAGCGGGACTACTACAGACTTTTGTTGGACATGAATGATCCGGAGATGATGCTGGAGCGAATTCAAGTTGATCAAGCTTCGGAAGCGGGACGAGGTCCGCCACAAGCAAAAGCTGTGTCTTCGACAAGTGTCGCCACGTCTGGTGGGACAGCTACAAGTTCCGCAGGTGAAATCTCAAAGCACGCAGTGGACTTTTTGAATCTTTCTAATGATCACTTCTACGAGGTGTCGAAGGAACAGATGAGGAGACGCGTTCGACAGACGTTGGGTCAGTTGATCGTTCAACACGCACCGCCTGCCAATGCGCTGCAATTGCCTTTCGTGAGTAAGATTTCGCGCGCTCTCCGCTCGAGGAGAGCGAATTGGACTCTCTGCTCACGCTTATCACCCGCCATGGCCTCCTAGTACAAGACGCGATTGACAAAGACGGAAGCAAGATCATTCCATCGACCAGCCATGCAATTCCCTTCCAACATCCCGCTCAAGTTTTCAAAGGTGCGCTCTTCCAAGAAGAAGAAGGAAGAGAGGGAAGGCACATCCAGCAAGAGCGGCAAGAACAAGGATCCCGCTGAGCTGCTCAAGAGCAGTAGAGATCTGTCGTTGAGGGATACATCGCAATTTGTTATGTACGAGTATTCCGTGAGTGTTCATGATGGCTGACGAGCGCCTGTGGCAGGTGCACTCACGCACTGGCCCTTGCCCTTGCCAGGAAGAGTACCCACCACTGCTCTCGAAGATGGGCATGGGATCTCTCATTGTCAACTACTACCGCAAGCGAAACGAGCGTGATGAGCACATACCGAAGGTAAGCACAACGAGTCCCAAACGCATCGCGAAGCTCATGCGGCCCAACCCGCTACCGCGCAGTCGGACCTCGGAGAGCCATTCATACTCGATCTACCGGACGAGTCGCCCTTCATGAAGTTCGGCAGTGTGCATCCAGGCCAGACACAGCCGACACTCTACAATAATCTAGTCCGCGCTCCCCTCTTTCGGCACAAGCCAGCCAGCACGGATTTCCTGTTGGTACGCAGTACGAACCGGAACTCGGTCAGGTACTTTTTGAGAGAAATCAAAAATGTTTTTGTCGTCGGACAGACCTATCCCCTGGTTCAGATTCCTGGACCTCATGCAAGATTGGTCACCAATGCGATCAAGACTAGGCTGCAGATGATTGCGTACAAGCTCGTCGCTACGACCCCTCTCAACCGCATCAAGATACATCGCATCATGCGATACTTCCCAGACCAAAATGAGTTGCAAATGAGGCAAAGATTGAAGGTGCTTAGCAACTGCATTCATACGCTCTCAATTCGGCAGTGTACTCACGTGCTACCCCTTGGTGCATTTGCAGGAATTCATGGCCTACAATCGTACCGCCGGACACAAGGACCAAGGGTACTGGAAGCTCAAGCCCGGCATCATCCCACCCGAAGAGTCTGAGCTGCAAAAGCAACTGCCGCCAGAGCACATGGCCCTTATCGAGGCTATGCAGACAGGCCAACGACATCTGCTGGATGCAGGATATACACAGTCGGCGGAGGGAGCAGACGAGGATGGTGACGAGTCCAAGATGGACATTGAGCAACTGTTGGCTCCCTGGATAGTATCGAAGAACTTCTTGCACGCCACGCAGGGCAAAGCTATGCTGAAGCTGCACGGAGAAGGCGATCCGAGCGGGCGAGGCGAAGCTTTCAGCTTCTTGCGCGTATCCATGAAGGAGGTCTTCTTCAGAGCTGGAGACACGTTGGAAGCCCAATTGGCTGCTCAGGCCGAAGAAGAGAAGAAGTCTGGCCACAAGTACAATGTGCAGAAACAGCAGCAGGTGTACAAGTCGGAAATTGAAAGGATCTGGCAATCTCAAGCTAAGGCCCTTTCCAACCCTGTGCCTCCTAAGCTGACTGCGCAGGATTTGAAAGAGAATTTGGAAAGGGATGAGGCGGAAAATGCGCGTAACAACCAGACCGGCCCGCCAATCGACGCTGGTGAAGCTGACGAGAGCGAGAGTCAAATGGGCATCGACACGCGGGTGCTCAGAATCCGGAGGCTCGTGAGTGCGAGGTACAGAGATTGGGGATTATGGATGTTCTGACTTCCCGTGCTTTGCCCGTTAGGTGCGTGGCCGCTGGGAGACGGAAATCGTACGGGACTCCGGCGTCATTGGCGCCTACTTGCGACAACGTCAGCGTATCGAGGACGAAGCGACAGCGACAGAGTCGCTTGTTCCTACGGGAGACGCAGCCTTGGATGCAGCGCGACGAAAGAGGTTGGAAGCCGAGGTGGCTCAACTCAAGAAGAATCAAGATCGAAGATTGCAGCGCAAGAATGCCAAAGCTGCGGCTGAAGGTCTGTCCATTCCTGGAGGCTTCCAAAAGCTATTGAACAAGACGGACACGAAGAGGAGGTGCGGAAGGTGTGGACAGGTGGGACATATGAGCACGAACACTAGTTGTCCATTGTACGAAGCTCCCAAACCTTCGCAGATGGCCAGCTCAGCTTCCAGCAGAGCCGCTGCAAAGACTGGCTCCGGTGGCGGGCATGAAGAGCTCAACGGAGGCACCAGCTCCGACGCTTCTAGGCGTCCTTCCCTCTTGACTTCTGGCGTAGGAAGCAGTTCCAATCTGTACGGCGTGCCTCAGACCCCATCGAGCGCAATGCCTCCTCCAGCTTCTCCCTTTCCATTTGCCAGAGCCCTCGGAGGAACGCCCATGGCAAGTCCTGCAACGCCCGGGTTCGGTATGCCCTCAGCCCACGCCACCTCTCCACAGGGATCTCTTCCTGGCACTCCTGGACCCGGCTCGACGGGTGCGAGCGGAGGCGCTTCCGCTCCCAAATTCAAGCTGAGACTGGGCAAGAAGAAGGATTGATCTCGCAAGCGCCACTCGAGATTATCTACACATCGAGACAGGTATCCATCTCCCACGCTAAAGACACTGAACATGTACAACAGTTGATCGCATTGCAATATCGATTCGAATGGGCGCAGAAGGTATGCTGACATGTGCAGTCTTGGGAATGATCTTGGACAGTGAAGTGTGAGCTGCAAGGCACGAGCTGGAGAAGGCGTCTCATTCTGGTCTCAAGTAGCAGGTCGAAGAGCTCTGAGTCTCTCGGCAAGTCTATCATCGGCGTCGTCTGCGACAGCCTGAGTTGGTTCAGCGCTCTTGAGCGGGCCAACCTTGCCTTCCAAAGAGGCCTCGCCAAGCTGCTGATTGACCTCGATCCCATTCTCGTCTGCCACTTGTTGCAAGAGGGTATCGATCTGATCTTGAGGCGTAGTCTGGGCCGTACTGGCGCCCATAGTGCCTTCCATGTAGGAAGTCTGCACATCCATATCCTCGAATTGCTGCTCAAATTTCTCCATCACAAGAGAGATCTGTGAGTGTGATCAAGCTCGTCAGAGTCAGCTTGGCACGCACGCCGAGGCGCGCGCTCTCGTCTTGCAAGATGATGTTTGCATGCTCGACGTACCTTTTCAAGGTTCATTGACTCCATAGCCTTGTCCATACCCTTTACCACTGACGCCATGCTGCCAGTCACCTGCCGATAGGGATGCGTAGAACAACGTGAGAACATCTTCACACGCAGTGGCGACAAGCTGCTCTTCGCAGGCAGCTACAAAGCGCCCATCAGGCTCTCCTTACTCAGCACACGTGGCCTGGATTTTGCAACGCACCTGCCTCATGGTCACCGCCGTCTCCACTCTGCTAGCTACAGCGTCGATCCTGCTTGCCAGCCTCAACAAGTTCAAGCCCTCATTCTTCTTACGAATGGCATTCGACGCATAGATCCTAGCACCTTCAGTGTTGCCCTGTGCGAGAGCCTGTCTCCGTGTGCGTAGATGTAGAGCAGTGGCACCGTGAGCGAAATTTGCGCAAGTAAGGACGGAATCGTAGCTATAGCTACAGGGTGGAGACGCACCTTCTTCAACTTGGCCTTCTCGCTCGCTTCGTCCTTCGTCGCTTTACGAGATTGCCTTTGCAAAGACTTTGCTGTGAACTGCGGATCGGGCATGCCAAGAGGTTCTGGCAGTCAGCAGAAGCTCTTGCATGTCTGCCTATCAAGGGCACGATATCAAAGACACTCACCTTCAGCTGGAAAAGCGATTCTATTCGGGACCAGAGTGAGAGCACGAGCAGTGTCAGCGGTTTTTTTTTTTTTTTTTTTTTTTTTTTTTTTTTTTTTTTTTTTTTTTTTTCCCCCCCCCCCCCCCCCCCCCCCCCCCAACCCTGGTCAGGCTAGGCACCGGAGGCCATGCGCCGGAAGACCTCCTTCGCAGCGATTCAGTACGTGGTCACAATGTGCAGACTCACTCTCTAGCCCGCTCATGATTCTCTCAGAGCTCGCAAGCTGGGGCAAGCACAAATGAGTTCGACGGCAACTTTAGACTCCTCTATCAGGCCCCAAAGAAAATCTTGGGGTGTGCGTAACGATGCTGGAGCAGGCAGGATTGAGCTCAAGATTGCCCAGTCTAGTGTCCTGAAAGCTCGAACGATGGGGCAATGAATGAAGCTGGCGTCTCGTCGAGGTTGTAGAGGCCGCAGAATGGAGGTAGAGTCTGCGATTTGATCGAGTGGATGTGAGGAGCTGTAGAACGCGAACGACCAGAGTTGTCGACGAGGTGGAGCTCGAGTCCTGTTCTTGAGAAAGCGGTGGTGTTGAGAGTCTTGAGAAAGGTCGCACATCGCAGCTCACTGCTCTTGACTGCATATGCATGTCTGTCGCGATTGCAGGTGTGGAGACCCTACGTGCTCAGCGACTGCGACTGCGCGTACCGTCCCTGAGCGGCCCGCGCAGTCACGGACGATACTCACACTGCACGCGTGCACCGACCATCAAGCATGTGGGTCGTGATCGATGTCGAGCACGCGGCATTCAAGATTCGCATTCGTGATTCTTGATTCAGCGACTTCGCGACTAATTACGATTACCGACAGCGTGTAGGGTATGATCGATGACCAGCAGCTGCTGCCATCTGAGGGGTTGCCGCACTTCTCCAAGGGTCTGCGGCTCCCCAAGATTCACGATTGCTACTCGTGACTGCTCATCCTCTCAAAGAAAGGAAAGCAACTTGCGGAGCATCCATGAGAAGCAGAACTCATTTCAGCAGTTGTGGCAACGAGGCGCCGGGGGCAAGCGAGATGCCCGAAAGCTGTGCTCCCAACGCTCAGGTGATAATTTGAGGCCTCCAGCCGCTATGGTGCCGCGTCAACAATGATCTCCAGCCACAGTGATATTCACCAAGGATGTTGTGCGCCCCTTCTCCGGACATGACGTATACACCTCCAATCTGCTCACGAACGTTAGCAGTTGGCTATCGGCGTGCCCGCTCGACATCACAACGAAGCACGTAAAGCAGCATTCGAGACGGCTTGGCTCAACAGAGTTGCGTGGAAGAGAGGCATAGTACAAATGGGATGAATGATGGGTGGAGGAGCATCTTCGATAAGTGTTGTGCGTATTGTGGGAAGCCTGGCAGCGGTTTCATCGCGCTTCAGTGAGAAAGTCAAAAGAAGTGACAAGAAATTGATGTGATCGGACGGTTGTTTGATAGAGCTAGACGGCCAAGGCAGCGATTTACGAGTCGAGTGGAAGAATGAGGTATCAGCGTATGGGGGAGAGTCTGTGCGAGTATGGGAGGCATGCCCTGCTGCACAAAGCCGCGCGACCAGAAGCCTGCACGGCAGGTCAACCAATGACGCGACTAGGTCATCGCTCAAAGATCATCCTCATCGAAGGAGAGCTCCCTCTGCATCTCTTCGTGTTGCATACGAGCAGCCTCTTGCTCGACGTACGTCTCTTCTTGCTGGGCGTGAGCCTCGACGTCCAAGCGTACGATATGCTCGAAAGCTCTGGCCAGATCTTTGCGCAGCGTCCAGCGCTCGCGGTCGTTAGCGCGTATATTCGGATCAGTGTGGAGGAGAAGCTTCTTGAAACGGTTCAGCAATCCTCGTGGACCTTCGAGAGGCATTTCCAGTCGATCATATCGCTGGATGTATCTGCAACAAGCCGAACAAGCCGAGTCAGCCGCTGGGTCTTTGGGGCAGAAGTTCGAAATCACTGACCTTTCAAATTTGGCGAGCTCCTCCTCGCTAAGCTCCTCCTTGAGGCGAATGTACAGCCGGCGTAGGGCCAGCCGCTTGCCTTCTTCAGTCGGATCCTGAGGATACTCAACAATGTCACCCGTGGAGTGCACATGCGAGGAGCTTTCGGAGGGGGCGAGATTTCCGTTGGACGCTCCGCGCCGACGAGGAACGGACGAGGGCGTCGGATCGCTTTGCGAGACATCGAGATGTCCGCTTGCTGTACCGTCGTACACTGGAGAGCCATGCTTGCTACCAGCTGAGCTCGAGTTGGCTGGGCTCTCAGATGAGCTCGAATTGATTCTACCGTCACGCGCCTGCGCTGCTGGACTGGCACCTTGCGCTAGCGTAGAGGAGCTGAATTGATGATGCGATACCGGCCCAGCCTCATCAGTGATGAGAGCAGAGTCGCTGATGGTGCGTTTGAAGGTAGATCGAGAGGGCACAGACGGCAAGGTCTGTGCCTCGATGGCCTGCTTCAAGATACGCTCTTCACTGCTCGAAAAGATATCGTCCTTCTGGACAGGAATGCTATCGTGTACACTTGTGCTGCCATTACGGCTCCGAGTGCCTCGTGCACGGGCTCGCTCGATGCCGCCATGACTCCCCGTGCTCAGGCGACTAGTAGCTCGGCTCGAAGGCCTGTTGATGAATGCTTGAGGCGGCGCGAGCGGTGCCGAAGGCTGCTCATCTGCTGGGCCAGCGGATCTTCGACCATGTTGAGCTTGGAGTGCTTGCAGCTGCTGTTGCTGTGTGAGGCTCGTCCTACGTAGCTGTTTGCGCGCCTGAAGAGTGTCTGCCAGATATGCTCCAGTCACAGTCGAAGCATCGCTGACCGCGCTTCCGCCACGAGCAGGCGCAGTGAGAGCTCCCTGATTCTGACGGTGAACCTGGGCGTCGGAGGCGACCGGCAATCCTCGTCTGTTGTTACCTTCTGGCGCTAGAGAAGGCAGGCTAGCAGAAGCCATTGTTGAGTTCCCTGGCATGAGGCCTGTGCCATCCGTGTTCGTACTTCGCCTTTTCGGCAAGGCTGCTTCGGCGTGAGCAGAACCAGATGTGATGACGACCGTGTCGCTACGCTGACGACTGAGACTGGGCAACGGACCAGTGTAGCTGCTCGAAGCGATGTCTCTTGAAAGAGATGGGCCAGCGATGGCCACGGTGTGCGCTGCGGATGGGCGACGCTGCCGCTGATAGTCAGCTACCGCGGGCTGAGTGCTGTCCGAACCGAGTGATTGTTGGCCGCCAAAGGTCGAAGCATACGACTGAGATGCGGTAGTCTGCTGATGTTGGTAACCTGAGAGCTCCTGCTCGGATTCTGTCATCAAACCTCTGCCACGCAAGAGCTGCGATCGATTGATCGGGTCGTACTCGGCCATCCGGGAAGCCCGACCGTCGCCAAAGAGAGCCCCAGCTTCGCGATTCTCTGCATCGGCTAAGACGATGTCGGTTATGCTCTCGGCACTGTGATGTTCACGTTGACGGTTTGGCCACGATCCTGGTACCGCATTGGACCAGCTAGGGTGAAGGTCCACGCATGTGCCGTCTATCGGCCCACTAGAGCCTTCTCGTGAGAAGCTGCGCCTGTTGCTGGAGACGGCCTGACGATCAAGGAGGTTACTGCTGCACCACGGCTCCATGTTGCTTCCTGCGCGCATGCTGACGGTAGCAGTGTCGAAGGTTTGCGAGAAGGATGTCGAGATCGGTGGTGATGGTGCACTCAGACGATCGGACGGCAAGGAAGGGCCGAAGGAGTCGGGACCCGGCATACTGTGACCCTGGCGGCTCGAAGCTCCTTCTCCGACGGTGAGCATCCTTTCCAGAAGAATGACCTAAGGCAACGCCATGGAGTCAGCCAATGCCGCAAATTTGCTCATCGTTGATATGTCTCACTCTTTCTGCTAGACGGTGGCGGTGCTCGTCGATGTTCCTCGACTCGGCCCGCACGCTCGCAATCTCTTCCTCAAGACGGTCGATGATGCCCTCGTGCTGCGCAGTCAGCTCCTTAAGACGGTTGCGTTCCGAGGAGAAACCCTCGGCCTGAAGAAGCGAGAAGCAACGCACGTCGAATCAATTGAACTTAGATATGGAGCGGCATGGTTCCCGCTCACCTGTATGCGAAGCTTGGCGCAGTAACGTTCCCAATCTCGACACTTCTTGGCCATTTCGTAGTATTTGCCCGTCATTTCGTTCCATTTGGCACTGAAAGCGGAATGTAGCGCTTCGACTCCGAGCTGAGGACAGTCAAACGAGGTGGTCAGCAGGGCGTGAGCTTCTTCAACAAGGCTCTCATGCTACACTCACACTCCGATCTGGATCAAAGGGCAGACTGCTGGGAGGCTGAGCTTCGTGGGCCGAAATAGATGTAGGCTCTGCGGGCGGCAAAGGACTGTGACTGCGGTGGGGCTTCCGGTGCTCATCGGAGCTGATCACAGACTCTCTTGATTTTGGCGCGTTGAGAGGATGGCCTGCGGCATTGGGAGCGAGTCTCTTGCGGCTGGAAACCAGAGGGGCCGTCGAACTGGTGGGCGGTGGGACGCTGGATGGACCGAATGTCGCTGCTGAGGCCAACGCGTCGGACGAGCCGGCAACCTTCAACGCTTCACTCCCAGCAGAGGTACTCGCGCAGGAGACTTCTCTTCGGCGTTCCTTGCGCAGTTGGGCACGAAGGGAGGTGTTGCTGCCGGTACCGAGGGAAAACGCTGTCGCTTGACTCGGCGCACACGTCGTAAGGGGTCCGCTTGACGCGCCACGCCGGGTCGCAGCCACGCCCTCGCTTTGCGAGACAGCTAAGCCCCTCGACGTCGACATAATTGGATCGTGATGGTCGAGAGGTGAGTTGAGCTTGCGATATCGCGCGAGGTCTGAGGGCAGGAAGACTGGCTCAGATGCAGCCAGCGATCTTGAGCCCGGGCCCACTAGAAACCAACAGAATGGCGATGGAGAGGAGAGAGGCCCAGAGCTTAGTGGAGGCGCGCTGAAGAAGCGTTTCGTACGCAGCGCAAGTATTGCTTCGCCACGCGCTCGGACGGGGAGCGATTGACCCCTAGTGAGCCTGTAGAAATTGATTTGGCGCGTTGAGACAGAGCTTTTGGGATAGGGTGCCAGTCCAGAGATGGGGGAGCGATGGTGTTGGCATTCGAGTAAGAGCGAGTTCGATCAAAGGAGCACGAGTCAAGGAAGTGTGAGCCCCGTGCCTCGCTGTCTAGGCAAGCCTCAGGCTCGGTTCGGAGCACGATTGGACGTTGAAGGGTCCGCGCAGATTCGATTCGCGGTGAGTGGAGGAAACTCGGCAGCAATTTGTGAATGCATGCGGTCGTCGTCGGTGATGTGACCATATGCGCGCGTAGCTTTGATGCAAGCGCGCTTTCTACGACGCCGCGCTTCGATGCCTACTCGCGGCTGTGTATATATGATGATGCTGCCGTCCCGCGCTTGGGATGTGGCTTTATCGAGGGTGAGCTGTGCTCTAGCGCCCGACACTGAGACTCCATCTTTCCCTGGCAAGTTCAGGGCGCTCGATTGCTGCTGAGCATCGTACGAGGCTTGCTCTGCGCGACATTCAATTTCGATCGACTCGCTGTGAATCAGCCAAGCTAGACTCAGAAGACCAATTCTAGCGATGCGCACGGGCAGGGTGTAAATACTCCAGCGTATCTGCTGAAGGCTGAAAGGCTGTCATCTGAGCCATTCGCTGCCATGCATGGCAATCGAGGGACTTCCCTCTGATTTGAAGGCGTCAACAATTGGTTCCACCTGGATCATACAGGTCTCGTTCGCCCGCGGCTCCGCCAATTGAGTCCATCTTTAAGACTGATGTCTGGGAGAGGGCGGTGATGTGCTCACTTCGCACATTCTGCACCAACGTCCTGCTCACGGCCGTCTCACGAGAAGACAAAGGAACGGGCAAAGAGCGCCAAGTCCAGAGCGTCCATTGTGCAGGTGTGATGAACGCATCGACACATGCTGTGGCAGAATGCTCGCACTCAGCCACCTCGCCCCTTCACATTTCATGCTGGGGTGCTGTGCGGCGGGTCATGCGAGACCAACACATCAACACTCGACGTTCGATGCGCGGGGGGGCGCAGGCGCGCTACGCGTCCGCGGAGCCCACAGCAGCGTACCCGGCAGGGCGGGAATCGAAAAGAGACGCGGGAGCGCGGGGTCCAATATCTTGGTGATCTTCGCGGAGAGCGGTCCAACAATGACCGCGCTTGTGCCTGGGCAGCGAGCCTGATGGTGATCATTAGCGATGAGCTTCTTGCATGCAACGGCAGCGGGCCACTTTTGGTTTTAAATCACACCACGCCACTTGTGACTCCAAATGTGGGCTTTGCCGAGCCGAGGAACAGCACAGCAAGACTTTCCTGATTCGATCATTCAAGATAGAAGTAGTGTGCCGTCCAGCATTCACATTTGAGAGACACCGCACAGATAAATATGGCACGCCTTGATGCTGGTGCATGGTTGATGTCCTGTGACATGCCGATGCAGCACTCATAATAATCAACATTCAGCACCTACTCATCCGAGGTCTATGAAACATCACCCATGTCGGCGGTGACCCCTTACTTGTCCATCAGTCGCGCAGTCACATCATCACACCTCGCTCTCGAAAGTCTCGGCAAGTCTTGATATGTGACGCCGTGATGTATGAAGCAGTCACAATTCACGAATCTCACATTCTGCAGCGAGTGAGGGTCGAGGTGCGCGCGCAGTGGAAGGGACGCATGTGCGTGATTCGGATCGTAACTGCTGCTGATGGTGCCACATAACAGCGCCGGGAGCTGGGTACCGCTCTGAGACAGCACACAAGAGGGGATTCAAGCAGACACAGCAGCATGGAAAGTAAGACGACTCGTACGTGTCACTGACTCTCTTTTTTGTGTCATATCGGTCTGCGTCGGTCTGTCCATCCCTGTGACTCTCGACTCAGACTCCTGACACTCGTCCTTTCGCGTGACGATCCCGCGCAATGGCTCGAGAGCGGAAGGCAACAACGACATGCAGATCTGCGCATGCTGTCCAGGCGTTTCTCTTATTGTCAAGTTGTAGGTAAGCTCGTGACCTGCCAATTCACGATCATTGATCAATTTTTAATCGCGTCTCTGCACCTTCATTGCGTGGCGTTCTTCGAGACCGAGGCTCTTCGCAAATCCGACGGAAGACAACGAGGCACAGCATCTACACTAAGAGAGCACAGTACATGAGACCCTCAAGTCTAAGCAGACGAGCAGCAACAAACAAAGCTGTCGGGATCGAGTCTTGGTTGAGTCTCAAGGGCCTATTAGGGCGGCTAATGCACTCTGACTGGCGGTATACGAAATAGAACAAGTGGGAAATATGCGCCGAGCAATCTCTGAGGGTCGCGAGTCTGAGTGGATATATATATGTAGACGTATATACATGCAAGCACTCAAGACTTACGACTCATCGTGACTCGTGACTGCGCTAAGATCGAGACATCCCAGCAGGTTTCAGGCGGACGCGGTCCCGCGATGTCCGTACGCGCATCAGCCATGACCGAAATAACAAACAACGCGCGGCCTCTGACGCAGCCTTTCCGCGCGCGCGCTTCGAATGACCGCGTCTGGCCACGTGACACAAGGTCAGGTGCGCTCTATAGCATCCAACCCAATCATTTGATTTTGATTCGTGATTGAATCAGAATCACAACTCAAGAATCCGAAGCAAAGCAGGTGATCAGAACATGTTGGCGGCACATGCTCACTTTAAACGTCTTCTCTCCTTCCGACCTGGTCATCTTTCCTGGGTCCCGAATGAACCTCATCTAGACTCACGAATCACGATCGGGGAAGCCCGAGTAGACACTGCTTTGTGCAAGTCACATAGTAAGATGTCCTCTCTAGGAGTTAGACGAGCTTCGCTGGGAGGCGCAACACAGCCAGCAGCCAAGCAGCCCTTCTCATTTGGAAGTGTTTCCGGCTCGACCTTCGGCTCTGGCCCACCAGCAGGCCCCTCCCACAGCAACGCGACCGCGGGCAGCTTGTTTGGCAGCACTGCTACTCAGCAACAGCCGCAATCGCTTGGGCAACAAGGACAGCAGACACAACAGCTCAGCGGTGGAGGGTTGTTCGGAGGACAAAATGCTCAGAGCGGGGGACTCTTTGGAGGTCAGAATGCTCAGAATATACAGCAAAGCGGCACAGGAGGTGGCACAGGCGCGAGTGCCGGTGTAGGCGCCTCGTCGTTCAGCTTCGGGGCCCAGAACAATCAATCCGCGGGACAACAGAACAAGCCTGCGGGATCGCTCTTTGGCGCTCAGCCAGCAGCTGGGTCCTCCAGTCAAGCCTTTGGCTCGAGGCGAGTACAGCGTCTGCTCGGGCTTCGATGCCGAGCTCAAAGCTGACCATTCGATCGCTCCGCTATGCCGTTCTGTCCAGTCTCTTTGGCCAGTCTCAGGCCCAGCAGCCGAAACCTGCCTTCTCCTTCTCTCAGCCACAGCAGTCCCAAACAGCATCTCAGGGCGGCGCTTTTGGCTCATCTTTCCAGCAAGCATCAGCACCTGCTTCAAACACCAATCAAGCTGCCTCTTCGCCTTTTCTGAGTCACCCATACTACGCGCGAGAGAAGTTTAACCAGTTGCCCGAGGACCAAAGGAAGCTGATCGAAGAGCTTGAGTGAGTACACTCGTCCCTCAGTCTTGGCCACCCACGACCGGGGGCTGCATCCACTGAAGCCTCTGCAGGGCAAGGAGATGTATGCGTAAGCTGGTCCTGAGCTGCCTTGCTTTGATCGCACGGCGGCGTTGCCTGAACCAATGCAACAGGAAGGCTGCGTGACTCTGGGCCGACGACGAAGAAATGCTGACTGATCACACCAACCTGCTGGCGAAACATCGACAGCAACTTTATGCAGACGCAAAGGAGGAACGGCGCTCCCCTGGCCACGATGGATTTTGCTCCGATCGCCAAAGTGTCGGAAGAAGCTCAAGAGCTGGCCAGTGTGAGGCGATCAAAAGTTTGAAGGCCCTGCTGAAGACACGGTCACGTGTGCTGACTTTTCCAACTTCTGGCTTCTTATTTGGTCCTCTGGAACTTCAATGTCCTCAGGACTTGTCGTCGTTGGGAGCTGCCCTCGAGATCGATCTGCTCGCTGCGCGCGACGCCAACAAGCGCGTCGAGGAAGATGGTAGAGACAGTGGAAACTTGCTCGAGCTTCTGAGAGGAGAAGCTCGAACAGACTGGCTGCGAGGGTACGTTTGGATTCCACTGCACATTTGACAAGGTGCATGCCCCTTGACCAATCTTTCCTGCCTATATGCATTGCAGATTCTTTGAGCGCTCAGCCAACGAGTTCCGGGAAAGGATCTTGAGGTATAGAGCAACCATGGAGCAAATAGAACGACACTTGAGTAGCGTGGATAACAGAGAGTCGCATTCACCAGAAGGTGAGCTCGGCGCACGCCTCGATGTCGGCTCGATGTTCCTGTGCGCTGATCGCATCAGCCGACGATCGCCGTTCCCAGCTATCTCGGAAGCTATCAGGGTGCAGCATGCGTCATTTATGGCGCTGGCATCTTCGGTAGCCGCGCTTCATTCGGAAGTGGAGGGCTTCAAGAGACGGTACAGCGACTGGTACTTCCAGACGCACAGGACAGCTCGGGACCCCTTTACTGCGCTTCCCGACGATTTTGCGAGATCTTTTGGATGATTGGGTGAGCTCATCAAGCTACAAGCGTCGAGAATTCGTCCATGATACCACACGCCGCGGATGACACTCGATCAGCGGGTTGCCATTGCGAGCCGGACGTGGCTCAAAAGCACACCTCAGCCGAGTCTGGATGAAAACAAGCACCTGACGTGGGTGTTCGAGTGACACGGATTGCACTGATCTACCAGCAGCTCGAATTCTGCCAGGGGCAGGCGGTAGTGGTGCGGATACAAGATGTCTAGAGCAGGAAGCTTAGTTATGCGTGAGATGAAATGTGATGCGAACGAATTCTTGGCAAAGCGCTCCTTTTGAAGTCTGAATGTACAACGCGCGCGAACCCTAGGAGTTCTTCTCCAGCACCAGTATCATTCCTATGCAGCATCGACGCGCTGAGAGATGTGATGATGATGAGCTCGTGAACGTAGACAAAGCTATGCTAGCAGATCGTACAGGCGAGCGCGAAAGACGCCTCGAAGCTGTCCAGGTGCTCTGCGGTCCCCATGCGCCAGGGCTCTCGGTCGCTTTGGCAAAAGACTTGGGCGCAGAGGCTGTCCGAAGGGCGAGATGGGTGCTGCAGACTTGGAGTACCGATGAAGTTCCCAGTCAATGATATGCTGTGGTGCTGCCGAGCCCAGAGCTTGATATCGAAGCTTTGTGAGGCGCGGTTGCCCTCGAGACCATGCCAAGGGTCTTCAGTAGTATGACACAGTGTGAAGCAGAGTGTGAGGATGCTTTTGCATTTGTGTCTCAAGAATGGACGGCATCTCGTCGTCGATGTCCCTCGCAGCTTCAATCTGACCAGTGGATGATAAGCGGGCAAAGGAGCAATCACATGCTATCCAGCTCAGCCTCTTGCCTCATAGGACACGTACAAATTCCACTCACTGCGCGTGCTAGTTCCAAGATTGCTCGCCCAGCTATCAAGGCCTCCTCGTGGTTATCTCTGATCTCGACGTTGATGACGTGAACGCTGCGATTCAGCTCTCCGCCTCGATTAAGTAGATCTGCGAGCGAGTTCATCAAAGAGAGTCAGCAGGCGGACCAAAGCTCGAGGGAAAGCCGCATGGCGCGGCAGTGCGTACCTTCACAAACAGAATCGAAGCACCTCTCCTCGCACGTGATGACGACGTCCAGCTCCGGGCGCGTCATATTCCACCTCTCGGGTGCCTGCTTGACTTTTCTGTTCCTATCGAGCATAGTCAACAGCCCATTAGCCGTGTAGAGCCTCTTGTCTTGAGATTCTAAATCTCGATACATTTGATCGTACGGAGTTCCAAAAGTGTAGATATTTGGCTTGTCGATGGCTGTCCCTGGCAGACGCACTGCTGAACCTGTGCCCGCTGAGATCACTTGCATGCCTGCTGCGTGCAGGACCTTGTGCGCCTCCATCGAGCGATTCTGTTGGATAGCAGAGGCAGAAAGTGTGTGTCAGAAGCAGCGTAGACGCTTGAGTGCTACAACATCGAGTGTAGATGATCCCGAAATCATCGCTATTCTGCCAGCAACAGTGAGCCCTGGCCCACAGCGCATCCAGATCCCCTCTCGCCCACCAAGCTATCTATGACTCTTTTGCGCTACTGCAGCAGCTGCTGTTGCTCACATTGTTGCTCGCGCATACTACACAGAATTGAACCCTCGGCTTGTCGGATGCAGTCTGTGGTGATGCAGCGCCATTGCTACCTTGTTTGCTCGTGGAAGGTTTCGTGGACGTGCCATTCCGCAGAGCAGACCTGATGGGCATGGCAGTGCTCGCAGACATGCCGATGGACGTGTGTCGTTCAAGTAGGCTTCTTCAGGTGGTGCACTGTGCTTTAAAATGGCCGAACTGTCTCAAGAGCTTGGCCCCTGTAGGTGTGCGACCAAATCCGGTGCAAGCTGTGATGCTGCCGAGCTTTCAGATATCGCTACGTGTAGTCGCAGGGAGCTGGACCGCCCAAGGAACACCGTTGGGCTGGTCCAGCCTAAAAAGTGAGACTGATGAGCTCTTTGCCGTAGGTACTCGGGTGCCGCTTTCAAGCGGAGATCAAGGCCAGCTCGGGTTCGGGCTTGTGGAAAGGCGAAAAAGCTGATGTGGTTGTGCTGACCGGTTGCAGCCAAGGCAAAAGTGTGCCGAAGGTGCCATCTGATTCAAGATACCAATTTCGAAATGACACTGACCAAGATCAGAACCAGAAGCAGGAGTCGTGAACCAGAATCATAATCCTGAATCGGAAAATCAAGCTGAGGACTCACCTACCTAGCTCTTGAAAGCTCGAGTCCAGCAGATCTTGCAGCAAGCGTCTTCGCATGCTGCATGCACGCAGTCACGCGCCCAGTCAAAGACTCCTTTCAGTCTGGTTCTTGATTCAATTAAAGATTCAAGATTCATCTAGTTGGCTCACGATACTCAGATTCAAAATTAGCTGCATGCCTTGGATGCGAGCGCTTGAATCAAGAACTTGAATCAAGAATGAGAAATTTGGAGCCACAAACTGCGGGGTGTATCAGAAATGGGCATTGAACATAATTTGAAACAAAGATTCACGGAATTCGAACAAGCCGAAATCATGAATCTTGATGCCATCCCAGGTGATCCACCTTCACGCCGCGAAGCGAAATTCAATGTGAATCGATTGTACAAGTTGTGCTCTTTAGGCGACAGACCCCCGTTGAAAGATCCATATTCTTGATTCTGATTCGAGATTCGTAAGGGTTTGTTGCTAGCTAAGGCTGATCCTCCCGTCACTTGCTTGCAACAGCAGGGCATCAAGCTGATCGCGCTCTCCTGTCCCCCTCGTATGTACGGTATACAACACTTGAGGGACTCGCTCATCACGACTATACCGGTACCTCAGCAAGGGGGCGAGGCTGATCGAGCGGGCACGGGCACGGGCTCTGGCCAGCCAGCATCCAGCAGCAGCAGCACACAACATGAAATCGCGTCATGCTGCTGGTGCTTCTGCGCGCATCTGCGGCAGCCATGCAGGTATGCGGTGCGATCGAGATGCACGCCTGGCACGGGACCGGTGCGGATGCCCGGTTCGCCATGCATCAGCTACATAGCGCGCGAGCTACGGGACGTTTCTGAAGATTTACGACTGCTGCTGCTGCATGCAGCTGGTGCGTGCTTTGTAGTGGCGGCATGACACCCTGGGCGACTTGCCAGTGTGCTTATTGCGTACAGTCCGAGGCTTGCAGCTGAACAGCGCTGACGGCCATGCATCTAGGCCATCCAGGCCTTCCAGCATGCAGACCCGCGGCAGCCATCGCGCGCAAGCATGCACGCGGCTGCCCTCCCCGAGACACGAAAAGGGTGGCTGGAGCTACGCGATACCTTCTGCATCGTGCGCTCGGATTTCATTAAGCCATGAGTCTCGAGCGCCTCACTATGACTGGGCTTTGCCAACACGCAGCCTCCCACATCCGTACCGCCAAATCTCACACCCTCCAAAGGCTACAAGCGTTACTGAAGCCTGTTCAGCTCTACAGCTGGAATTATTACCATCAAGATCGCTAGCTCGCGAAGTCACTCGGAAATCGCCGCACACCACACCCTGACGCCAGCTGCCTGGCGAAGTCGACTGGGCAATGGCTAGCGAGACGCCTGTCGGCAATGGAGGGAGTGGGCATGTGTACGTGTATGCTCTGCACGACTTTGAAGCAGAGAATCCGGACGAGGTGTCGTTCCAAGCTGGGCAAGCAGTCCTCGTTGTCGAGAAGGACGATGCTTACGGCGACGGTTGGTGGCAGGTGAGTTGCGTGCAGCAGAGAGCGCCAACACCCCCGCAAGAGTGTGGGGCTGGCGGTGTCACAGCGCCATTCTCATATTCTTTCTCACTTGTGTACTGACACGCGCTTGTGAAACGCCGAACTTTGCCAAGGGCACTAACAACAAAGGCGAGACAGGTCTGTTTCCATTCAGCTACACCACCTTCGACAAGGAGTTGGCACATCAAGCTCAGGTGGATGCTCTCGCAGCTCTGAATGGCTCTGGCGCTGTCATGGGAAGCACAATGGCGGACATCGATGCGGCACTTGCTCACTTGTCTAACGAAGACGTTCCCGGCGCCTCGCAGAACGGTGGCACTGCTCAGGGAATCTCCAAGCCGGTCGACGGTCTGCCAAAAGGTCGTGCCAGCTTCGCGAGCGACCGCAGTGGCGACATGAGCGTCGGAGAGACCGAGGATGGAGTGGATGCAGAAGCCGAGATTGCCTCTAGGCAAGCGGCTCGAGCGGCACTCGCCATCAATGCCCAAAAAGCGGCGGATGCAGCTTCCGCTGATCAACGAGCAGCCGAGGAGCGCAAGCGAAACGAGGCGGCTAGAATCTTTGCTGAGGAAGAAGAGCGGCAACGTCAGAAGCTGCTTGCCAAAGAGGCTGAACGAAAGAGAGAGTTGGAGCAGGGCACATTGAAGGCCGACGTTAAGGATGACAAAGTTGCCCCCATTGCTGGTGTGGAGATGAGCGATGAAAGCGACTCGGAAGGATCGGATGCCGCTGGGCCCACCACCACCCATGCGCCGCTGTTCGGCAACCTCGCACCTCAGCAAGCGCCTCAAGAAACGCAGCGGTCCTTATCACCCATCGCAAGTGCTTCTGGTCACGGGCACAACAAAGCGCTGGCTGGTGCTGCTGCAGCCGCCGGCGCTACTGCTGGAGCTGCTGGTGTCGCTTTGGCACATTCGCAGAAGAACCAACAAGCTTCGCTGCAAAGCCCAATCAGCCCCACAGACAGGCGTCCATTTGATCAAGGTAGCGCAAGCACCGCGACGGATGCCGGCGCTCCAAGCACCACCGCCACGAATACCGCAGCTACTAGCGTCGCCGGAGGTAGCGAGACTCCTAAGAGCGCATCAGCTGCGGGCCCTGCACGATTCGGACACTCGCTCTCGCCCACAAACAGCCAGAGGGACGGGGGACCGGGAGGGGACCCACACGAATGGTCCGTTGATCAGGTCGTGGAGTGGGGTCGTTCGAAAGGATGGGATGAGGCGTCAGTGGTATCCAAATTCGCAGGTGAGTCGCTGCGTCACGGGCTCACGTGCCTTCGAAACTAAGATCTGCACCTGGCCCGCCTTTCAACTTCGCCATCGCAGAGCACGAAATTTCTGGCGATGTCCTGATGGAGATGGATGTGAACATTCTCAAAGAGATCGAGATCATCGCTTTTGGCAAGCGGTTCCAGGTCGCCAACGCAATCAAGGAGCTCAAGAAGCAGCTCGATCTGCCTGTGTCGCCTGCCCCTGCTTCAGCCCAAAGTGCGACGCAACCTTGGGGCCTGGCATCGACTCCCGCAATGCGTACCGGCAGCCCCGCACCACCTAGCAGCGCTGGTGGTCATGGTGGTGCTGTGCCTCCCTTTTCTGGCACCGCTTCCGCACCACCAACAGCGGGCGGCCTTTTCGCCGGCGTCCCAACGCAGTCAACTGCGTTCGGCCCTCCTCAGCACAGCAGCAGCTACGACCCTGCGAGCATTGGACCAGCGCTTGGTAGTCGCGCAAGCAATGATTCGAATGGAGTGTACCCCAGCGGCATGCCGGGTGCGCCGCCCTCCAGTGGCAAGGGATCTCGTGGTCTTGGTGAAAGCACCGAACAGGTCGACCAGCAACCCGATTCTCCTTTAGCTGGCCTCGCGAGCGACAAAGGTGTTGACAAAAAGGTCAAGAGTCCTGGTCCGGCTTCCCCTCGCAAGCGTGAGACTGGCAGCAACGGCCGAGAATCAGGTGCTGGTGAGCGAACATCATTCTTTGGCTTCCAGAACCGCAACAGGAAGCCGCCTCCACGAGTTGTGTCCGGCGCTTCTGCTGCAACCTCTGGCAGCTATGAGGAAAGCTCGGGGGCCAAGGGGACACTTGGCCGTCTTGGCTTCTCTCGCCTCCGCGAGCGCAGTCATCAGCCCCCCGAAGCTGCTCCATCTAGCGACGCGATCAAGGGAAAGATCAGCCTTCCTACGAGCAGCCCAACCTACGACGCCATGGGAGACACTGCGCGACGCAACAGGCAAAGTCAGCAAAGCGCGAGCTCTGGTGGCTATCCCAACAGCGCTGGCCCGGGAGGCGCCTTTGGGCACGCAAAGCAGGCCAGCATCGGCAGTGCAGGTCCTGCCGCTGGCGATTGGTACGGACCCAACAGAGGCTCCAGCAACGAGCCACGCAGTCCCGGACAAGCTTCAGCTCCAACCGAAGGCCCTGTCATGGCGCGAATCAGGCCTGTCGACCTGGAAGGCTGGATGAAGAAGAAGGGCGAGAGGTACAACAGCTGGAAACCTAGATACTTGGCGCTCAAGGGCTCAGACCTGGTCATACTCAGAGATCCTGCTGCTCCCAAAATCAAAGGCTACGTCAGCATGAAAGGCTACAAGGTCATCGCGGATGAGAACACCAACCCTGGCAAGTACGGCTTCAAGATTTTGCACGAAAATGAGAAGCCGCACTACTTCTCTTCGGACGATCCCGTGGTGGTTAGAGAATGGATGAAGGCGCTGATGAAGTCCACCATCGGCAGAGACAACACACGTGCGTATTGTGCCTATCCCTCGCCATGAGACGAGTTTCCGGCAGACCTGCTAATGATTGACATGCACGTATGGTCCCTGTTTCAGTGCCTGTCATTTCTTCATATAACAATGCGACCATCTCGCTCAAGGAAGCGCAACGAATGAATCCGCCACCACGTCCTCCAAGCCCGACGAGCCGCGCTCGAGCTCAAAGAGCGACAGCGCGTGCCAACAAGGATCAGCTCACTGCGAAGGATGCTAGTGTATTGATGGTGAGTCTTGTGCTTGTGACGTTGCCCATCACGTCTGAATTTGTCGTGCTAAGTCTGTTCCTGTTGAACTTGCAGGGACTCGGTCAACCCGCCAATTTGAGGCAGGGCTAGTAAGTGCGCTTCGGTATCCCCGACCACCCCTTCTGCCCCCACTTCTCGCGCCTCTCCGAATCTGGAGACTTTGGATCAGCTATTCAATTCTCTTCAACAGACGGAGATTGTCCGGCGAGCTGCCAGGACAAGTGGCAGAGTCGCGGTCTTTTGCGAAAGATCTGATGCTGAGGAGAGACACGTGTTTGGGGACGCCGTAGAGGGGAGGCATTCGAACTTACTAAAACACCTGTTGAACTGCGACTGCTGCGCTCTTGTCGGACCACACTCGAGCCCGCCTTTCCACTATTTCCCCACACCACCATACCCAGCCTTTGTCCACCAGACCCATTGATCCCCCCTTTGTTGTGGCATCACTTGCGGGTGTGGATGATGCCCTATGTAAACGCTCCTACGCCTATGCTTTCCGTATTCCATGGGTTCGCTTCAAAAGCCGCGTCGCTCGACGTCTCATCTTCAGTCTGTTCGATCGCTGCCCCTCATCCTCTTGCCCATTTGCTGTGCGAAACAGCCTGATTAGCTCCTGTAGCTTCACTTAGTTTAGCGCCGCTGGACCGCAGTCGCAGGCAGGTAAGCTAGTAACATCGGATGCGGGCGAAGTGCTCTCTGTTACCTGTACGGACCTTCCTGATCATTTCCCCTCCACTCGTGCGCGGTGGCTTCCCGTCGCTGCCACAAAAAGCTTGTGCTGACCATGGGCGCCCTTCTTTCCGATCCGCTCGTGATCATCCGCGATCATCAGCGGAAAATGTAGCTCGCCTCCCTTAGCCAACGGTCCTTGGGCGCATGAGGCCGACAATCACCGTCAGTCAGGGACACAAAGACAACATCTTGCCGGTACAAGTCCACTTTCCTTGGACCACAATCCGCGGCGCAGCTTCAAGCGAGAAGATATTCCTCCACCCGTGGGCTTGGCTGCCCTCCGTCGATCCAACAGCTTCACTAGGAGCGAGAATGCGGTCCATCGAGATGGGACCTACTCCGACACGGAAGGTGATCCTGGACCGGCCCGTTTGAATTTCGCACGACAACGGAATCCTAGGGGGAGTCATGGTCCACTGGACATTCTCAGGTCTCCCACGGAAGCCGCAGTTCCTTCACAGAGCTATGCGTCCGGTTTAAGAGACAAAGGTGTCAGCACCTTTGCGCCATTAAGCTATGATCGCAAGCTCTGCTCCACCCTTCTAGTGCCTCCGAAGCTAGAGCCTGTGCCAGGTTCTCCAAACTTGCAGCTCGATCAGTCGTTCCACAAAATTCAATCGGGCCCTGAACTTGGCCATGGCGCGCGCATAGACACTCCGCCCAGCTCGCAGATCTTGTTCGTTCAGGACAAGAGCAAGAGAGGAGCGTCTTCGGACGACGATCTAACTCCAACACCAGTACTAGCACCGCCCTCAAGGACCCCGGACGTGCCAACAACGCCCATCACGGGGGGATCTGTATCGACGAAAGGCTCGACTCTCACTACTGGGTCGTTCTTCGACCTCAGAGATTCGAGGTTTGAGAAAGGCGCCGTCAGCATGTTGATTGAGGACCTGAAACGCCAAAATCAAGGGGATGACAAAGGGACGGGAGATCAGACTGATGCTGATGCCTCGAAAATCTGTCAAGGATCGTCTTCGAATATTGGTGGGAGGGGAGCGGACGCCAGAGGGCCAGGCAGACTCGCAGCTCCATCCAAAGCCATCAACATCATGGCTATGCCAGATAGATCCGGATCATTCAACAGGAGTCCACCGGCTGCAAGCCTATCAGCGAGAGGGCCGACGCCGTTGAGCATGACTCGAAGACCGCAGCACACCGACGCGCATCCTCGCTTCGCGCCAAGGCAACGCCATCACAGTGACTCACCTTTGTCCTCCCCAATGGCTAGAGTCGACGAGGAGGCGAGGGGATTTCCTCGCGCTGCGCAAAGCAACTTGGCCTACCTCCTCGAGAATGGAGATCATCGAGAGAGCATCATGACTCCTGGCACGAACAGCTCGGGTGAAGACCTTCTTACCTGTGCGGACCGTTCTGCGGTGGAGTCATGTGCAGCCAAGGTAGACTGGGGACAGCCTGCAGAGCCTCAACGACCAGCTCGAGGCTCCACTTTACCTCCGGGCGCGGCTCAACCTGCAAATTTTGGCGCCAATCTTGGTTCGCTTATCGACCTTCGAGCAGGAGAAACGTCAAATTGTCTGACCTCCGGGAGAAGCTTGCATCCCGAATCTTCTAGGACTCTCCCGCCCCCTTGGCAGTCAGGCCAAAGATACAGGACGGCACCAATCAATCGAGACAGCTCCACGAGCTCGCAGCGAATGCGGCCAGTCCATGCGCACACTGCTCCTCCTCTCGAATCATGGCTGTTCTGCGAGCCTAGCCAACTGTCCTCATTTCAGCCAGCAAGTCCTCCAAAAATTGAAGCAATCGCGAGCACAGGAACCATGGCAACACCTCGCAGCTCGCGAGGGAGGACAGTCAGCTCTCCAGATTCGGCATCACTGCCACGTCCAGAAGTCAGGAAGATGCCTTCAAACGACGATTGGGTGATGACAGCATCACCTTCCCATGTGCGTATGAAGGAGAAAGTACCCAGTCCTCTCTCCCAGAGCACCACCATTAGCGCTTCCTCTAGCCCTTCAAAGGATGTTCGTCCAGTCTCTCCAAATCGTCTGAGAGGGTTTGCCGCCCAGCTTCGAAGACCCACTACGATGCACAGCCCAACGAAAAGCAGCTCGGGCTCGCCGCTGAATTCAGGGTCGGGAAGCAGCTTTCCTGGCGTCCGCACTCCCACGCGCGCGAGCAGTAGCAGCGATACGCTATCGGGGTCTCCTCCTCCTCCTTTGAGGCTGAAACCTTTCAAGATGACAAAGCGGAGCGGCGGCGCAGCCAAAGACCAGTAGACCTGTTCCATTCGGCGCCGCCACGTAGTCCACGGGGTTTGCGATACGTTGCTGTCTACAGAAGCCTCACGCACATTTACAAAGCATCTGATCGCCTTGAAACATCTGCTCCACCTCCCTTACACTGGGTCGACTCACCTTCCTCGCTTAACAACTTGACGCTTGAGGCCTGATATCTCGATCTTTCTATTTAAAACCTCTGATTCAAATTGCTTTCTGGTGCGTTCTGTATTTTGACTGCACCTGCTGCTTGCTACGTACCATCCTGATCACGGGTTCTTCAAGTCTGATTGCACAGCCAAGGGAATGGCAACGAAGTCAAGAGTCTAGAATCGAAAATGTGCTCGCCGTTGCGGTGATTCACGATTGAAGGAGAGTTAAAAGTCCATCAGGCAGGAACGTACAACATTTGATCTCAGAAGCTCATTCGATCATTCGTGATACCCAAGATTCAGATTAATCAAGAACTTTTGTAATTTCGAAGCGCGCGGTTTACGACCGACCCATCAATCTGGACTTGACTGAACAGCCCGTGTCACACAAGCTTGTATTCGTTTTGATTTCCCTGAGGCGGATCGCGTCACGAAATTTGCTGTAGCTACAGAACCCGGCCCGCCTCTTTATTTAATGAGGTGGACAGCAGACATCCATGCAGCAGCAGATGTGCATGAGAGCTCCTGAGCTGCGTGCACACGCGTTTCGAGGCAGCGCGCCCATTATGGCGCCCAGGTGCGTCTTGGCCGCCTGCCAGTCACGAGGAGCGTGAGGCCTGCCAAGCCGCGACTGCGCGCGCTGGTTAGAATCTTGAATGACTGCTCAATCGCCCAATATGCATGCATGCATGCATTCTTGATTCAAGGCTACGGATACAGCAGGGCGCGTGCGTGTGCAGAGCGCGCGAATCGCTGCTGCTGCGATGCTGCTCAAGGCTTGACACCTTGCACCTGCTGCTGCTGTGCGCGCCATTTTTGGGTTGCGATAAAGTGCGCCCAGCATTCAAAGGCTGCCGCCATCTACAATTCTAAACACCATCACTTTGACTGTATTACGCTCCCAGCTCTCACCTGCCATCGCCTCTTCAACGCTCTTTTGTAGTCACGCTCGCCTCCAACGGGATTCCGGCAAGTCTAGCAGAACACTCTCGTCGACGTCGCTGAGTCAGTTGCACAGTCTGAGACAAGCGCATACAGGCCACTTCGGTACGCGACCCGATATCCCAAGGACCTCAGTCCTGAACCCGCTTGATCAAGCCTCAACATGCGTGTCTTCGCGTCCGGAAGCGCCCTTGCGGCTGCTGCCGTCCTGAGCGCTGCCTCATGTCTAGCACGAGACATGGGCAGTACCAAGCCGGCCACTCACCAGATGCGCCGACGACCTAGATCAGAGCTGCTCGACCTCGTCGCCCGGCAAGCGCAGGCTCCCGCGCAAGTCCCAGCGACCGACGCACTTCAACAACAGATCATGCAGCAGGCACAGACTGATCCCATTGGGGCTGCTAGGCAAGCAGACAGTCTAGAAGGTGTCTGGGGCAACACCCAGGGAGGCGGCAACCTACCCTTCACACTTATCAGTGGAGACTCTGAGAGCGACCCTTTCGGACCAAACAATCAATATTCTTGGAACAGGAATGTCGACTGGGTTCCCAATGCCAATGCCAACCCAGCAGGCGACGATGCACAAAACACTCAAGGTTGGACTGGGCTTCCAGACGTAGTTGGGTTCCAATTGAACCGGACATGGGAGGTTGTCCCTGGTGCCACGCAGCCATTCTACATCTCGGCGGGCTGGCAAGATCGTGCATCAACGATCAAGCGAGCAGTCATCACTATGCCTGGTAAACCCCGTGATAGTTGGAAATACTCTCAGCTTATTCGCATCGCGTTGAACGTCACTGTCACGAATTTCCAGCAATACGGCCTGACAAATTTTGACGACGTCGTCGTCATCGGCCCTGCTTGGCTAAACCAATTCGATCAAGAGTACGGCGCTTCAAGACCAACCGACCTCATCTTCCACGGCTCTCAATGGCAATCCGGCGGTTACAGCCGATCTCCAAATCTCACGCGCAGCATCACCACTTACGACGTCTTGGATGCCTTCACTGACTGGCTCTTCGATCAGAAGCAATTCCCAGCTTTGACATCGGTGGCGTTCGCAGGCCATTCCATGGGAGGCCAAGCGGTCCAGCGTTATGCGCTCTTGAAGAAGACGAAGGCATACGACCGTAACATTCACTACTGGATCGGTAACCCCGGTTCTTGGGCTTGGCTCTCGGACTCGCGAACATTCCCTACGAGCAACTGTTCAGCGACCTTTGACGAATGGCAATATGGGCTGGGCGGTAACCAGACCAAGGTTTCCAAGTACGCTCGCAAGGATGTTATTGCAAACCGACAAGATGTGGTGGACCGCTTCAAGACGCGCAACGTGCACTACGGACTTGGTCTGCTGGATAACGGTGCTGGTGACACTCACTGCGAAGCTATCACTCAAGGCGGGAACCACTTGAACCGTGGCAACCAATTCGTGTTGGCCTACGAGAATAATGGCGGCTTTCCCTCCACGCACACGGTGGACTACGTTCCCAACGCTACCCACCAGGACTACTCGATGATTTCTTGGAACTTTACGGTGAGAGAGATTGGGTCAGAGCAACGCAGTGACCTCATTCGCTGACCTCAATTGCACATGCGGAATGTACACAGCTACAACGCCTGTTCACGGATGGCATCCAAACTCGTCAACCTGCCTTGACTGATTTGCGCAACCCAGGCGACAAGAACAAAACGACTGGCGCTGTGCCCAATCCTCCTCCTCGAGCATTCGCAACGCCGATCCACAAGATCGTAGCGTACGCTTTGCTTGGAGGCTCGGTTGCAGGAACGGCTCTCGCCTTCTTCATTCTACCCTTCCTCTTCTCCAACAACACTTCAACTTGGGAGCAAGAGCAGTGGGAAGCAGAGAGCAAGCGCAAGCTTTTGTGAACAAGGCGCTCGGACGCTCTGCGAGGGGAGGCGCCAACCCCATTCGCTGCTTCTCGAGAACAATATTTTCGGACATTCAACTTTGGTATTGATTTCCTTCTTGCTTGCGTCGTCAGCACACATTCTTCATCAGATCCCCCGCTCGCTGTATGACCCTGCAAATAACGATCGCATTCATTTCCCACTCTCTAATTCCATTGGTGACTGGTAAATCGCACCCAACGCCATTCTCGCGGTGTGTGGCGAGATTGTGCGCTGTGGCGCCCATCATGGTGTGGTATCCGGCTTCAAATGAAGAATGCAGGCTTGCTGTGAAACGATCCCTAAGACCTGCCATGCGCTCGGCACGACGAATTTGGAATTCAGGGATTTGCGCCCCGTCGCGAAGTAGCAAGCCTTGGCACGTGTCGGACCTGTTTGTGGCTTTCAATCTATGTGTATGGGTATCAAGAAGAAGATGTGTCTGTTTCGAATCAGGACAGCTTGCTGCTATTGCCGACGCCGCTGGATCATTTACATCCTTGCTCCTCCACAGTATTCGTAGGCCATTGAGCTGCCCCCAAATCGTGATGGAAGGATGCATGGGCAGATGGGTTTCTTGCAGCTGTATCTCAGCAGCACGTTTTGAAAGCGAGCGGCAAGCAATTCGGGATCTGTCTTGCTGCTCCTCCTAGCGGAGTCTTCACATGAATTACGATTTTCAGACGCTGCCCGACGTGCAGCCGTGCACACGGACACGTTTCGTGACCTGGCCGGGGAGGGGGCAAGGGGTCACTGGTGGTGGTGTTCGGTCACGAGTCGCTACATATCACTCTGGCGCGTTGGAAGTGTAAGTGCAAGTGACCGCGGATGGTCATGGAGTCGACAGTCTGAGTGACATATCAGAGGCGACTGACTCACCCATCGCACTCTGGGACTATTGTGACTCCGATGTGGGTTCTGGACGAAAGGATTGGGAGGTTGGGGACCACCTCCAAGAGTCAAGTGTCAGTCTGAGTGGCACATGCATGGGGATGACAAACCGCGCGAGGAATGAGAGCGGTCAGTTCCTGCATGCAGAGAGGCGTGCAGCACCTTAGCTTGTGCTGAGCTATCAGCAGCAGAAGCAGCCCCGCCGGCGGGATCCTGCGAGGTGGGACGAGCAATAAAGGCGAATCTCCGCAGGCGCGACATCCGACTGCTGCTGACTGTACGTACTCATACCGCCCGTCGGTTTAGCGTGAGTAGGGAGCGGCGGAGATGAACCACGAACGGGGATCAGCGTCGGGCGATGATGGCAGTCAACGTTCCTCACGGCCTGGCTAGAGAGATGCTTCAACTGTTGCTGCTGCTGCTGCTGCTGCTGCTGCTGACGATCGTGAACATCACCAAGGCATGAGAGACGGTCGATTGCGAATATGTTTGATGAAGTGCGGCCTGCTACAAACCAGTCTCCACCAATCGCGTGATTCTCGTGCCCTACCACACCTACGATCCACGAGATCGTCGTCCCCGTCAAGCGAGCAAGACAAGACCCAGTACAGTCGAGTGACGGGTACATACGCGCGTTTTCCATGCCAGGACCCATGAAGCGTCGCTCTGACTGCCCTTGCCGTCTCACCGCGACCTCGCCAATACAGCCTCAAAGTGACACCACCTTCCTCCACCCTTGATTCGACTTGCAGTGCACCAATGAAAGTGTCTGCGACACCAGACGCATAGTCCCCGAGTCAGATCTCCGCTTGTGCTCCTTTACGCACAGTCTCGCCTGCTTACGTGCAATTGGTGGACAATCACGATTGGAGCCAAGCAGCCACATCTCTCCGCATCGAAAGCAAGTAGCTTTGCCTCCTTCCGCCCATAGTAGCACCTTCTGGCGACCGCTTCGTCGGGCACACAGACCACTCTTAAGTCAGGTCTTACGAAGATGGCAGAAGGCAGTAGAGAGAAGGAGCGAGGGCAAGGAGGCGCAGCGACGAGCACGACCGGCGGAGCACTTCGAGGATTAGCTCGATCTCTCTCTCTGCGACCCAGAAAAGCCGCTTCTCCGCAGCTGCTACCAAATGGCAGTATAGCGACGGAGGCGGTGACTTCAGGCAAAGGCAGTCTGGACACCAACACCGCCAATGCTTTCACTAATAGCAACAGCACCATCGGACCCAGCTCTCCCTCCACCTCGGCAGGCTTCGCAGGGCTAGGCTTCGCCACGCTCCAATCACCTACTCGCAAATCTTCTCGATCGGAGCGTAGACCTGCGCATCAGCTTTTCGACGACAGCATCTCCTCTTCTCCTGGTGGACGTGGGGCAGCTGTGGGACACTCGGATGGAGCGGTGGTAGAGTGGGGAAGGCCACCGGTCCAGACGGACACCTCGCTGAGGGATGTGCAGGTCGTAGGCTTGGCGATGGACAATAGCAAAAGTGCATCGAACAGCTCTTCGACACCTCTGAGATCAGTGCCATCTATCAGCAGCGTAGGTGCTGGGCAGCGATTGGGTCGCAACAGGGATGCATCAGGAGGTACGATCGGTCCGAGCAGAGGAGCTTCTTCCAAATTCACCACCCTGCGAGATGCGCCTCTCAGCTCGAGCGATCCAGCTTTGGAGACGGGTCTGCACGATAAAAGAGGCAAAGGAGTCGATCGAGCGAATGCGAGCGCACCAGCTGGTCTCGCTCCTCCTAACGAGGGACCAGGCAACAGCACCTCCTCATCTAGTGGTGGCTCCTCGCTCGTAAAGAAGTTGTCCCTGAGGCGAAAGCCGCAGCCTCGGCCTGACCTCCCTTTGACTTCACAAGCCGACAATGAGGACAAGGCTCTACCCTCCATCACACCTTCCCCTTATCATCTGACAGCTCCCTTTGGAAGAAGATCATTCGACTCTCTGGTCTCGATTACTGGAACGCAAGCTGATATGGCCCCTTCGTACACTCAGGGAACGGCAAGCGCGGAGCCCATACATCAGAAAGGTCACGCGCGTCGCAAGACTGCAACCGACCGACAGGCCCTAGATTCTCCGAGTGGCGCAGTGGCCTACTCTCCTTCTTCCTCCCGAGGTCTCATCTCCTCAACGACGCGAGGTAGACCAGCGAGAGAAGGCTCGGCTGTCCCCACATCTTCCGCTTATCCAACCGGGTATTGGGCTCCTCCACCCTATGCGTATGCTACGGCCCAGAATGATGGCGAACATGGAATCAGCTTGGGGGATGAAATGGATGCTATGTTGAGTTCAGAAGCGAGAGAGAGGAGGGAAGCGCTCAGGGGCCATTCGCCCCCTTTCTTTGCAGTCAGAAGGGGATGGCGCAAGGGAATTTATACGGAAGAGTACGTCGCTGATGGCACGGTATCCGTGAGCTGCCGCCCTCGGCTGATCGGTGCAATCTTTTCTCGCAGGGACGAAGCATCGAGGCAGACCCAGAATTGTGCGTTGAGTTTGAAGGTGGACTCAATCTGAGCATGAGACAACTTTGCTCAAACTTGCTTTTCCGCCTCTCCACTTGCCCTCAGTCCCTGGACCGATAGTGAAGCGGTTCGAGAGTGCCGACGAGGCTGTCGCGTTCGTATGCGCGCCCACCAATCCTTCGAAGCCCAGCTTCACACGTAGAGATTCCTCTGACTCGATTTTGCCTCGACCGGTAGCTGCTCCTGCGCTGCTGGCGACGGTACGAACTAGCACGCTGGGCCGATCGCGGTCCTTGGCCAGCTCGACTACTTCGGGCCGTTCATTTGGCGCGCGTAGAGGTGCAGCAATGGGCTACTTGGATGAGCCGAGTCGGACATCGCCTTCTTCCACCAGCGGACAGTCGTTCTCGTTCGAAAACGAGGCTACGCAGGCGGGCGGACCAGATTCTTCGAAGATGGCACGGTCTGGCAGCAATCGACCTGCGTCGAGAAAGGGAGCGGAGAACGCAATGCCCTCTGTGAACGAGGACGGGACAGACCATACCCCCAGCTTGAGCGCGCCTGGCGCAAAGACCGGAAGCTCGATGAACCATCGTCCTGCGCCTTTCGACTTCTCTACGACGACCTCGCACAGTGTCGTCAAGGATCGCGCTTCCCCTTCGCTAGCCTACTTTGCCATGGCCTCTTCGCCGCTTACAGCGAATGCTGCTGCCCTAGGTGCAGAAGCCTTCGGCCGAGCGGCTTCTCCCGGCGGACTCGCCAGCGAAAGCCACGCGCAAGCGCACATCAGCCCCTTGATCCTAGCGGAGCGTCCAACAACCCCGGCGAAACTGCCCAGAATGGCAAATGGCGGTGCTGTCTTCGTCATCGAGGATGTGACCAATTTGGAACGATCTTTGGCTTTCTACTCTGCCATGTTTGGAGCGAATCTCGCTCAGAAGCATGCCAGCGCTCTCGTGCTTCGAGTGGGTTCGCAGGAGCATGCTGCTTCGCCCACCACACGCATCTTGCTGCGCGTCCGCGCACAAAGTCCATTTGAGGATCGGGTAGAGAAGCATGAGCACGAGGTGTCTGAATCTTTCGCGAGCAGCGGAACGGAATATCCACCAGTCGTCCATCGACCTACCGCGCCCAGAGTTGCCCTCTTGATAGAGTTCGAAGCGCAATCCTTGCGCGAAGTACACGCAGGCATCTCAGACCGATTGATCAGCGCTAAAGCCAAGCAAGGTCACTGGAAGTACTGCGCCGTGACGCCGATAGTAGACACTGTGAGTGCTTTCTTGGTGGACCTTTTCGATAGGTGCAAGCAAAACTCACACGCACCCGAATCATGCATTGCAGATCTTTGGTACGCGAGAAGCTCGTTTGACTGGACCAGATGGCGAGACTTGGATTCTAAGCTCGCCGATCGCCTAAACTCGGCCTGGGCCGCAGACATGGTCTACCAGCAAATCGTGGTGTCTCATTCCACAGGCGTGTCTCATGCAGATCCTAACATTGTATTTGTAGCACAAGGAACCTTGCACAATCCAAACTTATGGAACATGAGATCATTGCGATTGCTATCCGGGTAATGTTGGCAGCAATGTCAAGCACTTTAGAGACTGATTGAACCATTGCGCGTGAGCAGCGAATTCTGGGTCATTTTGGGCCCTCAAACTGGTCACCGCCTTGGCTCGGCGACGAAGGTCCAAGGAGCAGGAGGAGACAGTTCTGAGCTTCTGGTCGGTTGACGCGAATGAGCTTGTGTAGGAGCGACGCTGGCAGAGGGATATTGCCTGGCTAAGCTACTTGCAGAGTAGGAGGGAAAAGACTGATAAGATGCGTGCGAAGAGTCTGCGCTGAGCGCTGAGCCTGGAAAGCCGTACGTCGTCTGCGATCCGTGAGCTGTGTGCGATTGCTCTGCAGGATGAACGGGTAGACCTGCGTGAGACTGGAGCGATTGGGGTGCGTGGGAATGTTGGTCTGAAGGCTGCTGGGGTTGCATCAAGGTGTGCATCACGCTTTCGGGGGGACCAGCCTCGAAAAGGTCTACCGGTACGCGTGCGCCGGCAGGTGTAGAGCTCATGTCGCCAAACACCAACCGGAAGAGAGCATCAATGTCCAAATTGTCCAAAGCGCTGACCTCGCCGTCAGGTCGTATCAGAGGAGTTCCACCTTGAGCTTGGAGCTGACGCTGCGTTTGCTCAAAGACGTTTGCTGTTGCGCCCCTAACCTCTGCTCGAGAGGAACTTGTCACCGCATCCGATTCTTGCCGGTTGTACGGGTCAGATCCACTTTGCATCGAAAGCCCGTTTTCCCCGTCATGGCCGTTCCTTGCAGCCCGAGATGAGACGCCTGCCAGCAGCTCGAGGGGCGCAGCGCCCTGTGCAGGGCTGGAGGTGTCTAAAGCTCTCCTTTGCGGTTCTTGAGAGCTATCCGCGCCAAGTATCGAGCCAGCACGGGCTCGCTTCGCTCGTCTAGAGCTGCCTGCGGCTGGTGTAGCCGTGGCGAGACTCGTGCGAGTAGCCGCCAAGCCCGGCTCAGCTCGCGCGAGCGCAGAATGCTGGAGCTTGCTAACCACGGAGCGCGCGGGCAATGACCTCAATGAGAGGGCAACAAGCAGTCGCTTCGTCACAGCACACTTCCTCATAGCTTGCTGTCTCTGCACGGTGCCATCCGCGCCGACTTTGGCAGCGTGCAGATCGACTGCCATTGGGACGTGGAGCCTCAGCAACATGATACGACAGTCAGCACATCATTCTGATCTTTGACTACTCACCTTGCTGTGCGTGCAGCTCTAGGAGATTGATAGCCTCCAGAGTTGCTTCAATCGTCCAGACCAAACGGGTCGCCACTTCGCGCTTGTACTCGAAAAGTGCCTGCATCTTTTCGATGCTCTCTTGCATAGCGCTGTCAACGATACCAGGCATCGCCTGACCCAGAGTCGATGTGAATCCATCAATAATTCTCTTCGCAGCCTCGAAGCAGGTATCCCTCGCCGTCCTGTGACCGGCTAGTAGCCACATATTCGTGTAGTAAGGCTTGAAGAGGGCGACGACATGCCTGTCAAGATGGTTCTCAAAATTTCGAAGACGCTGGATCGCAGGGCTGAACGAGATGATCGCATCCTTGCTAAAGGACTCCGAAGTCATTTCTCTCTCAACTTCCGAATGCAACTTATTCAGGTCCATCCCAAGCTCGATCGTGAGAGCCAGAGCGTCCGCCTCTGACATGTCATCCAGTTGTCGTTTCCTATTGACGATCCGCGCAAATGCGAGCCAGCGGATTTCGTGAGGAAGAAGCAATTCGCCGTTTCTTCGTACATAGTCGTGCCAGGGCGAGGAGCCAGGTGGTCCAAAAAGATATGGGTGCTTGCGTGGTTGTTCAGTGAGGTTCCGCACCTTGGTGTGCAAGTTGCCCCACTCCCAAAAGCAAATGAGCAAGAACAGCCTCAAACGGCTTTGCGCCTCCGCCACTGGCGTCTGAATAGACGGTTCTTGATCCAGTCCAAGGGCAAACGCTTGATGGATGAGCGGTGCGAAGTGGAGCACCGTGAGCCTACCACTCATGCCCTTCAGCAGGGTTTCCGCAGTGAGAAGAACCAAACCCGCTTGTAGCCCCACAATATGCACCTTTTCGAGCTGCTCGGAAGCGTCTAGAACGGCTTGTGCAACCTCTACAAGGATGCAGTGACGAGGTGCTGCCGTGTGCGCTGTGCGCTGTGCAACTTGAGCGAAGAAAGAAGGAGGGCTGTACAGCATTGCATGACCGCATACACCTAGGACGAGAGCCAAGTTTCGCAGGTAATGATTCATTTGCTCGCTGTTCGCAACCTCCGCCCACGCAGCATCGCCTCTGTCACGTGCGTCCCGGAGGTTCTCCACGGTAGGTAATGCTTCTTGCCAAAAGACTTCGGTTGGAAGCACCCAGTGCGACCATGAAGCCGTGTCGAAATACATGTTTCCCATTTCCTCCACGGTGGACTTGTCTGGGAGAGCCGTCAAAGCTGCGGCGAGCGTGTCGGTCTTTGGAGGTCGAGGAGAAATGGGTGGCCAGCTAATGATGGACGCTGGCTTCCAGAGTAGCGCAAGCGCCGGGTCCATCGACTCGCGAGAATTTGATCGAGAAGCAACGGGCGAAGCGTTTCCTCCAAATCTTCTCAGCGTTTCGATAGCGTCTTGATTGACCGTGCTGCCTTCTGGAAAAGCGTTCTCTGTATTGACACCCAGACGCGATCCTATGGCAGCCATGAGCGTCTCCATTCGATCCATGCGCGCTTCCAAGGGCGCCGTCGTCGCCGTATCGCGTGTCCCCATCATGACGTGCGGTTGCGTACCAGACTCCCACTCGCAGGTGGCTGCCTCACCACGGTCCCGGCAAGCACCACATGGCATGCCACGATCGCATTTGAGCTTTCTTCGTCTGTGATAGAAAGCAAGAAGAGGCGCTGGTAGGTCAGCCACCGCCGTGTGGGACACGCGCCCGAAATGAAATGGCATACACGCACCTGCAGGCAACGCAAGCTGGACGTTTGCGCCATCATTGCGATGCAGACCAACGTGAAACCAAAGCGGTCGAGTGGTACGAACGTCAGCAGTAGCCTACGGAAGCAGGATCGCGCGAGAAACGAGCTCACAGACGGCTTTCTTTCTCCTCTTCTTGGCGGGCGAGCCGGAAGTGTCGTCAGCTTCTTGCGCACCATTGGAAGGCCCGCCAGGAGGTTCGAGGAACGATATGGACGAGCCGCTGGCTTTGAGATTGGTCTCGGTAGCTAGGCTTTCATCTTCGTGGAGATCATTGTTGGTCGAAGAGGAATTGGGTACCTTGGAAGTGTCCGCGGACACCGCGGAAGAGCGCTTGGCCATGGTAGCCAGATACTTTCCCTACGGAGCGCCCGCTTCTGAGCCTGAAGAGCTCGACAATTGCAGTGTTCTCTGTGGCGGGCGCTACCACTTGAGCAAGTCGGCGAAGGGGTCGGGACTGTCAAGCACCTTGAGCGAGATCCCGATCTGAGTCGTGAATGTGGGATGGAGGTAGCGTGTTAGCCAACGAGCGAAACTGGCATTCGCAGGGCAAAAGCTTTCCTTTGCCCTCATGCGCGATGCGACTCACGACTCACCTGCAGCAGTCACGAGCTGTAGTCGCCTGCGTCAGCACGACGACACGGCGAACACCATCAGCATGCATCAGCATGCAGCGCGCAATGCCTGCATGCCTGCACGGAATCGAAAAGCCGCGGAGTTCCTGCCTTAACGCGTACCGCGCGGTATTCATAGGCCGCATTCGTTTCGCGGACGCGGGCGCGCGGATGCATGCAAATATGAATCAAGCAGCCTGTGCATGGCAGGCAGTCAATTGCGACTCGAGCGCTGCATGGCTGCCTGCCCCGGCCTCCGCTGAGGGGTAGCTTTTTGTTGATGGTCACCATTCAGATTCACTCACCACTCACGACCCTTTATTGTCACGTTTCTTACTGTTCGCGGAGCGACAGCTTCGATATCATAAGGTCATCATCGCTGGAGGTCGATCGTCACCCCACTTACAAGCGCGGAAAGCTCAGACTGAGCCGCGGAGCCAGAAGTCGGCGCATCAGCGCTCCCTGTCACACAATGGAAGCGGCATCTCAAGCACGCAAGGAGCGGCTAGAGGCCCTCAAGAAGAGGAGGTACGGCGGAGATGCAGAATCAAGTGAGAAGGCTAAACTTGGTGGTGCCGAGGGGGCAAGTAGCGCAGAAGGCGATCAGGCCGAGGATCTGCAGCAAATCACGACTGCTAGATTGGTCAGAAGCTTCCGAAATTACGATCGAGAGACGGGAGGTTTGAAAAAGTTCAAGTACGATGAGAGGCCAAGGGAGACCGTCGAAGAGGGTGAGCTGCAGTTCGGAACGGCTTCAATGCGCAAAGCGATGATCTAGCTGGATTCCGAACAGATCCCACGTGGGCTGTGAAGAGCAATCTGCACTCATCAGCGCGCGCGAGTTGATTTGCCTAGGCTGACATACCCCACTCAAATCGGACACGTAGAGGTGAAAGGCGTCCAAGAAGCCATTCTGGCGATGGATGAGCTGAAGCGCAAAGAGGAACTCGTGAGTTCTCAATCGATTCCTGCGGCCGGTGGCCTCCACTGAGCCCGTATCTGACGCATACATGCGCTATCGCCTCGGCCGTCACTCAGGACCTGACGAACATCGCACCTCGCAAGCCAAATTGGGATCTGAAGAGGGACATGGAAAAGAGGTTAGCCAAACTGGAAAGACGGGACAAGGAAGCCAGGCTAATCCTCATCAGGCAACGACTGCAAGCTGCGCAAGGTGGCGTGGACAGCGTGAGCGGCAAGAGCGTCTCTGCAGCAGCTGCTAATGCACAACTTAGAGCTGCTGAGGCTGAGTTGGCCGCCGGAGTCGTCGGCAACGGAGCTCAACTCGACGATGTGGAAGGGCTCGACAGCGACGAAGATTAATATTTCACGTTCCCGCATATTCACTCCTACCAGTCTTCCTTCAACGCACATGTACTGTAAGTTCTCCAAAAATGGCAACTTGATCAACATTTCCAGATGCGCGAGGCATTTCATCGCATTGATAACAGCTTCTCAAGACTTCAAAAATGATCTTGCCGAAGCTTGGGAAAATTGACGAATAGCAATGCCTTTGAGCAAGATGGCCACGCAAACCAGTGTAACTTGACACGATGAGTCGGCCAAGCAGGCATGATGCGGATGAAAGAGCACGGGCAGGAGACAGCAGACGTCCGAGGCACAATCGATGCGCAAGATGTTGAAGCGTCTCTGGCTCGCATTGCTCTAGGGGAAAAGCGACAAGCCGCAAGGAGCGCGATAAGACAGCTCTATCCCTTCGCAGCACCTCAGGCACTTTCAACAGGCTCGACACTGGTGCGGTGAAGTCCTGAATGGCAGCGAGTCTGCGCGGTGTCATGAGCGCAAGCCACCTATGAACGATGGCTCGACTCGGCTCAATCTCGAGTCCGAGTCCGAGGCGTACAGCTCCATCCGTGAATGACGCTTCCTAGCTACAGTCGACCAATTTGTTAGCCGTAGGTCTTGAGTTGAGTTCGAAGCCTTGGATCAGACTGGCGCTTGGCTCATCAATAAGACTCACGACTCGACTCCAAGATCGACAATCACAATCACGTGAGCAACACGCCCGCGCGTATCTGCAGCTAATTCGCGATCACGCGCCTCATCGATGCGGCGAATGCGCATAGCACAGCAACATCCACCAATCTGCGCGCCCCTTCTCTTGATAACCCACGTAACCTAGAGCAACAGTCGAGTCAAAAGTCGATCGACGCTTTGTCCACGATTCTTGGTTGTTGCAGTCACGACAAGTCGCCTACTATTTTCAACTCAGTCCCCATGAGTTGAATATTGGCTGCTCCGCTGCGCGACCTCAAACACAGCCTTGCAAAGGGCACATCAATCAGCTCACTGTAGTCGTTGCCGTGCTCAATATGGAAGATCGAGCGGCTCGAGAGGCTGCGAGCGGTTATGGCAACGTCATTGATCTTACGGGAGATGCTCCAAGCCAGACACACCAGGCTGCACTCAGTCAATCGACAAGCGATGAAGGCTTTAGCATCACTGGCTCGAACGCCACTGTTCCTCTGCGAGGTCCTCCAACAGGCGCACCGACCGCGGCCAGCACCTCTTCGTCCAGCAGCAATAAGGGCCCCGTGCCGCGGGCAGGTGGCTACAAGCCCACTGCGCAGCCCAAAGTTCAAATGATAGAGACGCTGGCACGTACCCCTCTCGTTCCTCAGCAAGCCAATGGCTCGACTGTGCCAAGAGGTGCGGAAGGAACAGCAAGTGACGTGCCCAAGCACAGCAGAATAGACTTGGCTTCCGAAGCAGCTCGCAGAGCCATGGAGCACATTCGAACTCAAGTTTTGGGTCGGCCAGCTTCCAACTCTCAGCCTCAATCAACGCCTTGGTACTCTGCGGGAGAGCCCAGCGCAGCAACAGCGGGGGAGCAGCTGGCTGAGGACGCATTAGGGCAGCAAATGACGGCGTCGCAGCGAGACGAATATTTGCAGAAGAGCATCAACGCAATGATTGATCAAGCTACAGAGCTGGGCGACATCGACATGAGCCAAGCCGAAGTGAAGGGACTGAAGTGCAAGTTGATGCCACACCAAGTGCAGGGCCACAATTGGCTCAAGCTGAGAGAAGAGGCTGAATTTGCCGGAGGAATCTTGGCTGACGACATGGGCCTTGGCAAAGTGAGTGTGGCGAAATGTCGAATTGGCGCAGCTGGTAGCGGGCTTGTTATATACCTTAGCTGATCCTGCATTCGCGTGTAGACCGTCCAAATGCTGGCTCTCGTCGTTTCTGCCCGCGAGGCAGAGCATGCGATCAAGCAGGAGGGCGGTAAGACGGCAGAGACAGAGTCTGCAGTCATCGTGCCGCCCGCAAAAACCAAATCTGTGCCAGTCAAAAGCACCATCAAAGGTGTCAAGACTGCGCATGAGCTTGCAATGGCAGAGGCGAAGAATTCTCGCTCGACTCTGATCGTTGCGCCCTTGGCGGTGGTCAAGCAGTGGGAGAGCGAAGCAAGGGAGAAGACGGAAGGCCTGCGCACCTTGATCCATCACGGCCCAAGCAGAACGAAACGTGAGTACACAGCGACATGCCACGTTTCACGTGCGTTGAAGCTGCGCTAACCCTGTGTGCCATACCAGACGCCATCGACTTCTCTGGGTACGACATCGTCGTAAGTAACACATATGACAGCGTCTACATGAATGGTTCGACTGATGGGCCTTACGCCTTGCAGATAACGACGTACACGACGATGGGTGCCGAATATGAGAACTTCGAAGGCAATGAAGGCAGAGGCAAACCAAAGGCCGCCAAGAAGAAAGGTGGGGCAGCTCAAGAGGCAGCCAACAAAGATTCGGACTCCACCGCATCAGGCTCGTCAAGCTCAGCTAGCGATTCTGAGGACGATGGTCGTGCGCCACGCAAGAACGCTGCCAGACCGCGCAAGGCGCCTGTCGCTAGGTCGGTGAAGAAAGCAGCTCCGTTGTTCTACCACACTTGGCGACGCATCGTCCTCGACGAGGCGCAGCATATCAAGAATCGTAACGCGAGATGCAGCAAAGCCGCCTTCCAGCTGTCCACGCGGGCGCACTCCAAGTGGGCCTTGACCGGGACACCCATCCAGAACGATGCCTACGAAATGTTCAGCCTCATTCACTTTTTACAGATCCCGCCTTTCGATAATTTTCAGCATTTCAAAGAAAAGATTGGCGAGCCTGTCAAGAGCTCAAATCAGAACCGAGTCAATTGGGGGATCAAGAGACTGCAAGTCGTACTGCAGACCATCATGCTGAGGCGTACAAAGGATGTCGCGGGTCTGGACGGCAAGCCCATCATACCGCTTCCTGATCGTCACATCGATGTCATCAGCAGCAGCTTTGACGACGAAGAAGAGCAGAAATTCTATCACAGATTGCAGGCCAAGATGAAAGACGACTTCAGCGAAGACAATCAGGCGAGTGATGGAAAATTCGATCAGATGGGTGCTCTAGTAGCTCTACTGCGTCTGAGACAAGGTACGTCATGGAACAGAAATGCCGAAGGCGAGACAAGGAGAATCCGAATTTACGCCGTTTGGCCCTTGACCTGGCGCGACAGCCTGCAATCACCCAGCTCTGTGTTCGAAGAAGGTCGCGGCCGACGCAGTGCAGCCCGCGCCAGCCGCAAAGGATGCTGGCGAGGGCGAAGAAAGCGAAGCAGAAGATGCAGATGCTCTTGCCGATCTCATGTCGGGCCTGGCAGTGGAACGTAAATGCGAAATGTGTCGCGAGACGCTGCTGCCTGGTGCCTCTTCTGGAAAGCTCTGTGCTGCTTGTGATGATGCTGTAAAGGAACAGCAGCGGCGCGGGGTTACGTGGACCGAGGGCGGCGTCGGCAGCACCAAAATCAGAATGATGCTCGGCATATTGGACAACATCAAGCGATCCACCTCTGCGACCGGGACTGAGAAGACCATCATCTTCAGCCAGGTGCGCATAAGCATGGACGCTCTTGTGCGCTATACGCTCTGCTTATCACTGCTTCGATTCTGTGCTGGTACAGTTCACGTCTTTTCTGGACCTAGTGGAACCCTTTTTGAAGCAGAACAGGCACAAGTTTGTGCGGTACGATGGGTCTATGAAACCGGCCGAACGCGAAGCCAATCTGCATAGCTTGAAGACGGACCCTACCATCACTGTCGCTCTCATCTCCTTCAAAGCGGGCTCTACAGGTCTGAACTTGACATGCTGCAACCATGTGGTCCTCTGCGACTTGTGGTGGAATCCTGCGCTAGAGAGTGAGTGCCAAGTCCTGGTTGTCTCACCAAGTCCTGGTCGTGATGAAAGGGAAGCTGACGCCCCATCGCATTTTGCTCCCTTACCTGCCTGGTGCAGTGCAAGCGTTCGACCGAGCGTGGCGCTTTGGCCAGACGAAGGACGTCAAAGTTTACAAGCTGGTCATCAAGGATACGGTCGAGCAACGCATCTTGGTGCTGCAAGATGCAAAGAGACAGATTAGCTCGGCCGCACTGGAGGGTTCTAAACTGAAGAAAGGGGGCAACAAGCTCAGCAGGAAGGAATTGTTCTACCTCTTCAGTGGGAGCGATGTCGCTTGATTCTCCTTCCTTTTGCAATTTATTTTCTGCTCTTCGCTCTTGCGCTTTATCATGCGAGCTACACAGGCTGTACAGTACGCCCCTTTCTCGATACAACTTCACCATCATCCCCACACGCCTCTTGCCATCATTCGTGTTCAAAATTACAACTGTGGGATATTCGTGGTTGAGCAGACTGGCACCTGAACGGCACCGATCGCCCAGTCTTGAGTACCGGAGCGTAGCGCTGAATTCTTGATTCTTAATGCGCGGTACTCGGAGATCATGCTCGGGTAGAAGGATGCCCCTGCAAAGGCCCGCCCGCTTGCTTTACTAATCAAATCAAGAATAGCGGTTGCAAGCAGCGACGCGCCTGACCCGCGCTTTGTGAGAAGCTCTGTTGGCTTCGCACGCTTCTTTTGCTTCCACCTCGATCCCGGAGCGTGTGTGTGAAGACGTTCACGATTCTGGGGTCTTGACTCGAATTTGCGAGGGAAGACAAGTCCTGCTCGAGTCTGAGTGCGGTCGGTGCTGAAAATTCGCTATATCCACTCTGCGTAAGACTTTGCTGTCTGTGATATTGGAATTAGCATGCCAATTTTGAATCACGAATTTGCAAACATGCTGAATGCATGGTGCCGTCGCATGTCTTGCTTTGAAATCGCCGGGCCTCGAAATGTCGCGTGAACACGCTCGCGTACCAATCAGCGATCGGCAATGTGCGATTTCACGGACGTCTGCTGCTGCGCTGAACCCCGCGTTGCTGAGCGCTATAGCGCATACATATGCACGCAGCACGCACCCACGCATCGCAAACCCAGCCAACCCAGGTCCGGCTCACTCGACACTCTTCTTGTGCGCCATCTGATGCATGGGCGCGTGTGCAGCTCCACCCAGCCCTCGATCGGATATGACAGTCTGAGTTGCTCAATAAGTGTCAATAATGAACTGCATGCAGACTTAGTATTCACATTGTTGCTTTGTCGGCCAAAGACTCGAAGATTCAAAACCGCGCTAAGGTTCGGAATTCAAATTCTCTCGTTGGGATTTCAGGCACCGTGCGAGACAGTCCGCAAGCCGATTTGACGGAACGCGGCTGCTGGATGCAACGCGCGCGGGAGACGAGTGAATTGATCGAATGGTGGAATAAGTTATGGTCGCTTATTCCAAATCGCCAATCAGAATTGTGAATCAAAGAGGTTGACAATTGAAGCGAGTCAAGTGCATGAAGCGGCCAAGGCGTTTGGAATTTGCTCGCTCGTGCTCACACTCACAACTACGACCCCATTTGCACTGTAGCTACTCGCCAGATTTGAACTCAACGCTCCCAACTAACAGCCTGCATCTCATCCACAAGCTTCTGAGAGTCCAGAGCCACGCCAGACGATTATTGACACAATGTCGGAGAACCAGGGAAAGATCATCACCAAGGCGCAATTGGCCGAGCACGCCTCTCACAAGAATCTCTGGATCGTCATCTCCGGTCAGGGTGAGTTTGAAGGGGACGAGAGCGCCTTTTCTGCGTTGCGCAGACTAGGCTGCATGGCTCCTGCTCTTCAGACGACATCATTCATACACTGCTGAGAGTTTTCGCATGCGCCGCGGAGATGCGTATGCGTTGGTTGCGAGGACGTTGGCGAGAGGTGCGAATGAAGTGCCGCTTCGCTTTCCGAGACGCCATGTGCACTCTTCAAATGCCTGCTGGTGGAGACTGTGGGCACTGTGGCCTGCCTTAGTTGGCAGGGGTCCTTGCTAGCTCGCTCTCGCTCCCAGCTCCTCGCGTTTGACATCTGCGCATCCATTTCAAGACGCCAATTATGCTGACTTGTCCCTCCCTATCCGCTCAATGGCAGTGTACGATGTCTCCAAATTCATGGACGAGCATCCAGGGGGAGACGAGGTCTTGCTCTGCGAGGCGGAGAAGGATGCTACTGAGGCTTTCGAGGATGTAGGACACAGTGACGATGCTAGGGCTCTGCTGCCACCCATGCTCGTCGGCGAAATCGAAGGCGGAGGCGAGGTGAGTTTGCCCGACAAGGGCGAGGGAGCGATAGCGAGATGAGCACACGATGCTCGCGTCGGTATCACGTTATGCGCTTCGTTTGGCGCCTATAGGTAAGCACGCACTGACGACTCTCGAACCGGATTACATTTTCAGGCCGCAAAACCCAAGGTGCAGGTTTCTCCTGTCAACAAGGACCCCACCTCGGTCACCAACAGCAACCCTCTGTTCATGTTCGCTCCATTGCTCGTCCTGGGCGTTTGGGTCGCATACAAGTACAGCTCTTGAGCCGCTTTTGACCTGGCAGTAGACGAGCGCACAGAGCCTCGAATATCGCTTTTGACATTCTCATCCTTTTTGGTTGCTCTGCTATTCTAATTGCAGTCCTTTAGCATCATGCAGGCGATTGCAATTCGAACATTCACTCAGTCATTCGAGATGGGCGCCCGGTTGCTGGGCGTGTCCTGTTTGTTATTCGAAAGCCAAGCGTTGGAGGGCCTGACGCGACGAAGCTCCCTTTTGGCCGGGCTGCGCAGACTCGGGGACCTCACTATGCAAGTCTACGACTTTCACTTTGATTTGGTGAATGGGGTGGCGCCCTTTTGTCAGGAATCGAGCTGAGCCGTGACAGTCTCGCAATCGTCAATGCTTGGTCGACGCCACTTGGTCGAGTAGGTGCTGATGGCTTCTTTGCGAATGAGTGACGCTGCTGTTCAAAGCCGGCCAGGGACGCGTGCTCTTGATGATCCTGACACAGTCTGACCGGTCAACAGAGTCGTGAGCCGCGAGCGAATCCGGATCGGGACCGCGGGAATCAAGGGTACATATCTGGCTTGCTACACTTGGCATGACGGTCAGCCCGCCCCGGAGAGCTATGCATCACACTCACGACTCGTGACTCAAAAGCCGCAAGCACAGCTACATATATAGCTCTTGAGAGACCTCATACCGCGGGTGCGTCATGCCTCCGTGTGTGCAACATGTCCACTCACACCATTCACATCCGTTCGTGAACATACGCAACACATTCACGAAAGTCGTGATTTGTGAGTCTAGAGTGCGACGTACCCAAAAAGATGTACGCGCGACTTTTGACGGTGCTTACACTTTTCCCACGTGGCCAAGTCAGGCACAGGAAGAAGATCGTAGGTGCATGCTGCATATAATGATCACAAATAATCACGAATTCACGATCATATGTTTTACTGGGCGGTGATGCATGCACGGTCCGCGATGCTCGATGTGTGTGGTAACTTTGACTTTCTTTTTGTGGCTGCGCACGCACATAGCTGCTCGCTTCACCCCACCTTTGTTGTGAGATTCAGTCGTAAATGTACCAACGCACCTCCTCGATCGTCAGCTGTCAGTAAACCATATCCGTCGCCGTAGAAGGGCTTATCGGGCTTGCGCGTGTAAGCTTCGCCGCGCATTGGTCGTCTGCTGCAGAGAAGCATACCATCAAGGACATCGCTTCGACAGCATCGCAGAACGCTGCAGACCAGGCACAGAGAATTCACTCTTCCTTGCGATGAGAGGCACTGCCAGCATCGCTAGCCTGACAGGCAGACCAACACGATTAGCTTGGTCCCGCGACTCGACCTCAGCGGCCAGGAACTGCTCCTGCCGATACTTTCCCGTCCAAGGCTTGCCGCGGTCTCGACGAGTGGCTGCTGCCAGACAAAGCATTCACACGACTGGCCGTCCTCTATCATCTCCAGCCTCTCCCGGCTCACCAGGCCCGTCGAATTCAAACGGTGCTGGTCTCTCCGGATCCTCCAGCGGTGCCTCTCAGTCTCAGCCGGTCGACATCCGAGCTCGGCAACGGAAACAGACGCGACAGCGAGAGTGGACAGCGGTAGCAGTCGCGGGTGGAGTAGCAACAGCAGGTGCTTGGTACTTGTGGGCATCTCGCAGAGCTTCAAAGTCCTCTGCCTCTACCAACGCGTCACCGACTCAGAGCACCACAAGCAGAGTCTTCTCGCTCGCTGCTCATCCTACACCAGTCAGCTTCTCTATTCCAGTTAGAGGCCCTGAAGGCCTCACCAGCAGGATCATCACTGCACTAACTCCTGCAGAGGTGGAGCGGAGACTTCGCCTCAACGAGTGCTCCACAGTCTTGTGCGACCGAGGAGGGGCAGTCGATCCAACCTCAACCAGCTCTCAAACCTCCGCAGACCCACCGGCGTGCAGCATCGCCCGTTATGATACCAACTTTGTGGCTTCAAACGATCCCATCGAAGATCGGCACGCTGAAGCGGTGGTCAGGAGAGATACGCAAATAGCTGGACAAGGCACCGCAGCTGCGAACGGTGATTTCGGAAGCCTCGGATTCTTTACGATTATGGATGGTCATGCTGGGTGGTACACAAGCGAACTCCTTAGCAAGCAGGTGAGTCAAGCTGCTCAACTCAGAGGCGCATTCCTTCTAGTATCTGACGCGGCCCCGGAATTTGCTTTGCTCACCTACTGTTGTACCAATGCAGCTCATCGCAGCAGTTGCGGCAGAACTTGATGCAGTGTTCCGAGCATCTGGTCCTTACGCCTCTATTGCGGCCTCCAAAGCTGCACTTCCCGCCAAGGCTTGGAGGGCGCTGTTTGGTCCTTCCCTCGCATCAGAAGCTGGTGTTGCAAATGACCCAGCTCTGGACGCTGATCCCAGAATAATTGCTGGAGCTTTGCAAGCCGCTTTTGTCAGGCTAGACAAGCACATTGTAGACACGCCGGTAAGGTTGCTGAGGCAGTACGAAGTGGCTAGAGCAGCATCCTTGAAATCTGGCGCCGTAGATGACTTGGGTAGCGCTCCAGCTGGAAGTAGCGCGGTCCAGCCTCAAAGGAGTCTCTCTGCGCTCGCTGGATCCTTGTTCGGCATGGCGGGCGGATTGGGACCCAAGGCAGAGCCTAGCCCCGAAGCTGACGGAGCTGCAGCACTGAGAAAGGCGGGGTACGAGGCACTCTTACCTGCTGCTTCTGGATCTTGCGCACTGCTTACCTATGTGGACGGAGCAAGAGGTGATGTCTATGTTGCTTGTACGGGAGATTCTAGAGCTGTTGCTGGGTGGTGGGATGAGAAGGCGCAAAAGTGGGAAATCGAAGCGCTCTCCACAGATCAGACGGGCAGGAATTTGGCAGAAGTGAAGCGGTGAGTGTCAAGGAAGTCCGGCTCCACTGCCAAGATGCTTGCCGAACATGGTGATTCATCATTCCCGCACTCATGGTACAGAATGCAGTCCGAGCACCCAACTTCTGAGGCAGACCACGTCATCCAGCGTGGACGAGTGCTTGGAGGCCTCGAGCCCACGCGAGCATTTGGGGATGCCCGGTACAAATGGAGCCGAGATCTCCAGCAAGCTCTGACATCCTCGCTCATACCTGGTGGGGGAGGTTTCACCTCGATCCGGGCGCCGCCCAGAGGTCTTCAGACACCGCCTTACGTCACTGCAAAGCCTGAGGTGACGTGGCGCAAAGCTAGCCAGAATCAAGGCAACAAGAGACTGAAGTGGATCGTCATGGCGACAGACGGCTTGTGGGATATGCTCCCGACAGAGGATGTTGGTGGGCTCGTGGCCGCGCACCTGGACGGCGCGAAGGGGCAGCTCACGGCCAGTGCATTGCAGAACAGACTGAGTGCTGGAGGGTCAAAGAGTATGGACAATGCGACCCATAGCGCTGCAGCTGCGTCAAAAGGAAACAATGGACATCCGCTCAATCGCACCAAAGAAGCGCAGTACGTTTTTGAGGACTCTAACCTGGCGACGCATCTCATCAAGAATGCGCTTGGAGGAGCTAACAGGGATAGGGTAGCGGGCTTGCTTGCCATTCCAGCACCCGACAGCCGTCGATTCAGAGACGACATCACAGTCAAGTGAGTATTGGTGCGCAAGCCGAGCGGGTTTTCTTGCGCTCCGCGCTGATGCGCTTCTCTATCCTGCCACTCGAACCCTTGCTGCCGTTACGTGCAGCGTCATCCTTTTCGACACGCCCAAACTCTCGCCCGCAGAACCTTCCGCTCAGACTGATCTGCCGCCAGCAGCTTCGTCACATTCACCGCAAGAACCCAGAGCTAAATTGTGATTGCTAGCGCAACACCGAATGACACGCTCCGATTGAAGATGCCCTCTTCCAGCTTGTCTTGTGCTACGTTCTTTCCGCTCGGACTGATCTGCCGCCCGCAGCTTCGTCACATTCATCGCAAGAATCCAGAGCTGAATTGTGATTGCTAGCGCAGTCATGGGTCTGGGGTATATGTACCGCGCGCTCTGGTCGCGTGATATGCCCGGGCTGGTTAGTACAATGGTGCTAGCCACCATCTGGAAGTTTAGCCCTCGAGCATAGGGCATTCGCAACTGGTGCATGACGTCTCGCGTGTGCGTGGCGCATCCCGGATGGCTTGCCCCTTTTTTTTTGTGCTCACAGAGTTTCGAACAGCGCCTTGCGTCCGTCCGAATGACACGCTCCGATTGAAGATGCCTTCTTCCAGCTTTGTCTTGTGCTACGTTCTTCGCTCGATCTCGATTGTCCGTGTATGGCGGTCTTGCGCTCTAATGGCTCTGACGTGGGAGCCGAAGCTCGCTCAGATCTCACATGCCGCTCATGGCTCTGATCTAGAGCGAATGCGAATTCGTGACCGTGACTTGGCTCATGAAGCAGGCGACTGTTGAGCCTTGCTCGAGAACACGTTTTTATTTGTTTTCTGAAGGCGTGAGACGTCGGCGCTAGTACCCGACAAGAAGATGGTGGCAATACCTTGAAGATACCTAGTCAATGTCTGAGAGACGGCCAGGAATCGACTTCATCGTTCTCCCTTCTGGGAGGGAGCACTTGCATGGCTGGGTGATATTTTTGGCAGGGACAAAATGAGAGCGGAGCGCGAAGCGGCGCGAGCTGCTGCCTGCAGGACGATCGAGCGTGCGTGCATGAATCATGCGATCGGCGCCGGGCCGGGGCTGAGCCGGGCAACCACTCCGCGCGCGGACGGAGCTAGGCATATAGTCGTGACTCGTGAGTCGCGAGTGTCTACCAACTTTGCGTGTTGAACGCGCACGCTTAGCTTGAGCGTACAGTCTTCACCTCGATGTTCTCTTCCATGTCGACTAAGAGCATCTACGCTTCGGGATCCGAAAGAAGTTCATATTCGCAGTCGCAATTGCCGGACCAGGATCACATAGGATTGGGTGCTGAAAGGCAACATCAATTCCTGCGCATCAAAATGGCACCCTTGACCACGTCGCTCGATGTGCAGCTCAGGAGCGAGGCAGAGGATGGCTCTGCAGCCATATATAGCGGTTGTCTGGATCAAGAGGTGAGCAGTGCAGGTCTTTCCAGCTCTCAGATTTCGCCAACGAGAAGATGCGAGGGCTGCATCCCATTGTCCGTGGCTTACACTTGCCAACGCCCACCTCGAATGGTGCCATTCAGTGGACGATAGGCTCGGTCCCCAATGGAGGCTACTCTTTGTCCGCCATCATAAATGCAGCTCAAGCGTTCCAAAGGAGCGAGAAACAAAACTCTGCACATGTGGACCCGTTTCATTGCGCTGCTACCTACCTGGCTGCTGCTCAAGCCGGATCTCACGAGGTGCACTTGACGGTGCTCAAAAAGGGCAGAGGCTTTACCAACCTCGAAGGCAGGCTCGTGCAGCGCGTAAGTCGCAGGGGGGCAAGGACGCATGGTTGCTTTGGGGAGTGCAGCCTTTAGCTGAGTTGCACGTATTTGTATGCGATCTGAATTTTCTGCTACAGGCTAAAGATGGCAAACATACGACGCGCATCGTCGCACACATCATCATGACATCCTTTGCCGCTCGAGAATCTGATCGCTCTCTGGACAGGTACACCATCCGACCTGGCAGCAAATTTCACGTTTCTTGCCCAATCAGTCCTTTTCCCCAATGTCAAGGTCCGAGCAAAGCTTTCCAGATCGAAAAGATGAGCATGAGAAATAGACTGGTTGTCTATACGGACAAGGAGCAGAACAAGAAAGCAAGAGAGGAGGGCAGGTTGGCTTGGGGCGCTTGGATGGATGCTCGAAAAGAAGACGAGCGGCATAAGACGCGAGCTGGAGTCAGCAACAATGTCGTGGCGTAAGTTGGTCAATTCGTTGCCTTGCTGCATGAAGCTTGAAACTCGACAGAGCTAACAAGATTTCTGGCTTCTCTGATTGCAGACTGTGAGCCCCACCTCGTCCAAACACACGACCGTAGACCCTTCGCGCAGCGATTGATTGCCCATCGTCTCCCCGCAGCTTTGCAGACATGACAAATCACCCTCAAGGAGTAGACGTAGACCAGAGCCAGTTATGGTTCCCGACACTGCAGCTGGTGTTGGAGTTCAAGCGGGCGCTGCCTCAAGAAGTGCCACTCTTGAGAATGGGCGTCTTTGCCACTGGCAAGTTCTCAATCCAAGGCCAAACAGATCAAGATGTGAGTGCAGACGTTCCAGACCGGAATGATGAGAGAGAGAGAGAGGCCAATGTCACTCTCGAAGACGAGAACGAAGTCCAGTGAAAGGGAGAACAAAGACTCACCCCAATTTGCTTCTTGCGGTCTTTGTCCGTGCTGATTGCACCTTCAGTGCGAGGTGTGGTCGCACCCAGAGGACGCTGAGCTTCTGGGACAGCCGGCAAACTCGGGATCTCACATCTTGGCCATGTGCAGACAGGTTGCCTTGACGCTGGACATTTCGATCAACAAAGGTTTCAAAGCAGGCAATAATGACAAAGATGCTGCTCGCGGCCCCAAGAACAGCAGATTGTGACGATGATGTACGGGGCCGTGACGTTGTTCGCCAAGTAATCTACTCGTTTTCATTGGCATCTGCCTCTGATGAATCTCGGCTGCCGGCTTGTTGCCTCGCTTGCTCTTCGTTGAACCCCTTCGTGGTACAGCCTGGCTGCAAATTCTCCTCAAGACTCCAAGCAACCCTGTGCGGCCGAGATATGCGAGATTGCGACTATTTGCGGCTTCATTCCATTTCTACTGGTCTCCGTATCACCAGCTTCCCTCCGCTACGGCTTATCAGCCCAGTACGGCGAGGGATAATTCGGCGGTGAATCACGAATTGGAAAGGTGGACTTGTGACTGTTTGAGGTGTGTAGTGTATAAGTGCGCGGGATAGGGTTTGTGTTGTGAGTGCGGGGTCCGCGGATCTCACGTGGTGTGCTCGCCCGATCGGCGGTGTTCGGCCGCCTATCCGAGCGCGCGCCGGTTTCACGCCGGTGGGGCTGCGCTCACACGGCAAGCTTCTCGAGCAAAGTCGTGGGTATGAGACGCAATTTGTGGCTCCGAACTCTTTCCCTCCATCCCAAGTGCTCTTCTCGCCTTCCCCTTCTTGACCAGGTGACACGCAGCCGAATTTCATCCTTGTCGTGCCGGTCACATCGCAATAGGACGCCCGCTTCCAGCCAGCTGTCACTACTAGTCTGCTCGTTCAACATGTCTAAAAGCTACAACATCGTCGTTTTGCCCGGGGATGGTATCGGACCAGAAGTGACTGGAGAAGCGGTTCGTGTGCTGCAACACGTAGCTTCCAAGTCTGGCTTTCAGCTAAATTTGGAAAGCGTGAGTGCAGCCTTTGCTCGTCTAGTTCGATGGCTCGCGTCACTGCAACCGAGAGCCGTAGGCAGGAATTGACACGCCCTCATTACCGCCATCTTGCCCTGCTCTCATCTTCGACACTCTCTTGCAGCACGACTTTGGCGGTATCGCCATCGACAATCACGGCAAGCCTTTGCCGGAGAGCACCATCAAGGCGTGCGAAGCTAGCGATGCAATGCTTCTTGGTGAGCTTTCAATTCGGATTCGGCTCATATAAGCGCAAAGAGCCAAGGAAGAAGCCAGGCTGAGCTGACCGCACGTCGACCTGACCATTCGTGTCTGTGCCCAGGCGCTGTTGGAGGACCCAAGTGGGGCGTGGGAAAAGTGCGACCTGAGCAAGGCCTCCTGGCTCTTCGTGTCCATTTCGATCTGTACGCCAACGTCCGACCAGCGCTTTTCCCTTCCAAGTCCCTCTTGCACCTTTCTCCGCTCAAGGAGAAGATCGCCGAGGGAACAGACATCATCGTTGTTCGAGAGCTAGTCAAGGGTCTGTACATTGGAGAAAAGACGGAGGCTGATTTGACACCTGGAGCAGATGGAGAGGCTGCAGATGTGATGAGGTACAACAGAAAGGATGTGGAGAGGATTACGCGACTGGCAGCGTATTTGGCCCTGCAAAAGAGCCCACCCAGCAAACTTCATAGCATCGACAAGGCAAACGTCTTGGCTTGCTCAAGACTCTGGAGACACGTCGTTCAAGAGACGGTCGACAATGAGTTCAAAAAGGATGGCATCGAGGTGGACCACCAGCTCGTCGATTCTGCCGCCATGGTCATGGTGTCCAACCCGAAGAAGCTGAACGGCATTGTCCTGAGTAAGTCACAACAGCGAGTGCTGCCACACGAGTCCTCAGCGCGGCTACTTCCTCACCCTTTCAACCCCTTCGCCTCCCTTCGATTCTGTCTTCTGCACCCTCTTTCTCACAGCTGAAAACGTTGGTAGCAAAGGAGTGGTGCGCGCTGCAGACTCGAATCAGATTCTCTGACCTACTTCTTGCACTTTCTTACAGATGTTCGGCGACATTCTCTCGGATGAGTCATCTGTCATCCCAGGTGCTCTCGGACTTTTGCCCTCCGCTTCTCTCTCCGGTCTGCCAGACGGCAAGCAAAAGTGCCGCGGACTTTACGAGCCAATTCACGGATCCGTGAGTCACCTGCTCTGCGCCTTTCAGCAATCTGTCTTCCCTGCTCACGCATTACGCCGATCCGTTCGCTTTCCTTCTGTTAGGCTCCCGACATTGCAGGCAAAGGATTCGCAAACCCTATCGGCACGATTTTGAGCGCTGCTTTGCTCCTTCGCTACTCTCTCGGAGAGCTCAAAGCTGCCCAAGCCATCGAGGATGCGGTGAGAATCGTCTTGGATGCCAAGGCTGATGGAGGCCATGAGCTCAGGACTAGAGACCTCGGTGGTACGGCAAACACGAAGGATGTGGGAGACGCTGTCATCAAGGCCCTTGACTCTATCTTCTGAGGGCTGCGAGCGACGCGAACAAGTGGAGAAGAAAGGCGACTGAGCACCAAGGCGAACGCCTCAATCGCACCTTTGCGGACGAGACGTGATTCGCAAAACGGAAAGCCCTTCAGGCACAAATGTCGCAGGAAATAGAGATGCGATTCGAGTGCAAAGGCGAGAGCAGCCTCAGACCATGTGCATCACGCTGCAAATGGCGCCAAGCGAGCTGTAGAACGGAGGAAAGCGGAACGTGGTCAGCGCGAGCCGTGGACACCCGAGCGGCGGATGATCAGGCCTGTCACGCGTTGTGACGACACAACGACCGAGAAGACTTACCCGCCGCTTTGTCGTTCATGGTACGTAGGTCATACTCGCCGTGCTGCGAAGTCGGAACGTGGCGCGAGCACAATTCAGTGGCTAGTATCGTGACACATGCTCGAGATCTCGGACGCTCACCTGCGTGATGTACCGCACCCAGGCTGCCGAGGTGCAAAGGCCGGATAAAGTCAGCGCACACGCCACGTCATGAGCACCGGTCCTACTCACGCAAAGCTTGATAGCCAGATTTCTCCACAATCTTGAGGTACCTCACTTGAATGCCCGACACGGTAAAGTACGGAATCTCGAACTTGACATTGATCGGGGTTCTGCGATCAAGCATTTCCTCTGGCGAGCGTGGTCATATTCGACCATGAGAGTGATGGCATTTCAGCTTTGCATCGCTGAGCACGAATTGGCGACCAGAGCTTACTCACCATTCTTTACGCTTGGTAGACCGAAATGAGCTCGCATCAAGAATTCCTTTCCTCCAGCCAACTGCTTGATCTTCCAAACCATCGCTGATTTCTCGGGTGCGTAGTGGACAGAGCCCACAGCGGCCTGGGCGATGCAGTGGGTCAGCGAGCTTAGTCGGAGCCAAGAGCACAGGCAGCGGCGAATCGACCAGACCCACCCTGAATTTAGGCGAATCAGCGTCATCTGGAACAGGCACATTGATCTCGACGTTGTTCGCAGTGGATCGCCTCTTGAATTGAGCTTTGACCTGAGCTCGAGCAGATTGAAAAGGTCAGATGGGCTGAATAATGCCTGCGTATGTGCCAGGAGAGACTTACCTTCACCATGAATTCGATCCTGCTACCCTCGTGCCGCTCCACGACCGCCTCGGCCCAAATCAGCGGCTTGACTTGTGTGCTCAATCTGTAGCTCATCAGCTCGAACTCTCCATCCGGAGGAATGAAAGAGATGGTCCGATCATTTTCGAATCTGGACAACCTGACGCATTGATGGAATTTGACATCTTCCATCTCGATCGCTTTGCCGCGAGAAGCTGCGAAACCGGATAACATCTTGGTGTGTGAGCTCGTGTACGAACTTGGTCAGTCATGTTTGCTTAAGACTCACCTCTTCCAGTACTCTCGAACATGACCTTATCGTTCAGACCCAGCCTGAGCTCAGGCATGCCGGAAAGGTAGCATTTCATCTTGACAGCTCCCAAGATCTCCGACCTGACCACGTTGCCGTTTGCATTCACCAGCAAGTTGACGCTCTCCACCACATCCAGAAATACCTCATTCTTCCTATACCTGATGCCTTCGCTACGCCACGATACTGCGTTGGTGACCGCCATCGGAGGCCGAACTTGGACTTCCAGCTTGTGCGATTCTTGGGTGATGTATCTGACGTAGACCAGACAAAGTAGCGCACAGTCAGGCTGAGTATCATGCTTTGAGCAGAAGGAACAAATCCGGATGCGCGGCTACTCACTCCTGCAAAATTTTGCTCTCTGTAGTCTGTGGATAACCAAAGTCCATCATCTCATCCAGCAATTCGTAAATGATGACAAAGTTGTCCCGGATGCTTTCTTCCTCTAGCTCTTTGAAGTACTCTTCTAGCACAGAGGCGAGCTTGTGAAGGAAAAGGAGGAGCTCTGCTGCATTGCTATTGCGCCTCGAGAGAGCGAGCACTGTAACGCGAAGAGACAAGAGGACGGGAACAAGGGGGAGAGGGGCATCGTCCGGTCAGCGAGCGGGTACGAGAGGCGCTGGGGACACTGTCAGCCCTTACGATATAGGTTGTTGTGCCTGACAAACATGTAATTGATGCCTTCGCTCGTGAAACAAGGAGCCACAGCTGCTCCACCGCTCTCTTCCTCCATGTCCAGCAGAAGAGGCAAGAACCTCTCCACTGTGGATGGTTCGATATCATCTCTGTAGGATCTCTGGATCAGCGACTTGCCCTTGACATCCACAATTGCTACCAGGGAAGCCATCGTTTGAAGTCGAATCTCCAGCTAGGTTCTTACGATGAGGCCGTTGTTGGATGTGGGCGTTCTGACGAGCACGGATGCGTGAGGAGTCAATGGGACGCGAGAAGCAGCGAAGTCTGATTTCCGTTCGTATCGGAGGCAATCGTGAATGTGATGCTTTGAGAGAGGCGGAGAAAGAGTGCCAAACAGTCGAGATTTGGAAGGAGCAGTACATGCCAATATACAAGATATAGGTACGGTGGCAGCTTTGACGCGCGCGGTCACCAGCCAGAAGCCTCTTAGGAGCACGTGACTAATGCTAGCGCACGGTTCACGCGGCGAGAAGAACGCACCCGCCGAGCATCCAGCAGCATCAATCAGCCCATCATTACGCGATGAGAGTCCCGAGTGCGCGAGCGTGGAGGAGCCGGCGGTGCAGCTTGAGGTAAGCGCATATATATGTCTGTACGGTCAGCACACGAAACGAGTGGGTGTTTTGCGAATGTCGCTCAGATCCAGCACCGATCTACCATCCCATCCAGACCTGTTCTCACACATCAGCGACATTCACGCCCCAGTCCCTGACCTATAACCCCACTAGCGAGCATTCTTTGCGTACTGTGAGAGATGGACTACGCGTACGAACTTCTGTGAGTGCTAGCCTCGGACGTCACAGATTGAGCGCCGTTTTGCCAATACTGAGCCTGTGCGCCACTCTGATTTGGTATGCCAGTGACCGCGGCTACCTGCCCGACTTCTTGGTGGTGCGTCTTCCGGTGGTGTTTCAGTGTTTCGGTCTCGAAGCTGCCACTTGATGAATACCCCACCCGCCTCTTACTGATTTGTTAAAGCCGCTCGCTACCTTTTGACAGCGCCGAGCCATCCGGCTGCTCAACGCACAGCGTTTGCGGACCTTGGAGCTGCCCCAGACCGACTATGCGGCTCATATAGCCTCCAAGCTGGAGTACGTTAGGAGTCTCAAGACGAGGGAGATCGCTGTCAAGACTGAAAATGCTAATGAACAGCACTATGAGGTGGACACTGGATTCATGCTCAGCGCTCTCGGAAAGCACGGCAAGTACAGCTGTTGCCTGTACGAGAAGGGCAACGAGACACTAGACGAAGCAGAAGGTGAGATGGATCATGCTTCCACTTCGAAGCGGAGTTCGCTCATCATGGAATCGCATTCCTGCCAACTCAGAGGCTATGATGATCTCTTACACCAAGAAGGCGCATCTGAAAGACGGTCAAAAGGTGCTTGATTTAGGCTGCGGGTGGGGATCCCTAAGCCTTTGGTTAGCAGCTCGTTACCCCAAATCCCAAATCAGCAGTCTTTCAAACAGCAAGACGCAAAAGGTTTACATCGACCAAGAGGCTAAGAAGAGGGGCATCAACAATCTGACCGTTTTTACTGGCGACGTCAAGACGTATGAATTTCAGCCTGAATCGTTTGACAGAGTGATCAGCATTGAGATGTTCGAACACGTGAGTAGAATGCACAAGACCGTTCCACCCCCTGCTTACTCCGAGTCCATTCCCACTCATAGATGAAGAATTACTCTCTGCTCTTGGCCAAAGTCTCCTCATGGCTCAAAGCTTTTCCGAAGGATGCGCCGCTGGAGGACAGATCGCTGCTGTTCATCCACATCTTCTGCCACATCACCACTCCTTATCACTTTGAGACCGGTGACGGGTGGATGACAAAGCACTTCTTTGAGGGTGGGACAATGGCCAGTCATGATCTTTTCGTGAGCACGCAAAGCGAGAAGTCGCCTGATATCGGCTGATCGTTGCCGCTTGCTCCCCATTCATAGCTGCACTTCCAGAATGACGTTGTTCTTGAAGACCTCTGGTGGTAAGTTTGAGCACTAGGGACTTTCTGTACCCTCGGTATAGAGCCTGACCTTGACAACTCGTCCCAATCGCAGGATCAATGGTACTCACTATGGCAGAACCTCGGAAGACTGGCTCAAGACATTGGATCGCAACAACAAGGACAACAAGTCCGTGCAACTGCTTCGCGAAGATGCCAAGAAGAAGGGCTTGGATCCTATCGAGGGCGAAAAAGCTTTCTACAGGTGAGTTGATGATTCGCCATGTTCTCAAAGCTACGTTGCTGATGCTGATGTGCCGTGTTGTTTGATAGATGGAGGACATTCTACCTCGCCGTGGCCGAGTTTTTTGCGACGGATAATGGTCAGGAGTGGGGCGTAGGTCACTATCTCTTCAGCAAGCGAAAGTCTTGATGGAAAGGCGACCAACATCAAAGTCTCCGACCGGAACAGCATGTGCATAATCACAAGAATACCCTCGCTGTCCACCTGGCTCGATTTCAATCTCGAATACTGTTGTCCACATTTGTAATTTCTAACGTCTCTCCGAGTATGGCAGCAAAATCTTCGCCAAGAATAGAGTCGATTGGAGAGGCAAGAACGAGTGAACTTTGATGAGTCTGCACCTGACCCTAGAAGACCCTGACTGAGATTGGCTTGACTTGATGTCAGCTAGACGACGATTGCGGAACCATCATGAGCTGTTGTGTGCGGTAGTGCGTGCCAACGACTTACCCCTTGCCGTTGTCTGTGGCGCGCGCGCATATGCACGTGCAGGAAAACTCGTCACACTTCTGGTGGCGCACTAGCGGGCCAGACGTTCGGGATACGAGTGCAGCACCCGATCTGCACAAGCGTTTGGGATGTCTTCACACAAGAGACAATTGCCGAAGTTCTGCGTTGAAGAGCGCTGCGGTGTTGCGTGGGAGGGTGGAGGGAGCCTGCTGCACTCTTGACTGAGGATCACGAATGCACGTTGAGCGCAAGGAGCTCTCATTTGACGCGTAAGCACGCGCGAACGCGGTGATGATCGAGGTGTTGGCTCCACGCGGCGGGCGAGGCACGCGCATCTCGAAGCGCGCGCGCGGTTGCGGATTTTGTGGAGCCGAAGGGGCGCCGCTGCTGCAAAGCGGTGTTGGACTGCAGTTCTGGGTCGACCTGACATGGCAAGTCGGATTGGATCGTCCGTTCCTTGCCGCTTGAATTGCGACTCCCGCTTGCCAATCAATCCTTCACGAGTTGCATCTTTTTAGAGCGCATACACGCCGTCTATCCCCGTCCCTGCCTCCGGGCTCACATCAGTCTAGTATGCGTTCGCATTGCAGGCACCAATCGAGTGGCCCATCGGGCCGCTCAGCTTGGAAGGTCTCCTCTCTGGACTCTCGCGGAGTGGCTGATCGATGACACTAGGCGCGGAATTTGAAGGGCAAAGCAAGCTCAACGGCTCTGCTGCACACCGGGCAGTCACTCATGACTCGTGCCCGTCGATCGTGGAAGGTGCGGCGTCTCAGCTGTCCCGCTGGAGGCTGCCTTGGATCTTGCACACAGTACCGGCACACTCGCTTGCTCTGCTTGCTCTACTGTACAAGCAGGCCTGGCTGGCACCACCGTCGATGCCAGACTGTTGAGCGGGCAATGCAAGATGCTCGGCACGGTGCAGATCCTGCCAAGTGCCAGTTTGTATGCGGTGATGGCTGAGTCCCGAGGATGAGCAATTGCGGTGACCGCTCAGAAGGGCAAGTGTACAAGCAAAGCCGAACTTGCCGTTCAACGTCGTCGGTGCAGCTTTTCCTTCCTTTGCGACCTACTCTCACATTCCCTCACTTCCTCACTCCAATCCTCTCTCTTGAGTCTCTCTCCCTCCCTGTCCTTTTCTGCTGCCTCGCGCCGGCCACTTCTGCTGAGCCCCGCCGATCTGTACCGTTAATCGTCATTGCTGCTTCGGATCAAACCAAGACACTCATTCGCTCTACCGCTCAACGCTCTTTCTCTGCTCGCTTCTTTGACCCACCGGCACTGTTCAGCTCATCAAGCCTCACGCTCTCTTCCAACATCCTCTAAGCTCCCTTTGTACTACCACTGGCGCTATCGGAGACGTCGCTCCCGTGTAGCTTCGGTGCCATCACTCCGGTCGACCCTCTTTTTGCCGCCAGCCACTACTTCAAATCTTCAATAGTTGCTACTGATCACCACCTCCAACTACTCATCCCTCCTTCCATCGCCATCCCCGCGCGCTGACGAGACTCGAGACAGCGTTGCTTTGCAATCAGCTTGGTCGAGGTGGGGACACTGGCTGTGCGGACAGCACCGACAGCCCCTCATCATGCTTCGCCTTACCACCCTCGCAGTGCTGGCGAACTTTGCCTCTTCAGGTGTGCTAGCAGCAGTGACGGTAACGCGATCCTTGACATCTCAACTTCCACAGATCGCCCACGTCGGCCAGCCTTACACTTGGACATTCGCGCCCAACACCCTGACTTCATCCCACCCTGACGCCACCATTGATTACGTTATCAGCAGCGGGCTACCAGCTTGGGCTCGCTTTGATGCTCCGTCGCTGACTATTAGTGGAACACCTGCAAGCGACGATCAGGGCCAGGCACGCATTGCGGTTCACGGCACTGAACGCAATGGGGACCAATCCGCAGGCGCATCAGATTCCTTCAATTTGCTCGTCCTCCAAGAGCCAGCACCTACACTCAACAAAGCCTTGCCAGATCAACTCTCTGTGGCAAGCTCTTTGGGTCCAAAGAATATTTTGCCGGGCAACAAGCTGCACATCCCGTTGGGCTGGTCCTTTAGCGTCGGATTCGATGGGAACACTTTCTCGCTGCCCGATGGGTCGAACGTCTACACCTCTGCAGGCCTGGCGGATGGTTCGCCTTTGCCCTCGTGGCTCACCTACGATGCGGGATCTTACACGATGTACGGCGTTGCGCCGACTCAAGTCGGTCCGGAAGGACCGCAGTTCGATTTCGTCATGACCGGCTCCAACAGAGAGGGCTATGGCGGAACTACCAGCGCGCTCACTATTGTGGTCAGCAATCATGCTCTGACCCTTGGCGCTCCGCTTCGATCTGTAAACGTCACGGCCGGTGATGCTTTGCGCTACGTCATTCCGACCACTGGCCTGCAGCTCGACGGTCATCAGTCACCACCGGAGAACAAGATCACCATCGCGGCAGACCTGTCTGGGTACCCTTTCTTGACCTTCGATGCTGGCGCCGACGCTCTCAGTGGCTCTGTACCTTTTGATGCGGCTCAAAACGACAGCCTGACGCCGTACATGGTGCCATTAACCTTCCGTGATACATACAACAATTCATTGCCAGCCATTCTCACTCTCCAAGTCTTTCCATCGCCCTTCGTCTCAGAGACGCTCCCCAACATCTTCGTTGATCCCGGACACATGTTCAACCAGTCCCTTTCGACGCTGCTCAAGCGACCGAACGGTACAGATCTTAGTGCCAAATTCGACCCACCTAGCGATTGGCTGAGCCTGGACGACGAAGACGAACAGCACTTGCTTGCTGGCAAACCGCCCACTAACGCGGATCAGGATCGTGTCAAGGTGACGCTCACTGCAAGTGTCAATGAAGGTCAAATGCAGAGGAACTCAACCGCGACCTTCTATATTGCTGTCAAAGGTGATGCGGCTCCTACGGGCTCGACAGGCAGTGGGTCTAGTGATAGTGGCGCCAAGACCAGCGGGATGACCTCCAGAGGGCAAATCGCTCTGATTGCGTCTCTGGCTTCTGCCGGCGGCCTGGTCGCGCTCGTGTTCATCATGGTGGTCTGTCGACGTTGCTGCGCTGTCGAAGACCACGATACTGCGGGACGCATGATCGACCATGACACGAGCGCGGACGAGAGGACGCTGCGAGACGAAAAGTCTCCGAAAATTGGTGCTGGTGGATGGAAGAGCCGCAACGTCGGAGATGGGGCGAGCTCGTACGGCGGCAGTCCTTACCTTGATCCTAAAGCATTGCCAGACGGCAACAAGTGGGAGCATTCGCCTCAAGCTCAGGCTGCGGAATTGCATAGCATCATGGTCAGCGGAGGAAGGGGAGCACACACCCCAGCCATGAACGAGGCCATGGAAGCTTTGGCTAGAGCGGAAGCTGTCAATCGAGCTGCAGACGTGCCGCCCTCTGCGCCTGACCGAGTTGTCCAACACTCGATCATGGGCGCGATGCCTTGGGCAAAAAAGAACCGTCCTCGTAATCCGCCACCCACTTCAAGCAGTAAGAGCTTGCACCACCAAGCTACCGTCAACAGCGCGCTTGCAGCCTCGACGGGCTCGGGTTTAGGTTTGCAACTTTCTCAAGGTGACGATCCCTACACGTCACCTATGAGTGCGCGCCACTCGCGCAGCAGGCATTCTAGGCACAGTGCCGCTTCTTCGCACGCAAGCTGGGAGAGCGGCGGGATTTTCTACGAGAACGAGCGCGATGGAGCAGACGATGCAGGCTCGTTCGAAGCGCCCGTCAGACGTGGAGGGCCCCGCGCCATGCCAGCTGGCATCCTCAAACAGACGAGTCCGATGCGACATCGCAACAGTCACATCAACGAGTCTCCGCACTTTTCTACGCAGCAAGGAGCTTTTCCAGCCAACAACTTTGGCACGAGAAGTGGCAGCGAGGAGCTTTCGTCCATTGGTCATGATCAATTTGTCGACTCCAACAGCGGGCCAGAAGCAGACGAGCCTGAGATGCACGCTGTCGAGATTTCCCAGGCACGAAGAGTCGATGTTAGGCAGGTACCTCGAAATGTCTCCTCATCCGTGGATCCAGCCACCTACGTAGCTTCTGGAGCTTTCGAGGACGCTGAGGATGACGAGCTGACCGTTGGTGGCCGCAGTCGCAGCACTAGCCCCAATCGTCCACGGTCCACCCAGGAGTCGGCCAGGAGGAATCGTGACAGCGTAATGAGCGGCATGACAAACGATTTCAGAGCAGTCAAAGATCATCTGGTCTTTCCCGACAGCCACAACAATCTGAGAGCGGGTCGCCCGGCGTCGATCACCAGCTCAGTCATGTCGACTCAAGGACAGCCAACGATGAGGATGGTACAGAGTGGCTCGCCGCCCCCTACGCCATCACCTTGGGACGGTCAACCATTTGCAGGCGCTGCATCGGACTATGCTCGGCCGCCTCTGTTCAGATTCGCGACCTCTCGCATTCAGAATCAAGCGCCACAGATGATCAAGGTTGCGCCCGAGGGACGTACAGCCTTCACAATGCATCCCGATCCTCCGCCTCAACTCCGCGGAGCGCCTGATTCTCCGGGCAAGAGGAGCGGAACGAGGCGAACATCGTACAAGCCGTTGATCTTTGACGAGTCGATGCCCGACTTCCACGGCAAGTGGCCGCCATGGATGGAGTGGCTGCACTTTGACGACAGGACATTTGAGATGTCTGGAACACCGCCTGCTGGTCTGGCAGAGACGGGCTTGGGAACACTGCCCATCGCTCTGGTGTTATCGACCTACAGACAACCACCCAGTCCTGCACTGGGATCCGGCAATGCTCCGCCGAGCCCAGGCAAGAGGCCTCTCAGTGCCGAAGGTGCAGAGGAGGATCTCGAAGTTGTGGCAAGAGCCGACCTGCTCTTTCCCCAAAGCGGTCCTCAGGTCTTCTGAGCCTCCCAGCACCACGCCACGTCTCGTTCTGAAAAGCTGCAACTAGTGCTGCATCTGCCCTGTCTGACCCCCTTCCACTTCGACACCCTTTCCCCTGCCTCCCGCCGAGGATTCCGTTGCGTTCCGATTCTACCCGACCCCGACCCATTGCCCAGTTGCTTGTAGCTATACTTCGCGCCTTCCACCTTGCGCACGTCGCAATGAAGATTGATCCGAGGCCTAGACTTCAACAAAACGACGTCTGAGTGAATGAATGCGGTATCTGCAGTGCCTAGACCATACGTATCGCACACTCCGATAGGCATGTTCACACGTTTGTCACTGGTGCTTGATACGAAGCTACTTCCATCGCGAATTCGAGCCGAATGTCCAGGAACGCTTTGCTGATGCTTTGTCAGCATGATCCGTGCGAACTTGATCGGTCTGGGTTGAAGTTCCCTCACGACTAAACGGCTAGCCTGGACGATCTCCGCTTCAAAATTACGGTCATGCCGACCAGGAGTCGTGACTTTGGTCCAACCTCATAGCAGAGCGGGGGGCCGTGCTCGACGAGGGGTACATAGGCGAGAGAGAGCCTTCCAGACTTGGACGATTGAGCATCATTCTCGTTCTGGGACAAGTCGCCTCTGGTACAGTAGAGACAGAAGTAGCGTTTCACGATGCCAGATGCTTGCCATCGTCCACGTGAGAAGCACAGCCACGCGAGCTACATCATAGGCGGGACATGAACACCGGACGAGGGGCGCAAGATCTCCGCGCGGCCGTGTGATGTACGGTGCGGTGCGCCTTGCTGACGGATGGATGGAAGAACAACGCACCTCGCATTAGCAGAGGCTTGCGAGCGCATCGAATGTGGCTTTTGGAGGCGTCGGCCACAGCTGCATCCCACCGAGTCGCTGCATCTGATGCTGCTGCTGCACTCGCGACGCTTGAGCCCAGCCAGGTACGTGGCGGGTGACTATACAGCGCCATGAGCGCCCACGCAGCATGCAGCAGCGACCACGCAAGAGCAGCAGCGCGCATGCAGCAGTTACGCGTCGTTTGAACACCGCGCCGACGCTACGCGTCCGAATCGTGAATGCGATCTAACCCAACGGTCGATCCGAAGGCTTATGGTGTTGCTTCACATTCACACTCCGATCATCTTCATGGCTGCAGCATGGCTGGTCAACGGCCCCAGTCACCCTCGCTAAGCCTAGCTTTGCCTAGACCTCCACTCAGAAGCACACAAGATTCAAGCCTCAGTCGAGCCCCTTGCTTATGAGCTGTTTGCTGTTGGACCATCTCTCCATCTGCATGGCACTCGGTGCCGATCTACAGTCACCAGTCACACATACGCTCTCGGCAATCACCTGCCACCTAACGACGCGCAACGCGTGCCTTTGGAGGTGCAAAGACACGCATACATCCCATCTTGCAACAAGCACACCGTCCGTTCGTACGCCCATCAGGCACCTCATGGGCATCACAATGGAGTGCTCTTCTTTGGGCCAGACAATGCCGTGTCGTGCTGGCGTACTTTGACTGGATGGCCCGCATGCGCTGGACGCGGAGATCACGAGACCAGCAGGCCGAAACTGGGGTCGCCATCTCTCGAACCGAGGCAGATCGGCAAAATGAGGTGACGGATCAGGCGAGCCTTTGACCAAAACACCTAGCGCCGGGGTTCAAAGCGCAGAGGCTAGGCGTGAGATCTCGTCGTGATATCCTCATTCCGTTCTAAGCACGCTGTCATCACAGTACAGTTAGGAGTAGAGTACTGCACAGTACCTGGACCAGAGCTGTGCCTTGCTGCTGCGTGCAAGCCATGTCACCCAACTCCCAAGATTCAGCACCGTACGCTGTATGCAAGATCCCCAAGTCAGAGTGACTTCTATCCTGGTGGCGCTACATGTGTGTTCTCCTGACAGGATGAGGGCACGGCTCATCGTGGGAAAAGGCCAACGAACGCATCACCGACCGTTGAGATATTTGGCATTCAGGTTCGCTTAGATTGCATTTCTCCGGCGGAGGCCACGGGCCCAGATCCAAGGGGACTTGTGCGCGGAGCTGCCGACTTGTTTCTTTCTTTGTCCGACCTGTTCACGCTTGCTGTTCTCACGCTGCAACGCAACAGACAGCAGATCACACCAAGTCGACCCTGACCTGACAACAACGTCGGTTTCGATCCGCGCGTCGTATTCACGGCCAATCGTTCCAAATCGCACCGGTACAGCGCAATGCCGAACTGCGGCCGAGTGTTCATGGTCTGGAGCAATTCATATACGTAGCAACGCACCGTGGCCTCGGCCGTCCCACGAACGGAGAACCAACACTTCATCAACACATCAACACAACAAGACATCATCACCTCGCGCACTCCGCGCGCAGACGTCACATCCGCACCGAGATTAGACGTGCCACGCTCCCTTCGCGCTGGCACAGCAGCTCGACGACATATATTAGACCACACATTGGCCGCAAGGTTCGTGATCCCGCAGTGACCTTTCACAAGCACAAACATCACCAACACGACCTCTTTGAATCTTCTAACGCACCCGACCTGTACACAGCATGCGTCAATCACCCCGACAAGCTGCGCTGCAGCTTTCTGTATCCACAACGGATTTACCGTGTGGCATTGCGAATGCTGCCCGCTCCCCTTCTGCTTCATTCAGCAGCGCATTCGGTCCTCTCCGACGTGCTGCAGCGGCAATGGCGCGGACAGCGAGCGGCTCACGGACCGAAGAGCTTCCCGTTGCTTCAGACAATTCGCAGATCGCCCTTGATCAGGGACACGAGTCGTCCTTTCTATCTTTAGGACCCGACTCGCCGATGCTCGGCTCTTCCAGCACCTCTTCAATGAGCAACCCTGCAATGAGGGGCCGCTCGAAGACGATCTCTTCCGGCACCGCTCAGCCGACCTCTTCGTTCGAGGAATGGGACGAGGCTACGCAAAAGTTCTCTGCTGGCTTCCTTCGGCGTCTAACAAAGAGGCCGACGCACGGTGATGTCCGTTCCGCGTTCACGGAAGAGGGAAGCGTGCCGGCGAAGACACCATCTGAGAAGCCTGATGACGCGCAGAGCCGCGGCGTACCTCAAAATGGGTACACCATCGAATTTGTCACTGGCAGCGGATCAGGTCCTGCATTGGCGACCGCCACTGTCACCAGGCTGGACCTGCCCGCCGTTGTAGAAATATCGCCTTTGCCCACCGCCAACGAAATATTTCCAGCCACGCCCTGTTCACCTCCTTCAGCTCGGCGAGCTCTTAGCCCTCCACAAATCGTGCGGCCTGCTCGTGATAGCTTGCAGCTATCCGGCGATCAATCTCCGCCCCCTCCTGTCGTCCCCCATCGCACAAAGTCATCTCTGCGAGGCCGCAACCTGGAAAGCAAAATGGACAAGTCAAAGAAGCGTCGAGATCCAGCCTCAGTGTCCAACAGCACGTTGCCCGACGATATGCTCGCACTCGCTCCACCTTTTGAGTATCGAGTGTGCAACACGGCCAGCACCGTTGCGCTTCCGCTTCAGAAGCTAGAGTGCTCTCCCACTCTCGGCTCGCACATTCAGCACGAGATCGATGCTCAGCTGCGACGCGACGTTCAGAGCCGACTCGCAGTGCCTGCCCCGATGCCGTACTCAGTCTTGCCTGCGCCTGGCTCGCGACGTCCATCGCTGCGACCTTATCGATCAATGGGCGAGATGCAGTCGCACGTGGAGCCGTTGAGTCAAACAAGCACGACTCAACAGGCGACTCTGGCTCGAAAGGATACCACTTTGCCTACGGAAGCGAGCACAGCTCCATACCCGACGGACTTGCGAGCACGGCGAGGAGCAGGTGGAGCGCTCCAAATCAGCATCAACACGCCCGCGCTCAGCCTGCGTCAAACTCGATCACAGACTTTGCGCTCTCCGGGCAGACGACTGTTCAACTCTCCACCACCTTGTCCCCCTCCATCCACGCCTCTGCCCGCTATTCCATCCAGCGCTCCACCAATGGAACGCACGCCTCGAGCTCGGCCGAACCGCGCAGATGGAACCCAATCGACAGCCGGGCACACGTCGCGTTCTCCCTCCCAAACATCGAGCATCCACCAAGTTCCCCAAACGTTTGCGTCTTTGGAGGACACCATCAGCTTCTTGGCGTACGACGAACGTCGCATCAGCTCTTCCTCGACCGCTTGCTCCTCTGCTATCAGTCGAGATTCTTTTCAAGCATTTTCACCTGCCGGCTCCATCATCACCACCAGCGGCTTGAGCGACCATGGCGATCCCCAAACCCCAATGACGCCCTTGGAACAAGCTTGGGATGAATCAGAGCCAAAGCAGACCATCTCGGGCCCGGCTTCGTCGTGTGCCGATGCTGCTGCTGCCGCTCCCGCTACCAAAGATCTGCAACAGAGGTCGAGCGCTTGCTGCGTCGATGGAGATGCGACATTGTTCAGCTGTTTTGGCAATGCGCTCATGCTCGACACGCTCGACACCCAGTGCGTAGAGTGGGCCTCGCATCAGCAACAACACGTCGAGCCCAACGCAGAAGACCTGGGCATCAACTTCGGCTATGCCATCTGAGGGCCCCAAAGACTTTCGCCGATACATCCTCTTTCTTCGACTTGATCAATCGCACCCCTTCACGCACTCTCTTTTGCACTGCTCGTCCACTCGCCGAGGCAGGACACACACACACACACACTCATTGGTCTGACCGACTGCGCCTAATCATCGCATCGCATGTAGTTAGTTGCATTGGTAACCGATGCGCCGCTTTCCAGCCATTCTGTCAACTCAACACTTTCCCCATTCTCGATCACACATTCACTTGTACAGTAAATCATACTACACACATTCATTTTGCCGTCCAACAATACATCCATCTTCGGCCCATCTGCAGCGGTGAGCTTGACACCGCGCGAGCCAGGTTCGAGTGAGATGTACGGGGGTTTAAATCGAGACAGAAGTGTGCAGGGTAGCGTCCACAAACGGGGATACGCAGCAAAAGAGTAAGCGAGCAAGCGAGCGGCCTGGAGACCACTCACCTGGATGATGCGAGGTGCGCACGCGCCATGCAGGAATGGGCTCGCGTACGAGGATGTCAGCACGACCTCACCTTCCACTCTTCTTTGGCTTCCCAAACGCAACAGGAGAAAGTCATCCATCTTGCATCCTGCACAGTGACACTCGTGGACTTTCTGGATGGGGGTGAGCGCAGAGGTGCTAGAAGGAAGGGCATTCTGCGACTAAAAGAAACAGACGTTCTGCGCTGGATTTTTTCGCTCGTGCATTCTTCACACTCTTCTTGCACCGCGTTTGCGCAGGATTTGTCTTGCTTCGATCCAAGACCTCAACCCCCTTCATGAGACTTCTTCTTCAATCGGCCGTCACGGACTTGTTTGGTCCGACCCACGCGCCCTCCGCAAAAGATTGGCCGCGCTCCAGTGTCCTAAGGCAACTCTCGACGTCCATTAAATTTCGTGTGCTGGCTGAGCCAGGAATCCATATTGTCGTCTTCCGCCCAGCTTCAATCCCCATGTCTTCTCTGTTCAGATCACCAGCGAAGAGTAACGACAATTTGCGAGAGGGACCACGAATCAAGCTAGATGTGCGTACCTACCAAACAGCTTGACGTACACTTTCAATCGTTCATTAATTGGCTTTGGTTTGTGTTTTGAGGTTGAGGAGACTCGCTCGCTTCGAGCATCTCAAAGATGTTTTGACAGTGTGCGATCATTCTCTTTAGATACTTGAGTTTCCAACATAACGTTGCTCCTGATCTTCGATGTTCGTCAAGCTTCACGGAAAATGTTGCGACCGCGGGACTGTAGGACTGAGCTGAGCCGCTATGTGTTTGACTTCCACGAGCGCGCACGCCTAGTCGCGGGATGGGCTGTCGCGGTGACGGCGGCGAGGTGGCGGGCTTCCCGAGTCGCGACGACGACGGCTAGGGCTGCGAGAGCGGTCTCTCGAGTCGGTTGGGCGGCGAGGTGGGCTGGGGCGACGACGCCACTCCGAGGCGCTGTCAGCAGGCCTGCGGTGCGACGGGGGAGGTCGAGGTCTGTAGAACCCGCCACCGTAGGGTGGAGGAGGCGCGTAATAGTCGTAAGGCCCAGGAGGTGGACCGTAGCCTCGCGGAGGCATTGGTCCATAAGGCGGATATCCTCCATAGAAACCAGGTGGCGGTGGACGGAAGCCAGGAGGGGGGCGAGCTCTGTCATCTGGACGGACGGTGCCGCGGTACTCTCCAGGCGTCGGGTCATGAGGCTTTCTGGTCGTACTGAAGTCGACACGAAGAGGGCGCCCGTGAAGCTCCTGATTCAAAAACGGTCTTCCACGAAGTGAGCAACAATAGGGCAGGGCGTTTGAACGTTTCTTCTCCTGTTACTCACCACGCCATTGATCTCCTTGATAGCTGCCTCAGCACCAGCGATATCGGCCAAGGTGACGAAGCCAAAACCGCGAGAGCGGCCGCTCTGAAGATTGAAGTCCAAAAGTGCGTGTAAGAATGCAAATAGTCGTCAACAAGGCGTGTTGCTACTCACTCGTGCATCGTAGACAATCACGACCTTCTCTACGGGAGCAGCTGTAGAGAAGCGTTCTTGAAGATCTGCTTCGGTGGTGCGGATGGACAGTCCGAAAACGCCTACCACATTGGAAGGCTCAGGTTCCTGGCCCGGTTGAGGGCGGTGCGTGCGTGGACGTGGAGAGCGATCGCTGTGGGCAGAGAGGGTAGAGAGCGATTCGAATGAGCCGATGAGCACGACGATCCAAAGACCGGTGAGCACACCCTTGGGGATGGGGACTGCGTACAATCTTGTGTTCGTGTGTGCACTCGCAGACCTTCTTGATCACTTCGCGAGAGCCTTCTGCTGTATACACTCTACTCACCGAGACCTGTAGTCCGGACTACGACTACGCTTGCGGCTAGAATCGCCATTGCGGCGTGGGCTTTCCTCGTCACGGTCGCGACGGGATCTCTCGGGCAGCGGACTGCGGCTGGCAGAGTCTCTTGCTGATCGACGAGGGGGCGAGCGACTTCGAGCGTGGCCATCGGTGGGCGATAGCGACGAGCGCCCGCGAGGCGGGTCGACGTCTGTGTAATCCTGTGAGAATGATGAAATGTTGCGGGCACATGTCAATTCACTACGATCCATCCCTCATGGCTAGGGTCTAAACAAATATCGCGCGGGACTCACCATGGCTTGCCAATAGTCTCGAACTAGGTGGCAGGTTTGATTGGAGGTAGTCGTGGTTCTGTGTAGAGAGCACGCTCCCTCGTGAAGAACGCGCAGCCAATTGCGCGCCGAACGAAAAAGTCATCCGCCGGGCCAAGGCACTGATGTGCGCATGACTGGTCTCATACTGGCCCGCGTCCACGCGCACGCGCACAAGCGTCAGTCAGTACACGACCCACAGACAGAGTAATGGATTTGTTGTAGCGCACTACGACGCGCCGCTTTTCTAATGAGGCACCCACACAAACTTACGCACCTCTGTATACTCAAAGCTGAAAGTAGGTCGCGAGGTTTGAGTTGGGGATAAACCCTTCGATTCAAGTTTCTAAAGGATGCCTGACCACCAATCAAACCTGAATCTTGAACCGAGCCAAACTTCTTGGGCTGAGCAGTCAGTCATGCACAATCAAACCGCCAATTATCCCATACCTACTGGCTAAGCCACACTTGGATAGGGCTCAGTCCGAGGCTCAATTTGACATTTGCAACTCAAAGTCAAGAGTCTGAGCTGAGGTTGGACGACTCCTAATCAAATGCACATTTCTGAATTCGATTCATGATCCCTGATCGTAAAGGCTCAGACGTCCAAGTGGCCTGCCAGAGCCACCAAGCATGCATTCAGAATCCATCAAGTCGAATCTCGTCCCTCGGGGATGTGGAGCACCTTCGACAAGCGAAGGTGCCTTTTCTCAAGCAGACTTTGGACGTCGCAAGGCTCGACCCAGGTTCGGTCGGGCTGCAGAAGCCAGCTCTGGCAGCATCGAAGAGGAGATCTCAGCATTCTTGATTGACGGCTCGCGAGACATACCGCCAGCAGTGACGGTTTTCGAGAGGACAGAGCAGTCTCGGTCGCGCTCTGACCAAAGGGTACGCAGCGCCGCGCCTGTTGCGTTGAAAGAGCCAAGGCATCCCTGTATTCGATCCAGGTAGCTCTCATCGCTGATAGCTCAACATTCTGGATGCACAGATGTGGATCCTTTGTCCTCGACAAGGCGGCGCACAAGCAGATCGCAGATGAATGCGGTGCGCAAGTGAGTAGCGCAGCCTCATCACTTTGGGGCAAATGGACCTGTGCCCTTGTCCTCGTGCTTGAAGAGGTCGGCAAGCGTCACGCGGTTGGGTTTGGACGTCGAACCCGACGTGCCGGCCTTCTTGGCGCCGGCTTTTGCAGCAGCAGCACCAGCCGTAGCGCTGATCTGATCCGGTTTGATGCCCAGCAACGCGAGTGCGTCGAGGTTCGGCGTACTGTTGTCTACGGGCTTCACAGGCTCTGCACCAGGCGTGGAAGCTGGACCTTCCGTCTTGGCTTGTTTCTTGGGCAGGTAGACCCTCTCCTCTTGGAACTTGGTCATGCCCGTCTCTTTCTTCTTGCCGTACCACGTCTTTTTCACGACTCCCTTTTCAGGAATGGTCTCCAAGAGTTGCATCTTCTGAGGTCGTACCCATTTTGCTGGCTGAGCCTTGGGGTATTGCGTGGGTCAGCAAGTCAGCATGACTTGGTCAAATTCCACTCATGCGCAAGTCATCCGCGATACTCACAACGATTGGAGTAGTCAAGGTAGTCGGAACGTGAGTGTACAATTTCTTTTTAGGCGCACTTGTCAATACCTGATTGTCGTGCTGACTATCAGCTTCGACAGAGAGCAAGCACCTCAGCTTCGAACACTAAAACCATCTCACCTTCTTTCCAAACAACCTTCCTACCGACCCCAGAAGCGGACTTCGAGCGGTCAGGATCATCGGGCCTATGACGTTCGGTGCCGCGAGGCCGTCGTCGACGATTGTCCTTGAGAACACAACGTTCACGGCAGCTGATTATTCAAAGTTTTTGTGCCATACGACACAGAAGAGGGAGTTGTCAATCGAGGCGAGTGCGACTGCAACTTCCTCAGCTTGCTCACCAAGAGTGGTTGGGGCCGCTCTAGAATGTCTGATGACCATTAGCAGAGATACCAGAGCTACTTGAGGCAATGCGAGCCAGCGCATTATGAGTGATGGTTGTGAGAAATGAGAGCAGATGCCGCGTTGCTGTGTATTGAGAACCAGTCCAGCTGATCTGTCGTCTTGTTGAGATGGGGGGTGGTTGGCCGCAAGAGAGAGAGACAAGAAGTTGGATGTCAAAGATAAAGCGCAAGAGCGACTCTAATATATTTCAGCTTGCTTTGACATCCCGCGATTGCTCTCACTGGTCGAGCTGGCAGCAGTCCTGGGAACACACGACCATACTCAGCACGAGCTCGGGTCAGGGTGGGGCGCAGACTCCGTTGACCCATCTTCGCCCTCCACATGGCAGCATGCCAGCTGCGCCTGGGGGCGCATGACATCTCATGGTTGGCGATCCTGGACTACCCATGGAAGATGATGCCACTCACGTCCATCCATCCCTCGGACCTGGAGGCAGGCAGTCGAGAATGCAACGTTGATCCCTTCGCCGAGTCGGCAGTGACCCCCGCGTATGTGTGACGAACATGCCACGCATTCGTGATACAGCAAGGGTCTGAGCCTGCGCCGCGCAAAGTGCGGTGAAGGAAGCCGGGCGGTTACGAAGGTGGAGCGGTGCGGGAGCGCGTATCTACGCAGCAGCAGCAGGCGTCAGATGGCGCATATAGCGGCAGGGCGCAAGTGGCGAAGCTCATATCCACAAGGCGTAGAAGTTGCAAACGAATCGCTTTACTGATAGAAGCCTGCCCGCCCGGCCGCTATGGTGCTTCGGCGAGCGCTCGATCTGACCGGAGGTTTTGCTTACCGCAGCTGCTATGACCCCGGTGAGTGCAGTCAAAATTGAATGTGAATTGGGGAATGTGAATGCAATCACAGCACGCCTTCTCTGACCCAGCAGATGCCTTCACCGTGCCCAATTCCAGTCGCGTCGGCGTCGTGCTCGTGCTCATGGGCGCAAGCGGCTCCGACGCTCTTCGTCACACTCAGCAGTGGCAAAGTCGTGCCATGATCTTGCGTGCGTGATCCATTCTGCTTTGGATTCGCTCTCCTGTCCTGCGAGATGCCGAGTCCGACAATAGTGAACGAACGAAATTCGGCTGCCACGCAGCCACGTCGCAGTGTGAGTCACATGCACTCATTCATTGTGAATGCGCCGTTGTCGACAGCTTTCTGTATGACAGAGTTCTTCGAATGCAAAAACGGATGAGGTGGGAGAAGGAAGGTGCGGTGCGGGTGCAGTCTCCTGCTGCTTGTACCTACCACAAGTATAATGTGAATGCCCACGTCAAAAGATCATGCTCTCCTCGATTTCTCGTGCGGAAACAGCAGAGGCGCGCGCCGCGTATTCAAGATTGCAACATCGTGATCAGAGCGAGCGAGGCACGTGCCTGAGCGTGGACGCATCGGATCGCAACCAAGTCAGTTCCTTGTCTTCCGTTCCACTCACACCTTTTCCCATTGAATGCTTTCGTGACGTATTTGCGTTCAAAACAGCTGCATCTTCCAGCCACAGAATCACGCACGATCCAACGAGAGAAGAGAGCTGGTAGCAGGCCATCAACTAGTGGAGGAGGGCATGGCTGCGTCTCGAAATCACCCGCGCAATTTCACCTCGACTATCCACCTTCGTCACGCCCCGGAGTGTGCCCGATAGCTGGCTGCTCCTCAAAGACCCTCCGCCAAATCGAGGGAACAGGCTAGCCTGCGACAGAGCTGGACTCAATTGTTAAGAAGCGCCCGTGAGGTGAATCACAGCCAGGCTATTTCCCAATCGCACCATGCAGCAGCAGCAAGATGGGCTTGCTCCTGCTTTCGTCTATGACCCAGCACCAGAGTCTTCCGAGGGCAAGAGCGAGCGCACCGTCGACCCATCTTTGCTAGCTTCGCCAGCTCGCAGTACGCGCACGAACAATAGCTCTACTTCTAGCACAGAGCGTGGAGAATGGTCCGATGGGGATGGCGATGACAGTGCGCTCGATCTGCTGGTGGACGCGCACGATCGGAGCAACAATAGCAGTGGGATAAGCCAAGCGGATCACCAAGACGGATCAGAAGAGGCTCCAATCACTTCGGATCTGAGTGGAGAAAATGATGAGGAGCAGGGTGCTTTTTCGGATGCTACGCCAGTACCGGATAGCTCGGGTGCTTTCGATGCTCTAGATCGGGCAGAGTTGGAGCGTAACACCCAACACAAACACCGACCTTCGCATCACGACGCCTCTTTCGGATTGGATCCCGATGCAGATTTGAATCATGCCATTTCTGGAAGACCCTTATTCGGCTTGTCTCCCGGTCACCACACTCATCATCATCACCAGCACCACAGCCATCACGAGCACGAAGGTTCCTCACGTGATGGAGGAGGGCAACCCAGCTCGGCCGTCGAAGGGCTCGACCGAGGTCGGACAAGCCACAGTTCACGCTCTGGACCATTCACGACTCCTCACTCTTCAGGCTTGCCAGACACGGTGCCTACAGCTTCGGCCACCGGCATGCCACGCATTCTTCCACGTCGGTACAGTCGATCCCGTTCTCCGACCGGCTCTGTTCATTCCTCCAATGCACCTCCGCCAAAAGAGATGAGAGTGCAGAGCCCGTCGGGAGATGCTGCAGGCGGCGTGCAAGATGCAGGAGGAGCTCAGTCCAACGTCCCATCGGGCTCATTGACTTTGGCAGCTTTTGCACCGGGATTGAAGTGGCGCAGAAGATTGGCTCTGCTCAGCGCTACGATCGGAATCAACTTGGGCTTGCCGTTCCTGAATGGCGTCATGTTAGGCTTTGGAGAAATTTTCGCGAGAGCGGTCTTGGCGCCCATGCTCGGATTGAGCTTGGGCGCCGTCGGGGTAGGCAGCATGGCGCACAGGGAAGAGCTGGAAAGACTGAGGGGTACAGGAAGAGCGGGCAATGCGAGAGTCGGGCTGAGTGGCGCTGCCGGGTCGAACGCTGGCATTGGACAGAAGGACGGAAATACCAGGTGGGCTCAGGGGGCTGAAGGAGTGGATTTGGATGGTTGGGCTCTTGAAGCTGATGACGAGACGAAGAAGAGCAGGAGGCGCTAGAGACGCAAACATTGAACACAATACTCCAACATTCATGAGCAAGTCGCAGCATAATCAACCGAGTCACGCAATCAAATAGTCAAACGTCTGGTAGTGCACAAAGAGGGCCGTCGTCGACGCTGAGAGATGTGCCACCGGTTTGGATGGCGCTCGCAACTAGCCATGGTGGACCTCGTTGTGTTTTGAGCCGTACACGCAGCGATGCTCTTCTTTAGGTGACGAACAGACGTCGTTTAGACCTTGATTGTGCGCTGTGTGGCGCATACGTGGACATTTAACTCGTGGCTTGAACGTCTGTGTGGCCCGAACAGCAGCAGGTATTAGATGTCACCTCCAGCCCATGGCCCAGGCACAGATCCATTTGTTGCGCTCCTTGACGCCTCCGACCTCTTTCTTCTCCTCATCTCTCTCCCGTGTCCGAAATTTGCGCCTACTGCCGTTCAGACGCAGCTCGTGCACCTTGATTGTTCTTGGGCGTCGTTCGCGCTCATCAGCTTCGCTCGAGGCTTCTTCGACGGAAAAAGGATGGCCACTCTCCTCGTCTTCGTCTAGAAACGCAAGTCCCAATTCCAACACGTGCGCGATTGCGTCGTGCTGCGCCGTACCCTGGCCCTCGATGGTTGCTTCATTGCACTCCGAAAGACTGGGCCAGTCGTCCGCACCAGGCATGGGAACGACTGCAAGCCCAAGCCGGTAAGCAGCTTGCACGAAGGACCACAAGACTTCTCGTCCAGTGTGCAGACCAGAGACGATGTATATCCGAGCATTGCCGTCTTTTGACAATAAGCTCGTGAGCGTGCGCAAAAGCGGCGCGTGCGAGAATCTGTCCCACCTGGATGACGATGAGAAAGTGGAAGGGGGCAAAAGTGTCAGCCATGAGATTCAGACTCATTGAGGAGTGACTGTAGGATCGATTCGACCCACAGGCAATCGGCGAGAAGAATGACGTCTGCCTTGTCGTTTTCAGCTGCGCTATCGGATAAAGCTCTGCCCATCTCGTCTCTCAGGTCGTCCATGTTGACTCCCCAAGTATGTCCTCGGACTCTGATCTTGTTCCCGATCCCAGGATTGCTCATGACATTCTCCTTTAATCGATGCAACAGTGTAGGCTCGTCGTAATCCGTCACCACCACTCTTTGAACGTTGGGCTGTGCAGCACAAAGTATGGAAGGAAGTCCTGTCCCTGCTCCTAGCTCCAAAATCCTATTGCCATGCAGAGGCAAGATGCCCGAGTGAATGATGTCGCTTATTACAAGTCCGGACCTCCATTGTCGGTGAGCGAAGAGGGGAGCGTGGGTGGAGGGTGGGATGCGGAGAAGGATTTGAAGTTGCTGTTGAATCCTTAAAGGATCAGAAGACGGACCATTGGGCGAGACGTGACCGGGAATGGCTCGAGGCATGTACGAGAGCCAATCGTGCGCCTCTCCAAGAGAAGGCGATGCCTTTGTCCCGAGACTCTGACTGTCCTTGCTCTTCTCCTGCATGGCCTTGTTCCTGCTAGACTCCACCCCTACGCCATATCCTTGCGAAGATGTTTGTACGGACATGTCTTCTCAAGCCAGCTAGAGGTGTCTTCAGGTGCCCTCCAGACCACAGTGCTGAGGCAACGCAACGACTTGGGAAGCATGCGGCATCACCATGTGTCAAATTATTGAATGCTGAAGCAGCGCCTTTTTATTCACCGCTTTTAACTTCATCTGGTCTCATGACTGCTGCCTTCATTCGCCTGAACTCGTGACTGCTATGTCCCGCGTATGCTTGCAACATCAACCAGGCTTTTGGTCCAATCACCGCAGAATGCACCCCCCACTCGCATCGAGTGAGTCAAGTCAAGGCCTGCACCGCTCAAGCAAATTCTTGTAAGCCCAGTCTGAGTGCAGATTCGTGATTCTTGATTCTTGATTCTTGATTCTTGATTCTTGATTCGCATCCACGATTGTGATGAATGAGAATAACGGGGCCCACGACTCACCTCAGTCACACGATTCAAAAGTTTCGCGAGTCGTGAGTGCGAGTCTCGATCGAGTGCGAACCAGATCACTCAGTCACAGCACTCAAACTCGATCGTGACTGCGGGTTACTTTGGCCAAAGGCGCGCGCGAGCAACTCTGATCGTGACCGCGCGTGCATGGCTATGCAACTCGCGCAGACACAACGCCCGGCCGTCGCGCTGCGCTGCGCTGCATGCTGATGCGCGCGCAAGCAGCACAGTGCAAGAAAATTTGGCCCAGCAGCTCTTGTTGGGTATATATATGCGTTCCAATTTTGAATTGAGCCATGATACATACATACAAACATCATCTCATCGACCCCAACCCCGTGGTCCACCGCCGCGTCCAGCGTCCCGATCGAGGAAAAGGGTCGCGCCCCCCACTCTGGACACTGTGCCTGATCCAGAGGTCTGCACTTTCGACAAAGATGGTTTGGCCTTTCAGCACCTCTAGTGCTGCCTCTTCCACGTCCTCCTCTTCTGGCGGCACTGCTCCTCCTACACCAGCCGATGCTCTCACCACAGAGCAGAGCGCCAGCGCAAAATGGGAAGCTACTGTCAAGGAGGAGCAGATTATTCAGGCTGCATACACGCCTTTGGACGAGATGAAAAAGTGCTACAATGTGTTCGACGAGTGGGCTGCTTGTTATGGTACGTGCTCGCCATCAAGCTCCTCGCGCGGGCGTACGTCGCTCGCAGTCTGACACGATGCTGCTCCTCGTGTGCCTTTCGGGGTCATCGGCCCGTCACAGCTCTTTTCCCTCAGCTAAACTCAGTGTACAGATACGGCGGACCAAAGGATTGCTCAACAAAGTTCAACGATTGGAAGTTTTGCCTGACTCTCAAGGACCTTTCTGCTGAACAGAGGAGGGAAAGGTGGCTGAGGCATCGCGCTGAACAAGTGGCCAAGATGCGTCTTGAAGGAAGCTCGGAAGACTTTTGGGAAATGAGGCGAGACCCTTTGGTCGATCCCAAGTTTGAAGACGTACAGATTGGGAGGGACACCTGAACAGCAGGCTACGTCGAGCATCCAGCCCTCGCACACGCAGTGTGCCGGCCTCTGCCGTGCGAGGAAGCCTCTTCGAGCTAAGTGAGTCTTCAACCGTCTTGCAGGAGCATGTAAAGCAGATGCCGAGGGGCCGTCGCAAGCACACATGATGAGTGTATTCCATTCAGTTCTGCTACTGTAGAGCCTCAATATTCGCAGAGGTTTCGCTGCGGACACTACATACCATCGCTTACCTTTCTGATCAGTATGCGCGAGCGGGAAATGTTGCTTATGCGTTGCGTCGTTGCCAGCTAGACCCCTGACTAACTCGTCTTGGCCGTCTTTGCAGTACACACTACTCTGTTGCCCTCAATGTCAGGGCTCATTCGCCTGCACCTCAGTCAGACATGCCACGCGTTATCTCAGGTAAGTGTGAGCGATGAACCCTGCATGACCGAGCTGGCACGCAGCGACGTTTTGCCTCCAAAATGATTACAACAAAAGTTCCAAATCCATTCTCACGATGCGATTGCGGGTTGATTGGGCAAGCGCGGGCTCTCGGTTGCACCGTCCCACGAGTCCGACCTACTCTCTTGCTTGCCTAGGAGCGCATCGTATCGCTTGATCGGTCGACTAACTCAAGATGTCCGAGCGGGACGTCGGGGCGAAAGATCAAGTCAGGGATGCGGCTGTGCTCCTGGGCCGATGGGGTGTGGCGAATGCTCGAAGGGCTGTGCGCCAGGCTGGGAGCCCTTTGCGCTGCTCAAGAGACTGGTCACGCAAATGATGGATCAATCTTCTCTATGATCGGAGCGCGGACGCTGTCATCGGGCAGACTCGATTCAGGTGCTTTAGGCAGTTGCTGACACTACGACGTCTCTTGTCTCAAAGCCTCGACTGCATCTAGCAAGCACGACAGGACCCGGGCTGGTTAATGCTAAGGCCCCTAGCGCTTCGTTTGCAGATTGAACGGTGAGTACTTGATCGCGGTCCTCAGTGGGTGCAAAGGGGAGTCCGAGGAAGCAGCAGATCGAAGGCAAAGACGAAAAGACGATCCCATATCGTATTCTATCGAGCTAGACGTAGCCCACCAGCTTTCTTCGCATTGTGGGCTTCCCATGTGTTGGGAGGTCGATGGTGCGTGGGAAGAGGAGGCGATGCGCCGCATCGCTCAAAACATGCATGTGAGTCGGCGTCCTTCTCTTGCCATCAGGTAATGCTGCGTCATGCTGACCCAGGGCACCTTTGTGATTACTTTGTCCTTGCAGCACCAGCTGAGCCTTTTTGCTGTCCCAATTGTCCACTTCGAAAGGTGTTGAAAGCAAGAAAGGAAGTTGCTGACATGATGTTGGGCTCCTCTGCATAATGAAACCAGACACTCGACCATCCTAGAGACGCCATGAGCTCAGCGCAGCGCTGTCGCCTCATGACAGGAGAACGTCAAGATCGCTGGAGGCATGATGACAGGAGCAAAATTCTGACTAGACACGCAGCTTGCTGTCGTACGCCTGGCCGTGCAACGACGTGCATCGCATTGACAGGAGTCACAACCCTAGCTCAGTTCACCCTCGCATGAGCTTGCACGCACCTTCAGAACGATATTGGTCCTGACTCTTTGGAACACGTTCACGGCTGAACTTGATCCATTGCTCAAGCCAAATCGTAAGGCACTTTGCTAAGAGTGGGCTCGACAAATGTCTAGCGCGCGATGCACTATTGACCATGAGACGTGTTCGCAATCGCAATGCGTGAATGAGCACCATGTCGAGTCCTCGCGCATCGCCGAGGTTTGTCCAGTGTACAGCCTTCCATCTCATCGCCTGAGCTTGTTGTGCTTCGATCAAACACGGCCAAGAAGGTCGGTGTCGGTTCGGAGATCTCACGGAGCATGCGAGGAAAGGAAAGGACTGCTTGAAGCTTGAAGCTTGCAGCGCACACAGTAGCTTGCAGCACACACGATTAGCAAGAGAGATCATCGAAGTGAAGTTGGCATGTACAGAAGCACAGGAGGAGAAGCAAGAAGATGGCGCGAGGGAATGAAGTGGTCAGACACGCATCTCATCGCAATGATGTTTCTCCATGGCGATTTGAGCGCATCCGAGGGCTCTTTCTGCAATGATGTTGATGATCATCGGGCGCCATCAGTAGCCCGCTGCTCCCGGAGCTGTCTGTCCCTCCCGCTGCATGACGAGTGGGGCAAACATGGCTAACGTGTCAGTCACCTTGCCAAAGCCATGTGCCGAATGCATCAAAAGCCACCGTTTTGACGCAGATGATGCGGTTCACAGCGCAAGCTTTCAATCAGCTGTCCAAAGTTTGGCCAATACTCACCCTTAGACTCAAAAGGATTTCCTTCATCCTTGTCAGGTCCGTCGAGCCGGGACCGCCTCTGGCTATGGTCTTGCTTTGAGAATTTTGCAAGTCCAACAGCTTGGTCACTCTGGACCACGTCGTTCCTTCGGCCAGCTCGGCGCTTTGTTGAGCTAGGAAGGCAGCTTCGGACTCCCTGTGGACGGAAAGAGCGCATTCAAGTGTCAATACCATAGATCATCGGGCGTAGCTCCCACTGACGAGCTTTCTGCTCTATGCGCCTCGATCACAGATCTCTAAGAGAGAGCGTGACAGATTTTCTTGCACATGACACGTCGGCGCTCACGAGCGAAGGCTGTCTTCCGGGCATTCTGCCAGATTACAAATGACCCGTCAAGCATCGCTAAACCACTCACTTGTTCTGCTTGATGCTCTTCTCTTTCTTCGCATTGTACTCTTCATAAAACTTGTCAATGTCCTGTTCAGCCTTTGAAATAGTCTCGGACTTTTTCCTCTCTGCTTCGGCATCCCTCTTTGCGATATCATCGGCTTGGCGCGTCCTCCACTGCTTGACAGCCTCACTCTCCTCTGCATTGTTCAAGTGAGAGTAGGGGTCTGAAACACCGGCGTAGCCCGAGCTTCCACCGCCCGCGCCAAACGATTGACCAGGCTGCGCGGTTGCACTAGAGTACCCGTTCTGTACGACAATTCAGCCAACGATCAGCAAAGCCTTCACGAAAGGCACCAAACAGCGTGTGCTCGAGGCAGGCGCGCAAACCAGCATGAGCAACTCACGGTGTTGGATATGGGGGGCTGGGATGCAGGCATGGCCATCTCTTCTTCCAGCTCAGGAAATTCACTTTGAAATTTGTCCATTTCATCCACCGGTGCTCTAGTCTGTTGGGCAAAAGCGCTTGCTCCCCCACCAAGCAGGTCATCCTCGTCTCCAAAGCCACCCGCATTGTTGTTGGTGGTGGTCGTGGCAGTAGCCGAAGGTTCGTCGCCGTCGAGACTTGGAAAAGCGGCAGCTCCACTCTCAAAGTCCTTCTCCCCGCCTACGCCTGCTGCGCCGCCTGCAACGCTCGAACCGAACAAGTCCGCATCACCTTGCAAGGCTCCTGCTGCTGCTCGCTCTCGAGCAAGAAAGTCGGCAGTGGGATCTGATTCGGGAGCAGATGTGTTAAAGTCGAACGACATTTTGGACTTGCGCGTGTGAGAGTGGACGAGTCGAGTGATGAAGAGGAGCAAGAGTGACTGCTGTTATTACGCTCGTGGCGCTTCGGAGACGCTGATCAGCTCGGATTCTTGTTATGCGAATGAGCTTAGAATTACGTCAAGTGCTGTTTGAAGAAAGGGCAGTCTGAGTCGAATAGAGAGGAAGAAAGTGTAGTCTGAATCGTGGATCGGATGAAGAACGTAAGAAGCCCCCTTCGACACGCGCGGGAGCTGGAGTCACAGTCTGCATGAGTGATGATGCACATGGCTCGGGGTGCTGTTAATCGTGGAGTTCGGCGACCGTGCGCGCACGCACGCACGCCAGCATGCAGCGACAGCACCGGCCACGTGGTCGGCACTCGCGACTGCAACAACTGACAATCGTGAATCCTAATGAATGCGTTCCTCCAGCACCGCCCCTCAGCTGAAGAGCAGCCGGGATTCATGGTTCTTGATTCACATTCACATTAGTGGTTTTTGATTCGACCTTCAAAGATGTAATTCTTGACGTCCTTGATCTTGAAGAGTCACGGGTAGAATTCAAAGTGCATGTAGAGGGGAGAAAGGCTAGCCACTCGAGACTCGTGGACCGTGGAAATCTATCCTCGCGCGTGTAATGGCAGTAGGTGTCGAGTCAGTGATGCGAAATTCACGTTGTGATTGTAATACAGTCCTTACAGACACCTGCGATTGCACGCAGCATAGAGCGACGGTACTCCTCAGACATAATTGACACACGTTACGCTCAGCCGCTGACTCTCTCTCTCCCTCCCCCTCTGTGCAGCTTGCAGACTGGGCGCCTTGCGCGAAGCAAGGCCGGCCCGTGTCGACGATGATGTGCGATTTACAACCGCAGGCTCGCATCACAGGGCCCTCAGTCTAGCAGACCCTACAGCGAAATTGAACGATCGGATGACAAAGCATCGTGAACATTGCGTGCTTGGAAAACGTCGAAATGATGTTTTGCGAGCTGACTCAAAGAGCGGCCTGAGCTTCTTGGTGCTTGACAAATGCAGAGTCGAAAGCTTGAGCAGCTTCGTCTGCAGAAGTGACTAGCGCGTGGCTGGGAGCTACCCTTCGCAGTTGTCTGTTGGGTTGGGCGCGATAGAAGTCAGTCTTGGGGACACTCGAATATCAACACTGCTTTGCTCCGCAGGCACTGCGCTCACTCGAGGCGACCAAAATATCCGGCAGGAGAGGCCGAATAGGAAGCGAGGACTGCCGAGTTGGCAAGCATGTCCACATTGTTTGGATCCTGCAGTGTGAGCAAGCATCAGTCCTTGTCAACGTCAGACGACACGCTCGCGGAGGGCCTCTCTGCACTCGTACCCACAAGCTTCTCAGCATCGGCAAGCACTTGCGTTGCCTCGTTTCTCTGGCCTAGCACGAGCTGCGCAACACCCTTTCCAACGAGTGGATTCACGCTTGCGTCCTTGCCCGCATGCTCAGGATTTTGCGCCAATTCGTCGTACACGTAGTAAGCCTGCTGAGCAGATCTGCCACCAGTGTGAAGGCCTATGTACGCTTCGATGAGCTGAATAAGCAAACTGTCGTCTGCCCAGGTGCGAGCGGCTTGATATTCTTTTTCTGCTAGATCAGCTCGGTGCTGTGACAGCAAGATGTGCACGCCCAGTGCAATGCTGCGTGAGCGGAAAGATATGGAGGTGTGAGTGCCAAATCTGTGGAGCAAGCAATGTTGGGTGATGTGCACGCATGGAAGCTGATCTTCCGAGCCCCACTCCGCGCGTACAAATGTAGGAATGATCCCAGCTTCGCACTGCAGATACTCAGCAGCTTCCTTGATCTATAGCACTCACCATTCAATCTCTCTGGAGCTCGCTGTTCCGATACCCAGAGTCTCCAACGCGCCGATAGGGTCATCATCCAGTGCCATGGCGGTAGCAGCGCAGACGCGAATAGTCTGGCCCGAAGGGTCGCCCACGACCGCATCGTCGAGTGTTTCTCTCAACTCTGCCAAATTCTCGTCCGCTCCACTAACATCTCCCTGACTACGCGCCTCCACGAAGGCGGCCAAAGCTCGCACGGACCGAGCAGCTGCGCTAGAAGATGCTACATCTGCGGGCAACAAGGACAAGGCGCCTCGAGGATTGTTGGAGGCGATGTGAGACCTTGCTGCGTAGAGCAGGCGCGTGAGGGTCGGCTCGGACGATGGCGAGCCTGATGTGTTGCTCGATGCTAGTGCTATGGCACTGCCGTATGCTCCTTGATAGAAGAGCGACTGGATCTTGAAGGTCACTCCATCCTCGGACATCTTGACTGCTCAACGATTGCAAGGTCACTTGCAACTGATGGGTGAAGCGCTACCCGCGGCGTGCTTTCTCGACTGTGTGAGCTGGGTTGTTAGTTGGCGAGCGCGCGCAACGGTCACTTGTCATCTCAATTTAGGTTCGCCGATGATGGAGTCGCGGAGTGTCGACTTTGGAATTCTGGATTTGATGGGTATGCGTTGCTGGCGGTGCTGTGAGGGAGGTGCTCGCGTTGGTGCGCCCTGGACGCTCACGTGTGTCGCGCTCGGGCCAGCCTCCACTGTGCATGCTGCATGATCTTTTGAGCGCCTTGATCTTTCGCGATTATTTGTGATCCTTCGCATCAACTTTTGCATGTGGGTGGGTGTGTGTATGCGGCGCAAAAGTAAGGTCGGACATGCGATTCTTCGATTGACTCCTCTTCCAACCCCTCCTCACCCAGAAGCGGGAAGCGGAGACAACCTTTGCATTCGTGATTCTCCTTGTGTCCTGCATGTCAGCCTCGTATTTGTTGTCGGCCGAGTCCCGGTCCGGACTGGCCCCAGCGTGGGCGATTCTGACCTTACCAAGCAATCTGGGACACGGAGCAGCTCTATCAGCACACGCAGATGGTTGCATTCGGCTGTGGATGCCTCTCCCTTCCGGGAATGCTGCACTGCTTGCGTCAATCCCACATGCGAGCGCAAGAGGGGAGGATGAAGCGCAACGAGGCATAGGGATCGGGGTGGGCTTCTTGACCGGCCATCAGCTGAGCGAAGAGGGTGATGGTTGGGGAGTGCTCTCCAGTGCGATGGATGGAAGTATAAGCTACTGGCGTCTTGATCTTCAGAAACTACTTCAGGCTGGAGAGGAAGCTGTGCATGGCGATGAGCAAGGCGCCGCGAGTCATCACTCATCGGCGACTGCACAACAGCGTCAAACCGACCTTCTCACTCTCGTAGCGGGCGTCGAGGCCCTGGCAGCTCCGTTTCCGGACGGTGAAAAATCGATGGGTAAGTCGTTGACAAGTTGCAATGCTCATCTTTGACGTTTGGCGGAATCGAGCTGACATAGCATTGGGTCGTCTGCAGAGGCGTACGCCACCGCTGTATCTCCCACCGGCGAGTCTTTCTCCGCGTCTGGAGAAGGGACCATCGGGATGTACGATCTCGGTCGATCAGGTTCAGCTGCACAGGTCGCAAATGACGAGTCGACAGCATCAGGTAGCTTCGCACGTCCGAGAAGGCGAATAGCTTTGCCAGAAAAGCCACGAAACTACACCAAAAATAGGAAGAATTTCGGCACTTGCCTAGCTTATGTGAGTATGTCCGCCCGGACAGGAGAAGCCGTCTTTGCCGTGTCTATGGCCGCTCACCAAGTGCTGTGCTGTGGTGCCTTGTGCGTAGAATTCAAGCGGGGCTTTGCTAGCTTGCGGCACCGATTCTGGCCAAGTTTTCGTCTACTCTGCGGATGCAGGGACTTTGCTCGCAACGATCTCTGGTTCGTGCATGTTCCGAGCAAAAGTACGCGTACATGAGCTGAGTCAACGACTTTCACATCATAGATCATGCGCTGCCCATTCGCTTCGTGTCTTTCTCCGCATCAATGCCAGGCAGTCCCACGACGGATCACCTTCATGTCTGTTCGGAGGATCAAGCCTTGACACTACATGATGTCATGCACCTTTCCAATCGCGCGACCGCTCTGCGCGCTCGACCGACCTCTGCAATGGATATAGATCAGGAGACGCAAGCCAGCACTATAGTCGCCAACCTTCGCCATCCCGGTTGGGTTACGAGTGCCGCGCAGGGTCCTCTCTTGGCAAGCACGTGAGTCATTGCCAGCCCTCGCAAGACTGATGCGGAGGTGAGGCTGATAGCCGGCTCTTCACAAATCCTAGCTCAACGGATGGAAGCGTGCGCTTGTGGGATACGGGCTCAGGTGGACCTCGTCGAATGGTTGCTCAACTTCGCGAAGGCCCCAGAGTCTGGGCTTGTGCCTGGACAACCACTTTGGAGGCGCAGCAACGCGCCGGAAGAAGAGCACTGGACCGAGATCATGTTCCGGATCTCACGTTGCTATTGAGTGCGGGTGAAGATGGATGTGTCAGGTGGTATAGACCTGCAGGTACGGGACAAGGTCCGGATGGCACCTGAATAAAGATCTGATTGACCTCAAATGCCCAATTTTGAGTGTCCTGCTCTGACTTCAGGCCCAGCCGAGCTGCCTGTCCTGCTGTAGCTGTGCGAGCACGTCCGCAGAAAGCTGCAAAGCTGCGAGCTCTCTTGCCTGGCGACAAATCCAAGACGACATCCATTCAAGATTGCAAATGACTCTCTACTCCAGTGCCGAAGCTTCGATCATTAACGAGCACCGCAAGCCTCATTCACATCCATGAATCTTGAATGAGTCACCCTCTTCTGTCGAATGGAGGGATGTGTTCGATTTCTGGCCGCGACACGCAGAGATCACGTGACCACTGGGTTGGAAATGGGGCGACTGCCTCCAGAACACCAGTTGGAGTATTTCGTGACTCTGGCATGCCTCAACGATCGTCTTCTTTTCGACAGAAAGCACCTCGGTACGCTCAAGACTTCTTATGGTGGCAGTCACTTTGGCAGAAAATGTGCTCAGCAATGATTGGGTCCAGGCACGCGAAAACGCAGCGGATGAGGCTGTTTGCGCCAAGCTGCGAAGTGCGACGAAACGCGCGTCTTGCTATGCTATCGTGGCCCAAATTTGCCCTGAACCCACGTCTTTCGTGTCTGAGACACGTGGCGAGTATGGCAAGGCGCGTCTGATGAAGCGCGACAGGCGCCGCTAATCAGCATGATCGCAGTTCTACATAGCTGATCAAATATGCAACCACGAATCGTGAAGCCGAGACGTACGCACATACACGACTTCACGGGGTGTTCATCTTTGCATTTAATTCTTACAACTGACGATTTGGGAGGAAGCTCACAACAGAGTGTGTTTGAGAGCGCACGCATACCAGCGCAGCGGGCTGTCTATTGAGGGTAGCGATTAGACAAATTGCTGCTGGAGGTGACACGCATGCGGGAAGCTTGAGCGTTGTTCAGCGGTGGCGCGTAAAGTTCGCGTCTGTGGGCGCGGCGCGCATGGCGGAAGTTGGCTGCTGCGCTCATGCTGGCGCGCTGGCTCTGCACTCAAGACTCGCGATGACTGCAGCGCGACTTTTGTCCTGCTGGCCAATGCATGCGAAGCGCGCGGCGCGGAGCCACGCGCCACCGAGGCAAGCGCGCGCCACGCTGATGATGGCGCGGGCGATGTGCCGCGCGTTGCCTGTATGCTGCAGGTCTGAGCGCTTGAGCCCTCCCCTTGCCGCTTACTGCTGGGTCTGGCCTCTGCCGACAGTCACTGAGTGTGTGCTCTCGCCCGTACCTCGCATGGCTGGTCAGAGCGCTCAATTCGCCTTGGCTTCGGTGGTCTCCCCTCCTTGTGCTTAATTACATAGCGTCAAGCTGTCAAACCTACCACCACTACACCTGCCCTTGCGACTTGCATCATACTTGAGTCCAGCACAACCCATTTGCTCTTCAGTCCCTACATCAATAGTGAGTACACACACAGAATTTGCGGTCGCACGTCTCCTGGGTTGGGAAAGATGCGCTCTGCCGTGCTCGGAAGTTGAACTTGGAGGTGATTGGAGTTCGACTGCTCTCACCGAACAAGTGCCTTTATCGCACATCAAGTGTCGCGTGCCAAGTCAGCTGGTCAAGAGATGCTCAGCTCGCTACTGGCAAGCTGTTGTTCCCGCCCGGAGTGCGATTGTCGCACGAGTCTGCCAGCGCTTCAGGACGTACAGGTCATTGATGCCAACCCCCTTATTCCGCACAGCTTCAATCTTTCAAACCAGTGACATAATGTCTGAGACTCGAGAGGACTCCGTCTACCTCGCCAAGCTCGCTGAGCAGGCTGAGCGCTACGAGGGTGAGTGTAGTAAGCACTGCAAAGGTAGTCTGACCAGGCGGTAGCAGATGATCAACGGCGCATGTAGACGCCACCCTGTGGATGAAGCCACGGCGAGCTTAGGTGATGCACAGGCGAGCACCTGTCAATAGAGGCGAATTCGGTCACATGATCTGGGCGCCGTTTCTTGTTGAACCCAGGACAGCTGACCTTATGGTGGACCGGCCCCACTACGCAGAGATGGTTGAGAACATGAAGCGCGTCGCTTCTTCTGACCAAGAGCTCACTGTTGAGGAGCGAAACCTCCTCTCGGTCGCTTACAAGAACGTTATTGGCGCCCGCCGTGCTTCCTGGCGCATTGTTTCCTCCATTGAACAAAAGGAGGAGAGCAAGGGCAACGAGACTCAAGTCACCATGATCAAGAAGTACCGCGAGAAGATCGAGGCCGAGCTCGCTCAAATTTGCGAGGACATTCTTGACGTCCTCGACAAGCACTTGATCCCCTCTGCCGCCTCTGGCGAGTCCAAGGTCTTCTACCACAAGATGTGAGTTCAATGCAACTTTTCAGCAGGGGAATGTCAGCATTTCGAGGAAATAGTTCAGGGCGATCTATGAGGCTGACTGGTCTTGGCTCGTGCGCCTTCTGTCGCTTTTGCAGGAAGGGAGACTACCACCGTTACCTTGCTGAATTTGCCACTGGTGACAAGAGGAAGGACAGTGCGGACAAGTCTCTCGAGGCATACAAGGCTGCCTCCGACGTTGCCGTTACCGAGCTTCCTCCTACTCACCCGATCCGTCTCGGTCTGGCACTGAACTTCTCCGTCTTCTACTACGAGATCCTCAACAGCCCTGACCGCGCCTGCCACCTCGCCAAGCAAGCCTTTGATGATGCTATCGCGGAGCTTGACACTCTGTCCGAGGAGAGCTACAAGGACTCCAGTGAGTTCTGTGCTTTACTCGCAGCAGTGGAACTGGCCTAAATGCAGCGCGTGGCTTCAATGGGCCTTCTAGTCTGACCGAGATGCACCTACGTTCTCACAGCTCTTATCATGCAACTCTTGCGTGACAACCTCACCCTCTGGACAAGCGACGTGAGCCTTCTTGATTGTGTGATCTCTTCCCGCCAGTACGGCTGACGTTCAATCTCCCTCCACGCAGATGGCCGATGCTGCTGCCCCCGAAGGTGCGGCTGCGCCCGAGAAGGTAGAGGACAAGCCCGCCGAGGCAGGCGAGGCCTGAAGACATTAGGCCGGGAAATAGACGGAGCTGGATACGGGTGGATTTTGGTGGCGCCAGGCTAATGAGGGAGGCGCGTGTGGAAAGACGCTGAGCCTTTACCGTGTTGCCGGGGTGCAGAGCGGAAGTGAGGGTGGATCACGACTTCTTGCGCCCATCGTCACATATATGTTGGGACGTGCGCTGGCATTCGCCGGCCTTGCGGATGGCCCGACATGAACAAGAATCTTTCGCCAAGGGATGAATGCTGTGTTCTTCGACGACTTGCGTCTCATGCAGAGCCTTCGATCCTCAGTCTTCACCTTTTTCCAATTCCGAGTCAACCATCGATCACACTTCTTACCCTTCAGGCAGATTGCTACTCGCTGGCCAGTCTGTTTCAATCTGCTCCTATCGTCGCCTCTGTCTCTTCGCTTTCCCCTCCCCCCTTGAACCAACTCTCCACAACCAACTTTCTCGGTTTCTCGAGTCGTCAAACTAGGTAGTCAGTGCCAAATCCAGATTTGTCAAAAGACCACATCGTAAAGACGCGTGTTCTTTGGGTGAAGGTCGGCGTTATGGCTTTTGGTGTGATCGGCTCCAAAAATGATGATCGGATTGGGGCCCTGAGTCGCCGTAGCATGATCCGCATGGACTCGTCGCTCGATGAGTCATTGCACTCCGATTCGGTGCCTCGACGTCGGAGTCTCGAGGGATGATCATGAGTAGCAGTTTGAGTGCGAGTAGCGTATCGATTGGGCGCATGCAGCACGTGTGTGACTTGGCAAGATTCACGATCGACGCGCCCGAGCAGGGGCCGCGGGAAATTGCGTTGATCATCACAAGCCGACACTTCACGCTCATCACTCATGCTCCATGCTTACGAGCGAGTGAAGAGCAAGCGGGAGGCCACAGTGCAGTGGCTCAAAGGAAGGTCAGCTGGGAAGCTTTGAGGTGGAGAAGAGGCAGCACAGCATCAGGCAGAGGTTCGTCGTGCTCGCCACAAGGCGCGCGAGAAGATCCTTAAGTCGCGAGTATGGCCAGCTAGCAACTCGACAAGTGCTAATCTTGAATGAGTGCAAGTCATCCATGTCAAGGGTGAGCAGAGAAGGCAGCTGAGCGGCTTGACGGAAATGCCTTCGTGATTGCACTCGCGCGAAGCAATCAGCGTGCTGAGACAAGCCCTTCATTCACGATTGCGTTCGCTATGACAGAGCCTCGTGGCGCGACCGCGACCGGCAGCGTGGCAAGAGGCACGTAAAGGCAGCTTGTACTCGAGCCAATTGCGCCTCGCTGATGGAGCTCCCAAGGGATTTACCGCTGGATGGGGGAGGAACTGTGGCACACTTTCCAACGTCTGCGCCTAGGATCATCATTCACCTAGATCTAGATGCCTTCTATGTGGGTGCGTCGAGACTGCGCGACCCCACCCTCCGAGGCTTGCCCGTCGGCATCAAACAAAAGGTGAATGCCAGTGGCAGAACGTGTAGATGGCTGCTCGAGGTGGGAGATGGGCTCACAAGCATCTCGTACTGATTGCTAATGCAGCATATCCTAGCCACTGTTTCGTACGAGGCAAGAGCGCTCGGAGCAAAGAAGCTCGGAAAGGTCATGGACAGCTTGAGGGCCTGCCCTTCTATGATCCTCGTCGACGGCGAAGGTGAGCGAATTGGCTAGTTGAGCATAGAGATGGCAATGCCCCCCTCCACATGTGCTGATCTAGCCATCGCACCCTTTCTTCATGGCGCAGATTTGACCTGGTTTCGAATCGTGTCGCGTAGGGTGTTTGGACTGATCTCGAAAGTGTGCGGAGCTGCAACACCGATAGAAAAATTGGGCATGGACGAGCTTTGGCTTGATGTCACTCAGCTCATCGATGGGCACCTCAACTCCTTGCCTCAAGCTGATGAATCCGGAAAGCGATGGTTCCCTTTGCCAAGTGGCTCCTCAGCGCCATCGAGACGGGCAGGAGATTCTGCGTCCTGTCAAGGCTTTTCATACGGTAGGGATGCAGTGGGCCATGTCTCCAAATTTTCAGCCTTCGAAGCAAGCGGAGCGCATCCTACCGCTTCCATGCGCTTTGTGGTTGCGACCCATTTGGCCAAACACTTGTTAGCCATGCTCGACTCCACTTTGGGTCTCAGCGCGAGCGCAGGAGTCAGCACGTCCAAGCTCCTCTCGAAGATTGTTGGCGGCGAGAATAAGCCGGCCCAGCAGACATTGTTTGCTCCAATTGGTGGCACGTTGCAACAACAAGCCGGCATCAAGGCTAGATTTGTCGAGGCACGTGAAATACGAGCCTTGGCCGGCTTTGGCAGCGTGGTCGCCAATCGCATAGAAGAGCGTGTGCGTGGTCTTTCCCACCACGAAGGCCGTTCTGAGAGCAAAACTCAACTCAGCCAGTGGCACAGCGTACCGCCACACGCGCCCGAAATGAGTGTAGAAGCTGAGGCGACTGCACAGTCCTCGACTCGACGACTCTCGGTTGCACAAGTCCGATCCCAGATCACGCTTTCGGACATGTGCAAATTGTTCGGAACGGTTCAAGGACCTCGACTTTGGCCTCTCTTGTGGGGCCAGGATCCGTCCCCGGTGGTTCCTGCTCCACTTTTCCCGGCTACAATTAGCATCGAGGATACCTTCTCTCCTCGCGGAGCTACTCAAGATGCCGTCGAGCGCCTGGTTCGAAGCTTGTTGAGGCGTCTCGAAAACGAGCTCAGAGCTGCATCGACAGAATCCGATCCCAACAGCAAGGGTAGGGCGATTCCTCAAGTCGGTTTGGACCATCTCAAGTTTCGCAGAGTGGATCGACAGGCTTGGTCTGACAGCGACTATAGCAACGCTCCAAATCCTATTGTGCGGTACTATGAGCTGATCGAGCAGGACGAAGCGCAAGATGGAGCGCGCTCTTCCGCACTTGGACCTTGGCTTCGGTTTCCCGCCACGTTGCGAGTCAGTATCGTCACTCCTGCTTCCATTGCTGATGGGACGCCAGTGTGGAAGGCGCGCAACAGCAAGTCTTCAGCCATGCCAGTCGAGATCTTGTGAGTGGCCAGTCTTAAGGACGTGACCCGCTTTTCCACAAAAGCTCACACCACGCCTACTCGTACGCAGCGAGGTCGAGCGCTCCTTTGAGAGTCGCGCAAATGCTCTTTCGAAAGCCGTGCAGAGCTTGGAGAAGGCGCTGAATCCGCAGAGACTACCGATCAGGCTGTTAAATTTGGCAGCAGCAGACTTGCGCGAAAGGCAGCCAGACCGAGGACTGGGTTCTTGGTTGGCAAGCCGTCGCGCAGGCAAGACGCCGGTCGAGCATGAAGTGGACATGGCTTCCTTGAGCCAGTCTGAAGCTTCTTCCATTGATCTAGACATCTTCTCGGCTTTGCCAGACGACATTCAGAGGGAGCTTGCTGCGCAGTATGGACTAGATTTGCAGCAACTACAAGGAGCGCGATCGGATGCCCACTACTCCACCGATGCAGCTCCTTCCGGCGCCAGTCTGCAGTACGACGACGATGACAATCTCCAGCGAGACGTTCAAGATCGCTCCGGCTCGGCGCATTGTGAGGTGTGTCAAGCTCCTTGCCTACCATTTCTACTCCACGATCACGAGACGTGGCAGGTCTCGGGTTTGCCAGAAGAGCTGAGACAAATGGAGCTCGAGGGTCTCGCAAGAGTGGACGAAGCATTCCATGTCGCAGCAGAGCGCAAATTCAGCACGACTTCTCCTTACGAGAGCCCTGTCGTACAGGAACGCTTTGCGCGCACCCGCTCACCATCGAGGAAGCCCAATGGATGAATGTGAATGTGCTCTTGTGCATTTTATTACGCTTGGTTAGGCAGGAAAAGCAGTGTAATTGACGGGTGCAGCTAGGGCCGCTCTGGGACGCTGTCAGTAGGCTAGCAAAGAGGTGCAAAGCTGCGTCTAGATGCTGGGAATGACAGAGCAGGGGCAAACGGCATCGAGCTGCGCGGGGGGGCGACAGGGCCCAGATCTTTCATGAGGTCATCGCGTCGTATCCACGCTTGGTAGGATGTAAGCTCAGTACGTGGGGTAGGTGCGGTGCTAAGAACCCAAAAGCGAGATCAAAGTTGCAAAGTGTCGTGTGCAAAGTGTCGTGCAGTCAAAGCAGTCAAAGTCTAGGTGGACGGAGCGTCGCGGTGCTAGACTCATGTTTGGTGGAGAAGGACGCCTTTCCAGGCGAGTATGGATTAAAGATCGCTTGCTCGAGCTGCGTTGGTGGGTGTCCGACCAGGCATTTAGCGCGGTGACGATCAACCTGGATTGGGAGATATCCACTCACTGCGGTCACCCTAGAATCAAGCGTGGCCGATTCGTTGGATACCATCTGCCTCGATCCAGATGGTCAACGGGTGAAAGAGCTGTGTGAGATTCGCCCGCGTACATCGTACGCACCTTGACGAGATCCTGGTGTAGTTGGAGTAAAGAGCGTTGCAAGCTAGTGATTTCTCCAGCTTTCTGTAATGTAAGGTGTAAGATGGCTGAGTTTCTGGGCACAGCAGTCCGCGATGTTCGCGACTTGTCGAGCCCGCGTTCAAGTTTGACACCCAACCGTGTGTGTGAAACCCAGCCCAATCCACTTACCGTGACATATTCCAGGATCTTTTCCAGAGCGGGCTCCAGCAGCTTGTCCCCATCGCCAAGCGCCGTATCGATCGACGGCAAGAAAGTCTTGAAGTTTTGGCTTGCCGTTTGTGACCGCAGGGTCAAGAGCAGCAACAGCCTGGGGTTCTTGCGCAAGAATGCGCGTGTTTCGCGCGGATAGCACGAGAGTAGTACTTCGACTGCAGGCTATTTGCACCGCCAAGTCATTACTGGTATCAGATGTGACTATAGACGCGATTGCTCTTCAAGTCGACTCACCTTGCCATCAATATTCTCCCGAGACAAGAGATCAAAGACGAGTTTTTCCTTGCTCGTCAAAGCTTCTGACCCTGCGAGACCTGAGCGAGTCACTGTGGTTTGCAAGTCCTCATCCCTTTGGGCACCACTAGGCACTTGCTTTCCAAGCTTCAAACCGCCTTGATCAGCCGCAGCATCAGCGATGCGCTCGCGCTCCTTGACCTTCTCATCGACAACGTCGACAATGGGCAAAGCCTGCGGTGCTCGATTCGCGTCTTGATCAACGGTCTCGGGCCGGGTATCGCGCGCCCTGCGGTCATCCCTTGAGCAGGTCAGTGAAGGCTCGTAGCGCAATACGGTAGCTGCTCGACTGACTCAGTGTTGAACAGTAGCTCAGCAGTTGCATCGTCGATATGGATAAGGTGGCTTGTGCCCGTAAAAGGCAAGCTAGGCCCATGCTCGAGTGCACTAGACGGCGTGCCCTGCACGAAGACTTGATTATCCGTTCCTGGATCGCCTTGCGAGACGTCGACCGCGTGTTGTTGCAGAACGATCTGCACAGGTAAGCGAAAGTGGTCTTCGCGATCCTCCATCGATCGACCAGAATTTCGTCCATTGCCGGCATCATTCGCGTTTGCTTCCGCAAGTCGAGCAAGTGGCGAGCGACTGAAGCTCGTGAGCGCTGAACTGTCGTTCGAGACTCTTTTCGATGCACCAACAGAAGGCTTGCTGGCTTTGGAAAAGGGAGACTGGGGTGGTGTTGCAGGCTTTAGAGGAATCATCACGGCAGGCCCTACTTCTGATACCGGCACCACCTTTCTCCATTCTTCGATCCTCTGACTCGCCACAGATTCCTTCTTCGGCGTATTTGTAGACCCTTCGGCGAGCTGTGTCTGAGGCTCTTTCACCTCTGCGACCCACTGCCCTTGGGCTACCGTTCGCCTCGGGGTTCGCGTGGGCGTCAGCATACTTGCATCGACGGGTCGTATCAGAGTGAGCTGAGAACGACCGCCGCGCAAAGGTGAGGGCTCGTCCACGGGATAGGATTCAGAAATCTCAATGTCCGTCTCAAACGAAAAATCGCCTTCGAGAATATCATCAGCAGTACCTGTAGCATCTAGCAAGGCGAGCTGAGGCCAGATTCGATGAGTCTCTGCGAGACCTAGGCTGCCGGACCCTTCAGATTCGGTCCTAGTCTTGGTGTCCGTGTGGCGCAAAGTGCGCTGGCGAGCTTTGAGGCTGGGCAACGAAGGTCGTCGCTCGGTCTGAAATCTCAATTTCGAATTGTCGCGATCGGATCCTCCGTTGCTTGCGCTCCATTCGGTGACCTCTGCGACCGTCTCGAGCATGACCCCGCGGGGGCCGGTCGGCGCAAGCGACTGCCATCGTTCGTCAGCCTCGATTTGCTGGTGTTCGTCCGATATTGGTGCTGGCGCCAAGACAGAAGGTGGCTCGGTCTCACGTCGTTTACCTTTTGAGTCTTCTAACCCACCGAATGCTTTCTGTGCACCTTGAAACTCCGCATCGCCCTGTTGCTCGATTGTGAAGCCCGCCGGAATGGTGAGACCCAAACCCCGCAGTTCAGACTGTCCGCCTTTGTTCACTCCTGATAGCGATTGAGGGAACGAGTCCTCTGTAGGTGTAGGATCCTGCTCGTGACGCACCACAGCTTGATCTGCGGAGATCTGCACTACCTCGCTCTTATGTTCGCGCTGCATCACAGTGGACTGTCTGGCGCGAGGCGCTGTCTGCAGATCTGCCAGACGCTGTAATTCCTGTCGGAGGCTTGCAGCATTGACCATACTCTTCGACTGTGCACTTGGCGCAGTGGTTCGGCTAGATCGCGAGTGGGGACCGGAGAGCCCCTGCGAGCCGTTCGACCTGAGGTCGATAAGGTCATGAGAAACGGCAGAGTGAAGTTCGCCCGGTGCTCTGGGTGGTTCAGGATTGCCGAACAGGTTTTCAAGACGCTCCCGTTTAGCATGCGGATCCCTCGACTGGCTTTTACTGGATGTGTTGGGATCGTCAACATTGCGTCTGAGCGGAGCATACTTCTTCTCTATCGGCATTTCGTCCCGCGCCAATTGTCTTGCATAGGGCGCAAAAGCCAGTCGCATCTCCTCCGGGTCCAACACCCGATTGAGATGCTTGTACAGCACATCCGTATTTGCGCTTTCACCCTTGCTCGGGGCTCCCATAGAAGAGCGTTGACCTCCTTCCTCCGCAGGACATTCGAGAACGTGCTTTGGGCGAGATGCAAAGAGGATCTTGCTTGAGGTATTCAGACCAGAGGATTGAAGCACTGAGCGCATGACTGCAGCGTGCTCCGCCTCACTTTTGTCTCGAGAGCAGACCCGCTGAGGGCTAGAAATGCGCGGAATGCCAGAAGAACCCTCCTCCTGGCGATCGTGCTTGCCTTCAGATCCGCGCACGCGGGGGCTTGGTAGCCAACTCGCTGACCATATCGGCGGACCGCTATGATTGTAAGTCGGCAAGCCTGAAGGCAGAATTTGATCCGTCACGAGCGCCAAAGGAGGACTATGCAGGCCCATATGAGCTTGATAGAAACTCGGAACTGGACTGTAACCTGACGAGGCTGGGGAGCGATTAGGATCGGGCAACAGCTCGGGGGATCGCTACCCTCCGCTTTAGAGTGAGTCTAGCTGCTAGGCTAGGAGCGGAATTGAATCAGTCTGGACTCACCTGCATCCACTCTTCAAACTTCGTCTCCGCTTTGCGCTTGATGGCGTCCCAAGTAGGATCAACGCCTGCGGGTGGCAGGCGAGGAGCACGCGGAGGAGCGTCAGACCCGCCCGCAGCACCATCTTGCCAAGTGGTGATTTGACCTGGCTGAAGCGCTGTGCCAGTGCTGGGTGCAAAGCGTTGTGGGCGCGTCGGACCAGTGCTTTGTGCAACGTCCTCCCATCTTTCAGCGCCCGATTTGTCTGTTGCGTATGCTAAAGCATGGGCGCTGAAAGGATGGGCAGCATTCGTGACCTCTTGCGTCAAAGTGGATGCTTCCATGTACTGCGCTGCCCGTTGTGAACTACTCGGATTCGCGTGACCTGCCGGAGGAATTGGAGGATACGTGAAAGGGTGGTCGTGCGTTGTTTCCCGACGCCCGGAGGCTAGTCCCGTTGGCGCGTTAGACTGCTGCGGAGGCGAGAGGCGTGGGTGTGCAGTCTGAAATTCGCCCATTCTTTCGGGAGATTGTTGATCTCGACGCTCCGGCTTAGCACGAGTCAGCACTTGACCATCATGCGGTGCTTGGCCGAACGCCGCACAACGCGGGGAACCTGTCAGGGTAGCCTGCGCAATTGCGTCCGTCTCATCGATGGGTGCAGGGGGTCGCGGCAAAGCTGGTCCTGGCGAGCTTTGTGGGTTTGAGGCCTGCTGTGCGGTGGAATATGGTGTCGGTGCAGTTGCGGGACGGATGCCATCTTGAGTGGAATACTCTCTAGTCAAGGTGTCGGCTTGAAGAAAGGGCGTAGTACCGCCTTTCTGCTCCAAATCGAGGCTCTGACCCCTCGACGACTTGCCAGCGCTCGACAAGCCCTGTACCTTGTCCTTGAGGACATTCTTAAAGTCCGCAAAGCGACTCGAGGCTCGCTTCGGATCTCTTGCCGATGGACTCGTAGTAGCAACACCGATTTCTGAGCCGGCGTGCGGACGAAACGGGACGTTGTGAAGTGCCAGCTCGTCGTACGTCAGCGGCGGAGTCTTGCGCGGCGATCGGTCGGAAGAGACGAGTGGTAAAGGAGTGCCTGCGTGAGCGTGAGCGCGCACATGTCTGGCACCGGAAGCCCAAGTCGACTGCTGAGCGGGCACGTCGAATTCACCGCGTGCGAGAGAAAAGGTGTTCTCAAAGTTGTACGGTCCTCCACTTTGGAGCTGCTGAGCCACGTTGGCAGGTATGGGATACAGCTTGGAAGCGTCGAACGAACCTTGGAACGACTCCCGCGGGGGTCCCTTTTCCTTGAACAATTTGGATATTTTCAAAGGCATGACGGGCTTTCAATGCGCTGGCGAGGTCCTTAGGGAGGTCGGCTTCAGAAGGCGATAGGCAGTGGATATCCCCTAGAATCGAGGGAGTCAATCACGAAGCGTGAAGAAGAGAGGCCACGTACCAGATTGTCGATGGCAAGCAGAGAGAGAGAGAGAGAGAGAGTCGCGCTGCGTGAATGTGAAATGGCTTTGAGCTCTACTCGTGACTGTCTCGTTTGGAATTCCGAGGGAGGCGGAATCACATGTACAGCTTGTGCTTGCAGTCGATGAGTCATTGGCGATGCGCCGAGAAGAGAAGATCAGCCCTTCATCGATCTCATCTTGGCGCAGACGGAGGTCAAAGTTGGAGGGTGCTCTTGGCTGAGAGGCTGCCGACTGCAGTGAAGCAAGGTAGAGGATGGGTAACCTGATGTGTTGACACTGACCACTTTTACGCGTGTTGAGATGAGGCTTGAAATTGTTCAGGGCAGGCGCTTGTCTGAGCGAGGTGGGCTATGCGATCGGACAAGTCGATCTCACGTAGCACCACTCACGGCTCGTCAGACTCGTTGTGAGTGACGAGTGTATGCCGATCGAGACTTGATCAGAATCACGAAGTCTTTGCAGCAGTCGAGAGCCTGCATGATCTGGGTTCGAGTCGGCATAATTAAGTAAAGGCTTTCTCGTGTACGGCTGTTTACTTGTGACTCTTCTGGATGTAGTCATGCCGTACGTACCCTACCAGCAGCATACGCGCAGCAGCACAATCCCAGACGTAAGACTGGGCACTTGGGCCATGCAGCCATGCTAGCTCTTATCCCTGACCAGCGCGACAAAGGCAAACCTGAATATAACCTTGATTCTGAACCGCGCATGCTTTGATGATCCTCCCACGCCATGCAGCCGCTGTACCGTACGCCAGCCATGCAGTCAAAGTAGGCTGGACGTCGCAGTGCGATCGTGACGAGGGCGTCCAAATTGTTTCTCAGCTCGAAGCGCCCTACAGCTGTTCGTCGTCTCGTCCGCATCTCATCAGTGAGTCGCACTTGAGTCACGAGTCTGGGATCATCCGCGGCTCTGAAGTCTTGCTGATGCCTGATGGCCATGCTGCAGTTCATCATCGCGACCGGCCCTGCTCGAGCGCTGTGATAGGCGTCTTGATTGAAAGTAGGCAATCCATACCAGTCGGTCTGCGGCCGGGGCCTGCCGATGGGCGGACGTGCATGCTTCATGACAAATTCTTGATTGACGTATATGAAGACGATTCGAAAGTCGCCTCCATGCATGCAGTCAGAGTCACGAGTCCTCATGAATATTTGTGATCACTCGTGACTCATGACTGCTGCTGCTTCCAATTCAACTCTTCTTCTTGCTGCGCAGACACGTTCGGCTCATATTTGTATTCATGTGCCGGAGCAGCCGAGCCGGCTGGCCTGATCTTGAGTATGAGTCGTGAGTCACGTGTTGATCGCATCCGATGCTGGTCGACCAATGCTGGTGGGGATGCATGCTGGAGCGTGCAAGTTCAGCAAGATTCGACACGATGACAATTTGAATACTCGTGCCTGTGACTCCTTCCAGACCTTTGACTCGTGACTGGTTATGAAGCCACGGCGGACAGTGACGAGTAACTGTGGCCGTGATGAGTGCTGGCTGCGTGGATGCGCGCTCATTGTCTTGTCTTGGTCTTCGACTTTTTTTGTGCGTCGAGCAATCGAGAATACACACATGTCTGCGCAGATGCTACAGATCTGCAGTCGTGAGTGGCGAGGCTCGAGTCGTTGCATCCACGCGCGCACGTACGAGGTGATGTATATATGATGTAGGAGGTACCCTTAAAGTGACGCGTGACTCGTGACTCGTGACTGTAACTGTTGCACTTCTTGTAGCTCACTCGAGTCGCTGATGACTCGCTGTGCTGCACACGCCATACCATGCGAGTACATACACACCGCGGCCATATGAGCTGCTTATTCTTGATTGTCTCTTCATTCGTGATTGTGGCGTAGCCGAGGGTCGGCGAGAAGAGCCATGCAAGAGGTATAACGTGCTTTGCGTGCATGGCGCAACGATGCTGCGTGCTGGCTTCGCTCCTTACAATCTTACATGTGTAGCTTTGTCACCATGCACCCTCTCTGCATGCCTTTTGGACCTCGATCTGATTGACTGACTTCTGACTCGCGAGTCGTAGAATCTTGACCCGTGGCTTGGAGCAGGAATCACATATCCTTCTTTTGATGTGCTTGATCATTGAGTCACGAGTGTGATCGTTCATCAAGATCCAAGTCGTGTTCATGCAGTCTGATCTCTTGCGACGAATTCCTGATGGATCCTTGAAACGCTCTGGAGCTCGTGCGACGGATCCAAATTCCTTGCATCCGCTGCATGCTGACCGGCTCTCTTCATCTTGAGGAGCTTGTGTTTGCTGCGCTTCCAGAATTTTGCAATTTGAGCTCTTGCTTTGCTGCTGGATGATGGAAGTCAAGAGTTTTGATCAAGGCACCATCGCGTGCCTCTGCCGTCGATGCACACGAAGGAGCAGCTAGAGGGCCGCTCGGGCACGCACATGCCGTGTGCGCGACTCGTGCATGCAGTCACGACTCACGACTTCCGCTCCGAAGCGGACGCTACGCAGCGTCGTCCAACCACGCAGGGTGCTAAGGTCATCAAACAGTCTGAGTCAAGCGACGCAAATTTAGCGGTACTCAATCAAAGACCGATTTTCGACGACTACCTCCACCGTCGCTGGCTCCTCTCTTCCTCAGTGATCGTAGCACAAACACATTGGAGGTCACCTTCGGCCAGAGCTACTTTTGCGACGCTCTCTGGCTCGAGACGAGCGCACTACGCCACCTGCAACCTTGCGTTTTTGGCGAGCTTCCAGCGACAGTTGCACGAGCCAGCGATATCACTACAGGCTCTACTTTGCACCTCAACATTGGCCAGCGTCATCGGATTCGGGGCTGCCCTACAGTTAACAAGCTCCTCACAGCCCCAGAGCTCTCATCAAGATGAAGTTCTACATCGACGAGCTCCCCGTCCTCTTCCCCTATCCCAAAATCTATCCCGAGCAGTATGCATACATGACGGATCTAAAGAGGACGTTGGATGCGAATGGACACTGCGTGCTCGAGATGCCCTCAGGCACGGGCAAGACGGTGTCTTTGCTAAGCCTGATCGTCTCTTACCAAAAAGTGTGTATGCTACCGGTATGTACAGGAGTAGAGGGTTCATCTCCCGCTGACGCGCAGCTTTCGCTTGTTTGCAGTTCCACGCCGCATCTAGGAAACTCATATACTGCTCTCGAACCGTGCCGGAGATCGAAAAGGCTCTGGCAGAGCTACAAGCCTTGATGAAATACCGGGCTCGCTACAATGACCCAGAGCGAGTAGCGGGGACCGGGCCATCCGGCACCTATCCTGGACTAGACGAACCTCTACCAGAGGGTCAAGGGGTCAGGGAAGACATCCTCGGGGTGGGTTTGTCGAGCAGAAAGAATCTTTGCGTGCATCCGAGCGTAGGTAAAGAGAGGAAAGGAAAGGTGGTGGATGCGAGGTGTAGGGATATGACTAGTCAGTGGGCGTGCGAGAAGGGAAGGGCTGAGCCCGGCAGCGTGGAGCTCTGTAGCTATCACGAGGTGAGAGACTTTGCGCAGGTTGATAGCTATGTGTGACGTGTCTCACCGGTACTCTCGTTGGTTTGAGTAGGAGCTGGGCAAGCTGGAGCCTGGCCACCTGATTCCTAATGGTGTGTGGGGCATCCAAGAGATCAAAGAGGACGCTCGAAGAAGAGGAGTCTGCCCTTACTTTGCGGTTCGAAGAATGATGCCATTCGTCGACATCATCATCTACAGCTTCCACTACTTACTCGACCCAAAGGTGTCGGAGCAAGTGAGCAAGGAGATGAGCAAAGACGCTATTGTGGTATTTGACGAAGCGCACAACATCGACAACGTGTGCATCGAAAGTCTCAGCATTGACCTGACGAGGCCAATGTTGGACAGCGCATATCGAAGCGTTCAGGATCTGGGAGACAAGGTGGAAGAGCAAAAAAAGGCAAATAGCGAAAAACTGCAAAAAGAATACGAGCAGCTGGTGCAGGGATTGCAACACGATGCTGGACAGGAGGGACTAGATGAGGCAGAGTCTTTCATGACGAACCCCATTCTACCAGACGATCTGCTTCAAGAAGAGATGCCGGGCACGATCAGAAGGGCGGAGCATTTTGTCGCGTTCTTGAAGAGATTCGTCGAGTACCTCAAGACGAGAATGAGAGTGCTGCACGTCGTCGCAGAGACGCCGCCGAGCTTCTTGCAGCATCTTAAAGACATCACCTACATCGAGAGGAAACCCCTGAGGTTTTGTGCCGAAAGGTTGAGGATGTTGGTGAGCACGCTGGAGCTCACTCGACTGGACGAGTACAGCAGCTTGCAGAAAGTCGCTTCCTTTGCAACACTTGTCGCCACCTACGACAAGGGCTTCCTGCTCATCCTGGAACCATTCGAGACGGAGCACGCCACTGTTCCGAATCCGATCTTTCACTTCACGTGCCTCGACGCCAGTCTGGCCATGGCACCAGTGTTCGAGAGGTTCAGCTCGGTCATCATTACGAGCGGGACGATCAGTCCACTGGACATGTACCCAAAGATGCTCAAATTCGACGCGATAGTGCAAGAGTCTTATCCCATGACGCTGTCCAGGCAATGTTTCTTGCCGCTAGTAATCACTCGAGGATCCGATCAGGTCGCAGTCTCTTCGAGGTTCGAAGTAAGAAACGACCCTGCGGTGGTCAGGAATTACGGGTCCATCTTAACGGAATACGCAAGAAGCGTACCGGATGGGATCGTCGCCTTCTTTCCTTCTTACCTGTACATGGAAAGCATCGTTGCTGCCTGGCACGACATGGGGATTTTGGAAGATGTGTGGAAGTATAAGCTGGTATTCATCGAGACTCCCGATGCGCCCGAGACCTCTATCGCTTTGGAGAACTACCGAAGGGTGAGTGGTACCTTGCAAACTTGCTCAACCAGCCGCTCCTCGCCCGTCTCGCGCTCATCACTTGTCTCAAATACCATCACCCAGGCTTGCGATAATGGCAGAGGCGCAATCATGCTCTGTGTAGCGCGAGGCAAAGTCTCGGAAGGAATCGACTTTGATCACAATTATGGGCGAGCAGTCATCATGTTCGGCGTGCCGTACCAGTACACAGAGAGGTGAGCATCTGTTTTCGCAAAGCTACGTGTGTTGTGTCGCTTGACTTGCGTCGTGGCTCGCCTCGCGCTTACATGCAAAATTTTGCGCACTCGCCGCTTAGCCGAATCCTCAAAGCGCGCCTCGAATTTCTGCGAGAAAATTTCAGGATCAAGGAGAATGATTGGTTGACTTTTGATGCTATGAGACACGCGGCTCAATGCCTCGGACGCTGCTTGAGAGGCAAGGAAGATTATGGGATCATGGTCATGGCGGACAAGGTGAGGGAGTACCCTATTCGCGCTGCGTGGTCCTTTTTGAGTGGTCGCAGAAGGCTAAAGCGGTATGCTCTCTGATAGCGCTTTGCGCGCGCCGACAAGCGAAACAAGCTGCCGAAATGGATTGCTCAGCAAGTGACGGTGAGCAACATGGCGCGCTGATAGCGAGCGTACCTCTTCAAGAACCATCTGCTCAGCTCGCGTCTGCACGCTTTGTCATTGATAGGAAACGCATAGCAACCTTTCTACCGATATGGCGCTGGTGGAGACACGGTTGTTCATCAGGCAGATGGCTCAGCCCTACCCTGCCGGGAAAGCAGGCGTGAGCCTTTGGAGCGTCGAGGACCTCGAAAGTCGACAAGTGAGGGAACGTGAAGCTTACAAGAGATTGCTTGGTGAGTCTTCGGTCTGCCCTTGCGCTTTCGCCTGTACTGATTGGCTCGGCGCATTCGCTGCGCCTATCTCTAGCCGCTGAAGCGAAAGGACAAAAAATTGCGGCTTTTGATGAGGATCAAAGACCTGCGAATGGACAGCAAGGAGAAGACGAGTATGACGAGGCGTTTGATAATATTGATGAGGAGGAGCTGGCAGCATTGGACGGTATGGAAGTGGACTGAAAGCTGTGAATTGGCCGGGAAAAATGAGCTTCACATGTGCCGCAGACGAACGAATGCATTTGTATAGTATGATGCTTTTTGTATAGTATGATGCTTTTCCAAACAAAAAAGCGAGCCCGCTCGAATGATTTCAAAATGGGACAAGAGGGGCGCGTGGAGGCAGGAGACCCGACTTTTGCTCCGAACGATGACGTGCTCACACGTTCTCTGCGTTAATTTTCGCTACGTAATCATTCATGACCTATGCGTGCTTGAAAAGCACCATTGTGCGGGCAACCACATTTGCAATTCGTACTCTAGCCCTTTCTCCTCGACTGCTCCAGCAGGCAAGAGATCCTTCTCCGTTGCTCCTAACCACTCGTTGAACTGCTCATGCGTAGCCCTCTTCCACCTACCTCGACTTTTCGACTCTTGTTGCCCAGCACTGTCGGATATAACCGTCGACGAACCATCTCTTGTCCCCTTCTCGTCCAATCGGATCTGATCGTCTGATCTGAATTCTGGAAGGTAGACATCACAGCTCAGATCCGACTTTAATCGGGTGATGAGGAGGGTGTCTAGGACGAAGGGAGAGGCATGGAGGTCGTTGGATGCGGTGGAGGAATGTTGTTGGTCGTCGGATGCGGTGGAGGAGTGTTGAGGTAGTGTGAGCAGCGCTTGGGCATACAGTTGAGCGCCGCCGATCAAGAATGTTCGTCCGAGGAGGTGGAGGGATTGAAGCTTGGACAGGTGATCCAGTGCGCCCTTGAGAGAATTGGCCAGCAATGTTTGAGCGCTGGCTCAGAGGGTGGACAGAGCAGGCTTGCCTGTTAGGCACGAACCCCGCGAACAGCAAAATGTGCTATCGCACAACTCACGGACTGCCATTCGATCCTTCTTGCCCGCTCGCGCCTAGTTGTGACACATTCATGCTCCGACTAACCACGATATTCCATCTCCCTTTCAAAGGTCTGAACTTTTCAGGTATAGATTCCCAAGTATTTCTACCCATAATGACCGCATTCATTCTCTGATCCTTCGCGGGCGATGTGGAGGGAGATGCGGACTTGGCACCGCGGGGAGAAGAGGAGCGAGGAGGAGGAGCAGGAGGAGAAGGAGAAGGAGGAAGAAAAGTGGTGCATCGTCTGAAATGGGACATTTCTTTGGGCAATGTCCAAGGTAGACCTCCACCTGAGCCCAGTCCGTTGGATCGAGTCACTGCCGCGATGAGACTGATACGAAGAGGAGCGCCACTCATGTTCATCTCTGAGCTGGAGAGGTCAGACATGATTCGAGGAGGCCTGACGCGCGGGTTTGATGCGTGTGTATGGCAGAAATTTGACTCTTTGACCCTGAAGAGAAGTGTGCAGGGATGTGGGGTGCTGCTCTTTTCTTACTTTCATCCCCCTCCCTCGAGCGTGTGCGAATGGCGGCGCTGTTCAGTCGAAGGGAGAGCCTGCAGCTACAGTGAGCGAATTGCTGGATGAGCAGTGTGAGTGCTCCTCACCGATGATGTGCGGACCCCTATAACTTGCTCGCTGTAGCTGCTCCATGGATGATTGATGATCGTTTCTAGAGATGAATGCATCTCTGAGCACCGCCGCCCCATGCAAATCAGACTACACCCTCGATTGAGCGCGTCAATTTACGCCATGCACGTCAACAGTCATCGGATGCATGAGAATTGCAGCGACGCGACGCGACGCGTGCACGCGAGCGAGCGAGCTAGGGCGCTCGATCGTCGCTGCTTCTACCATCAGCGAGCGATGACGCTGCGTTTCCAGCGTGCAGAGCTCGTTTTGAGTCACGAGGGGAAGCTGAAATTGCATCAAGACCTTCAAGATTCTGATTGGCGTTTTGAGGGCTTTATTTATGACTTCATTCGTCCGCGTACATGCTGTACTCTTCTGACGCTCAGCAAGCAGCATCGCACCAGAAGCATGCACGTGGTATGAGACGCGTGCTTACCAGCCAGACCTATTGCAACTCACACGCCAAGCTTTCTCAACAAGGCTAAGGAACACCGTACCCGCCTACCGATCGACACGAGCTATTCGAGTCTGTGCCTCTCATGCGTGGTTGAGAATGTGGACAGAAAAGGCCCTCTACAAAACGGCATACATTCACAATCTCTCGTTTCTTGAGTCGCAATAGTCTGACCAGGAGCAGCAAAGGACAGGCTCAAATGGTGAAGAGCAGGTTGAGGTCCATAGGATGAGAAGCGCTAAGTTGAGGTTTCTGCGAGTATTTCTGCACCAGAGCGTCTCTCGTAGCGTTCAGCATCCTGGCGAAATGGATGCAAGACGTCGATCGGTCAGACTCGTAAGAGATACGTCAAAGAGCAATACTCACTGGAGATAAGAAAGTTGAGAGTATTCGGTGCAAACCTTGATGAAGGCCCAACTCATCGCTCCTGTAGCTTTACCAGCTTCGCTGGCGTCTGCCGAAGTCTGAGCATCCTTGCATCCCGAAAGCATGATGACGTCTGCCCCGCTAGACCTGGTCTGCTTGGTGATCTCTTCAGCCTCGCTGCTGCCCGAAGCGCCCTTGAAAGTGGAAAAGAGTCCCTTGACCATCCCTCCAAGATCGCCGCGAGCATAAGACATACCAGCGTTCAATATGCCCTTTCCTACGTCCATGGCCACGTTGGGCTCCTTGATATTGCCGCTGGTAGAGTAGACATAGGGAAGATCCAATGCCGTTCCCGAATGGCAAGAGTCGAACAGGGCCGTTAGACGACAACCGACAGGTAAAGGTCTGACCATGATGGCGTGAAGCTCATCATCCTCCATCTGACCCGCCCTCTCGTAATCCAATGGCAATATCGTCTCGTTCATTCCATCGGCTTCATCGCCCTGAGTAGCCTTTGCTTGACCTCCATGTCCGCTGAAATGGAAGAACAGCGCATCTCCGGGCGCTGCGCCGCGCACCAACCAGTGCATCGCTGCAGTCATGTTCTGTCGAGTTGGAATGGAACGCGGATCGGAAGAGGCATCGGTCAGGACTACCATGTCGTCGGAATGGTAGCCTCGTTGAGAGATGAACCTCTTCATGTTTTCCACATCGTTCCAACATCCACGCAGCTCGGCTCGAGTGCCTCGATAGTTGATACCGATCAGTAGCGCTTTGCGTTTACCTCTCATGCTGCTGTACTGGAATTGCTGACCTAGAACGGGGAACATGAGGTTAAGAGGGTGGATGATGGTGATCAGCTCAAAGTCTGAAGCATACGTTTCAGGAAAAGCGCCACATATAGCTTGTGGCCGCATGATCCATCCAAGAGATCAAGAAGTCGCAAGGCCAACGAAAGATTTGCGATGCGCAGTCTTTTGGCCCTGCACTCACCTCCGGCCTGCTGCATGCCGTGGGGAGGTTGATGAGCAGGCATGTTCTGATAACCCGGCGGACCACCCTGGGGCGCTCCGTAGCCTTGCTGAGGTGGGGGCGCATACCCGCCTTGTGGCGGACCATGTGGGGGTGCGTAGCCACCCCCGCCCCCACCGCCATATCCTTGCGGAGGACCGTAACCCTGTGGTGCGCCGTAACCTTGAGGAGGTCCCGATGGCGCTCCATACCCCCCTCCTCCCCCACCGCCGTACGATTGAGGTTGCGGAAATCCTGGCGCTCCACCGTACCCCCCTCCTCCGTGCGATCCGTGTCCTTGACCAGGATATGCCATGCTTGACCCTTTGCTGTTGATGGACTCCGTGAGTGAGGTATTGGAAAAGCTGAGCAAAAGAGGGTGAATATTTTGGATCTTTGTATGGATCAGTCGCGAGTCCAGAATTCTACAATGTGAGTGTTGGATGCTTGTATGGTTGTCCTCCACACTCACACTTCACCTCGTTACTCTGACTGTGATCGGCGCGCGTCGAACTTGAGAGATCGATGGATGGCTCTCCACATATATATGCCTGATGCTGACCCAATGACGATCGAGCAACCACGCACCTCATGGCACATGGCTGCGACGCCCACGTCGCCAACTTCGACCGCATGCGCCCCGCCCTCCTCGCCGGCGCCCACGCCCACGCCAAATTCGCACCGAGAGTCGCACTTGCCCAAGTCCGTGCGCGCAGCGCTCAGGGTGTACCACGCAGGTGGTGCTTGCGCAGGCATCAAGGATGCTGTATGCATGCTGCATGTGGGTGCGCGCCACCCGCGGCCGGCCGGCACGACAGCCACCCATGCAGTCAGAGTGACGGGCTTGAGTTCGAGTGGATTTTAGGTCACGTGATGGACGCGCCTTGGCCTGTGTCAACACCTCCTTCTCGCATCCATTTTGCGATCAGCGACCAGATCGACTTCGCTCATCGCCCAATCCGTTCGCACACGCGGCTCGCAACTTTCATCCTAGTCATCGCCGCAGACGACGGAACTCGTTGCGTCGCCGCCACGTCCGTCATCAGGCGCGTTCAAAGCTTTGCTCGACCTCGCTAGTCAGGTCCCGATCTTCCTTCATCCAGATAGCTCGCCCATGCGATTTCTGCGGGTGCCAGTCAGCGCCAGAAGCTGGGATGGAGTCTTCGTAAGGTGCTGACGGCGCATGTGCAAGCTTTGCCCGCTCTTTTACGAACCTCGCCTACTACTGCTTTGTCGATTTCGATTGCTTCGGTCGGAGGCTTCGTCCAGCTGAGCGAGCAGGATGTTTGTCCTCGTAGAGCTGTCTCTTCGCTTTTGGGTGTGAGTAGGTCCACGTCGAGTGACGCTCATTTTGCTTGGATCGCCAGAGCGGACTGAAGGACGAGGGTGGTGTACCATTTGCTGCCTCCACCGAGCTGAGAGGCCCCCTTGCCCTTGCCGTTCAAATCGATCAGGTGGATTCATACTCTAGGAACGCTTTACGTAGGGCTCAAGAATGCAGAGACGTTGCGAGATGCGGAAAGAGCAAGTCGAAGGAGGCAGAGCGCGCTGAGAGAGGGAATCAGCTCCATCCTCGTGTGGCTAGCCTATCGCCTAGTGGAGTCTTACATCCAGACTTGGTTTGGATGGATGCCATTCTGGGGCATTGTCAGGCTGGGCATGCTTTGTCGCTTTGTCTGGGAGCGCAAATCGGTGCGTTGGGCTGTTACGCAGAGCGAAGCGGTGCTCACATTTCAACTGAGTCGTGCATGCTGACCTGCTTTGACCTCTGCTCTGCACATCTCTAATCGCCAGTACAATGCGGCTTGCGCATCCATTTCCGCGCCCATACTCACCCCGATCATAGCGACCATCGAGCCGTATATGGACCATGTCCTCCACATTGCCACAGTAGGAGTCGCTTACGCCCACTTCTTGCTCACGCTCCTTCTGGCAAAGGCGAGACCTCACATAGTCTCGGCCTTTCGATCCGGTCTGCTCGATGTTCTCTTCCAATCGGCCGAGGATTCATACGCAAATCATCCTCCTCCTCCGCCTCCGCCTCCTCCACCCAACGCACTCAACCCTTCCGCGGCCATCAATACCGTGCTCGAGCTTGGTCGCAATTACCTCCCGGGATGGATGGGTGGATTCACTGATCGCGCTTCGGAATCCTCATCGCCAGCTTCCCGCCGCGCGCGACTGAATGCTCGGAACTCGATTCCCAGGGGCGAAGGCTCAAGGTCTCCACAACAAAGCCCTCAAGCATACAGGCTGTCTGCGCAGTCCTCTCCACGCTCGCAAACGCTCTCCGATGCGCGCACTTTGGGCCGGACTGCAGCGTCTGCATTGCGGCCCGCGAGTATCATCTCAGCAGCACCTGTCGGGTCCCGACGCTCCGCATCGATGGGGCGCAGGGGCACATTAGCTCATGAAGCTGCCATGCGAAAGCTATCAGACCTTCCCAGTCCTCCAAAGGGAGTGCCATGGGCAGGTCCGGAGAAGCAAGCAGCTCGCAGTGAGACCATAGGCATCAAGCAAGAGCCGGATGCATCGATATCCAAGAATCATGGCCAAAGAGAAGAGGAGATCAAACAGGATCTTGCCGCTCCAGCCTCCACAGTCACTTCTCCCTCGGCGCAGCCTTCAGTCAGGAGCGCATCAACAGTCCCCACATGCGCGCCCTCTACAATCTCGCCCGTCATTCCGGGAGGGTTTGGAAGGACTGCTCCGCTGTATCCTAGCTTGGCAAGCCTCGGCGTTCCGATGCTGGGTGAGAGCGGCGCTCCAAGCGCAGCGCCCACACACCAGCAATTTCTTGGTCCCGCTCCGCAGTCATTTTCGCCTACTATCGTGAAGGGTGCTGCGCACGCAACCCACGGGCATTCGCGCACCTCCAAGTCTCCTGAAGGTGAACGGGCTGGAGAATCTTACATTGTGCGCACTCCGACTGCTACCTATACTACACCATCCCAGCGTATCGCTGCGAGAAGCGCGGCTTTGTCCAAAGGGCAGGAGAAAAGCCCTCGCGAGGCATCTACAACCAATGATGATGTATCGCCCGCTGTCGGACATGATCCGCAAGGCGAGGAAGCGTCCGATGCGGCCAAGCATTCTCGCGCTGCAGCGGCGACGACGCCTCAGCCTCGCAAGAAGACGGCAAGCAGCACATCCTCGCGGATAGCCAGGCCAAAGAAAGCAAGGAAAGCAGATCAAGCTTCGTTGGCAGCCACGAGCGCTTCGCGTCGCAACCTGCGCACCCGCAGTCAGTCCTACGAAGCTTCGAGCCTTGAAGAATCGAATTCTATGCGGCCTGATGCGAAGGCCTTGCAAGCAGATGAGACGGCATTATCTGATGCGCAGGTGGCCAGACTCGGTGCGGCGACGCCGACGCGCAAATTGGGCGGGAAGCGCGTGTTCATTCCGGACGAAGATGGGGACGAAGACTTGGCGTGGGAAGCGGCTCTGAGAGCGCGAAAAGGTCCTAATGGGCAGAAGGACGAGTCATTTGGTCCGAATGGCCGCGACGCCAGCTTGGACAATGACAATGTTGAGGCTACGCCCAAAGTGAAGCATGGCGTCCCAGCTTTGACTCTCCAAGCTCCAGACAAGTCCTCTTCCTCACCTGCTCAGCCGGCAAAGTCTGCGGCCGCGCTGTTAGCTCCTTCGAAGACCGTGCCTAGAGCGTCAGGCTCTTCTACTCCAACGACCTCGGACATCGACAAAGAAACGAGACCGGGTCAGACGCGCGGCACAAGGACCGCATGGCGCGCAGCCACAGCGACTTCTGTCAACGAAGTGTCAAGTTCTGCAGCAGAGGCGGTGCCTACTCGAAGGAGCACACGTACGAGAGCCACGCCCCGCGCAAGGGCGGCGTTGGGCGTAGAGAGTGAGGCGACGACTGATAGCGAGGCGGCTAGCAGCACGTGGAGCTCTGGCCGAGAAGTGACGCCGAAAGTGGCGCATGAACTGACGACTTCTGATGAGGAGTATGCCGAGCGATCGCCCGTCAGCAAGAGCAAGACGAAGGGCCCACAGCAGACCGTCGGTCGAGCCAAGACGACGATTGCGCGACGAGGAAAGAGGAAAGCGGAGGAGAGCGGAGAGGGCGCTTCAGAAGTGGAAGGCAAAGTGGAGGCGGCAAGGGGACGTAACGGAGTTGGGCCTGCGAAGAGAGGAAGGGGCGGCGCGGTCCGTGTGCAACCTAGTGGGGAATCGAATGGCTCGCTCGGCGCATCTGCCACCCAAAGCGCACTTCCGCGAGGCATGTCAAAACGGTCTTTGGCCCTTGCCAAGGCCCGACAAGGGCCGATGAGCCGAATCTCGACCGGCGACGATTCTTCCGACAAATCTGCTAGCAGAGGCTTTTCGACAACGAAGAGGGGCAAGATCAAAGAGCAGACTGCGGGAAATACGAACATGTTCAGCTTTGGGGGAGAGGAGGAAGCTAGCAGAGCTGAGCTGGAGTTGGGTCGATTGCTCGGTGGAGAGAAATCGTAGGATTGTCGCCGAAGGACGGGCTCCGCGCATTGCAGGGTCGGTGTGCCAAGACGAATTTTGGCAATGAATACTTTGCGTATCTCTCTTCGGATCAACTCCACGTCTCGCTTCGCTTCTCGCTCCGCTTCACCCCGCCCTTGTTCTACCACTCGTCCAGCTGTCTCTACGCGCTCGCACACAAGCACACGCGATACGCCATGTATTATATCATCATAGCACCTTCAATCACAAGCGACCTTGCAAGGCTGTCGGTGCGAGCGCAAGGAAAGAAGCTGCCAAGCCCAGTGAGCGTCCATTCCATCGCAGATGCGTATTCTACAGCCATAAGGGAGGCTCAGGGAAATTTTGCAGGGCAAATGAGGTCTGGAATGAGCATCGCTACGTGCAGTCCGCAGTCTGCGGATACGTTTAGTTGCTCTTGAGCGTCCTCTGCTTCTCGGCAGCATCGACGATTCGTCTGTCCACGAAGAGACCCTGTCGAAAGCGACGCATCGTGTTCAGCAAAGCCCAAATCCTCGTAAGGACACTCCCCTCCAAAGCAGAGGAGAGAAACAAAACAAAAAAAGGCACGACAACCTACACGAACACTCACTTTTCTCTTTCGCACATTGTCCACGTACTTTTTGGCCACATTTTCTCGCTCGCCCAGCACGCCTAGATCTTCCAATTCTTCTTCGGTACGAGGTACCCAGTACGGATCCACGTCGAACAGCTCGAAACTAGGAGGAAGAGGGTGAACAGTGAGAGACGCCTTCTCCATTGTAAGCTGCGCTACATGACTGCTCTCACCCTTTGAAGATCAATTGAGGACTAGCTGCCCCCGACGTCCTCTTTCGGATCTCTGCTCGAAGTGAAACATTGTCCAAAGTCAGAGAAAGAAGCCTTGCGAAACAATGCACAATTCCTTGCGATTCGGAGCAGCGGTCACTCACCATCAGCGAAGCCAAAGCTTTCGACGACGGGCAACAGAGCTCCAACAGTGAAGAAGCTGGTGCCTTCCTTCATCTCTTCAGAAGTGATGCGACCTCTTCTTCTAGAAAGCACTGCGTGTACCTTGCCGAGCACGTCGGTCGAGGCCTGGATGTCGCACGAGTACATTGCGAGCATGATGCGAGGGGACCAATCCAGAAGGCCGTTCCTGCAAGCTTCTCTGACGGATGAGATGAGCGATCCTGTGATCTGGGAGAACTTGATTCGGTCTGATCAATTCGCAGAGTCACAACGTCAATATCTGAACAGGAACGCGAGACGATGAGCACGACCCGTACCCACTCCCTTCTCTCTCCTCCACGGCATGATTGACGACGACGCTTTCCACGAAGTAGGCTAGTCCTTGGACCTGCTCGGCACATAGCGGTCCTTGCAGAGTGGCTATCTGGAAGCCGCTTTCGATCGAGTCTAGCAGATCTTCGGCTGTCCAGCTCTCTTGACTCCTAGAGTCTTCTGCGGCTTCGGGCAGTGTCGCGTGCTCTAATGCTGACGCCAAATCATCTACTTCAGAATCTCCTGTCAATTGAGCACCTTGGCCTGCAGGAGTGGAGACTCCAGAGGCGGGTTGGCTTTCCTTGAGCGGACCTTTTCGGAGCTCGGTCCGCTGGCGAAGTCTGGTCGAATCGAATCAAGCGAGAACCTGTGAGCAACCTTCGCTTGGGCATCTACTGGTACACCCATCCCTCACCTTTGAGTCAGTAGACCGGCAGAATCGACCAACAGATTGGGTCCAACTCTGCGTGGTCCAAGGCTCCATATCTGATCCACAACACCTCTCCACTGAGGTCCACAACTGTCCAAAAGCTTGATCAACTCGCTCCAAAAGTTTTGAGGGCGCACTTCCCTGCTCGCAGCTTCAACTTCGGATGCATTGGAGCCTGCAATCGTCTCGACCGTCTCCCGACCTGCGTTTGTCGCTCCGTGCCTCCTATCCGTGCTGACTAGCTGCCTGATAGTTCTCGCATTGGCGATCAAGAAGTCCGTAACCTTTTCAGGCAATGGCACAGCTCTGATGGAGTAGGTCACCGCTCCGCCCGAGAGTGATCCCTGCATCGTACCGCGAGCAGCGCCTTCGGTCTTGGGAGGCGGCATCTCCTGACCTTTGACAGCAGTCTCGCGAAACGGGACCAAGGGTTTAGAAGCTTGTATTGCGCATTTTGCAAAGCGCTCTCGCAAATCCTTCAGACACCTTTCCAAGTGTAGCTCTCCTGCGCATAGGATCACGTGTTCTCCGGTTTCCTGGACCAGGGTCTCGACGCATGGATCAGCTTGGTTCAATAACCGAAGACCTTCAACCAACTTCGGCATGTCGGCTGAAAAGGCCAAGACTGTCAGGCTCATTTGTGCTCATCTTTGGTCAGCAACGGGCTAAGAAGGTCCAGACACTCACTGGGCCTTGAAGGTTCCAGAGCGACCCTGACGATTGGAGCGCTGCCCAGACCCACGCCAGCGAGGTTGACAAAGCAGTCTCTTGAACTTGCCACGTCGAGCTCTTGCGTGGCTGGTGACCCCTTCGTAACAGGTGGCGCGCAGAGCGTAGCATTTCTCAGCACCGTTCCTTCCAGCCCTCTGATGGCAAAGACATTTCCAGCTGGTACTTCTGAGACAGCAATTAGATCTCGACCCATCATCATGTAGAGCGCTTCAATGTTGACCTCCCTGATGTGCTTGGCATTAGCGGCATGGCCCGCTTTCAGGGCAGGGTCGTACTTCGGCAAGAGGGCAAAGACTTTTCGTCCGACCTGTAGAACGCCAGAATACAAGCGCGCGAAGCCGAGCACGACCTCTTCATCTTTTCTGGCCTGATTCTCATCTTCCTCTCGCTGGGCCAACTCTCGAGCCGAAGGTCCTGCCTGCCCATTTTCAATGACTGTGCCCTCTTCCGTCTTGTGTGCCTCTGGCTGGGGAGACGATGAGTGCTCAGAGCCTTGTGCTTCACTGGCACCTGTAGCTCTCAGCAAAGCTTCTTTAGCAGCAGCCGCTCGTTCTCTCGCTTCTTTTCCCCTCTGCCTCATCTCGTCCGCGGTCAGCTCTTTCCTTCTCCCTTCTGGCAATTCACCTCGTCGAACCGCAAACAATTTGCTGACGTAAGCGCAAGTCCTTGCCCCATCTCCAGCCCGAGCTTCGAACAGGTCCACCTCCAAAGGCGTCGAAGCCTCTTTTTTTGAAAAGTAGCTCAATTCTGGATGCAACATCTTTGCCACGCGAGTTCTCTGCGCGACGGCGGGCGGAGGCACGCACTGCACCAAAGCCGAAAAGGTGCACGCTGCAAGCGGCAGCCACTGAGAGAAGATGAGCGGCAGAAGGGTTGAAGATTCTTTTGCCCGAATATCTCTCGGCAAGATTTTGAGCTCCAACGTCTTTACGATCTTCTCAATCTTCTCTTGATCACTGCGGGCCTCGGATTCCGCGCGTGTTTAGCGCTTTTCGAATCGAGGGTTTTATGATGCTCCACTCACCGATTCAAGGCGCTCTCGTACACAGCCCAGACGTTGTCCAAAACGAATTGCACAAACACTGGTTTGAGATTCTTGCCCTCCCTCTCCTTCTGCTTGTGACCGATGACGCGCTTACCCTTGGGATCGAAGAAGAAGTCTCCCCATAGGACTTTTCTGAATTTAGATTCTTGTATGCCAAGCTTCTTTGAGTATAGCTGAGAGAAACGGTCCAGCCTGAAGGCCCAGTTATCTATGGCGCTCGCGAAGATGACGTTGCCTCTAGCTGGGTCGAAATAGATATCTTCGTCATCCAGTTCTTGATACCTCTCCTCATCTTCCTGTTCGTCTAGAGCGTCGTGTCCGTTGGAATCGCTCGAGGACTGACCGACTACGCTTTCGCTCGCAGCTTCCCTTCTGGCCCTCAATCTTGCTTCTCTCGCTTCGTGCCACCTCAAGTCATCCTCCATTCTCTCTGATGCGAAGAACGATCCCATGACTGCGTTCACGTTTTCGATGAGCTGCGTCAGATGGTGATATGCTTCCGAAGGAGAGAGTCGCAGCTCTGTGACGAGTCGGTCCATCTTGTTCAAGACCAGGATAGGTGCTAGTCTGTCCGTCCATGCTTGTCGAAGTACAGCGATGGTCTGGCAAGCCGCAAAAAGGGGGGGGTGTATGCGTCTGTATGCATGCTTTACGAATCACCAAATGCACGATGACCTACTCACCTGTGTGCAAACGCCCTCCACAACGTCAACAATGACGAGGGCACCATCGCACAGTCTACTCGCAGTCGACACTTCGCTCGAAAAGTCGATGTGACCAGGAGTATCGATGAGATTGATCATGTAATCTGAAATCTCTCCCACCTTGCCGTCGGTCGAGTGAGCGCGTAATTTGAAGCTCAAGCTGACTGCGCTGCTCTCCATCGTGATTCCTCGCTCCTGCTCATCCTCCCTCGAGTCCAAGTATCGCAGCTTACCTGCTTGTCTAGGGGCGATGATGCCGTTCGCTGCGAGCAAAGAGTCGGCGTAGGAAGACTTGCCATGATCAACATGACCGATCAGGGTGGCGCATCGCACGTTGGCCGTGCCGAAGTTTTTGGTAGACATCTTGGCCTGTGGCTTGGCGTTGCGAAGCGGTGCTGAGGTTGCGTTGTGGGATCAGCAAGTAGTGCAGTGGGCGCGACGTCTCTTAATAACGTGTTCAAAGCGTCTCGATCCGAGTGTCGAAGTAATAAATGATCCTACGCGTCTCAATGGCGTGTCTTTCCGATGAACCCGTGACCTCCGATTCTGCCGCCACAGTCGTATCTGAAAGCTCGGGCAACGTGTCGCCTGCGCGCCCGAATGACTCGTCTTAACGAATGCGTCCGGTCCCTCAATCGCCAAAGAGTAGGATGACCACGCTGAAGAAAGGTGGTGCTGACGCCTGACTTACAGATGACTCGAGGTGGAAGCCGGCTCGGAGCATCAGATGACTGAGCGCGCAGACCCTCAGGGTGGAGGAACGCACATGCGTATGTGGGCCAAAATTCTTGATTCTCGGGGCAAGCACAACGCACGTGATGCGCAGACGATGTCTGTCGATCACGTGAGTCTTGTTCACTCTTTGACTTTTCTTGACTTTTGACCCGCACCCTAAATATGTCTCTAATCAGAAGAGCAGACGATCGTCCAGGGAGACAATCGTCCTTGAGCTGTGTGCTGCCTGAAGCGTTTTCGTGTGTTTACCTGGGCAGAATGCAGCATGAGGCTCAAAGCCGTGCAACCCCGAAAGTCAGAGTTTGAGTCGAGTGGTGAGTCAAGAGTGGCATGGCACACACGAATCAACAAGGATCGCGGGCGCTGCGCAGCAACATACAACGCATCAGTTGTGCGCGCAGCAGCAGCAGCAGCAGCAGCAGCAGCAGCAGCAGCAGTCACGAGTGCACGCGGTGGGTCACCTTGTGCGCGGAATTTCGTCGCCGTGCGGGTCAGGCTACGGTCGATCAAGCGCCGCGAGGGCGCACGAGAGAGAGAGAGAGAGAGAGAGAGAGAGAGCGAAAGCGTGTCCTCTACTCACGACTCGAGACATGCCGAGTCCATGAGCACAGCTTGATGTACGTATGGACGCATATAGCTCTCCAATCAACAATTCAGAGTCTCGAGTCGCACATAGCCCGTAGGTACAGCCGGCTCTCTCTGCAATCACGAACCTCGAGCCACCCTCACCCCCTTTTGTTGCTTGTCCGCACTACAACTTCGCTATTCCTTGAAATCGACCGACTCGAGTCGTAAGCGGAGGTGAACAGAACCTACAGCTCATCGTCCAAGATACGAAGAAGAGGCCAAGGTCGGAGTCATTGCGCTGCTGATTCCTTTCACACAGCGCATACCCGTATTCCAACACCTGAGCATCGGAATGGCGTCATCCTCTTCTGCCTCCGGCACGCCTGTGCCTTCACCAACGCTGACTACGACGCATCATCGCGGTTCGCGCTCCCCGCCATCGGCATCCAATGCTCCTCCCAGCCTGACAGTGACACCGCCAAGCGCCGCACCTCGCACAGCCTCTTCCAATGTGATCCAAACTCATCCTCCCACCTTCGGCTCTGGCACCGACAATGAAGCCGGGGGTATCAACGTGACGAGTCCACTCGCTTCCGGATCCAGCGACCCGGCCAACTTTCCGGTTGTGGGTTCGGTCATTTCCACAAGTGATAGATCCTCAGCACCGGGCACCGGCGGAGTCAAAAGACCAGACAACTACAACAGGAAAAGGAGCGGAAGTCTGGTTCATGTGGAAAAGATTCAACTTTCTCCCGTAGAATTGTTGGATCAATCGGCTGGTTTCAATCCCAATGCGGAGTGGGTCAATTATAAAGGTGCTTGGGTCATCCATGTCGTTCTCATCATTGCTGGAAAGATTCTGGTCGAATGCATTCCGGGTATTAGTCAGGATATCAGCTGGACCATTGTCAATTTGGGGTACATCATCGTGAGTCGAGTCTTGCTATAGACGAATGGCATACAGTCCAGAGGACTCCTGGACGACCAGGGCCTGGCAGACGCTTCTGCGCCCTACGCCTCCTTCTTTGGACTTCCCGAAGAAAGTGTGGAGGCTGCACCACCTAGCTGCCGCCCCAGCATCGTGTGGGGCTCAGACCCTTATGTTCTGCTCGCTGACGCTTTCTGAGTGCTTCACGTTTCTCAGATCTCGCACATCATGTTTCACCACGTCCAGGGTACGCCATTCGAAAGCAACGGCGGAGCGTACGATGCTTACACGCTTTGGGAACAAATCGATCACGGAGCGCAGTACACACCTGCCAAAAAGTGGCTCACCAGCGTTCCTATCGCTCTGTGAGTTGGCGCTCTTCTTGTGGGGGCACCAGACTGCGAAATTTGCCAGCGCTCGAATCCTGAGAGCCGCAGCTGACACTCTATCCTGCTTCTCATCCTCTCTCCCCACACAAAGGTTCTTGATCTCGACACATTACACAAAGTACAATCTCTACCTTTTCGCCCTCAATTTCTGCGCCACCGTCTTCTCTCTCATTCCCAAGCTTCCAATGGTGAGTTTGATTCTTCGGCCACAGGGATACTATTGTTGCACTGCTCGCATCGTGGTAATCCCTTGCTCATGCTTCACGACCGGCTACTTTGCCACGCAGCTTCATCGATTGAGATTCAAGATCTTGCCAAATACGCCTTATCCCAGTCGACCCAATACGCCCACCATCTCGCGGCCCAACAGCGCTGCTGGCTGGCGCTGAGCCAAGTATGCAAGGCGTGAGGGGCAAAGAACAGCAGACATTGAGCATGACCTTGGTGGGGCCGCTGTCAGCTAAGTTTCAGCAGGCAGGTACGAAGGGGAGGTGTGATTTGTCTGTCTCTGTCAGCAGCCACAGGTATCCGACTGGGACAAGTTAGATGTTCGGCTAATTGCATGCGGATGAAAGCAAGCTCTCCGGACCTGACGCGGTCGACTTTTACCCCCTTTCAGATGAGGTGCCTGAATGGAAGCCTCTGGATCTCGACCCGCAAGCGTATGCGTTCTTCTCACTCTTCATCAATCAATGTTACGCGATTCTTGTCACAGAGCTACTCCAGCATGCATGTCTCCTTATTTGAACCGAGGCTGCGTTGCGGACTCTTTGGTGTGATGCTAGCTTCTGCAAGTCAAGAAAAGCACCCAAACTTCCACCATTGCAGTTGCATGGGTCATGAGTCTGACTCGACTTGACCCGTAGCCTGATGCGTGATTCGTGGGTGCGTTCGACAGTCACTAGTCACAAAAGTGACGCAAAATTACTGGTCGCGCTGATGAGGCGCGCTTCTCATGCTCCGCGTTGATGCATCAAGCATCCGCCAAGGGTAGACGAGCGCGGACAAAGCCGTCTCGTCTCTGTTCTCCTCACGCAACCAAGCCACTTGAACACCTGAAATTTCGGAATTCCCTGGACTAGTTGCCTTGAGCCGACAGGATTGAGACTGGATACAATTGCAGCGCATACATCCCCTCCGGGCTCATCCGCAGCTGTCAATCGAGACCCACGAGGGCCAAGTAGTGGCTAAGCCACCTCTTCTCGAGGGTCAACAGCAAAGCGAAGATGGGACGAGCAGCAGCGCCCATTTACACTTTCACGCCAAGCGGTACAGGTATACGGGATGCTCAAGGAGCACCTCGAGCCTCCTACTGCTCCATCCAAGCAATTCCGATCCCTTCAAATCCTTCCACCACCTCTTCTTCTACCACCAAGAAGTTCCAACACTTCATCCACACTTTACCGGTCCATTTCAAACGGGGCGATGTGGTATACCTACGCACTTCATCCGGAAGACCCGATGTGGCCGTCCTTACAGACTTTGTGGTTTGGGATGACGAGGAGATTGCGGGTAGCACGAGAGCTGCAATCTTTGTTAGTGCTAGAGTGTTTTTGAGAGGAAGCGATCTGGCAGCTAGCACGTCCAGAGCAATGGGAAACCTGATCGACGAGGTGAGTCTCATGATGAGGCGTGGACTGCGCGTCCGAGGGAAGATGTAGAGTGAAAGAGCAAAGGAGTCCGGGGGCGAAGGGAGGATGGGTCTAGTCCGTCGCTTGGAGTCCCTGGTAAGCACAAGGTTCGATCGAGGGGCTCATTGTTTTGTCACTTTCGTCAATACCCAGCATGAGCTCTTCTATCCGCAGACCGCACCAGCTATAGCCAGGACTCTGGGCCGTCCGAGCAAACGACGCAGGCGAATGCAAACCTCTGCCGAGGTCGATGAGGACAAGGACACAGCAGCAGACGGAGCAGGATCTAGCAATGTAGAGGCGCACAATGATGATGACGATGACGAAGAAGACGCCCAAGCTTTGGTTCTGCCAGCTGCGGATCTCTTAGGACATGCTCCCATTTGCAGTTCGTTCAAAGACTGTCAAGCTCGCCTAGCCGAAACGCCCACGCCGCCAATCGAGCCCAAGTCGTCAAAGGGAAGGCGTCCAAAGGCTGCACCCACACCAAGCTTTCTTTTCGTCGAGCGAGCAGTGGATGTTCAAAGAGGCGTCTTTTGGTCGCTAGACTGGGAAGAAGTACGAAAAAGAGGGGTGGAGGGAAAAGGTTGGGAACTTGTAGAGAAAGACGGAAGCACTTTGAAAGATGCGGGTCTGAGACCTCAGGAGTTGAAAGAGATGGAAGAGAAGAACCCGAAGAGGATCGCAGAGCTACCTCGAACCCCTCGACGCAGAGCAGCTGTATCTAGAGAGGGTAGCGCACGATCCTCTAGCAGTAAGATCACGCCCAAGAAGCGCACACCCGCTGGACGTGCACGGACGACCCTTTCCACACCAACCAGAAGAAAGCGCGCAGCTACGCCAGACGAGGCGACTTCTGACTCTGGAGCGTCCAATGACTCGGACGACGAAGCGGGGGAATCTGCAGATGGATACAAATCGTCGAGCACGAACGAGAGTTCTGTGGATATGGATGCTGCAGTCTCGGACGCCGAAGACGAAAGCGAAGAGGATGACGATGAAGAGTACGAGGGAAGGGACAATTTAATACTCGAAAGACACCGCAAACGAAGGGCGTCCAAAATTAGTCGCGCCCTACCGAGAACACCGGTCAGACGACGAGCACTCGGCGGGGTGATCGATACGCCAACGCGATCACAAGCTTCCACCCCCAACGTGACACCACGAAGAAAGAGGATACTCGAGGTCCATTCAGCAACGACGTCTTTTGCCACTTTACCAGCTCGAGCACCTCAGCTTAAGGAGCTCTCCAAAGAAGACTTGTCCAAGCTTTCCGCGCATACACGAGCGCGACGGTTGTTGCACGTAGGAGCTACACCTGAACAGCTACCGTGCAGACAAGACGAGTTTGAGGAAGTCTTGTCGTACGTCGAAGATGCGGTGCAGGATGGGATTGGGGGTTGCGTCTACGTAGCCGGTGTACCCGGGACAGGCAAGACGGCTACTGTGCGAGAGGTGGTGCGACACTTGACCAGGAGAGCGGATGCGGGTCAGATAAGCCCCTTCAATTTTGTGGAGATCAACGGAATGAAATTACCGGATGCGAGTCAAGCATATCCGCTACTTTGGGCTGCGGTGGGAGGAGGTAAAGATCCTAACGTCGGTCACAAAGCGGCCCTAAAGCACCTTGGGACTCATTTTGAGAGCGGCAGAGGTGCGGCTCGAGCGACGACCGTAGTCTTGATGGACGAACTGGACCAACTCGTGACTAGCAAGCAAGAAGTGGTGTACAATTTTTTCAATTGGCCCTCGATGAGAGGGAGCAGATTGATTGTGCTTGCTGTTGCCAACACTATGGATCTGCCGGAACGCACGCTGAGCGCAAAAGTGGCCAGTCGATTGGGTCTGACCAGGATTCCGTTTGAGCCGTATCGAGCGAATCAACTGGCAGAGATCGTCCAATCTAGACTTGGCATGCTACCGGATCAATTGCAGGATCAAGAGCATGACCTCGGATGCGAAAAGGTGATGAGCAAAGCTGCTATCGAATACGCTTCAAAGAGGATCGCAAACGTGTCTGGCGATGCTCGCAGAATGCTCGACGTATGTCGAAGAGGGGTGGAGCTGGTAGAGACTCGATATCTAGGCTCCTCCTCGTCTGGCACCGGCATATCGGACCAATCGACAACACGTCCAGCACCGCCAGTCCAACCTGCCGACATGATCGAGATTCTCTCTGCACTGGTCAAGTCTGGAAAGGTAGCCCACATACGTTCCGTATCGCTGCACGCCAAGATTCTCCTCATCTCTTTGCTTTCTGTCCTGAGAAGGCTGGGCTTAGTCGAGGTGAGCACAAGCGATGTGTTGGCGCATCATCGAGCACTGTGCGGGATGCACGGCATCACCAGGAACGCAGGATTGCCACCCTTGCGCGCCACTCTTTCAAAGAGCACTACGACCCCACTTGCTGCATCTGCCGTGACGAGCTTCACGATGGATGAATTGGACAACCCCTTGACGAGCCTATGCGCATTGGGATTGGCCGTAGCCGTCGGCTCGGGAGCTGCACCTGGAAGAGCGGGCTCGATGGCCAGACTCATGCTTGCGTGCCAAGAAGACGAGGTCAAACTTGCTCTGGAACAGGATCCGGACGAACGGCTCCGGAAGATGCTCTAGCAAGCATCTCCCCCTCTTCTAAATGGAGTCTTTCATCTCTACCATTTCTGTGGCGGGGACGTGCACCAGCGCAATCGCCATTTGTCACACATCTTCCCATAGAATGTGGATCTCACACACGACGCAACGTTCCTTACACACGCGCGGGCTCACGAACTCGTACGTCATGCGCACGCGACGTTCAACAATTGCTTGATGCGTGGCCCAAAGATTTCGAATTGCTATGCTATGCTTCGTATCGAGGCGACAGATGAAAAATACGCAGGTACATCTGCGAGAAGCAAGGGGATCATGACGATCCAATTCGGCACTTCAGCGCACGACGTCACTCGCTCGCCGCAAACTTCGCGCAGGTAGCTCGTGGATGCTCACCAATGCACCTTTGTTCACGTCCCAGTGCACTCAGACTTGAGGCTTGGTCACTGGAGCGGGACCCTCGCTGCCCGGTCCACCGGTGGTGGCATCGTGCTCTGCGCGAAGAGGAAGAAGTCGCCAGTAAGCTCGTGATGGCTTGCCGAGGGTGTACACGCGCCAAGGCCGTTGGGAGACGGACGGTGGCCGTTTGAGATTGACGCAGATGTAACCAGAGGCTCTCGAACATCGAGCGAACTGTACATCAGAGCTGCATCGCTCGAGAAGAATGATCACGCCGCATTACATTGGGCTAGAATATTGTCTCATCCCGGAGCCCCCTCGAATGACTCACGGCTCGGGTCCTTGTCTGCGACGGTCTGACGACCAGCAGATCCGGGCAACTGAGGCTCGCCAGCTTGTGCGCGCTCCTCGTTCTGCTTGATCCTCTCCTCCTCCGTAGGTGCCTTGTCGTTGAAAGTGGTCTGCATCTCGTCCCAAAAGTCAAAAAGGGGAAGGCGGGGGAGCAATTTGGAATGAGAGTTGTTCAGAGAGAGGTGTACAATTGCTTGCGCGATGGTGCGTTCGTGAGATGTGCAGGGCGATGATGGTAGTGTCGGAGCAGCAACTTTTGAGCGGCTTTTGTAATGCGTAGCACCGTTGCTGCTGTTGAGCGACAAAGTCAAAAGAGGCGCACGCAGGGACGAATCAAAATGCATTCCAGCTTCGTTCGTTTGACACGGCAGGCGGAAGACTTCGGCAGAACATGCAGCTTGCATGCATGAGCATCCCAGACGCACAGCTAGCACGTCGCGTGACGCTCAAAACGCCGCAAAGTCGTGAGAGGGGGGCCGGGGAATGATCGATCGCATAGCAAATGCATGACGTCACAAGGATCACGAGGTGTCCGTGCGAGATGTATGCGATCGGCGCATCGCAGTCGGAGCTACTTGCAAGTCAATTATAAGCGTGTCACAATCTGAAGCACTTGCTCACATTTTCGCAACTCATGCCTCGTTGTGAATCTATTATATATATTCGACCCATCAGTCTTATAGTCAAGCATGTTCATCATTACACTTTGTAGGGTCTTACAGGACCTATTGAACGATGACCGGACCAGCATGTATGGATCAGAATTCGAGTGAATGGGCAAGCCTGTCTGGAAATGCTCGAAATTTCTGAATGCGATAGAAATACTTCACGACTGAAAACTGGCATCATACGCGATGCCTTAGGGTTCTTCGCTTCACAAACAATCAGGAATAATGACATTCTTGATTCACGTCTGTCAGGTCCAGAGGGAACAAGCCAACAAGGGATGGGTGATGGTATGACGGCGTCGTTCCGCAGCAATACATTACTTGTACATGCAATCAACAACCTGGTATAAACAGCAAATGCAGGAAAGACCAGGGACAAAGAAAGTAGAGATCGCGCTAAAGAGACCATGATGCAATCTATGAATGCAGCCAGTTAGGAAGCCGCTTCTTGCCGCTGCCTTCGCCTGCGGTCAGGGGTCGGGGTCTCGCAACAGAAGCGTTCGCGCGCACACCAGATTGTGCCTGAGGCTCGACGTGAGATGCAGGGACTGGCGGCGGAGCTGGTAGATTGTCCCAATTTTGCGACTTCTTCTTGGAAAGGCTGGACAGCACTCTAAAGGATAGCGGGCGAGGCTTTCTACCGCTCGAGTCGTTCGCAGACGCATCTTCAACGTGCGAAGGTTTCGAATCCTTCACAACAGTCCGCAAAACCACTCCTCGAGCTCCATCGTCTGCCAAATCACGCTGATCGTCGCCTCGACGGTGATTGTTGACGAAGCTGCTGGGCAGAGAGAAGTTCGGCGGAGGGAGAGAGGCCGCGTTCGCCAGCGGCGGCATTGTCGGTGTCTTGGTGAGTTCAGCCATCGAGATCAAGCTACCGCATTCGGAGGTCCTGCACGAGGTCCCCGATCCGCGCTTTCTAGGAGTTCGATCGGCGTCGTCATCGTTACTCTCTGGTGCTCCACCACGGTTGGGTCTATTGGCGTAGCCTGGGTTGTAGACCATTGCCTCCGCAGCCCTGTGGTCCATGTGCGCACTTGCATTCATTCGCGAACTCGATGGTTGACCTCGAGACGCTCGACCTGACATGTGGGGAGCAAATGGCGACCCGCCTCGCAGCTCGCCAGGGCTCGACCTTTGTGAAGAAGTGTAACTCGAGAGCGATGCAGCAGGTGACTCGCTTCTGTGGATGCTGCCTGGCAGCGCGACGCCCCGAGAGGGCCGTCGTGTATTCGAGGTGTTGATGGCGGTGTCGTTATTGGCTGCAGCCGCCTTGACGCGGTTGAAGAATGAGCTCTTCGCAACTGTTGTGCTCAAGCTTGGTGTGCTATCCAGGGCATTCCGAACCAGACCCGTATCGGTGTTCCCAGAGGAAATCGAGCCACGAGGACTTTGCTGAGACGAGCTTGGGAGGCCATGCTTGCGAGAGTGTTGCAAAGCGATGAGCTGCGCCTTCGAAAGGGGTACCAAGCGACCTTCGGCAGCGTGTGTTGCTGAGGGCTGAGCACTGCGCTCTGCCGGGACCGACACAGTGCGAGACCTTGGCGAGTCGAGGTCAGAGAAAGGGGCGCTTTCTTGCGCCGCAAACTCTTTCATGCCACCAAAGTACGAATCGTGATGATGGGTGGCGGGGAGCTGCGCATGTTGAGCTTTCGGCGAAGCATGCTCTTTGGGAGATGCGGTAGAGCGAACACTTTGGGATGTCTGCGAGGCCACAGATGGCGAGCGTTTGATCGAGAAAGCAGTCGTGGCGCCAAATGGCGAGTGAGCTTGAGGTTGTCTCGCTGAAGATGCCAAATTGAAAGCTGCGGATGGGCTAACGGGAGGACTGCTGACTCTGCGAGAAAGCACCGCGGGTGGTGCATGGGGGGCTTGCAAAGAAGCGAGAGCTGGGCCGGTGGTATTGGTGTTGGCCTTGGGGTCGACCGTTCTCGTCCACTGTCCAAATGTGGGCGTCATCACTTCCGTCGGTGCTGTGCCTGGCCGGGCTTGTGTCGCTTGCGTCAGATGCGAGTGAGCGCTTGGCACACCACTGCGCGAGCTTTGCATGCTGAACACGCTGTTTTCCGACACGGCAGGCGACGGAGGCTGAGAATGAGCTGCGTGCGCAGAGAGGGGTGGGCTCGCTCGTCCCGGTGGGATGGAGTTGCTGGCAGCTAGATCTCTTTGACTGGGCAAAGACGTTTCAGAGACATTGTCGTCTCCGAGGGACCGCAGAGAAGTGCTTGAAAGCGTTGACTTCACAGCTTCATCACGCCTACCTGGCAGCATATGGGCAGAGTACGGCATCGCTGCGGCTGCTGCCGCTGCGACTGCGACTGCGGCATCGCTTGGCGTGGCGGGACGCGAGTCACGACTAGTAGGCCGAGAGGAGGGTCTGCGAAGCGCCCAGGCTGGGACGCCGGCAGAGTCTAGCCGATGCGAGTGCCCTGAAGTCGTAGAGCTACTACTGCCTGGCCTGCTTCGGGGTTTTCCTCGAACGCCCGAACTTGCGATCCTACTTCCATGAGCGAGAAAGTCCATCGGATGCTCGTCGTCGGACGGCTCGCTATGGAGCACCTCTGGTTCCGGATCCATTTCTTCCTTCTCCTCATCCGACTCTGGACGACCGCTTGCCGGTCCAGAATTTTTGCCGCGCCAGTGAGTCGGCGTTGACAAGCTGCGGCTGCTTTGCACAGTGGAAGCTCCCTCCGTCGAGGAATGCGGCGCCACCTTGCCAGTCACGCTGGAAATGATGGGGGACATGCCGTGAATGCCCGCACCCAAGACGCTTTGAGGGCTGGGTGCTGTGCTGTAGGTTGGAAGAGAAGTCGCACTGCTAGTCGATCGCAAGCCCAGCGATGTAGTCGAGGTGCCAGGCGATATGCTTGTATTGTGTGTGCTGCTCGTCCGCGCTTGACTATCGGAACTAGACCGAGGCGCCGCGAGTGGCTTGGTGCCAAAGCTCGTTGCGGTTGGTACGACGGGGCCAAGTAGCGCCAGAACGGAGGCAGGTCCACGTTCTGCCGAAGTAATGCTTCCTTCCTGCTTTGCCAACGATGGCGACCTCGGGAGGGGAGAAGATGGTGCGGTGGCCATGTGTGCCTCTGACTGCGAGAGCGAACCTCGCCCTCGGGCCAGAGTCTCGATCGTCGACGATGACATGCGCTGATGCGACGGACCAGGTCTTGCTGTAGGTTCCAGCGCTTTGTCGCCTGATGGCAGCCACTCTTGAGGCTTTGCGATGGCGTATACGGCACAGCTAGACTGTGACCGCGCTGGTGGCAGATTCTCTTTACGAGACAAACTTGGCTCGGGGAACATGAAAGCCTTTGCATCTTGCGTAGATGATGGACGAGACTTTGAATTGCCAGAAAGACTGAAAATCGATGCAGAGAAAGCACTAGACGTCGAAGTTGAGCTCGAGGGACGGCTTTCTGATCCGGATCCGCTTTGCTTCGATTTCCTTGCCGATTTTGGCCGGCTATTGCGACCCCACGAGCTGGGACCCAGCTTCCAAAAGCCACCTTTCGATGGAGTGGTTTCCTCCCGTAAAGCGCCTTCTGAGCGGCCCACGGATGCAGGATCGCTTGCAAGCATCTCCAGAAGGCCTTTCGTGGGCTCTTGATAATCCCACGGAGTTAGGTAAGCCGTACCGGCAACACGAGCGATGTGAGGCGCACCTCTTGAAGAGCCGCGACCAACAGATTCAGCTAATCGGACACCTTCCTGACCTTCGCTTTGCGACTTGCTGCCCATGCCGGCCTTTGATAAGCCCTCGTCACTAGCTCCGGGGGACGCTGCACTAGGCGTGGTCCGCACCACCCCTCTAGCCGATATTTGCCAGGGCTTGTTCATCGAGACCAAAGCTTCTGACTCCGCTCTACTCCTCGCAAATCTCTCGTGGACCTGATCATCTACTGGTGAGGTGGGCGTAAATGAATCAGGTCGAACAGCCGAATGGTGATCACTCGCCCTCTGCGCCATGCGAGCAGTGGGAGAATGCGCTTCGTCGCGAGGGAGGGAATACCCGCTGCTCTGCGATGTCGTCTGCGGTGTCCTTTCAATCTCGACAGATGGGCACAGGGATTCTTGCGGCACGAGCACCAACGCTGACGGGCGATTCCGCAACCGCGGTGGCAAGTCGTGCGTGGAGCGCGGGCTTGGCGGACCGGGCTGCGGTAAGGCCTGGACCGGCATGGCTGGCGAATTGTTCGCGCTGCCGCCTCGCGTTTGCAAAGTGCTTCGACGGAATCGCGCCGACTCTCTGGAAGTGCGTGAAGCGAAATGGATGGTGGCAGGACTTGTCGCATCTGAGCCGACGGACAAGGACCGCGTCAGAGGCGACCTCTCCTCTCTCCATCTTGCCGTCGACACCGAGCGAGCCGTGGGAAGATCAGCAGCTGAGGAGCTCTGCCCTTCGAAAGCATTGTCGGCACTCGTCTGCCCTGACGGAGATGCGAGACGAGGGGACACAAAGCCTGCGAAGTCGGAGCGAGAGCTGGAAGCCGATGCCGAGTGCCTCCATGGCGACCCCGCGGGAGTATCTCGCGCAGAATCGTATGGCGAAGGTAAAGGATCTGAACAAAGGTTGTCGATCCACACCGATGAGGGCCGTGTCCTTCCCCCACCGACCGAATCCATCGGGAGGCACAAAGGCCGCAGCCCAAAATTTCAAGCTGTGTTATGTCTATCTGTGCTCTGCATTCAGCGCCAATGCAACCGATGGATAGCCGGGGTCAGCAACGACGACCCTCCTCAGCTCGGCGATAGACTCACGAATGCTTGCTCTACCTCTCCCTCTGGAGAGCACGGTATGAGTGCTGCTCTTGGTCGTTGAATCTCAGAGCTCTTTGCTAGGCTCGTAGCGTGTGAAAGGGTAGTGTTGGTGCAAGACGCGGCGATGGCAGTACATTGCAAGATCGCCGTCGAGGTTGCTATGATGGAGCGGTCACCTGAAACATTGGCAACCTTGGTCGAACGGCATATTGGTCGGCTGGCTGTGGGATGAAAGAGAGAAGTGATGATGGCCACAAGGGATGATGCCCGACCACGAGGTCACCTCCGCAGGCGGTCGCGTGGATGCTGGCTGGCTGGCTGGCTGGCTGGGGCTCTCATCACGTCGAGCGGAAATATTTTGAATGCGGATACAGCACGCTGCACGTACGAGATGGCATATTCGCTAAGCCCTTTGCAGCCGTTGTGCGCCGTTCCTGTTCGCTGCACAAGGCTGTCTCGATCGGACTCCAGCAAGGGTCGCACATGCAAAGAGCCATGAGAGCGCGGGCCCGTGATGAACTGTGTGCCATGGCATGGCCCTCGATCGAGGAAGTGCGAAAGTGCTGACTGAAGCTATACCGCATGCGCTCGCGCGGCACGTACGGGTAGGAGATGGCGCCAGAATTTGAAAACGTCTGATCTACGCGGCTCGATCGCTCTCCTCCTCCTCATCTCGGCGTGCCTGACGCGGGCGACCTCGAGGTCAGCACTCAAGACGATGCGTGCATCAGCCAAACCGCAGGCTATGCTGCATGCAGCTAGGCAGCATATATGCATGCTGTTCTGTACCTACACAGTCGTGAGTGTACCGCTCGCTACCCGTACCTGTGCTGAGGCTCTTCAAAGTCAGCTGCAGCCTGTGGGAGCCGGTCATGGATCCGAACGATGATGCAAAAGGAAAGCCGTGAAAGGAGCATCAGCGTGCATAGAGCCGGACACGGACACGGACACGGACACGGACAGCTTCAAGTCATGAGCTGCTGCGAAAGCATCGTCATATTCGTGATTGTCATGCCCTGCATGCTGCTGGCGCACAATTCGTAATTGTGTACGCGAGCGCGAGCGTTCGTTGGAGCTGCGAAATGGAGGTCCGCTGCAGGTGGGCGCAATCTTACATGCGTCTCGCGCAAGAAACTCCGCTGATGTGCATGCATGCTGTGGCCTAACTGTACTGTACTTGACTGCAGGAGGCTGCATCTTGTGGGGAGTCCGTCCCTTCCAGTCGCCGAATCACGACTCATCACAAGAAATGCAGCACGAGAGAGAGAGAGAGAGAGAGAGAGAGAGAGAGAGAGAGAGAGAGAGAGAGAGAGAGAGAGACGAGTGAGTAGAGTCAAAGTGTGCTGTGTGAGTGTGGTCAAATCTCGATGCGACGCGGTGATTGCGGTCGATTGATACGGGGTGCCTATAGCTGCTGCTGGGTGCTGCGCGCGTGTCAGAGTGAACTCGGCGCGAGCATGCTGATCGCAAATGCCGTCTCTCATCTGACTGTTCACTGCGAGAGCCTTGGATGGACCAAAGTCAGTCTGAGTCGCTAAAGGCCTTTGGCTCGCGCAGATCGGGCCTCTAGCTACCTACAGCGTCGGGCGAAGAGTTCGATCGTGCAACCTACGGCGTATACCGTCGCGCTATAGGCAAGCAAGCGCGTCAAGCGAACCCGCGCGCATCCGCACGCACAGCGCACGCACATCATCCGCTTGCATTCGCTCGCAAACGTGCAATATAAGAGATGTTTGTCGATCTGCACTCAAATTCCCACTTTTGACTTGCATGATCAGTGACTCGCGGGCGCCGTGGCGGGACCGATTTCCGATGTCAGGCACGCACAGGCAGCAGTCGTGTGTGTCCGACTATATAGCATGGGACCTGATGTGGGCATGGGCATGCACAAAGAGGAGTCTCACTCGCGCAGCCTTCCTCGTGCCTCGCGTTCGTCAATTGCAATCGTTTTATGGGTACGGTACCTGATGATGCGCGAGCGACGAGCAACGAATCCACTTCATTCCAAAGAGCTGCATGCGGGTCTTTGGAGTCATGCGCCCCGCCGCCCTTTCGGCGTAGTGAGACAGGAATGCCATGCAGCTTCGACAGTGCGCGCGCGGACGTCCGCGGTGTAGGTTTCGCAAGGAGCGAAGAGTGGGTGTGCGCTTCATACAATCGCGTGAAATTGCCCCATCGCCAGCTTGACAGCCGTCCAGTGGCAGCCTGATCCGCATCGCATTTCTCGGGCAACAGCTTTGATACTCAGCATATTCGTGAATGAAGTCTCGCTCGGAAGTGCGGGTGGCACACGCTGATCGTGTGATCATAGGCCCGTGTTGGTGGCGATAAGAGACCGACCTCACGTTAGATGTGCAAGCCACCGCTGTCACGCAAAACTTTCGACGTGCATCCGCAACTTGATGAGTCGAGCCTTGCGGCATGGAAGTCGAGCGCTGGCCGTACGCTTCGACAAGCCAGCCGACGTGCCGTGCGGCACATTTCTATGCAGGTAGCGAGGTCGGATGACGAGACGCGATGCTGCTGCAACACTTGCGCAGCATTCCAGCCCAGGCTCCAGCTGCGCGACCATCGGGCACTCTCAATCGGCAAAGCCATGACTACGCAACGCTTCGAGCGACTCCTCGTCGGGAGTCTGTCCCCGATCCACAAGACCCGCATTGCTCTTCTGCTGCGCTCGTCGCGGAGACTGTTCTTCTATATTTGAGCCTGTGAAAAGCACTGCCGCCCTTCCTGGAGAAGAGGCAGGACTTGTCGTCGAGGCGCCAAAGCCTGGACGAATGTATGGGATGCCCTGATTTCTGCTCGAAGAAGATGAAGACGAACGAAACAATTCCTGACTCCGTCTCTTGAGAAGCGAGTCGAGCTGCTCTTCTTCCCGCTCCTGACGTCGCTTGAGTTGTGCAAGCCGGTCTTGCAGAGTTGCTATTTGCTCGGAGCTCGCGCTTGGACTTTGACCACACCTTCCTTGATGGGTCGCGGCGCAGTCGACATATATGGCTTGCGAGCCGTTCTGCTCGAGGTGCTCTGCTCCACTAGATGTCGCGGTCATCCGCAAAGAGGAGAGCGGCAGGGATGATTCGAGTGCGTCCATGACATCCGTGGCGCACATCCCCGGATAACTCTTCCGCATGGTGGCCTCGAAGCCTTCAGACGCTGCAGTGGGAGCCTGAAGGGGGCTGCGGCAGAACAGATTTGCCTCTTCGTGGATCGATGAGCATGCCTCCTGTTCAACCCATCGCTGCACAACGCGTCCGCTTTGGAGACTGCCTGAGCTGCCGCCTCTCTCCAATGTGCTCGACTTTTCTGAAATTGTCGAGAGAGTGCGAGACCTCCGAGACAAGTTGACGTCACCACTTGCATCTGACGTCCAGCTGGCCCTGTTCATACCCGTCGCACATTCGTGCCGATGCGTAGAGGCATTGACGACGGTCGGCCAAGCTACGCTGTTGACGCCGCCCGCATGTGTGTACGGATCTGCCGACGAAGTCGGGTAGTTTGGGAAGCCATCCATGCCGCACCTGAACAATTCTCCACTGCTGTCGCTGTCGTCGTCCTCGCAGTCCCTTTCGCTTTCGATGCTTTGGCGACCAGAACCCGATGATGGCACTGCTCCGGTGGCGCTGAGGTGCGCTTCGCTGCCCATTTCTGCTGGAAAGGTACTGCTTTCGTCGATCTCGAAAGTCCAGCAGTGTGGCACAGTCTTCATCGAGGCGCACTGTATTTTGGTGCTTCGGCGGCGATCATGGAGTGCACTCAGGCTCTCGGTGCTGCGTGTCCTTGTAGGAGGTGGGCTCCTCTGGTAATAGAGCGCGGCAGACGCAACGTCGCTGTCCTCCTTGTCCATTGATTCATGGTCTCTGAGGGCATCAGCACTTCTGTGAGGCTTGCTTTGTCTTGACTTCTCCGGAAGGGCAACTGTTTCTGGTGACGGCTGTGGGGCACGAGTACTATTCACTGACACAGTTGAACCGATCGCTGGCGAGTTCAGATGGCCTTCGTCAGATAGTGAGCAAGCTGCCTCGTGACAGGCACCGCACATGATTTCAGAATCTGCGCGGTGCAAGGACTGCTGTGGTGGGAATGCCGCACCGACGCATACCTCTCTGAAGCGCCGAGGGGAAAGCGGCACTCCTGAGCGCTGGGGCGAGCCTTCACCTGGACGTACGTCATGACATGATCCTCGAGCCGTTTCGGCACGAGCTGATCTTTCGGATGGGTAGGATTCTGCCGTGCTCGCCCTCGCGCTTGGCTCTAAAAATAGCGCATACCATCCAAAACCTAGGAGCATCTGTTGAGGGGGGGCATCTTAAGTACGCTGTCTGCCTCATCACGAACTCATGTCTACACGCACCCCAAGCGTTGGTGAGAGCAAGGCATGGAAGACAAAGCGGACCGGCCAGCATTGCCCGGCACCAAAAAAGACGACCTGCACGAGTTAAAGATAAGCACACGCCTTTCGGACGCACTTGATCATCGCGATGCTCACAGAGCAGGCCAATCTGCCACCAATGTCCAGGGCACTCCTGAGTGGATGCGTCTGCATGAGCTTCCGTGCTTTGCTCACGTTAATTCGCATGGCAACGATCCTTCGCACATACTCACGATCCTACGAATGGGCCCAACGAGTTCATCAAGAAGAGAAGAGAGTATGTGGCGCCGCTGAAGTTGCCGCACACAAAAGGGCGCAAATGAGCTCGGTGACAAATTTGCTTGAGCTGGATCAGGACTCACATGACGAATGCGCCTTGTGATTTGATGAGCCGGGGCTGCCTGAGACCCTGGACGTTGACGCAAATCACCAAAGCTGCAAGTATTCCTGTCAGCCGGGGGCCAGGTCCGAGCACATGCAGCGCACTCGCGTTTACTCTTTACCCACCTGCAATGAATCCTCCAGACGCTTCACCAACGACGGCCAGCCCAGTGCTTCTTCCAGGAGTGCTAGCGACAGCAAACGAGCGAGCCAAACCATGTGGAACAAAGAAGCTCTCCAGTGTTCCACTAGCCATGACCACCTGACGCAGATCCGCAATGATGTCCCAGCACGTCGAGACAGCTAGCATGCAGCCTGCCCAACAACCAAGGATCTGAGCGGCGATACGAGATAGAGCCTCCCACCAGGTCAGAGCGCCGAGGGCTGCAGCGACGATGGTGATGCAAGGGTTGACGTGCGCGCCTCGACTAGGCACGCAAACTGCAATGGCAATGCAGATGCTCAACGCGTATGTCGACGCGCTGAGCAAGTGTCCTAGCGTTGGCAAGGACTTGTTTTGGTAGAACCAAAGCAGGATCTTGACCATCGCTGCCGGTAAGGCGATGATCAGATTTGCCGTGAATTCGGCCATGCAGATCATGGCTACTCTTCCAAGTGCTGTAGACATGCTTGTGATTCTCCAGCTTCTCCTCCATCGGCTTAGCCTTGACGCATCGGAGAAAGAGCGAGCATCACTGCTAAAAGTAGACTGAAACATAGACGTTCTCTTCTGCCGATGCGGTGCCGCAGAGACATCGGCCACACCTCTGCCACTATTCCTTTCCGCCGCTTGTTGCGTGGCACTCTCAGCAGCGACGATGCGCGCACGGAGAAATCGAGGTTTGAAAGGATGCTTGATCCTTCTGGCATGAGCAGCAGGCGGAATAGCTTTGAAGTGCAGCCCATCTCTGAAATTGGTAGTCAGGCCCAATTGTCCTTCCGAGCCCAGCGAGCCGGAGCCGGAGCCGGAGCGAGAGCGAGAGGCAGTGGCCGGACTTTTGCTGGATCCTTCGCGCCCATTCTTGCCCTTCGAACAGTGTTCAGATGTAGCAATTCGAGATGCGGCGCTCGATGTGTGCTTGGCAGGACGCATCCGGCATGATACAGCTACAGGTGCAGACGCGGCTTGTTCCTCGACTCCAGAGTCGCAAAGGCCGGCTGACGAGAGCATGTGATGACGTTGGGAAGCAGGATCAAGCTGACTCCTTGAGCGCTGAGAGATCCGAGTCCGGCTTGAAAAGGCGTGAGAAGCATCACAGCAGCCTCGCTACCCTCGGACCAGCCAGGCTAGGGAAGAAGCAAGAAGCCAGAAAGACAGAGCAGAGTAAAGAACAACGAGTAAAGGTACGAAGGGCGACAGAAGAGCGACCAATGGCATTTCCTTTGACATCTTGTTCCATGCGAGCAGGCCCTGGGCATCGCTTTCTCTCACCTGAAAATATTCCGACGGTGAAGCTAGGCGGAAGAGATGACGCTATGCGCACTGCGCAGCGCAGGTGGCGCACAGCCCAAGAGGACTGCTCGCGAGTGGCAAGGGGCTCTTCACCCACGAGCGTTTTATTTGCGCGGAACCGCACCGCAGACCCTACGACAGCACCCGATGAATCGGCGCAGCGTCCGCACACTGGGTCCCCGCACAGTACCTGCCAAGGCGTACTATGTAGCTCGGTACCGTACACATAAAGCGACGCGCATGCAGACTGCATGGGCGAAGTCAAGAGCAGCCCATCGGTTTGTCGACTTTGTTGGGAATGAAGAAAAGAAGAGACGTGGACAAACTTGTCGCATTACACGGTGACGCGAGAAATCACAAAAGAGAATCAAGCGCGTGGCGCGCGCGCTCCCGCCTTTCCCCGGAATTCCTGCTCCCTCTTGCTCCCCTCTTACGATGGGCAGAGCTATCTCTTGGCAGGCGCATTGCTGACCACCCTCGTACCAGGCGCAGCATTAGATCGCCTAGCGGACAAGGGAGAAGTAGGTCTATTGGCCGGTCCAGAGCCAAGCGCACCAGAAGTCGAGGTGGAGTTGGCCAAATTGTAAGCCGCGCCCGTTAGACTGAGTCCAAAGAAGGAAGGCGAGGAGGAGGAATTGGTGGCGTTGGTGGCTGGTGCGTGGTTCGAGTGCCTACCAGCAGCAGCAGCAGCGGCAGCAGACGGTGGCGCAAAGCCAGAACTGTTCGCGTTGGAAGCAGCGCCGCTCAAATTCGGATTCCTCAAATGTGCAGCGCCATTGCTCGCTTTGCGTCTTTGTTGATTGGACGCAAGACCACCAGCCGCAGCCGCAGCACTTTGCGATCTAGGCGCACTCGAAGCGCTGCTGCTGCCGCCTTCCAATTGTATGCTCGCCATGCCAGGAACAAGCGCGGATCCGTCTGCTCCCGCAGCTCCCGCTTGTCCCGCGCGTCTAGCAGCTTCATGTCTACCCTGCACCTTTCTGAAGTGCGTCAACAATTCCGTCCACTTGATCTCCTCCTTGTTGCTGCTAGCCACCAATTTGCTGCGAGTTCCTGCCACCTGCCCAGATGCGGAGGAGGAAGAGGAAGAAGCAGATGAGGGATTGTTCGCGTTCGCGCTTGTTGCGCTGCTGCCACTTCCCTGCATGGACCTGCTGGATGCAGCGTTGGCGTGCAGGAATCCTAGACTGCTGACGGCGTTGAGACGATTCCTGAGCGTCGCAAAAGCTGAGCTTTGAGGAAGGAGCATGAGCAGACCATACATGCACTTGAACAGGTAAGGATGTCGCTCAGGTTCGAGCAACTGCAGCCTAAGAGAAGTAAAGATGGGGCTCTCGAGCAACTGCACCAGCTTGTCCACCTGGATCAAGAAGCCAACGGTGATCTCCAAATCGGCGAAAATCTGCAAGAGGTTGGAAGCGTGCTCGTAGGCTTGAGCTAGCAAGCAAAGGCTAAACGTCGCCACTGCATTGTGGCACCAACTGCGATACAGGCTGACAAACAACTGTTGACCATCCCTAGACGAGTCGAGGTTCTTCAGCCTGCGTCGGAAATCAGCAAGCTCAGGACTGGTGATGAGGATCATGTTCATGTTGGTGATCATGACGCTCGCGAATTCCAAATCCTCATCTCGTTCCAAAATCTCTGCAAGCGTGCGGAAGATTCTCTCGGTGTGCAGACTGGCGCACAGCTGACGAATGATCAGGCTGCCGCGCGTCTCCAGCAAGCGTCGATCCGTGCTGAAAAGGCTGACGAGGTTGATCATGAAGCTTTTGAAGTACGCATCGTTGCTATTGCTGCTGCTGGCGCTGCTGATTTGGGCCAAAAGACGCAGATCAGATCGGATGACCTCTTCGCTCGGATCCGAAAGCGTCTTGAGCAGCGCTGGAAAGGTGCCGTCGTCCATGGCCAGGATCTTGTGAGGAGCTTTTTGGTGCAGCATGAGCAGCCATTCCAGAGCTGCTACCCGCGTCTCCTCGTGCTCATCTATAAGCTGCAGCGTCAGGACATTGACCGTCGCTTGCAGATCGAACGGTTCCACGCTCGGCTCAGCTCCTGTCGCACTACCGCTAGCGTCGATGCCCAAAGCCGAAAAAGCGCTTCCTTCATTATCGACATCACTAGCAGCAAGCGAAAAGGCTTGCGCTTTCAAATTCGGGGAGAGTTGAGGTGACCGCGTGTCCGTCGCATTGTCGGGAAAGATCACAGTCGAAGTGAGGCTGGGCGAGGATGGCTCTAAAATTTTGCCACTTGGCGGAGCCGTCAGCCCGGCAGTTCCCATTCGCTCCCTTTTCGCATCTGCCTGCACACTTTTCATCGTCTGTCTGGATGACGACGCAGTCGCACTGGCTTTGGAGGTGTCCTCCATTGGCAGGCCCTGCAGCACTCTGAACAAGTTGCCATTCGTCGCCTGGGCCGCATTCTGGATGGCCGGACTATGATGGGCGATGGAGGGCAAGATGGCGGGAATGAGCCGAGGCGTAAAGGGCACCACTACGTCCTTGACGACGAGCAAGAATTCCGAGATCCATTGCAGAGCCGTCGCTTGAATTTCCTCGTCCGGATAGGCGATGTGATTCACCAAGATTTGAACGATCGCTGCATAGTCTATGCTCACGCTCTGCACCGGAAGCCAGACATCCTCCGAAGCGTCGTCGACCGCCAACGCACCATCTCCCTCCTCTTCGTCCTCTTCGTCGTCGCGCTCCGCATTGTGCCCCTCTTCAACCTCTCTAGCTATGCTACCTGCCGCTCCTTGCTTAGCCAAAGTTTCCTGGGCAAATTTGACCGGCTGTTTGGCTTGGCTCCGCGTGCCAGGATTTAAGCGCAATTGAGCTCTAGCGGCAGCTTTGCATTCCCTCAAGAAGTCCGCAAGGACGTTATGCGTAGCGACTCGGACGTCGGTGTTTGGATCGGAGAGGTATTTGAGCAGTCCGTCCAAAAAGGCAGGCAAGTGATGCACCAGTTCCAGATCGGGTACCGAGTCCAGCACCATCAACCAGCTGACAAAGTAATTTCTGGTGAAAGGCGATAGGACGTACATGCGCTCTGCCAAGAGAGGCACGAAGCGAGCCAAACTGAACACCTTGTTTCTAGACTCGTCCGATGATATGTCGATGCCTTCTGCTGCGGCCAAGGCTGCTTTCTCCCTGGCCACCTCCAGCTCTGCGCTCCCACCGGCACACCCTGCCGCAGCATCTTGCCGAGATCGAATGAGTGCGATGTCTTGGTGGGCAGAGACGTAGTGAGGTGCAGCCTCGCAGACGATATCCTTGAGCAGTCTATCCAGCAGCTCTGCACCGTTCTTTACAGAAAGTTCGGAATCTGCTGCGAGCTGTGGGGAACGGGGCGGGAAAGCGCAAAGTGAGTGCGCGCGGCAGGGAGGGCCAGATATCATTGATCATCAGCGCGCGAACTCACCTTGGACAGAGCATCGAAGATCTCGTTGAAGTACATCAATATCTCGCCTTTGCAAACTTTTGCGATGTTGTAGAAGCTTTCGCACGCAAAGTAGCTGGTGCACGCGCAGGGGGGCGGTCAAGATCAGTTGCATTGAAAGCGCGCTGGTCCAGGTTCTGCACCACCTCTCATCTCACCGGATTTTGCTATCGGGATCGCCAAAGCAAGCCAAGACGGGCGGTACGATCTGTTCCAAATAAGGAGCGATTTGTATTCCCAATGCGATGGCGATGCCAGCCAGACCTATCAATCCACCATTGCGCGCGTGATTGTTGGCAGGCGTGGATAGGAGAGCGCACAATTGTTGAATGATGAGGTTGATGCGGCTCCTGTCATTGCGTTGAAGCGCTTCTCGCACTTGTCTGTGTTAGGTTGCAGCAGCAGCAGCAGCAGCAGTAGGTGCGTACGAGCAGCATTTTGAGTTTCGAAGCGCGCATACATTCCATCCGATCAAAGCCACCGCTGCCCCTTCAACTCACTTTTCAAGATCCAGCGTCGCAGCCTTCCTCCGATCGTACACTCTATCCACCAGTGCTTTTTGTAGAGCGGCATCTGTCGAGCACGCGCGCGCGCGCAAGAAAGAGAGAGAGAGAGAGAGAGAGATGAGCCGCCTCGGCGTGCAAGTCTGAAGCTACGATCTGAGCGATACTCACCCATGATGGCAAGCTCGTCGTCGTCGTCGCCTCGCAGCCCAAGACAGGTGGTGTGCTCGCCCCGGCTGAATGATGAAGGTGGAGCAGGATGGGTGCGATCAAAACACCATCGATCGAGTGCCTATATGGTTCCCGGTCAAGGATGGGATGAGGTGTGATGCGCTCCAAATAGTCGTACGTGAAGATGGGCGGATGGGAATGGCTGTGCCGGGAAGGCGTACGAGACGTGAAGGTGCGGCGGATATAAAAGCTATGCGTGGGTGGCTACTGTGCGGATGGATGGATGGCCGTTGTCGTTACAAGCAAATCGTGAATGAGTGAATGTTGTGTGCATGTGTGTACCGCACGCGCGTAGCTTACATGTACTTGCGCGCCCTCGAAGATGAATCCCGCTCGCTCTCCTTGCCGCGGATCAACATACGGGCAGCGCGGGCTGCTGCATGCGCAGTCTTGAGTCAGTGCACGCGAAGGGAGAGTCGAGAGCTCTCAAGTCACGAGGCGCGCCGCACGCAAAACGGGCCGTGCACGATCATACCATATCATAGATCCTTTTTTCGTACGAGAAGAGTGACGAGTGACGACGCAGCCGGAATTCATGATTGTAAAGCTGCTGAGCTGATGCTGAGTTCACGGGAAAGGTAGATCGAGATCGAGGTGGTGTGGTGGCAGGCAGGCAGGGTCCACGCATGCACGGTCTCTGCATGCATGCTCTCGCACATCTATGGACGGCGGGGCGGGGCGCGGGGCGGGGCGCGGGACGGGGCTGTGCATGAATTTGGATATCAACAACTCACGACTCACAGCTCGTGGCGGAGCAGAGCAGAGCAGGCGATCAGCGGCGGCGGCGACAAGCAAGGATATTGTATGCCATGGGGCGTAGCGGCGCACGTACGCAATAGGCAAGCGAGGCGTGATGAGGGATGAGATTCAGATTGTGTGTGTCTGAGTCACATGGTGCATGCTGGCTGCATATGGGTGATCCAGTGGTGAGTGGTGAGTGGTGAGTGGTGAGTGGTGAGTGGTGAGTGGTGAGTGGTGAGTGGTGAGTGGTGAGTGGTGAGTGAGTGAGTGTCAGTCACGTTTACAAGGCTGGGTGATAGACATGGACGATGGGCTTCGTGAATCAGCAACGGGACCATCACTCACGACTACACTCACGCACGCACGCACGCACGCACGCACGCACGCATGCACGACGACTCGCCAATCGCTGATCCAACAACTCGTAGCTCCTGCCGCTTCATTTCACTCTCCCTTGACTCACCACTCAGACTGCTCTCGCATGCATGCAGTGGTAGTCACAAGCATCAGCAACACTTGACTGCCACACACATCCACGCTCGGGCTGCCAACACCCGCACGCGCACATCTATTTTGCACCAACGTCGCTAGACCCGCTGCACGAGCAGACGCAGTCGAAACATTTGCAGCGCCAAATCCACCCCTCTCTGCCCCCCCCCAACACGCTCACCTTTTTGCGCACAAGGATGGTGCATCCAGCAGTGATAGCGAGCGCAGTAACGGCAGGCGTAGCAGCAGCCGTAGCCTTCGAGCTGAGCGTGTTCAAACCGTGGAGAGAAGAGAATTGGCCAGATGGCGTACTACAGGGAGTCAAGTCAGAGTGGCACACTTTCAAACAGGATCTGAGAGAGCTGACGGGTGATAGGCGGGCGCATACAGGCTATGATCATAACGCCACGAATGGCACGAGAAGGAGGAGAAGGAGGAGGCAGAGGAGAGATGAACACGGTCAAATTGTCGATCAGACCGAAAGCGAGAGCGGGTCGGAAGACGAGCATGATGCGCGTGCGAGCGCCACTGGTGCGCGTGAGGGGAATGATGCGCTCAGAAGGAGGAACTTGAGCAGACAACAGAGAGAGGAAGAGAGGGATTTGAGAGAACTTCAAAAGGAGATCGAGGAGTTCGAGATGCACGAAAGGGATGTGATAAGGATGAGGCAAAGGATGAAGCGAGAGTTTGATCAAAATGAAACTAGGAATGGCAGCAGCAGCAGCAGCAGCAGCACGTCCCCGCGCAGCAAAAGGCCGCAAGGCGATTCATCGATGGTGAGCGTGTTGCTCTGAGCTTGCACTGGCCCTTTTGCGCTTCGGCTAAATCGCCCTTTTGCTGTGCTCCCAGGCGATGTTCGATCGCGCTTCTAGACCCTACAGCCACTCATCTTCCAGCCTCGTCACCTCTGCTAAACAGAAGGATCTGCCTCGTCCACCTTCACCACCATCCAAGTCTAGTGCCATCGCCTCGCCACAAGACCCGCAACACCCTCATCATCTCATCGGCTCACCTAGCGCCTCGACAAACGCATCGCCCAGCATCCACATCAAGTCCCTACCCGACGCATCATCGACTGCTCAAACCGATGTGCGAGAATCGCATGTGGCACAAAGCAACGCTGCTCCTCGTTCCATTTCTTCCTGGACCAACACCTTGCATTCAGATCTCGCAGACGCGAGCGACAACGTCTCTGCTGCTGCTGCTTCACCCACTACGAATCCTTCCGTCGGTAGAGCTTCCGCTTCCGAAATGTCGGATTTGGAAGCTCCCCCAACAACGCTCTACACCCCCTCCATCTCCTCACGCGATGTGAACGGAGATGGCGATGGCGAGAGGAGAGATCCTTTTACGTTCGTATCTCCGCCAGACAGTGTGTGGGCAATGTCGGATGGAGGAGGTACAGATGGAGGTTATGGAGATCAAGATGAGGAGATGATTGGGGATGAAGAAGGCATGAATGCGGCGCCAAACTCTGCTGCGGTCAACTGTTCACCTAAGGCCACAGCACAGGATCCGTTCGAGGATGATGAGCTTGACCACGCACGATCACCCATGCACCTGCACCCGGACGGTCGTCACATGCAGCCGAGCTTGAGAAACCAATCTTCTACCATGACGTTGCAAGATCCTGCTCGATCTATCGGCAGTGCCGAGCTTGGTGCGCAAAGCGCAATTTTACAGGATCGAAGCACATCCAACTCCTCTTCGGGCCTCCAGACCGCTGCGGAATGGGAGTCCTTCTCAGGCAGCGGAACCTGGTTCATGCCTTCGCCTTCGCCTACCGCTTCCGCACCCGCACCCGCACCCGCACCCGCATCCGCATCCGCATCCGCACCCGCACCCGCACCCGCACCCGCACCCGCACCCGCACCCGCACCCGCACCCGCACCCGCATCAACGTCGACGGCCGCACAGCGCTCCACTTTGCAGAGCAAGGCGCAATTCGACGTAAAGACTGGTGCTGCCATGTCAGAGCGCAAGGAAGCCAATGTCGATCGTGACGACGAGGAGAGCGATGAGGAATGGACTAGAAGCGGGGGCAGAATGGGAGATGCGACGGCGGCGACGGCGGCTACAGGCAGCAGCGTCGCGAGCGATGAGGAGTGGGACAAGGTGAGCGATGGAAATGATGCTTGAACATCACCCTTTCGGGCCAGAAGTGGAGGGGGGGGGGGGAACAGAGATTATGGATCGCAACACAGTCCATAGGTGCATGCTTGCGCCCATCCTTCCTCGACCTCTGAGCCACCCCCCCCCCCCCCCCTTCCCTTTTGCCTCGCCCGCGTTCGCATTCTTCTCTCCCTCCGGTACCTTTTAGATTTTCCTTTTCTTCTTGTAGCTACACTTCGAACATCATCTTGTCCCCACTCCCCAACACCCAACTCACAAATCCGAGCATCATCTTTCTCGCTTTCCGGCTTTGTTTCTCTCTCACTCTCCCGTCTCTTCTCGCTCTTTCACACCTTATTTGCGATACGATACGACAAACAGGCGCGCCCCCCTTTTTTTTCTTGGTGTACATTCATGGGGATCTCCCTTTTCCCGCCTGGCCCCCTAGGCCCGCAACCGCACGCACACAGATACACATACGATGTACCTCCTTTTTCTCCCGAGCAAAATGTTCCATGTCCATGTCGATGTGGTGCAAAAGCGAGGGTCAGGGGGTGGGGGG